TAGTCATCTCTCATCATTAGTAGCAAGAAATGGTGAAAGTATGTACATACCACGACCACAGGTATTTATCTTGGAGTTATTGCAAACCAAGTATTCAGAACGGAAAGTGAAACCCTTTTGATTCGCCGACGAATCCTCTCCAACTAAACCTTACACTTTCAATCTACAAATTACTAAGTGGGTTGGGCCCTCCGTTGTTGAAGTGATAGTTATCAACGGCATAGTGGAGTAGGCGAGCGGAAGTGAAAGTTGGTGGGATGATGAATTCCTGATCTCACCATATCCTCATCTCCCTCCCACTCGGGCAGACTAGTTTAGGCCAGAAAGTTTGGAGAAGTTCGAGTACAACTATCTATCTATTTTAGCTTTATCTACTCACACATGTAGCAAAATCGATACAAATTATGCATCAGTCACCCCACCAGAGAAGATATTAAAATCAAGATCAATAGCCCAAAGCCACCGTTTACTTTATTGCTTTTACATAACATAAAATAAAATACTTTCCCCCTAAATCATTTCACTTTTACGTAAGTACGTACGTACCCGCGCGAAATTTGTTGATATAAAAATATGCTAGGTGCAGCAGAAGTAAACAAAACTTGTTTTTTCCTGTCCCGTCGTTATTTATTTGAAAAATGTCGCTTCAACCTTTTTTTCTTACTTTTTGATGCCATAAGAACTCCTCTCGACATACTTTCACTTTGAAGGAGAGGACAAACTTTTCGCATTTTTTCATATTTTTTTTATAAAAAGAGAGAGAGATAGAACTGATTCAGAGAGGAGAGAGTCACATCCGGCGCGAGACGCACAAAGGAAAATCACGACTTTCTCTACTTTTTAATATCACGCTCAGCACTCACCTGCCGAGCGGATAGAGAGATATCCGCCGCGATGTATTATTCAAAATCTCCTCCTGTGTGACTATATCCTCGATCCGAACAAAGTGGAAAGGGAAGGAAAAAATTGTGCTGGAGGAATTTAGCAAGTGAGATATTAAGCTCTGGTCCTCCATGCACTGGGTATTAAGCTGCAGCTACTGCATAACGACGGATAAGATTAGAGAGATGGTTCAATTGGGAATTTTCTTGTTAAAAGTGTCCCTCTCGTCATGGAAAGATGAAGAGTAATGGATCAAATATTTACGCGTTGCATAAGGGACGTGGAGAATATGTAGTGTACGTAGTAAAAAGTTCAAATTATTATGAAAATGAAGCAAGCAGGATTTGTAGGGTGTATTATTAGGCAAAATTGTAGTTGAATGAGTGGTTGAGTGGGGTGTAAAGTAATCATCGCTATGTAGGGATTTTTTGTGCTGAAATTTCATGTCAAGGAATAATTTCGGCATTCGGATTGAAAATTACCTAACTTTGTATTGTAAAATTGTGAAATTCTCATAATTTCATAAATGTCGTTTAATCATTACTATTTTTTTTTAATTTTTTTTAATTCAATCTAATATACTACTCGTACATAATCTAGCTCATACCAAGTATGTGAGCAAAAACAGGCCAAACTCTTCACTAAATCCTCATTTCGCTTCCCATATAGTCCCATCATAATTTGGACTGTGAGAAAATACATGAACCATACTTTCTCCCATTTTTACAAGCCTATCCCCATCATCCCACCGCAACCGCAGTAGATAATTCCATTGTACCGACTGATTCGTATCCTCGCCACATCGATACTAATAATAATAATAGTTCATCTCATTCTAATAATGGTTCTTCTTTTCCGCCTAAATAATTTTCTTCCATTCTTCGAACCAATAGATCATCATCACACAAGTCCGTGAAGAATGAATCCCTTGAGAAATCGGGAGACCAGAAACGTAACGAAACCATCCCACCACTTGACAGACGTTGCCTACTCCAATTTAAGCAAGATAAGAGGATCCGATAGATACCATCAAGCCGAGTCATAAGATATTGCGTTATATTGTGTCAGTCTGCCTCTTACAGGAGAACACTTTCATTCAATTTAGCCTCGTATCTGCTCGTGCTGGCCGTCGTGTCATGTCAGACCTAATTCGATACGAGACATGTTCTCCTCTCGACGTGGCTCATCAATACGGGATGAATTTCATCCCCTACAGGAATTACATTCCACTAATGTTGAAAAATTGGCAGCAGAAAAAATAATTTATATTTCATGCTCTCTTCCATCCAAGTTAAAAATTCCATTAAAGACGGGGTCCAGTTAAGACGGAGCTCCATTACTTTGAGCGAAAAACTTTACCAACTTTCGAAATAATGACACATTTTCGATCCCTGTGAGACAAATAAATGCCATAATATAGAACGGTCATAAGTTGGACGGTGTGACTATAGTAAAAGGGTATAAATATTAGTGATAATGCCACCCAGAGGAATCCGCTCGCTTTCTAGGCTTATATATGTATTAGCTTATTTATCGCCAGAACAAGTCCGATCTATTTCACTGCTTACCCAGGGAGGTTATCTATCTATCTAGGTGGGAAAAACAGATGAACGCAATAACGCCGCATTTCATTTGGTTCTTGGTGAAAGAAGAAAAGTGTTCAAGTTTCTGACCCGGCCACTTTCACTCGCTAGTAACCCGGCCACCACCACCACCACCAAGCAAACACCCAACAGCCATAGACAACAATATGTTTTAACATATCAGGAGGGAAACTTGGCAGAGGTTTTCTCTCCAGTGACGCGCAGGCAGACTTTCCCCTTCTTCTTTCCCAACCAACTTTTCTCCCATGCACCAACTAATGAACGCTAACTGAAATTCCGTGTTTTTTGTCTACGTGGCTGGGCTGTTGGCGAGGGATAAAGTGTAGCCTGGCTAAATCCATGGTATGTGCAGCCTCGGGACTTTCTCCCTCCGATCTAAATCAAGTTTGAGACTCATCTGAGTTTCATTTGGTCTAATTCTTCCTCCAATGACTCTCCCACCACCACCACCACGACCAACATTATTACTTCCACAAAGTATCACACAAAGCTCCAATTAGTTGGGGGAAATGGAAGCTCAGAAAGTAAGTAACCGCAGAAAAAGAGAAAGCATCATTTGTCCCGAAGGTGTATGAAGGTGACCAAAATGAGGGACGGACGTGGTGGTCGAGGTAATCAGTGGTGGATATGTGACGTGACAACTATTATAAAGATTGACGGAAGGAAATTGGACGTTTTTTTGGGGAAGCAGAGATTCTTATGCAATCTACTAAAGATACAGTAATAGCGTATGGCTCGTTTAATTCGGACATTTCTACTAACATATTTATTTTCCTGGTTCTTTGTCCGTTCAAGATATCCCAGGGGTAATGAGACCGCACACACTCGTACGTATCTGGGGTGGATAACATCTCACCTTTGCACTTCGCAGATTTTGATACCCCTTTGGCATTTTGGATAATCCTACGAGAATAGTAATTACGTTTGCCAAAAATCCAGTGTTTCTCGGACTTCGAAAATTCTTCCAGTTTCCTGGAAAAATCCTGGCCTTTTCCGTGTTTCTCATTAATTTGAGTGGGTGGGACGGGCGGAATATGACAAATACTTAGAGCTTAATTAATACCCAGTGGGGGATTTTACTATTCTAACAGGATGTGCCAAAATACCAGAAGGGCATGGAAATCTGCGCGTGCAAAATTTTGGCTCAGAATCTCATACACGTTTTCATAGACAAAACACTTACACAGCAAAATATGTACATACATAGATCGACCTACATAGTTTACAATTACGACACCATTACATTTTACAAAACAATGCTTTTATCTTATCAACCTCTAAGTTAATTGGACAAAGTTAATTGGTTCCTCTACCCAAATAAATGATCTCCTTTCTCATCCTAATTGGTCAAAATTCAGCACAAAGCATATAAAAAGAGAACGTCTTCTGCAGAGATTTGTTCATTTCGTCATGTCAAATTTCATCACTCTTTTATCCCTTGCATACCAAATTTAGTGAAACTATCCTCATAAAGTGCAATATTTTATTTTCACTCTTTTTCACCCAGCGCCCACACCACCGCAAGCTTTTTAGAGCGGAGAAAACAAACAAGGTTTTATTTCATCAGTAAAAACATACAAACATTGCAAATTGGAATGAATTGGAGCAGCAAAAGAGCAATGAAAACCTTCATCTCACTTACGTTGCATTGCAGGACGGAGGAGAAAGTTATCCATCACAACAAACGAGCAGCATCAGACCCACACTTCCCACATACATACCTGGTCCCCAGAGACGTGCAGAAACTGAAACAATTTTAACAACACATGCCTCATGCAAAGCGCCGTATTTATCTAGCATATAAAACCAACCAGGCAGCATTTTCGACCATTTCACCGACCAGAAAGCTTGTTCATTTGGCACAGAAATTCCCAACTGTGACATTGTCAGAGAAAAGGGACACATGCGAAAGATTCTCTCCTCTCATGTTGACATTGACGGTTCCAGTCGACTCAAGTTAAGAAGAAGAAGCCGGCTTAAAATCCTGCTGGCATTGGTTTGGCTGCGTGTTAAGAAGAGGAAAAAGTCGCTCAAGGACAGATCTACTTGGCGACTGAGAGTTTAAAACGAGATGCCAAACGAAGCATTGTTATGCTATCTAGGTTTTCCACACACTTCTGTTTTATGGCATCTCATGCAAAATCTAGAATCATAATTCGGAGCAAAAACTTTATGCATTTTCAGTAACTATATGTACACAGGTGGGCATAAATTTGCACCAACCTTGCTTGAAATGCCATGCGAGGCCTACTTCTTCATTATTTATAATTCTACTTTACTCCGCCAGATAAAAGAGGGGATGATGTGTGACTGAATAGTTTGCATGGTCTATTTTTTATAGAATATTTAGAATAGCAAGACCCAGGTGGGCAAAAAAGTAGTGTGGGTGGGAGGCATATTATATTAGGAACGATGATAGAGTATTTCCAAACACCTGAGTTTTCGCAATTTTACTACTCACCACATATTACGTAAAATTCTGAACGGAAGAAAATAGTGTGCAATCAAGTATATAGGCAAATCGTAATAATACGAATATGTTTATGGACAGTGTTACGCAAGGTAATATAAATTCGCTGTTGTCGGCGAAAAGCCACACACAATTCCAACTCATTCGCCAATCCAGTCAGAATTGACAGGATAAAATCCGTCCGTGGTAACTTGTTATGGGGGAGCTTTTGTATAAATACATGCGTCTTACAGTTAGAAACGTGAATTGCTATTTCTGAAATTCAGGTGTTTGTTCACATTGCTCAGCAAAACCGAACAATGCACATATACTTGCGTAGAATTGAAATGTAGCGAAATAATACAAAGCTCAGCAACAATCCTGTTTGATTTTGACAGTGAAATCTCTTTTATAAATACTTACTTTAAGATGGCAGCATATCTTACTTAATGTTTTCCATGATTGTGTATTTATGGAATGCGACACACGAGAACTGTATAAAAATACCTTAAACTATACCGGTCTGAAGACTACCACTCTATAAATTCAACTCTGACAAGCTACACGTTGCATCCGAATCGAACTCTTCAGTTGAAACTTGACGTTTCTGGATCTCATCAGTATCAGTCTTTACATTATTATTCACGATTTCTCCTTCGTCATCATCATCATCAAAGAGAAAGGATGTTGACAGAAGATCATCACTTTCACTCTCCCAATCAATTGAAGAGTCACGGATTCTGTGGCAAAGACTCCCAATCTGAGCAACGATTTCCTCTTTCTCATTTCTCCATCGGTAACGACGTGACGACGACACAGCTACTCCTCCACCATCGACTCGACCAGTGTTATTGGCTTGCGATTCTTGAATTCTATTTTCAGAAAGGAAGAACGGGATAAGAATTTCGGCATTGATCCGATTATCAAGCGTTGCTACAAAACTTCCATAGTTGAAGCACTGATAGTGACTTGGTATTCGGAAGAAGGATTTTTTCTAGAGTGGTTGAAAGAAAACGCAATTTCATATGTAAATGTGCCGTTTACCATTAACTTTGTCAATATTTGAACAAGAAAATAATAGCATATAATAAATAGATACCTGAATGTTGAGTAATTTAATCCAATCCAAAACAAATTTCCAAAACTCTATAGGATGTGACAACAATGGTTCGTTAGGCGGCATAAGAGCAGACATAGCTATTAAGTTCCAGCAATTTAATTCCGGTTTGTGAGCTCGGAGTGCTTGGCCTGCATTCCTTGCTGAGAATCGCAATAACTCACGCAAAAAGTTCCAAACGTTAATCTGACTACGGACGAGGACAGCCTGGGAAAAAGAAAGTCCACACAAATAGTAGTGACATCAGTCAATATTACATGCATCAACTGCTATTTTTGTACAAATACATACGTACCTTGTGAGCCAAGCTCAGTACCAAAAAGTGAAATGTTGTAAGGAGTTCTGCAACAACGTTGGGATCATCTTCTTCAATCTGTTTATATTTAATGCATTGTTTTTAGATTCTTTATCAAATTTCAAATAAAAACCTGCGTCATTGTACATATCTCGAATTATGTAGGTATAACATACCTTAAGACCGTTGTTGTTCAGATCCTCACGCAGCAATTCGGCTAGCAATATCAGAATGGAATCACTCACCGCATATTGCGTCAAGTGTGGAATTAGTCTCGTCAAGTTCATTTGAATTGGGTTCACGTTCTACAAAACACGGATAGCAATATTATTAAAATAAAACCATAATAATTTACATAATTTCATACTAGTTGAAATTAGCCATTGGAAACAAAATCTTTAACCTCAACTTTCCCAGTCATGTGCATCGCTACAACGTAACGGTGAACAATATCAAATGCCAGACACAACGAAATGAATCCATCTTCAGTCATATCATCAGAACATGGCGCACAAATTTTGTCACTTAGAAATTTCAGGAAATCTTTATCACTAATGCATACATCACGAACTGCAAAAAAACATTACCTTAACTTCAATTTTAAAATCACCAGTAAAAAAACATGACTATTTAGTAAATTCACCAAATGCATGCGGCAACTTTTTGAAACTATCGGCCAAGAAGTTTAAGCACATTTTCACTATATTATCATCTTTCATATGCCCGATTAAAACTTTGACAAAATCCGTGTAAACTTTGACGGGAAGGGTGTCAAGAAATACGGGACAATACAGCAGTAATTGTGTCCATTCCAGCAACTCTTTCGGTTCCAGCCAATCCGGGAGTTTGCGGTAGACGGTAATAACTTGGCGTTGAATTGACAAAGGAACGATCTCTCTGCAGAGAGTAATAGAGTTCATTTCATTCCATGTACATAAACGGTGCAGGAGGAAAAGCTCAACAAAGTGTAATGGCTAAATAAAGTAAAATATATAAAGTATTTTATTTCCCTCGGAACTTACAAGTCTGCCAGGACACTCAAAAAGAATTTACGAGCGTCACCAATGACCGAATAATCCGATTTGACAACCATTGAAGCGATGCGGAGTCCTGATTCCACCACCACATTTAACTTTCCCCGGAGGAGAGGAACTCGAAAGAACGAATTCAATAAAGTCAAAGTGCAGCTGTAGGGAATACAAGTAGAGAATTTTATTCTATTTTTGCCCGACGACTTATACATACATATCTCATATATTTCTGTCTTTATCAATAAAAAGTATCACATTTTACCTGAAAAGTTGCGTGTCTGAGGTCGCCATGATTTGCGAGATTGCATAGATCATATCAACTTGTAAAATCAGGTTGGGCAAGTCGGGCAAGCCTTTTCGCCCGACTCGTAATTCTGTCTGGTAAGTTTGCAACATTTCGGTTAGAGTGCATATCACGTCTTTCTGCACTTGCAAAAAAAGAATGAGAATTTAAATACACCATGAAAATATACTAAAGAATAGTTGTCGTACCCTAGAACTATTTGTAGAATTGATTAGTAAATTTCTCTTTAAACTGTCAAGATGATCGGTAGTAATTTCCTCAATCCTCACCGACTGACTTTCGCTACTCATTTTGATCTGCAATTACAAAAATTATGACAAATTTAACTATCAATTATTATTTAACCTTACATACGTAATTATCAAATTAGAATCTCTATCCAAAATGATGAAAGAAATGCACGATTTTTACCGAGATTAATGTACTTATATTCTTAACTTCTGTATCAAAAATGAAACTGACAAAACTCGAGTAGATTTTTGTGTATCAAAATAGAAACAACTTTTCCTCATCTAAATAATCTCACTACCCAAAAATGCAAACATTCTCAAACTGTTTACCACTTACTCATCTGTACCATGCAACCTTTCGCCCTCACTCTTGCCACATAAAGATACATCTTCTTCTTCTCGGGGACCTAAAACCAATGCCAACACCAGGATTGCATTTTGCACGCGAGTATGCAAGAACGAAACTAAATGACATAAAATCCTCAAAAAAGCGTGGCTCCAATACATCATATCAGTCCAGAACAGCTTTCGAACGTAAGTACATGTCTCATTTTAACCTCCCAGAACGTGTTTAGCATTTACTCTTATTCCCCGACCAATAATTTATCACAAAATAAATATATACCTACAACCTAAAAGTGTGCTGTATGTATATATTTTCCATGTAAATATCCCTTTGCACATGATAAGAAATCCTGATTAAAAGTGCACTACAGAACTGAACAATTCTGAAGAATATTATGAATTGTTTTACATAATAATTGGCCAAATTTATACAAATTGCAGGAAAGCATCTCGTTCCAGGACTGTGTTTCTGCTTCAATTCGTTATTTCTTGTTCGGTGTTGCTTATCAATCTTTAAACGAATACTCGAACTCTAGATCAATCAATCAGTCGAGATGGTTGTAGAGAAAAAATACGACGGGTAAGGATTCCATGCTTTTCTCTCTCCTTTACATATACATAAATCTAATCCGAGTTGAATCAAAGTTTGCAAAAAACATGCAAAGTTTTCCCAACGACGACACGTATTGATATAAAATATAATCTCGTCTGATTCTGTGCTTTCTTTCTCCCTGAAGGGCTGATCCCGATCCAACGGAATATCTCGTGAGTCAATTTATTCACAAAAAAAAACAAATGAGAAATGCTTGCTGTATTTTTCGTGATGTAACAGATTCCTATTTTTTTGCTTCCAGTTTATTTCATTGGAACAGAAACGAATCGATCAAAGTAAACCGTACGATGCAAAAAAGGCTTGTTGGGTTCCTGATGACAAGGAAGGTTTCATCATCGGGGAAATCAAGGCGACGAAAGGCGAAATCGTCACGGTCCACGTGAACGAAGAGGTATGTACGTGCCGGAAAAGAAAGTCGAGAGAAAGTTTCATTTTCCAAGAGAAAGTTTCATCCTAATTTTACCCCAAAAGTAAATATGCACACTTTTTAATTACAATTTAGGATAAGCCTTTCAAAAAGGACCTCGTCAATCAGGTCAACCCTCCCAAATTTGAGAAAGTTGAAGACATGGCTGACCTCACATATTTGAGCGAAGCTGCCGTCTTGCACAATTTGAAGCAGCGCTACTACACAAAGTTGATTTACGTACGTTTTTTTATTTATTTTTTATTGCTGCCGCATTAATTTTGATTAATTGGTCTGCATCTGTCAAACTATAAAACATCTTGGTATGCATATATGTAGACGTATTCCGGTCTATTCTGTGTGGCGATCAACCCCTACAAACGGTACCCGATTTACACCCAACGTGTCATCCAGATCTATAAGGGACGGAGGCGGAATGAAGTCCCACCTCACATTTTCGCCATTTCAGACGGCGCTTATTCCGATATGTTGACAAGTATGTTTTTTTTCTCATTTATTTTTGCCATCAAGAAACTAAACATACTTTGAGTGAGGGATTCTGACTGACTGGGCAGTAATAATTTGCAATTGCATCGCAAATCATCTCATCGCAGAACAAAACATGTAAAAATGCAGTTTTGGATATCATCCAGCTTCTCACCACAAACGATTACACAAAGAAATCTTGTCGTGCCGTCTGAAATCCAAAAATTGCTGTCAATTGCACATTTTTACTACTACATGATAAACAAGTGTCACTCTTTACATCTCATTTCACTCCTAACGTACAAACTACTACAACTGTTTTTTTTTCTATCGACATCACACCATGATGTCACCCACCCATTACCACCACATCCATTATTCTTAAGAGACAAAATGGTGGGACAGATCAATGTTTTCGTTTTCTTGGGTGGTGTAGTGGTATCGCATTACACGGTTCAGCGCTTGTTAGTTTTTGGCATGTGCGTATATTTTGCTTCCTTGTCTCATCAGACTTTGTGACCATTACTCATTCCATATTCTATTTTGGAGAGAAAGTTTGTAGTGTAAAACGACTTGAAAGAAGTAGTGAGTGAAAGAGGTGTAAAAGTTGTCTCAATAATTTCACACATCAAACCACCCAGTGAAATGACAAAGACATGCAGACAGAGGGGGAGACAGAGCAAAGATGAAAAGTTTTTAGGCAGGAAAACGAACGAAAATTGTCCCAGAATTGGAGCGAGTCCTTTCTTTTGTATAAAGCGAGTTTGCTCGTTCGCGAGTTGAGTGATCATGTAACAAAAGTATGTATGTGATTCAGTTGGTTCTTTGGTAGATAGAAGCAGCTCGATAAGGGAAAAAATTGGAGAATTGGACACGACAGATTGCTACGCTGCGAGAGAGAAAGTGGTGGAAAAAGAAAGTGAAAAGTGAGCACAAACTTGGGGATTATTGAGACGATGCAATTTATCTTTATCTAACTTTCTCTCATAGATATGTGTGGATGTACCTTGCCCAACTTTTTTTAAATGATGCATCATCACGATATTTTTGGCGACCCCATCCGAGAATTCTAATGTACGGAAATTACTAAATAGACAGACAGACTAGGATATTTCCTATTTTGCATCGTTACCCCAAGTATAGCCATAATAATAATAATCCTTGTAAACAGTCATGCTGAAGACGTGCATACTTTTACGATAGTAAAATACACTCATCCATCCATTCGCCAAACCACAAAACTATAAAAAACACTGCTGCTCTCTTCATTATCATTGCCATATCGCACTCATTTCCACACCCCCATCACCATGAAAATTATGTTTTTCTCCTCCAACTTCCAACCTGAACAAACCTCTAAAAGGGAATGTTGTCCTGTAAAAACATTCCTTTTTACATTTCCTGTCCTGTCCCATTTCATTCATTCATTCAGGCAGTTCTTATTCTCTCCTACCTGCCCTTCTGTCACGCGTATAATCTCTCCCGAGTGAGAGTAGCTGGTTTGAAGATTTTCCAAGATTTATGAGAGGTGCATTACGGAACGGACACACATTTCCAGTTTTTAACCATCATCCAATACTGTAAAATGAGTAAGAGGTACATATGTACATGCACTTTTTCTATACCTAAATAAAATCTCGCCTTTTTACCACTTTCGTAAAAAAAAGCTAAGCCACACTCAAAAAAGGAAACCAACCACGCGTTTCTATTCCTTTCAAAAGATGATGCTTCCCTCGTCGTCGTCGTCGTTTTCGACATCGTCGTGCTGCATAAACTGAAAGGACACGCACATCGCAAACATTCCCTAGACTAAACTATGTACATACATATACACCATATTTTCCTTCCTCTCTTTTTAGGTTTACTTTACAGAATACAAATATAATATTATTTGCTTACTTTTCATTCACCGTGTCGTGAGTAAAGTAGCACTTGGTTATCCTCGAAATGCCACGAATGATGTGATAAGGTATGCATTCGCTCCAGCACTACGTACTTATGATTTTTATGAAATGTACATCTGTCTGTCGTTGCTGTCCATAAATGGAATTGGGTGGGTGTGGATGAGCCAAAATGACTTTCCTAAATTTAACCCCGATATATTTCTCCTTGGCATCTTGCCCCTCGATAATTTTCATCATTATGAGAACATGTACATATGTACGTATCGGCCACATGCCATATTTCGTTCCCTTATAAAATACCGCATCTTGTTATAAATCTTAACCACCTTCATCTCGACGGTCGGGTAAAAGTAATCGTAATCCCGGCTGTGGTTTCACCACATGAATCATCTCATCTCACTCACCTTGTTCCGACCAACTGAAGGAAGTTGAGAGGTATTGCAGATTTGTCTAGTTGTAGTCATTCATTTACATAAATACGTGCAAAAAATTATGTACACTGTGGGACTGGGTTGTCCTGTCATATTTTTTTTGATCTGGTGATCTCGTACTTGTCACTCATCCTCAGTCGAAGAGATGGATGGATGAATCATCCCGTTTTTTTAACTAACATGAGCAAAAGAGGGTTGAGATAGAGCGCATGGCGATAAGTGATATGCATGACACAGTTTGAAACATGAAATGATGATAAACTAGAGCAAATCATTCCAAATCGCTTCATTCTTTCTACTTGTGCAAATAAAACAAACTGTGTGAAAAGTTTACCTTCTTCCTCCCGTGAAAGCTGAAAAATGATGAACGGCCTGGCCCTTGGTAATGAATAATGATAGAGTTTGAGATTTTTTTTATGAATGTTTCCAGACAAGGAGAATCAGTCCATGTTGATTACGTAAGTAAAGTTTATTTGTGCACTTTCACTTCCGGTCCGAGTTTGAGACAAGTAAATTTAATAATTAACGTGGGCGGTAAACTAGAATTGTTTTGGAACTTCAAACCACAAATGATAACTTTCTCTTCTATTATTTCATGTAATGATAATTATTAATTATTATAAGTAATTAATTATTTAAATAAGCAGAGCCAAAATGCTCACTCACTTCAAATTAAATTGGCACTTGTTTTGATTGACGAGAGTGAGTGGGGGTAGTGTGGCTAGAAACACAAGAAAAGGAGCTGTGAAAATTTCAAAGGGTTTCAATATTTCACAGTGGTGGTTCATTGACCCTACCCTTTTTGAATTCTGAAAATATTGTCCTACTTAATTATCGATATAATTTAACTCAAGTTTGAGTTATTCGATTGATTCTATAAATTAGTTAAGTAATGATTTTGCACCTACTTGATTCAGTGGGGAGTCTGGCGCAGGAAAAACCGAAAACACAAAAAAGGTAATCGCCTATTTTGCCGTTGTTGGTGCCACTGGGAAGAAGGACGATTCGAAAAAGGTAAAATTTCTGATTTATTTTAAATTCATTTAAACTCTTAAGTCAATATAATACGATCAGTATACTTGATTTAATGGCGAACGTGTTTATTTACTTGTAACGTAGGGCTCCCTTGAGGATCAAATCGTCCAAACTAATCCCGTGTTGGAAGCATTTGGAAATGCGAAAACTGTTAGGAATGATAATTCGAGTCGCTTTGTGGGTTTACTTATTTATTGTTCAAATTTGACCAGGTGGCAGTTTTCTCAACGTTTCATTTCAAGTTTTTATTCTGATCACATTATAGGGAAAATTCATTAGGATTCATTTCGGAGCTACGGGAAAGTTGGCTGGGGCTGATATTGAAACATGTAAAAAAAGATAAGCCTATTTAAGTTTTAAGCCGATATGAATGTGAATAACGGGAATTTTCGTGTTAGATTTGCTGGAGAAAGCTCGAGTTATTTCACAACAACCCCTGGAGCGGAGTTATCATATGTTTTATCAAATAATGTCGGGAGCTGTGAAAACCATGAAAGGCAAGAATGATTTTAAATTACAATTTACTTATGTGTGCATCAAATGCTTTTTGAATGATTTTTTTTAGTAATTGAGCTTTAATCTTTTAGAAATTTCGCAGTACTTTGTTCATGCATTTTCTCTTATCTTTAGAACTTTGCCTATTGAGCAACAATATTCTCGACTACCATTACGTCTCGCAAGGAAAAACTACAATTCCGGGAGTAGATGACTCGGAAGAGATGTTGGCCACTGATGTAATTTAATTTCCAATTTTTCTGTCGGGTGGTCCGTTTTTCATTGTCTAATTTTATATTTACGTATTTTAATGTCAGGCTGCCTTCGACATTTTGGGCTTCACGCAATCTGAAAAGGATGACGTGTACAAAGTCACTGCCGCCGTGATGCATATGGGAGAGCTAAAATTCAAGCAGAGGGGGTCAGTAAAGCTCAGATTTCATACCATGAAAATGTAGGTCAAAATTATATTATGCAAATTTTAGACGCGAAGAACAAGCCGAAGCTGAAGGATCTGCCGTAAGTAAATAAAAATAAGTAATTGGATTTCGTGTCTTGTTCTTTGTTTCGAAAATAAGGGAATCATGATGTTTGATACAATATTTCTTAGGAAGGTGAACGCGTCGGCCAACTGTTGGGGATTGATGGCCCTGAGCTGTACAAAAACATTTTGAAGCCTCGTATTAAAGTGGGGAATGAGTTTGTGACTCAAGGTCGTAATATGGTTCAGGTATGCATTTCACTTCATAAAAGAAAAAAGCATGATGAAACAAACGACGACGACGACGTAATTCTGTCCCTCGCACTATCTCTGGTCTGCCCTTGGGCCTTGTGTGCCTTGATTCAACATTATTATTATTATTTACCTTCTTTCTTTCAGTGCAACTATAGCGTTGGTGCTCTTGCCAAAGCGACATATGACCGCTTGTTCAAATACTTGGTAAAAAAATGCAATGAAACTTTAGACACGAAACAGAAGAGACACACGTTCATCGGGGTATTGGATATTGCCGGATTTGAAATATTTGATGTGAGTGAATTGAAAAATTGTATTTTATTTACCTAGATTTTCATTCATTCTAAAATTGGAAACATGTTTTCCAAAGCTTTCCCTTTTCATTCACTATTTTTTTAGAATGCTGCTTTTAGTTTTCATGATGCACCAATCTAAGTAATTAACAAATATCTCCTTTTTACTATAGTTCAATGGATTCGAACAACTCTGTATCAATTTTACGAACGAACGACTCCAGCAGTTCTTCAATCACCACATGTTCGTCCTTGAACAGGAAGAATACAAACGTGAGGGCATCGAATGGACCTTTATCGACTTTGGAATGGATTTACAAGCCTGTATTTCTCTTATCGCACAGGCACGACAACCCATTTCATTTTCTTTCATTGTTGTTCCTTTGTTTAAAGAAAGTTTCCAGTTTTCTTGCAAGCACTTTTCATTTTATAAACCTTTGATGTCAAAAAAACAAGTCTCGTCGTTTGTAATGGAAGAAATAGCTTGTCAGTTTTCCAATTTAACCATGTACGACTACTTTGATAAAAAATAGAACTTGTTTGCTTCCACTACTCATGCATATGTATGTATGTATATGTATGGTTTCATTTCCTGGAAGCTATTGCTTGCCTCCGTTTTCAATTTACCACAACATTTAATTCCGTTTTCTGAATTTCAGATCTCGGAAGGTTTCCATAATTTTGTTGAGTATTAATTTACGAAATTGTTTTCTTCAATTCTATTATAGCCGATGGGGATCATGTCCATTCTGGAAGAAGAGAGCATGTTTCCTAAGGTATGTATTCCTAATTTTGTAGTATAAAGTAGTGCAGAGGTTTTAAGGCAATGTTTTCATTTTAGGCGTCTGATCAAACATTTCTCGAAAAATTGAGAAACAATCATTTGGGAAAGTCTCAGAACTTTGTGAAATCCAAACCTTCAAAACCAGGTCAAGTAGAGTCTCATTTCAGCATTGTGCACTATGCCGGAACAGTGAGTACTACAAATTTATATTCTGCATAACCCTTCCAGCGTTCACAAACATTTTGAGAAAAGTTGAGAGATTACTATTTCATAATCCTTTTCTACTCTTACTTAGGTCCCATATAACTTGACTGGATGGCTAGAAAAGAATAAGGATCCTCTCAATGACACTGTCGTGGATCAGTTCAAGCGTGGGGCTAGCGAGCTTATGCATGATATGTGGGCCGATCATGCAGGTCAATCTGGGGCTGCAGTAGAAGGAGCTCCGACAGGGAAAAGTAATTACCTAAATCAGTTTCTATTTCAGATTTGATAAGCCCCTTTTCCACGAATTTTGGTTACCTACAATATGCCTCATTTCCGCGTAGGTGTCAAACGAGCGAAAGGATCAGCTTTCCAGACCGTGTCCGCTTTATACAGGGTGCGCTATATAGTAAAAAAAGTATATTGCACAAATCCAGCATGGTTACATATATGTTTTAATTTATTTTCCAGGAGCAACTAAACAACTTGATGACTACTTTGCAAGCTACTTCACCACATTTTATCCGGTGTATCATTCCCAATGAGGTGAAAACTCCCGGTAAGTAAATCACTTAGTTGGGTATTGGTCAATATAGATCTCTCCGGGATGTAAACCTTTTTCAAACTTTTCGTTTCACGATTTATACTTCAATTTGCACTTTGCAGGTCTAATCGATTCTCATCTAGTGATGCATCAACTAACTTGCAACGGTGTGCTGGAAGGAATTCGAATTTGCAGAAAGGGTTTCCCGAATCGAATGCTATATCCAGACTTCAAGTACAGGTATGCATAATGTGCTTTGCACATCATTTTTATGTCCACATAAATTATGTAATCACGACCACGCACCTTTTCCGTCGTGTTGCATTGCGTTAAACCCATAAAATCCTGCAGTCAGTGTAGGTAGTTTACTACTACCGAAGTGTATGTATGTGGACAAAAAAATTCCTCGTATTTTTAGGAATGATTCCTCTTGAAAATCTATTTTTAGTCCGTGTTGAGAAAAAAAATCATACCGCTTCATGTGCTACTGTCATATACGGTTGTATATTTTATTTTGGGTAAACTCTCGACTTTTCTGCCATTAAAACGCGTCTCATTTTGAACATTACGATATAAATCTTTCTCTGGTTGACATCCTGTCATACTATGTCACGTCACCAGTTGGTGGGGAAATGTTTGCTTATCTTGGAGTATTTTATGACTTGTCATCCTCCTGCATAGATTTCTCATCGAGAGTTACCTATCAAAATAAAAAATATTGAGTCATGCGATGATATTTTTTGTGTTAATCGAGTCCTTATATTTTCGTGTGAATAACTGATCAAGGTACTTGGTTATATGCCCAGCTAAAATGCTGGCTGAAAAAGAGGACAAGCAAATGGCTCAAGTTTGTATGGACGATATTCAGTTGGAATCTGATAAGTATCGACTCGGCCATACAAAGGCAGGTGCTTCTAAATAGGTTTAGTTTAGTAGTTGAAATTTCACGAGTTTTTGATCATAAACTTTTCTCGGTTTCAATTTCCCAACTAATAGTATGACTGATGAGTAGACGAGTAGAGGGTAGAAAGTTTGATAATTAATCAACAGTTTGAAATGACGGGTCGCATATTACTTCTCTGCGACTTTCTTCAATTTCTCAAAATGATGAGGATGCATGGCTTTCTTCTTCAAGACCCTCTTAACTTTTGTCTCATTAACTACACAACCGAGATGTTTACTGCAAAACTTCCTCGCACTATATGTACTTCACATTTCGAGGATTTTCACTGGTTGTGATTGACATGAAAGAGTGATGCAACACATGTATGCTAGTTCTAGTTACTGACTGTTGTGTTCAGTATTTATTAGCTGTTTTATCCAGATTTGATCAACTGAACTTCTAGAGAAATAAGGAGTAAATCAAACCATACAAATACGTATATGGTGGTGAAAGTGTGTATTTTAAAAATGTTTGTTGGCGTATTTTTTCATTAATTGTTACGTAATTAAGGTACAAAATCTTAGCACCGACCGCTTGTTCGAAAACGGATAGTGACGACAAGAAGTGTGCCATAGTCATTTTGGACTCTGTACAGCTTGAATCAGACCAATTTAGATTGGGACATACCAAGGCAATTTTGAACACATTGCTTCTAGTGGATGTTTTAATTGCATGGTTTTCTTTTCGTCATACTAAAAGGCGTTCTGTCATGTTCTGCCGAAAAATGGAATCACGAGTGTGTGTCTGAATTTCATGAAAAATTGCATCTCCTTGAATCTCCCCAATTTAATTAAACCACTAAATAACTTGACATGCTTAATTTTTCCCCATCATTCCCTTGGCTTAATTACATCACTTGCCCTGGTCATAAATCTTGACGTAACACATTTGGTCTTATGGTTTGGTTTGTGTGTGCGGTAACTCTGTGTCGTGTGTGCCTTGTAGCGAGACTAGAAGGTAATTTAAAACGATAATAAATGTGTTTTAGGTGTTTTTCCGCGCTGGAGTGTTGGGCCAACTAGAAGGTAAAAATTCCCCATTAACTGGCACCCACTTAATACCCGAAATGACGTTAAGAGTTTTTTTTATGCTTTGGAAGAAATTCGTGATGAACGACTCGGAAAGATAGTCACCTGGATGCAATCCGCAATTCGGGGCTACATTTCTAAGAGAGATTTCAAAAAGTATCGAGATCAAAGGTTCGGAGAAAGTCAATTTCCGTATGAAATGAAATAAAAAATTCTACATTCCTAACAAATGACGAAGAGTAAGAAATAAGTAGAGATTGTGTGTGGTTTTGGTTTTAGTGACATGACATGACTCTTCTCTCTGACGATAACGTAATTGTGAAAAGTAGGCCAACAACTAAATGAATTATGTAGCACGAAAGAACATATCTCTAGCAAACACAGGGAAATGAAGCTAGTCCAGAAATGGCCAAGTAAATGTTTATTTAACTGGTCAATTCAATCTCTCTTTCTTCTGAGAGAAACATTTGTTCAGACATCAGAGGAGAGAGGCTTCTTGCTTTTACTGAATTTCTCTCCCCGTTTTCGTTTCGCCAAGTTGACTTTTGGCCCAGTCAGTACTTTAGTTTATTCTTTCCCTCCATATAATAAATCTTGTCATCGTGGAATGGAATGAAATGCATGCATGTCAGTCTGAAGTGTTTATTTACCGTTTTATACTATGTATACAGAGTCGCACTGCAAGTGGTACAGAGAACTTTGAGAAAATACATGAACCTGCGACTCTGGCCATGGTATCGACTCTGGCAGAAAATTAAACCGCTTCTCAATGTTACTCGGATCGAGGATGACATCAAGGTGGGTGAAAAAAGAGAAAGTTACATATACTCGTTATTGTGTTTCACGACGTATGAATATTCATGACATGATTTAATTAACTCGTACTCGTTGTCCATTTTGCCAAATTAATAATTTCTTCCTGGCAAGTTCACTCCTGGCAAGATGTCTTTAGCAAGTCTTTTTTTCTTAGAAAAACGAGACATATTTCTTCTAGGTTGTTGCTACACCTGTTCTACACATCCTTCGTGAAAAATACATGAGCTCCAAGTCCTCATTCTCACGTCAATGTCGTGCATACATATTAAGCCGTTCTTGTTTTTACATTCCCCCCTAAACGAGCTGGTATTTAGAGTGAAACGTCTAAAATTTAAAGTGGATCAGATTTTTACGTGAAGATATTTGATTTAGGTAAATTCCATGTGTCGTTTTATTTTATGCATGGTGACTCACTCGCAGCCTCGGCCGTCATAAATATGTACATGCAAAACTTGTGCAAGAAGTTGTAAGCAGAAAGTCTAAATGTGATCCATGCTCGAAATCCTCTCACGAGATGAGGATAAAGTATGGACTCGTAAAGTAGTGATAATGTATACGACATAAATTGGTTTCGGATAAGAGAACTTGTCAGATGTATAAATATGGATCTACTCATCTCACCGTGTGTCGTGTCAGAGGGTGTAGTACCAACTTTGTAATGGGAATGATAACATTATGCAGAAATCTCTTTAACTCTAACGGAATGATAAACTATGCTAAATTGTAACATTTTTCTTCAACATTTGGCAGTTACTCTCTCCTCCCCCACCACCCATGCATGCATCTGTGCTTCGAAATAGCGAAAATGGTTATTTATACGGAAACCAAGTTGTACCTCAAACTTACACTCGAACCTCCAGATTCAGATGGTGAGATGGTGCAGATTCGAGAAAGTTGAATGCGGGTGCATCATCATAACATCTCGATTTCATATGTAGCATGGTTTTTTAAGGACGCTCAGTACGCTTTTCGAATTTAAAAAAATACCAATGCCAAACAAGTGATGGGGTTTATTTTATGAAGTTATAAGCAGTGTAAGATACTACCAACCACATATCATTCTTTCGTCGTCGTGGTCGTCGTCAAATGTGTAGGTGGCATATTATGGAGGATGGAAGAAGATGATCTTGTCTGGTGTTGGCGAAATGACTAGTAAAACATTTCCAAAGTTAGTGTCGGCTACTCCATGGTTGTGTGAGAGTCTTTGCACATCTCCCACCGACCGATAATTCCTTGCAGATTTTATTCTTTGGTGGTCAACGTCTAGCATCTCAATTTTTTTTACCGAATTACGAAACTCTTGTGTTAACGATTTTCGATCGAAACAATTCGAAACCAATTGATAGAGGATCTGTGATTTGTGATATTAGCTTTAAAATATTTTTACATTTTGGGTGCTTTCACAACTTTCTTTAGTTTTGCGATAGTTGTCGTAGTTTAGTTGTTTGTGGAGAAAGCACAAAAATGGGGGAAGAATTCGACCGCCCCACGGGGCCTCCTAGTGAAGAATTGTTTGAAAAGCAAATGATTTATAAACAGGTGACATGTATAAATTAATTCATTGTTTTTAGTACTATGACTGATAAATTAAAATCTAAATTTATGATCTATTGCTTAAAACAAATTGTTTATTATGGGGGGGAAGTTCTTCGAGGAAAGAATCCAATTGCTCGATGATTCTCGGTATTTTATCAGTGAGATAAATTTCTGCTTCTTCCGTTGCTAAAATATATATAGCGTCATAATGTTTCCGTGCAACTGCTTTGACTTGAGTAGCAACTCCCTTTGAAACTGCAGGTATTCCGAGAGATTTTGCACTTGCCCAGTCTAGCATATGACCCTTCCTAATTTCATTACGAGCGCTCCCACATGCGTGAACCCATGTTCCGTCACAGTGAGGGTCTGACATTATGCGTAGCAAGCTTTTCCACATTTTATGTAGAATTATGTCCACCCTAACAAATCTTGATATTCCAACCGATAAGTTTACCGGATTACCATCATCGTCTATCCAATTAACCTTGAAGAGATTCCATGTGTATCCGAATCCAACTATACATATTTATGCAAATTAGGAAAAAATTGTTATACTTTTTATACATATGTATATATGAGCACATACTTGTGATATAATCTATCTCGAAAAGTCGGGATTCAATTTTCCCAAGAACAGGTGAAAATAATACTTGTTGTCCAATGGGAGTATAATGTTCCCAGATTTCATGGTCATGTATTCCTGTTGGCCCCAATAACACCCCACATGACGAACAAGGGGTTTTCTTTTCTAAAACGATATATATTTAATTAGTAAAGTATTTATGTTTTTTTTTGTAACCGCCATGCATAAGTTAAGTAAAATTGAATTAAGTACCAAGGTGAATAGAGTTGACGTGCTTAACTATGGATTGTCTACTTTTGAATTTCCTAGAGCATTTAACGCACTCCCAAAGTTCCCATTTCAGATGGATCTGCATATAATGTTCTTTGGCAGTATCGACCGTTGAACATTTGCTCGTACAATCCTTTTTCGGGCATTTTATAGAAATGCGCTTGTGCTTATGCTGTTTAGAACGAAGTTTAATTTGGACCATTGCGGCGTCGAATTCCTTATTCTTGGGTTGGGGGAGGTGTCTGATGTAGTCACTCAATTTTTTCTTTTTTTCGACCTCTAAGGCTTGAAATATTCCAAGAATCTATGGAATAATGTCTCAGAATTAATTATACATAAGTTCGTGACAAGCTTCAGTACCTTATCCAACTCCTTAACAAGAACGTTATGTGAAACGCTCTTCTTTGTGGAAGCTTTCCGATTGCTTAATTTCGCCTTAAAATTGTTTATGACTCTCGTTGCTGCCTCTATCTTCCAGTCTTCAAGACTTATCTAGGAAATCAATAAATATTGGACATTGATTAAATATATATGTAGGATCCAACTAACCTCATTTTCAACGACATCGTCCACATCAATCAAAGTTGGGTTTTCACCATCAGAATCATTATCGTCCTATAATATAGATACATCATGCAATAATTTTACAAACCCACAAATAAAGTTTCCAGATACTTGTGCATGTAGTAAAAACCTACCTCCCATAAGTCATCATCTTTCTCGACCTTTTCTTCCTCGTCATCATCTTCCTCGCCGTTATCTTCTTCTTCATCATCTTTCTCGACCTTCTCTTCCTCGTCATCATCTTCCTCGCCGTTATCTTCTTCTTCATCATTTTTCTCGACCTGAGTGTCCTCCAACTTTTCGGTATTACTTTCTTGTTGTACATTTTTTCCTACATCGGTAGTATTTCTAACATGATTGAGTACTTCCTGCAACGAAAAATTAATAAATAAAACTTAAAACTTAGTTTTTTTACACTCGTTACATAATAATTTAATAAATGAAATAATTTTTATTACGTCCCAAGAACGACCATCAGCTCTTTTATAAAAACTTCGAGAAAGTGGGCCGTATGTTCGTTGAACTGCTTCAAGAGGAACTCTTCCGGAAGTGGTGACGACATCTGAACGGGATTTTTTAGTATCCACTGGTGGTTCTTGTCCTTCCTATAAATGGAATTATTATTACTCATTAAATATTAAAATTCTTTACATTAAATTATTATTATTACTTATTATGATTTTTGTAACTATTTTTCCTTCTCACCTCATTTGTTGATCTCTTTGTGGGCGACGTGATTGACGACCAAGGTCCCGTGTTTGATAAATGTATATTTTCTTGTCCCGCACTATCAGGATACTTATTGGACATTTTAAAAAAATTTATGATAGGCGTATTTTTTTTAGTCAAGGGCAGCAGTTGTTTCACAAACCATAACGAACACACAATTTAAATTTGGTGCCTCGCAGTCAGTCATGAGACTGTAAAAATCATAATATCATGCAGAAATTGGAAGAACGGGCTCAAAAGGCGGAGGAAAAGCTTGTCGTGGAAGAAAAGCTGAGGAAAACTATTGAAGACAAGCAGGCAAAAATGCAACAGGAGCTCCAGGAGAAGACGTCCCAGCTCGAGATGGAGAGGGGCTCCCTTGGCGAATTCAACGCAAATTTGCGAAAAGTCACCGCACAGAAGATTGACTTGGAGCATCAATTGTCGGTGAGTCAAGTGACATCATCGTAAATATATCTTTTTTTGCTGACTATGTATGTACTTCTGCACACCTGGGATGGCGTCCCAAATTGGCAATAGTCCCGTCTCAATGCTCTCTCTAAACTGCATTCCACAAATAGTCGAGTTTTTTTTTGCAGCATTGCATAATGTGAAAGTTTTAATGTGTGTCTGCAGGGAATAAAACTGACCATAATAAAGTGTATGAAACGGTAAACTTAAAAGAGTCGTAAAATACTAGATACATTTTGAGGAATGCTTCTGCTGTGCTTTCTTTAGAACCAGGATTTATGTTAACTGCATGTTTGACGTCACTGCTCCAACAAGAAAGTATCAAAATTTGATCTGTCCGAGAAAGAATTTGTTCTATGTAATCTCTGTTCAATATAGTTCAACAACTCCACACTTTGGATCATTTTACGTATACGGTTTTATAAGTGGACGATAGCAATCTTTCTTTCACTCTTCAATCTATTCTATGTATGTACAGAAATAACCTATAGTTTGATGCTTTTGTGGTTTTGTATAGGACACCCAGGACAGATTAACTCAGGAGGAGGAAGCCAGAAATCAATTATTACAACAAAAGAAAAAGCTCGAGCAGGAATTGGTAGGTCTGATCATTCAAGACTTTTGGCAACTCATTATAATAATTATGATATTATGCATTTCTGTCTCTGTCAATTTAATTAACGGGATGATCACAATACTGCATTTTTTACACTTGATTTAATATATAATAATATCCATACAACTCTTGAACTTAGGTAAAAGAAACATTTGACTAATATAATAAAAAACAGTAGCAATGTATACTTAGGTTAACTTGGCCAATATATTTAAATAATTGAATAAATGAACGATAGTCTCATTCAGTGCACAGAAAAATATTCAAAAAAGTTTCTATTAAGCTATTCAGTTGATATTGAGCATCTTAATCATCGTTTGATTCATCAGCAGAACTATCTTCTACGACGTTAATTCCTTTTGAATTCCTGTCTGCTCGTGTGGACGAAGTAGCTTTCTCCTCCTCTGCTGCAGCATTCTCTTCCCATTCTTTAAGGGCAACCAACCCTGATTCCAAGTCTTTCGTAATTGAGAGGGGGTCTTTGACTCCATATATGGCAGACTTTTTATTTGTGCACCCTTTAGCCACCAATTCGAACCAATCCACTGTATTGCCGTCTGAAAGCTTTCTGTTGGGGACACAGCACGAAACCCTCAAATAATCACTAATGGTTCCTCGGTAGTTTAAAGATGATCCATAATAATTCGGGTACTTTTTAGCTGCGTACTCCACAATTTCATTAATTGTTGCTTGTTTCTGGGGATTGAGCATCATGACTTCAGCAGGGATGATGAACCACTTCAGTTTTCCAAGACTAAAAGAAATATATGTATATACATACATTCATCTGCCCATTTACTACAGTGATGTGCATAAGGATAGCAGGTTCGATAATTTTGTGATAACTTTGATAGAAATCCACTAAATTCCTCGAAATTTTACCAAAATACGTGTAACAGCATTGAATTACAATTATGTAAGTATGACATATCAGATACCACAGGGAGAGTTTTTAGACCAAACAAGCTGAAAAGTAGGTGGTGCAAAATGGGCTATCCTTATGCACCTGTACATGTTTACACATACTTTGGTTTAGACCCTCCAACTGCTCTCTTTAAAGGGGCGGTGTTTGAAGAGTTATCCCACTGCTTTCAATCCTTTTGAGGATTAACCTTCCTAACATTTGTTCCATTGGCAAGAATAGTTGTCCCAAATCTCTGCATATAACGAGGTTCTTTTTCTATGTAAAATGAATGATAAATAGAACATGCATCATATATTATTGATAATAGAAAGCAACATATCATTATTACTCTTTCGTTTATCAGTATCCTTTATTTCCTTCAGGTATAGGAAACGCATAAATGGTTTACAATGGCCTGTGAAATGTTGATGCACCCGTTGCTCAGGATTATCAGATTCAATTTGTCCTTTATGACTCATTATCCTGCTAAAGAGGAAGCCGTTTCCTGCTCCGCTTTCTCCAATATAAATCGGACCTTTATATTGCATAGGACAAGCTGGGTTGATGCAGATGATAGCATAAATTCCTTTTCTTGGGTAGTTGCAATTAAAAGGCTGCCCCCCCTTAAAGTTGAGAGGCCGATCTGAATTTAGCCTATTTATTTATTTAAATAATTCGTTTATTGATTCATCATTTTATTACATACTGTGTAATAATACACGATAATAATGACATACATGTTAGGCAAACTTTCACCCTGAAATACATGAGGACAAAGCTCGCAATTCTGACCACATTCTTCAGTCCGTCTTACATAAATTGGTGTACTTTTAAGTACATGATAATCTTCAGGCTCAGTATCGCTGTCGTCACTCTCTTCTGTTCGTGGTGTTTTTGGCGATGGTGCGGCAGACGATGACGATGCACTTTCACTCGATCTCTTTCTCCGAAGTAGTTCATTGTTGTATGCACCTATTTGTCGAGTAGCAGCCGCGATTCCTTCATGAAGCTGTTCCTCACTTAACTCTTGCAAATTAGACATTATTACTATTGCCACTTGAACCACCCACTGAACTAATTAAGTTATATGTTAATTTCAATTGATATTTATTAAGAACACTTGTAAATATATCGATTACTCAGCAGAATTTGCACTTGACTCTCTAGGCGCGGGACAAGAAGGAGATTGAAGATTTGGAATTATCCGTTAACAAAGGTTTTTATTATTCTCTCGTTTACTCTTTTAATCAAAATCTACAATCGGAATTTTTTTATTTGTAGCGGATGGAGATAAAGGTAAGTACGTATAAAATGGTAGTGCTCGAGTTTGGAAATCACTGCACCCTCTTGAAAAGAGAGTACTCTCAGTCAGGAGTGGGAACGAGTTACACATTTACAAATTATTTATTTTTTACATAAAGCTACAAAAGACCATCAGATTCGCAATCTCAACGACGAAATTGCACACCAGGACGAACTTATCAATAAGCTTAACAAAGAGAAAAAGCAGACACAGGAAGTCAACCAGAAAACTGCTGAGGATCTTCAGGTATTCCAATTCCGTTATCTCTTTCCTATTGTTTCCAACTAATTGGATATCGTGAACAAAAAATAACAATTTCCATGTTGTTGTTCTGTTTATGACAATTTTCTATTTACTCTGCGTCTCGTATGCAGGCGGCCGAGGATAAAGTCAATCATTTAAACAAAGTGAAAGCCAAATTGGAACAGACACTGGACGAATTGGAAGACACTCTCGAGCGAGAAAAGAAATTACGAGGCGATGTGGAGAAAGGCAAGCGAAAAGCCGAGGGCGACTTAAAGCTCACTCAAGAAGCCGTCACTGACCTGGAAAGGAACAAGAAAGAGCTCGAGTCAACAATTCAACGGAAGGATAAAGAATTATCCTCTCTCAGTTCTAGTTGAGTTTAAATTATTTAGAAATAACACAATATAACTTCACTTGTGCTCTACCACTCACTTGAATGGTACTCGTTGTCTATGTACATGGAAGTGTTTCATTTGCAATAATTTATTTGCAGAACTGGAAGATGAGCAATCTTTGGTGGCTAAATTGCAAAAGCAGATTAAGGAGCTGCAGGTGAAGAGAAAGTTGCATATATACATTTTCATTATGATTACAAAACTGGTATTCATTTTTTACCCCAGGCACGAATTGAAGAAATTGAAGAAGAGTTGGAAGGTAGGTGCAAAAGGGCTTCTCCCTTTGGCATTCAAAATCAAAAAAAAAAGATAAAACTGAATATTAGGTCAAAAAGTAATACAACTTGTGATTTATCGTTTATAGCTGAACGACAAGCGAGAGCCAAGGCAGAAAAACAGCGATCAGATCTAGCTCGAGAACTCGAAGAACTTATGGATCGTCTCGAAGAGGCCGGTGGTGCAACTGCGGCGCAGATCGAGCTCAACAAAAAACGAGAAGCCGAACTAACCAAACTTCGTCGTGAAGTTGAAGAAGCCAACATTCAACATGAAGCAGCTATGACCAACATTCGTAAAAAACACAATGATGCAGTCACTGAGATGGCCGAACAACTCGATACTCTGAATAAATTGAAAGCCAAGGCAGAAAAAGATCGTCAACAAATGTCCACTGAACTTAATGACGTACGCGCAGCCATGGATCATGTCACTAACGAGAAGGTCGGTTTAGAAAAGCTTAACAGAAATTTGCAACAAGCCATGGGTGAAATTCAGTCAAAGTACGAAGATGCTGTCCGAACCGCTGGAGATCTTGACCAAAGCAAGAAAAAGTTGACATTGGAGAATGGCGACTTGACTCGACAAATCGAGGACGCCGAGTCTCAACTTTCACAACTCAACAAGTTAAAGGTGTCTCTTGCCACACAGCTCGAGGATACTAAACGTTTGGCGGATGAAGAAGCCAGGGAACGAGCCACTTTGCTAGGAAAGTTCCGAAACGTTGAGCATGATCTGGACAACGCAAGAGGTAAATCTGAAAATTCCGATAATCAATTAACAGCTTTTTCGCTTATACGGTTGAACTTGAGATTTTTTCTTCTTCTTTGGAGGTTCGTCTGGTTGTTCATCAGACTCTTCGTCGTCTTGGTCTTGTTGTCCCTCATGCTGACCCTACAATATAATGGTTGATTTATAGAAACATGATTAACTAATTTTTGATTAATCAAAGTTGAGTATATACTTTGAAATGGCGAACAACGTTGTTATAAAACGAAGAGGAGTAAGGGCATCTAGTCGCCGGACATGTAAACGGCTTAAGGTTTAAATGGGTGCAGGCGTGTTCACTATTACAAAAATAACATTATGAACGTAATATTTTATATAACAAACAGACTGAGTTACCGTGTAGGGTTTAACCCATTATTCACTTTCCCACATTTCTGTCCATTTTCTCCAACCCAGGTGCATTTATATTTTGTGGCCTTTGAACCTTCCTCTAATGGGATACTCTCGAAGTGGGCATCGCATTTGCCCGTGTCCTCATCACTGAAATCAGGGATACCGTAGACACTCCGCTTTTGAGGTTCCGCCCCTACGTGAGTATTGCCTCTGTGAACATGTAAGCTCGACGATGTTGCAAACGAACATGGGCAAAGATCACAGGTCAATGCATTGGGACCAGAGTAATGGCATATCTAGACAAATTAATATCAATTGCATTATAAATTCAAATTCAGTGTGTAATAAGAAAAACATTGAGTATTTACTTCCATATGTTGCGCAGGAGTTACGTGATTTTTTGTAAAAACTACGCGACACAATTCACACTTGCGTTCTTCTTGCATCGGTGGGGGTGGACGAGCGTTTTCTAATTTGTCAGGAGGAGGAGGAGGAGGATTGTTAAAGTAATCCTCTCTAATTTGAGGAAGACGAGGAAGAAATTTTCGCAAGTGTTCATAAATCGTTCCCGTATGTTTGGCTAACACTACTTCTGCACTATACGGGTCACGTGCGCAGAGAACTCCAAACTTTCTCCGGATAACGGATTTAAGTTGGTCAGCGACCCATGAATCATCAGAATATATATGGAAAGAGTATGTCCTTTTGGAAACCACCTTCCACCCCCATTGTTGTTCCAGTTCTCTGTAAATTGCTCATTTTGTAATTTTAGTTTACAATGCGAACCATTTGTCACTTACTTTACTTTGCAGCCGTCAAGGTTTAAAGGGTCGCTATTAAAGTTTGAGGTAACCAATCCTGCCATGCTCACAAGACAGACATCCCCGGTGACCTTATTCACCGTCATATCCCGCATATCCCCATGTCGATCAAGTAGAAGGGAGAAATAAATTTGTGTTAGATTCTCTAAATAATACGGGGAAATTAAGTTTGGCTCACAAATTAGATAAGGTTAGATTTAAAAATAATTCAACTCACTTGTAATGTCCTGTTCTGTCATAACATTCATTTGAATGTTGTCGCTAGCGTCCCTCCAGAAAAAAAGATCACCCATTTTAGGTTCCTGCCGGAGTAATTCACTGTCAGAAATCATTTTAACAATATTTTTTTAAAAAAAGAACAACAATAATACTAAATAATGAAGAGACAAAGGCTCATAAGATTTCCCGGTTGAAGAATGCAGTATCTCATAATTCCCACTTTTTACAGAACAGTTGAACGAGGAGGTGGAAGGGAAGGCAGATTTGCATCGGCAACTCTCAAAATCTAATGCTGAGGCGCAGTTATGGAGGGCAAAATATGAAACTGAAGGTGTCGCAAGGGCAGAGGAGCTTGAAGAATCAAAGTGAGATTTTAATTTACTAAACTATATTGTCATCCAGGTTGAATGTTAATTAACATTAATTAATCATTTTAAGGAGAAAACTCCAAGCCCGACTCCAGGAAGCGGAAGAGACCATCGAGTCCCTCAACCAGAAAGTTATCGCTTTAGAGAAAACAAAACAACGACTTTCCACCGAATTAGAAGATATGCAACTTGAAGTTGAACGCGCTACGGCCTTAGCCAACCAATTAGAAAAGAAGCAAAAATACTTTGACAAAATTGTTGCTGAATGGAAAGCAAAAGTGGACGATCTTGCTGCTGAACTTGACGCTTCACAAAAAGAGTGCAGAAACTATTCGACGGAGTTATTCCGACTACGTGCCCTATTCGAAGAGGCTCAGGAACAGCTCGAAGGGGTCAAGCGAGAGAACAAAAATCTGGCCGAAGAAATTAAAGACCTCCTCGATCAGATTGGTGAAGGGGGAAGGAACATTCATGAAATTGAGAAGGCCCGGAAACGACTAGAAGTTGAGAAGGATGAGCTTCAGGGTGCATTGGAAGAAGCAGAATCTGCTCTGGAACAGGAGGAAAATAAGGTCCTTCGTGCCCAGTTGGAATTGAGCCAGATCAGGCAAGAGGTTGATCGACGAATCCAGGAGAAGGAAGAGGAGTTTGAAAACACTCGAAAGAACCACCAGCGAACTATGGAATCCATGCAGGTATGTAAAAGCTTGTTGAATGAATCATTTCCATTGTAGCGCATATGTTCAGAGCTAATTTTCCCGGCCGGGTAAGCATTGTTTCAAAATAATTTCGTATCTTTATTAATAATTTCACAGGCCAGTTTGGAAGCGGAAGCCAAAGGAAAAGCTGAAGTGAGTCCTTAATTATTTGAGTAATTATTTCTCAATGAATTAACTGCTTAATTAAAATCTTTCTAATCTAAGGCACTGCGAATGAAAAAGAAGCTGGAGGCCGACATTAACGAGTTAGAACTCGCTTTGGATCATGCAAACAAGGCATGCGCCGAAGCACAAAAGAGTATAAAGAGGTGAGTTCTTTTACTGAGGAGAATGTTAAATTGAAAATATTCAATACGTGTATATGTAAATTTTTGTGATCAATACGAAGGTATCAACAACAGCTCAAAGAAACTCAGCAACAATTGGAAGAGGAACAGCGAGCAAGAGACGAGGCTCGAGAACTTCTGGGGATGGCAGAGCGACGCGCTAACGCCTTAGCCAACGAACTTGAGGAGGCTCGAACTCTGCTGGAGCAGGCTGATCGTGCGAGAAGGTTGGCAGAACAAGAGTTGGGCGATGCTCATGATCAACTGAACGAACTTGTGGCTGCCAATGGATCTCTTGCTGTAGCAAAGAGGAAATTGGAAGGAGAGCTTCAAACTCTTCATGTATGTGTTTTCTAGTATTTGTTAACATATTTTGTTTGGATGTTACCTATGTAATAAATGATTAATTTAGTCGGATTTGGAAGAAATCCTCAATGAGGCCAAGAACTCTGAAGAAAAAGCCAAGAAAGCAATGGTTGATGGTACGTACAATTGTAGAAAATCCTAGATTTTACTCAAAGCGTCCCAGTGATGTTTAAAAACGCCTTTGAAAATTATAATACTTTAAAGTGGAAATAATTGTGTTAGAAAATTACTATTAATAAAACATTATTTTGAATATTTTATAGCTGCACGATTAGCTGACGAGTTGAGAACGGAACAAGAACATGCCCAATTACAAGAAAAGGCACGAAAAGCAATGGAACAGCAAATGAAAGAACTCCAAGTTCGATTAGAAGAAGCTGAGCGAGACGCATTGAAGGGTGGGCGCAAAATGATTGCCAAACTCGAAGAAAGAACTCGAAGTTTAGAACATGAGCTGGATGGGGAGCAACGTCGACATGCAGAATCGCAAAAGAATGTTCGTCGAGCAGAACGACGCATTAAGGAGCTGGCCTTCCAAGCCGAAGAAGACAAGAAGAACCACGAGAGAATGCAAGATTTAGTTGAAAAATTGCAGCAAAAAATTAAAACCTACAAGAGGCAGATTGAAGAAGCGGTAAGGAATGCTTAATAAAAAGAATGAAAAATTTATTTTTGATTTATCTTTTTTTACATTTTAGGAAGAAATTGCAAGTTTGAATCTCGGTACAGTTTCTATCCTCGCACCTCACTTATTTATAACCAAAACAATGACTGATTTGCATTGGTATTAATGTATAATGATATTTTTTACCTTCAGCTAAATTCCGAAAAGCCCAAGCAGAACTAGAAGAAGCTGAGGAAAGGTCCGACCTGGCAGAACAAGCATTGGGGAAAATGCGAGCCCGAGGAGGTCGTGCCGGAAGTGCTGCTCGTGCTTTAAGCCCTCCGGTAACGTAACTTAAAGCTTTATATCCATACTATTTATTATCTGTTGTGAATGGATTTTCTCCACATTTAGTAAGACTATAGCTTCGGCTTCCTCAAAAAAATCAAAGTATTAGGATAAAAATATCGTAAGTATGAATTTGTGAGTGGGTGTAGAATATTTCCGTGTGCAGTTTTCGTAGACGTTCAAAACCAGCAGAGACAACAAACTTGAAGGAGTTTAAATAGAATAGAATTTATGAGTAAATTTATGGGTAAAAAAATTGAGAATTAATCAGTGCTATTATTTATCCTTTCAAGCCTCATCGCCCTCAACCGCGACCGCTTCCGATGTCCAACGCTGCCGACGTGTTCCGTCCATTTGATGACTCTGACGCCTAAAAATGCAACTAATAATGTTCCTTATCAGCAAGAAGAGGATGCCAAAAATCTCTACTGCTTGTTGCCTTACAATGCTAACATCTCAAAATACCTAAACCTTATTTTTCCGCAATTAGTTATTTCTGTTATTAATTTCACCATTCAATCAGAATATCTAAATTAGAAAATTTCTAGTCAAAAGAGTGGCCTGTTATTATATATCATCAGATTATAATAATATTAGAATTTGGTTCAAAAACGAATAAATAAATTATGGTTTGGTTGAAAAATTGTTTCTACATAATTTAATTTTCTTTCGCTTACTGTGTAATTTAGATCAAATCTACAATGATATACTATTCTTCAAGGAGTGATGTTCTTATATACATGAAATTAACTATAAAATTATTACATTTCCACAAATGGATTACGGTGATGGCAGCAATTTTACTGAGTTACTGTGTAATAATGTCAAATTAATTATTGCTTGCTACTCATGACCAGCCAGGAATTTTGATAGAAATCCTTGAGGCTTTGGTTCGACCGTCTCCTTAAAATAGCTCATAATGTGGGACTTCTGCTTCCAGATTTCTACCGTTTCTTTCAGCTCCATTTGACCCTGTAAAAATTTAACAAGAACATGTATTGCATTAATTTTTGATGATAAAACGAACAATTCACGTTCAATTCGAACAATGCTAATTTTTATAAATTATGGATTAATTACCTTTATGACTAGCATGTCGATGACCCGAATGTCCTTAATGTGCCTATTCTTATCAAACTCTTCCCTCAGCTTTTGTCGGCACTGTTCCACATTCTTGGGGATGTCGTACTCCAAAACTAAAAAACAAGGGTACAATTCAAAATTATGTAAATTATGGATGTTTAATTTTTATTCAAACAGAAAAATTTAGAATAGAGCAAATAGTATTACGAGTTCTGGCCTTATCTTATAACTTACCCACATAAGGCATCTGTCTATACCAGGCTTTGTAAAGGTTGACCACACGTCGCCGAGCATCTGCCTTATCCAGCGACAAGATTGGTTTCACTTGTCTCGCCACACTTTTAATAACTTTGGAGGATCCTCCGCCGCTGCACGCCATGTCGATTGATCGACCACACCACAAATTTTGTAAATCTATACAAGTCAAATTATTTAAAGTTAATCTCAATTAAATACTTTGAATGTTTTGAATTTTGACGAATCTTGTTTTTGTTAGATCAAGATTTTTACTCTCTGCTGTTCCCACGTCTCATACACCGAGGAGCAGATGGGTCATGTGCGGCAAAGTGCAAGGAATGAAGGACACAGGAAGAATTTGACTGAAATTAAATTAAATTAAATTTATCGTGTCAACATTAATTTGCTAAAATTCAGGTAAGTAAAGTCTTTACTTTTGGGACTTCTGGAAAAATTTTAAAAGTTTCTGTTTGTCTTATTTAGAATCGATTAGGCTGAAATTCGTAGATTGACTGAACTGGAACAATGAAAACACATTAACCAAGAATAATTTATAATTACTTAATATTTGTAAGCATTTCACAGTTTTAAACGGTATAAACTGGTTTTAATTATGCCATATATGATTTCTTAGGTCGCAGTTAAGGTATACAAAATGGACCACTTGGAGGAAATCAGACTCCGCCTGGAATGTCAAGTCAACGAATTTTTCAGCTCGACCATCCCCAATGAACGAAAACAGCAAATTGGCCACCTTCTCGAGAACTTTTCGAAACAAGAAGGTTCCTGGAAGCAGGCCCTTTTCTTTCTCTCCAGGCAGGAATCTTTCTCCAATGATTTTTTGTCCATGTTTTGCATTACCGTGATTGAAAACTCAGTTAAAGGAAGATGGATTACAATGTCGTCACAAGAAAAGACCGAGCTACACACAACTTTGTACAACTTTTTGATACAACATGCCTCTGCTTCGTCACACGTAAAGTGTCCTCATTTCGTCCGGAATAAGATTATCAAGATCTTAACGGACGTAGGAAAATTTTCATGGCCCCGAGACCACCCACAGTTTTTAGAAACTGTGTTAAAGGTATAAGGTCAATTTTATTATTTTACGTAAGATTAAAGTCAACAGTTATAAATTATTGTATTATTTAGATTACGGCCAACGATGACACTGTCGTAATTGGATTACTATTTTTGAAAACTATTTCGGAAGAATGGCCATCATGTAAGGATGAAATTAGCACTGATCGCAAGTTTGAGTTGAAATTTCACTTGATAAAAGAGCTTAAGAAGATATTCGACCTGTTATTCCGTAAGTCATAAGTATTCATAGCTTTATTACTCTCAAACAATTATGCTGAATCGTTTTAATGCACTTTTGTTTTTATGCAGAAATTTTGTCTACTGGACTGAAACATTATGTTAGCGTTCCACAATCAAGATCTGGAACGGGTAGTTTGTCGCCAGCGTTAAAAGAAGTTATTGCCTTAGCTCTGGAAACGTGTGCTCACTTTTTCACTTGGATCCCTTTCGATGGTTCGCTGTGTTCTTCAAGCACCCAAATGTCACAAGCCACCGAAAAAAGTGCTCTTTTTACGCCACAATTAATCACTGTACTGTGCGAATATGCATCGACTGACACGAGATTGGTAGAGGTAGGTGTAACAATTTTTACGTTAATTTTGTTTTATGCATATGTGTAATAAATATTATGTTTGTTGCATGTTTTCAGACTGATACGGACGCACTAGAAAATTTATCGATTTTGGGGCTCAATGTTCTTAACGAACTTTTGTATAGAAAATACGTGCCAAAAGAGTTGGACCAGCATATCAATATAATAACAACGTTTGGTGTCACGTTGTTGTGTAAAATGTTTACGGGAATTGGGTCTAAAACAGTCACCCACAAGTGAGCGCAGAGTAGTATGTAATTGTAATTATTGATTGAGTCGAATATGATAATTATTTATTTAATATTGTTTGTAATTATTAGATATCTGGAAAAAGGAATCGAATTACTATGTCTGATCGCAAATTCGTATTTCTTCCGTTATGACAAGCAAAGTTCGCGACAATTTATTGCACTGCTGCTGAATTTTACGTTCGCTCATACTGAGACTGTCTTCTACTACGAGTGCTTAGAGATTTGGAAACTTCTATTGGATCATCTCATTAGTGAAGTTCCATTCGCAAATTTCTTAAGTCGGGAAGAATTGTTGGATAATTTCAAACCATATTTGCTCGATCTGGCTCTTGGAATCGTCCGCAGCACTGCCAAGTTTGATATTGATGATGATGACGAATACCATGAAGATGAGGTAATTTTGTAGCCGGTTTTGTTAAGGCCTAAATGACAATATATATAATTTGTGTTTATCTTCCAGGATGATGAAGACGTCGACACTCTAAGCCTTTCGAAAAATGTGGATGTCTTAGTAAAAATTGGAGAACTATTACCAACGGAATCTTTGGAACGAGTGACATCTACATGGACTTCATCTTGTCAATATTTTGAAAGTCTGCTAAACAAGATGGACCAATCCAAGACTTTAATTATGTTGGAGAATGAGACTGATATTAAGCATTTTAGTTTTGTTGTTCAATTAATCGGCAGGTAGGGTTAACATACCAACCATAATTTCACTATTATCACTTGTTATCACTGATTTGTTTCAGAATTGCCGAAATATTTTATGGCGACGTTTTCAAAAACGAACTCGACCGCGGTAAAACTCTAGTGCAAGAACTCCTTGGACTGATGATCATCTCAAAAAACTTTTATTTCCTACGATCGTCAGAAGTCCTTATTCAAGCGTAAGCCTGCTCTCTTATAAAAAGTTCCATAATTATTTTTATACAGCATATTTTTATATGTATGTACGTGATATTTAAAATTTCCAGAAATTGTGAAATTGTCTACGCGCTTCGGGCCTGGATCGTATGGATAGCACGCTACTATTCTGAAGTAATTTTGACCGATTGTACGGTCAACGATGCTACGAGTTTTTACGAAATTCTCTCCGTCTCAGCCGACTTTCTCCGTTTCTCCCTCGATAACCATGTCACAATTACCCCCAACTTAATTTTAGCAAACGCCAACTTTTTCTCCATGTTAGTGAACTGTATTCGCACCCCACACATTTTCAAACTGCCCTGGGTTCAGACTCTGATCCATCAGATTCTTCCACTTCGTGAATCCCTACAAGAAGACACGTTTCGAGTTTTAAACAAGTCTGTAGCGATCCTTCTCCTCCTCCCTTGGCAAAATTCGACCACAGCTGAACAAGAATGGGAATTCAGAACCGGACTTTATAACCAATACATGAAGAATCTCATGACTGACATGTTATCGTCAGCAAACAGCTCTGATATCCCAAAATTGCTGGGATCAATTCGTGTCTTGAATGATCAACTCGAAATCCTGCAGATGGAGTGTTCCGTTTCTAAGAAAATTTGCTGGAGCGTGTTTCAAGAAATTGTACTATTTATGCACAAATTAATCCCAGTCTATGTAAATCGGGCAGACGTTAGTGAAGAGATTCTCAACTTTTTCCTTAAAGTCATGGAGGTTTTACGTCAGCAAGGTAAACTTACACCTAAGCAAATACCAAAGTTGTACCTGCTTACAAAATATTCAAAATTTACGACATGTTTTGTATAGCCGGTGCTCAGTTCTTTGAAGAAACTGTTCGAATTTTTCTTGGCTTATTCACATCTGCAAATATTATCACGAATATTATGAAAGACGCAGATTCCTCTACCATTGTGATTGAAAAGTAAGTTATACATACTGATCATATGGAGATTTTAGGCAATGTAATTAAATTGTGCTTACAATTTTCAGGTTCCTAAAAATGTTGGAATATATGATTAAAGACCCAAGTCCGTCATTCAAAAAATTTCTTCCCGATTGTCTCTCCGTAGCCTTGGATAACATCTACCCCGTCCTCGCCCAGCGAACCAGTCCAGATATGAAGCTTGTATTTTTTCAATTTATTCGTGACGCAGTAAATTATCGTTGGAATTATTTTTTCCCTGGATTCCTCTACGCTGCTCCGTCCGCGTCCGGTTCTCCTTCTTCCGTATCGGAGGAAGATGCCGAAATCAGCCGACGACTTTATCAGATATTCGAAACAATAGGACAGTCTTTCCTCCAATCGGACTTGGAAGTGTTCCGCTTTAATCTAAATACGCTCGCTATTTGGAATCAAAAACATCAAATCTACTCGAGGATGGTGATCGACTTGAAAATGTTTGACGGCTTTATGAGTTTATTAATCCAAGTTTTGGCCAGCAAATCACACGACTTACTCAAGGAAGAAATTGCATTCAATTTGTATGAAATGTCATTGGTGGATTTTACCCGATTTTGGCAAGTATTCCTAATCCAAACGCTACAAAAGGATTTTCCCGTGTTATCGCCCGATCAACGCTTGTTTCTAGCTGGAAAATTCAAACCAAAAGAGGGATCAAGTAGTAGTAACACTTCCCGCAGTGGGGATAAGATCGATCTGACCGGATTTACAATGTCACTTTACCGATTTGTCGATGATTTGCGGTATTATCATTTTTACGATGAGTGCATGAAAGCTGCTAATAATGGCAACAACAACGCGGCGACGGGGCCGCAACAGCAACAACAACAAACTATCGTGGGATCACCTTAATTTATATTGTTTATTAGAATTTACATAGTTAATATTCTGCTTGGTCGAATAACTTACTACTGATTATAGTAACTCGAAGATATAAATTATGTCTGTACAAAGTAACGTATATAGGGAAAAATGCATTCATGATAAAACAAGTCAATTTTGCTATGCGCAATTTTCATTTCTATTTTTAATTTCCGCAATGTCCGCTTATTTCGTGTACTACTTACGTTCCACATTTATAAAACTCATTCCTCGCAATAACATTTAGTTTGATTTTAATGTTTTGTTTATCCTAGCCGAGAAATTTTATAACTCTATATTTTTAGCAGTTTAATTTAATTATGCATTTAGTTCATGGCATTACTAAAAAGAATGATAATGAAACTGTATAGCGATTAATAGAACTGGTCAATAAATACTTTATTTCTTCTATAAAAATCTGTACTGCATTACAATTTAAATTATATTATACTGGTCGTCCTTGTTCATATTATGATTTCGAAAATTATGCAAATTCAGACATGAAATTAAAGTCTAAAGAAGACCTCGTACAAAAATTATCCCGAAACTATTTTTACAAGTAGTTGTAGTACCCTCCATAATGTGCGGCAGGAAGGTGATTCGAGTAATGATAAGCTGGCCCCGCTACGAGGGCAGGCTGTTCATACACGATGGGTTCGACATGCTGGTGGAGAACGGGGGCAGCGACAGGGACAGGAACATAGGTCAGATGTTTGCTCACATCACTAAAGGACAAACAGAAATAAACATTCACCACCAATTTCAGATAAGACATGGAATATCACATCACTCACTTTCTCGATACCGCGACGGAAGACGAATGTCCATCCTGGTACGAGTACGCTACAAACATTACAAGAACAAGTTAAAAATACATATCAAGCATTAAATTGTGGGCGTATCGCTACAAACCTGTGGCTTGATTGCCCAGGGCATCACGTAACACCGTTGTCTGCGAAGATGGTGGATAACCGTAGAAAAAATGCCCCGGTTTTCCCTGGGCGAACCCCACCCACAAGGCGAGAACTCCAACAATTATCTGGATTATGAAATAAGAGAAACACTTAATTTTGTGTCCGCTCTCATGCAGTCACCACTTACCACTGAGGTTTGCATGTTTCTTAATTTCCACAAATTTCCAAAATTTTCTCACTATTTGTATAATTCACTTGTCACTCACACACGAATAAGTCTCAGCTATGAATGATACCTTCGGAAGGAAGTTGTCCAGTATTTATACACTTGTTTCTTTACGAAGATCTTTTAATGAGTGGCGTGGCTCTTCTAACTTGGTAAAATACATGAATGGGTGGATTACTTATTATCATTATATTGCATGGACGAATATGAAAGAGGTTTACCACACAATTGATAGCGTTATAAAAAAAGTCAGCAGGGGTATCAGCACAACGTTATGCAGTTTAATAACGCTGCATGCATACAACAATGGTCCGTCAAGTCCATCCCAATCTATCCCACATCTCTGAAGAGGTTCCGTTTATGGGCGTAATAAGATACGCACACGGCAAACAAAAACCAAGCTTATTTGCTGAAATTGCAATAAATACAAAGCTGAATATTCGTATTCTATTTCATGAAAATCTATATACGTGGTTGGGTTTGTTTGTTTCTTTTTGTCTCATCTCATTTTATAAAGCTCAGAAATCAAATGTTACACATATTTATTTAATAATAAAAATATATAATTTTGTAATAATTTAGATCATTTTTTATTTATTTTGGAAGTATGTTCGATTATGTGTGTACTTGTAACTTGACCGTGGCGTTTCGCATTACATACTCAAAATTACCAATCCCCATTTGGTTGTGAATTTGATACACAAAACCGTAATAAAAGTTGAGGCTGAATGAGATTATTGAGTCCAAAACATAAAATATGACCATAATCATAGTGCAAGTCTGATGTAATAATCGATCAGCAATGTTTCACTACCACAACCAATATCAATCAGCTACCTACGTGAATTCCAAATAAAGGATGCACTTTATTAAAGAATGATTAATAACTGCCCAAATTTAAGACTTTATCATTATCAAACATTTTTTATTGGTGGCTTTATCTGTATAATGTACATAAATACATGTCGGTAATTTCGATTAAGTAAATTTCCTGCAAATATGTAATTAAGTACTCGTTCCGATTCACCACCTACGCAAGTTCAACAAAAAATGCATAAAGTAAATAAACACTTATCAACGATAATATATAAAAGCCATAAGAAATTGGATAAGTAATTCTGATGGAAGTTCGTAGAGCGAACAGAAGATTTACATTTTATTTGGGCGTTCCCAACCCCATTCTTGTCTGAGAAGTTATTTCCTCACTTAAAATGCACATTTCAAGTTCAGGTTTAATTAAATGGATTTAATTGACAATGTAACCTTCCCAATTTCACTTTTTTCTTAAAAATTATCCTACTGATTATCCTACTGTATACTTGCTTATTATTGCACGTAACCACATATTATGTTATTATATGCATTTCTTGCTATTTTTTGAGACGCATCAAGGTGTGAAAGAAAATGCCATAATTTTGGAATACTCGCAGAAAAAGCATTGTTATTTTTTTCTTGAAGATGGACTTGTACGATAAAGATGCGTTAATTCCGTTGTTCTTTTCACGCAATGTCAGTCAGAGATTTCCTTCATCCAAACTACAATTGTATACACTGGACCAAAATAAGTAAGTTAAAAGCGTGGTTAAACAAATGAATTGACATCGCATTGTTAAAATTGCACTAAAAAATGAACAGGCGGATATACCTGTAAAAAAATATTTTGTAAAAGACGTAGTTAGCTTAATAACTTCACTTATTTTGCAGCATTTGTCACAAATCTTACTCGTACAACTACTAAACTAATTTGCAAGCGATTAAGAAAAATATATTGCAAGCTGTTTAACCATTTAAAAACTGTGGAATATAGAAGTGTCAAACCTTCTTAACGATGTCATTAGCACTATCTTGGTATTTCAATGACAAATAATTTCATAAAAAAACCTGAACTTTAAACTTTTGGCCGAAAATTGAATAATCATTAATTAATCAAAAAAGCAATAGAAATAAACAATATTTCACTCCATTCCGCCTTAATTGAAATAGAAGACAATTGATTACGTTTTGATTAGGTCACACTTTTTAGTTTTTTGTGCATACTGTTTTTCTGTACTTATATATGATTCACGTTTCGTTTCTGTTATGGCGTGACCTTTCAAGACCTTACTGTAAGACAAACACAGCGTGCTCAATGCTCAAGCTTGGTTAGGTTAAACGAGGCATGAAAGGTTTTGGACGCTTCCTTTTTTTCACTATTCTATATGCGATTTAACAAATCTAATTTATCTATTTTTTGAGTAACCATTCAATCTAAAGTAGCAAATCTACTACGCACAAATTACCATTTTTCTCTGTAAACATGGAATACGAATCGTACTATAAATATAGCCTGTAAAATCCTAAACAAATAAACGCCACACGTTACACAAGCGTTTCGTATTGTGTATTTCTGACCACAATGGGAACCATCTTCCATCCCCGAGGCTGCCTTAATTCAAAGACCTCGCAGAATGTCATGAATGCTAAATAACCAACCAACGTGCTAAAATTGAGGCACGCTTTGTTTCAGATTGGTTTTGAAAGGTTATGCATGCAGATATAATAAATCACTCGTCTTGTCTCGTAATTATTATCCATTTGTAGGTTTAATTAGGCCAGGTTTAGTAGACTGGCCAAGGCAAGGCAGGCATAAAAAACTAGAACGTATGTATTTATGTACATATTTACATACGTAATAGTCGGAAGCAAGGTTTAGTAAGTTATAAAATACTGACTGGAAATGTGCACGATTTTCTGCATATGTAGACCTTAAGAAAATAACTTTTAAGCAAAATCGGAAAGCACAATCCCTCATCAAATTTTTGCACTAATTTGCCAAACAAAATTTAAATTACTAGGCGTGTACCGATCCAAACTAAAGACCAATTATGCACATACCCCTTTAAACGTACACCATATATTATTGTCACGCTCTTTGTCGAAGAGACACCAATTTTCATGACAAGTAATATTCTGCGAAAAAAAGTTGATGATAATGTCTCCCATTAAAAAATAACTCGAACAGAATTAGAGGCCACGTTACGAATTACTACTCCAATTATTATTTAATCACAGAAGAATTGTAAGTGTGATTATTAAATCCGGATGACTACCACATTTTATTGAGCTCAAATTTATAGTTAAATGCCATACCTCATAACCAATCCATCCATTATTATTGCATTACATACAAACAACAATTCAATTCAATTCGGCAGCCTCCCAAATTTATTAGCAATCTTCTTGCGCCCAGTTTTTCTTGGCATTACGAATCGTCGTCTGTCTAAAATTATTATCTTTTTTTATTTATTACTCATTTAGAGCTGTGATTTAATTTTCGACTTGCAAGGGTAAATAAGTAAACCGAAAGGATAGCAGCTCAGCCCTTCCTCGGATGACAATAGGAAAAAGCACGTCTGTAAAAGATGCAATGCAAGGTAACTAAAACTCTTCTATAACTGACCACGATGTTATTTAGCTCATTTTCTGTAATGAGACGACGAGGCAGTGGTCTCTGGTCTGGTGGTGGGTGATTAATAATTAATAATGAAAAAAGAAGTCTAATAAAGCGTGAAGGTGAATGTGCTCAAAGGGTTTAATTTTATTTCTTCCACTTATTACACTTATCCATCTACTCACAAATACAAATTGGGCATTGTAATCAAGTGCACAATGAAGTTAATCATGACTGAATGAGTGCGATGATTTACGCCGCAATTTATGGAAAAGTGTATTTCTAAACGTGTAAATATTTTGATTGGAAGAATTCATAAATAGTTTAGACAGCATTCAATTTTGAGATTGTGATTTTAAAGGGAAGAAATTGTTTAGGTGATATTTTTAGATAGACTTGCACATATTTGCTCTTGAGGTGTTACGTAACTTTTAATTTGACAATTTGGCGTAAGGGCATATGCCCCATTTTTCGTAATGGTCGTTTAAAAAAATTCGAGATTTAAAAATAATGTCATTCATATTTTAGAAAATCTCATTTTTTTGAAGTACACAAATGTCTAAGTTGTCACCATAATTTGTCTTTTCTTTCCTTGTTTTTCCTTTTATTTCGTCCATGCGTGCGTACAACTAATTTAGTTCGTCTCATTGTTACAATTTTTAATTTGGACCAGAAATGGATGGACAAATTGTGCTATAATTGTTTTCCTAGTGCTTTTGTTGACAGCTGAATTGAATTTTATTATTTGTAATAAGTACGTGATGAATGCACAATTCATGGCGACGATGACTCAGATTCCGATGGACATTCATCAACAGGAAGCGAAACATGAATGAGAAATACGATATTTAAATCATGAACGAGATGAACGTGAACTTGACTCTTTTATTAGTGGATCGAAATACACGTTATGTTAACAAAGAAAGAAAAGACGTTGATTGAAAATTGCTATTATTATCGACAGAAATAGAAACATTCGTCTTAATCAAGTCCCATTTTCGCTGCTAGTATCACGAATTACTGATAGTTGTCACATTCTATTACAAAAAACGGTACTTGTAAATGCAAACTAGTACACAAATTAAGTTAGTGTTATACATGTTTGTTAAATCAGAATCTATTATTTGCTTTGATAAGAAATTGTAAACACTGATTTTTAGAAGCTAAACCGGAAATTGCATCAATTATTATGCATATAGCATAATATTCCTTTTGTTGATATACATACTTTACATTTTACTTGAAAGAAGGATGCATAGCGTATAGAAAAAAATAAATAGTATGCACTTTGCATAATTTGTATATCAAGAATTCGACCATTTTTCATATAAAAAGATGATCTTGAGCAAATATAAACTAGGAAATGATTTGTGCAAGAAGCTCAGCAGTCAAGTTGCATCAAAAGAATAAGAATTCCATTTGTTACGGATTCACAGCATGGCTTCTCATGAAAAGCCAAATTAGAGCGTGTGCTTTTAAAGGTCACAAAGTCCGTGGAATTTTGCGGTTTGACATGAATTCTCCATTAGCACTCATTTACATACGTACAAATATATTTGTCAATTCACTACCCTTCTGACGCCGTGCTGATTACATCATACAGCGTTTCATGACTTGGAGTCTTATATTCCAACAATAAATCCTCCTCTTCGCGACTCTCGGCGTAAAATTCCTTCGTGTTGCTGAACAAAGTAATGGCTGAAGAGGAGTTATCGTGTGAAATGGTCGTCATCGAGGATACTTTGGGTTTGACGGGAAGCACGATAATGTTCTCAAATTCACGAGATGTTTTAGGTGATGGGGACCTTTCCACTTTTTCTGCTACAGATTCACTTTGTTCTTCTTCACCTTCGTCTTGACCCTCTGGATATGCGACTGGTTCAGGAAACTGGATTTGTCCCGTGTTGACATTTTGGTCGTCGTCATCGTCGTCACGGTCGATATTTTGAATAATTTCTCGAGTCTTTTCAAACATGTTTGCCTCCAGGAGTCGTACTCCTTTGTAAAATGCTTTGGATGATTTTGGTTCTGAAATGCATTGTTAATTTGTATTATGCAAATTTAGCTACCGAAATGTATTTATGGTGTTGACCGATTTATAATAATTTGCCCTTACTAAATTCAGTCATGTCGTCCAGTGCTCGAATATTCGCCAAGACGCAAGAGGGATATGGACCCTGCCAAATTCCACGCGTTTCTTGGTCTCCGTTTGGAGAATAACTTTTGATATTTTTGGCCTTACGCGTCATTTGTACCCAATGTCGGAAATACTTTAATTGAAGGAAAAGTCTTCTGTCCTTCCGGTTGGAGGTTCCTTCCACGGTAAGCTCTACGTTTTTCATAAATATTGATGAAATTACATATGTAAAATTAGTACTGTTTTATGTACATATGTACCAACCCTGCAATTTCTTCAGGTTTTCCCATTCACGCCAATTTCTCGGCACAGTATGGTCCAAGTCGTCAAAACAACAAATTTGTGACTTGTGCTTTAAGGTCCAACTTTTAAACTCTGCTTTAATTGGTGCTTCCAAATGGATGGGGATCCTTGAATGGCGTTTCTTTTCGGGAAGACTCTGTAAATGCTCTGCTATTTCGCCGCTACCATCCGTCTCGAACGAGTCGCGATCTTGTTTGAAGGATAATTTTAATAAGTTTACTTTCAAAAGGCATAATTTTAATAATTTTACTTTCAAAAGGCATAATTTCAAGGAACTCGTCATCCTCGTTGTCGTCATCATCATCGTCAAACAAACTTCTCCGATCGATACAAGTCAACACTTTTCCTGCAATTTCTTCCGCATATTTTTCCCTCAGCATGCTGTGGTGACCTCGTCTCGGTACCTCGATGGGGACAGAGTCACGGTAAATCCTTGTCTTTGTGCGTCTGTGTAAGACATCAAGTTAGGCAGTTATTTTAAATACCATACTACATTTCGAATTTCGTCAACTCACGGAATCGAAACCTTTGTCATGTTCTTCAAAGATGGACAACATTCTTGCAACTCCTCTCGTAAAATGCCCGCAGCTATTTTTCTTTGATCCATCCGCTTTTCGTAACCTTCGTTTGGAACAATACTCACTTTTTTGGGGGGCGGAGGAGCTTCCATTTGTTTCTGTTATAGCTTAAATCGTTCTAAATACACCTTAATTGACAATAGCAGAGACCAATTAATTAAACAAACCTTTCGCTCTACAATACATGTCTTCGCAAAGTCGACAAGTAACGCTTTAACGGCATGTTCAACTTGATAGTAGTCGGAATAAGTGCAAAGAAGAAATCCTTGCTCGTCTATGGCACCGGTCCCTTTGAGTAAAAATTCTGCATTCGGTTCTTGCAAATAATCTTCGATATTTAGGTCCAGGTTGGGACAGTAGGTCGGACTAATCCTCTTTTGTTCAGCCTCCGTTTCGTCCGCATCGTCCAAATATTTTGTGATTTCTTCCACCAATTTCTGCGTAGTTTTATGATGCCTTCGAGTCTACGGGTAGAAATTATGTATACAAGAAAGACAAAAGTTGTCTCTTTAGTTGACCTTTGAAATTTAGCCCACATAAAAAAAAACACACCTCATCATCCGTACCCGTGAGCGTGGGATAACTCAAGTCGCCATGTAACACTGCACACAGCGATTGCGTTGGGGTCGGATGGATACCATGTTGGAATTTTGGATTGCAACTTCGCTCATAAGTTTCTGGGATGAGTCCCTTCTCAAACTTTTCGATTAGAAGGTCCATCGCTTCCTTGCATTTTGCATCGACTCTGAGCAATTATTTAATTGGTTTGATAAATTGAAAATTCGGTAAAAATTTCCGCGACCAAACCAACCTTTGCATCAATATTTCTCCCGAACTTGTTCTACGGGGAGGTTTCGTTGGGCGTGGGTCTGCTCTGCAAATCCATTTCAGATTCGGATCCACATCTCCTGGAAGAACAACGCCCTGTTCGCCCAGGTTCACAGGGACTTTGGTCACCTGATGCGTGCAGTCCTGACAGTCGAAGATGGCATCCTCTACTTTAATCTTTTCACAAGTCTGATTCTGGCAAGAAATTAATTCTCATCTTATGGACAGAACTTGGTACGATGGAAATCATGTAATTTGTGTACCGGGAGGTTTATGGGGGTTGAGAGTTTGCGAATTGACTTAATTCTTTTTACAGAGACAACTGACGGGCTATGTGTCACTTCACCTTTGAATGTGGCGTAATACCAATCTGGCAAATCGTCATCATCATTTTTCTTGGCCGCGGCGGCCATCTTACCAGAGGAGGCGGATTCCGAAGGGCGAACGATATCATTTCGGGACATTATGACAGGTCATAGTTCATATACAGTGACAGTTGCAGTTATTTAACGTCAATATTTTTTCAGGCAAATATTTATCCCCGAAATCTAGGTTTTAGTTGTCCATAACAGCGCAATCTTTGTCCTTTCATTTCGCGATTCGAGTATTGTTGTTCATGGACGGATCATATTCAGATGAAATCATGTTACATGTATCATGCAAATTTTTGCATGCACTTTGTATCTCTGTACATCCCATATTATGCATAGGATAATTATATAATTTAAGCATGACTAATTTCTTAAATAAAATCCATATATGTACATATAACCGGATTCTGCATCACCTTATCACGTCCGGTTGAGACGTTGAGCATAAAAACAACTCGTCGTCGTCAGATTGCTGATTTGCATTTGTAAAGTTCAGCAAATCCCATGTCAATTAAAATTAATACCAGTCTAACTACTTAGTACTTACCAAACTGTGAACATTGAACTAAAAATAGTCGTTCAAGTTCGGATAAATATGTAGTAAAGCTTAGGCATAAACTAAACTATGTGAAATATGATTCGATAATAAATATTTTTTTCTTACGCTTGTCAAAACAAATGCAGAATCAGCATGTCTGTGTGTTATCTCCAATTCTCCATGCTACTCTAATCAGTAAATATGGCAAAATAACAATTACATGCTATGGCGTATGACTATATATTAGACACATATGTGCATAAATAATATTAGAAGAAAGGGGCGTTTGGAGTCCAAACTTTGGACCCGTAAATTAAAAAATATATAAACAGATATGTACAAATGCAACGTCGTTCATTTAAAAAACATGAGTCATATTTGATTATTTAACGAAGGGTGTCGCAAGCTGTAGAAAGAATGGCAAGCCGATTTTGCTAAAAAAAATTCGTACATCAGCCGATCTGCTAAAAAATAGACAAGAGTTGTCACAAGATTCCTCTCCTTTCTTTTAATTTCCCCGTCGTTTTTAGCACGAAAAACTATAAGTTGTTTTCCAAAACAATTGATCGACATGAAGTGCTTGAAATTCACTCGGATAAAGCGTCACGGTCCTAATTTGCATTGCTGTCCCATGGCGTTGGTCTCCTTGCTGATAACAACGTCGTGTTTATCGGTTCTTTGTGATACTAAGGCAGCTACAGCCGGTGATTGTCCCCCACTTCCGAAATTGAACGTCCTCCCAGGCCGTGGATGGTGCAATTTAAGAAATAAAGGTACAAAGGTCTACAAATATGATATATACATATATCATATATACGTAAATACTATATATGTATGACTATTATATATACTTATGCAGAGATGGGACAAGTTCAGCGTTTCACGTACAAAGAATGCAAAGTGACGCCAGACGGACTTTTTCTCGTACCCGATACCGCCTTTATTATACCCGTCGATGAGAGCAACATCCAACTATTTGCTGAAATTATTGATTCGTGGAAAAATTATACTAGTTTGACTGCCAAGTAAGTACAATAATTATTACTTAATCCAGGTACATTTGATTGTTTGCGATTGATTTTGGTGTAAAAATTAAGATCAATCAACGTAAACGCGGACGCATCATTTGGTGCAATTGGCGTGAGTGGATCATTTTCCTCCGATTATCAAAAATGCAAACAATCCCAAGTGGGTCAAAAATCTGTCACCACGCGAGTTGCGGCACGCTACACAATGTATACGGTTGGAGTTTCCGTGGATGACATGATCGATGATAAGTTGTTGTCTCAACTGGGAAAAGCAATGGATGCTATGAAAATTGGGAATGGAGAAGAAGTGGACTACCTTCTAGAATTAGTGGTCAGTGAAATATTTAAGTAGTTGAAAATATTAAAATGTTACAAACACCCAGTATTAAATCTTTCCCAGTACTTATATCTAATCCTAAGTAGGTCATAAATTATTTAAATAATACTATATATAAATCCGTATCTGTAGGTCCGTGAATACGGGACCCATCTCCTAACTCGCATCGATACTGGAGGCATCCTAACTCAAGAAGAATACGTTTCTCGAGCTTACCAAGAAAAGCTTTCCGCAAATTCAGAAATGATCACAGTTGCAGCAACAGCAAGGTTTTTTACAACTTTTAGGTTTGGTGCAAGTTACACAACGACATCAAATGAAACTTTAAAACAAGAATATGAACACAATTTGAGATCCTCACACACACAAGCATTTGGAGGAATGATGTTACCTCCTGACGTGATTGTATCCGTGTGGGTCTCGTCCATACCAAGTCATCCAATCGGCGTCGACCGAGAAGGGGATCCACTTCACTTTATCATCACTCCGACAATGTTTCCGGATGAAAGTTTAGAAAATGTGGACTCATTAAGACTCGAATTGCAAGGGGCTATTGGCCGATACTTTGGCTACAATAAACATTTAGGCTGTATGAACGTCGAGGCGAAAAATTTCGATTATAATGCAAATATCGACAACAAAGAGATGTGTCAAGACCCGTATAACAATTACTCTTTTGGAGGATTATTTCAGACCTGTCAAAATGAAAATGAAGGGGGTGGTCCGAATAATTGCCAAGATAAGAATTTATCTCTTAAGAATTTCTTTACGCAAGATTACTCATGTTCTAAGCTATACGTACCGATCCAACTCTTGACGAGAACTAACCGCGTCTGCCGAGAATGTGGATATTGGTTTTTCTTTTGGTGGAGAAGTCGACAATGCTGCTCAACATATATAACGGATACTTATTGGTGCGCTGCGGATGAGACCATAATTTCTAACAATACTGGATTAATGTTTGGGGGACTTTTTACATCGACGACGGATAATCCAACTACCCAGGCAAAAAATTGTCCACCGATGTTTACTCAAGGTGACTAAAATGTGTATAACAAATTTGTATTTCCATTATCAACATTAGTTTTAAAACAATTTCTTGTTTATGAAATTTTCAGCCAAGATTTTTGAAGATTTAGTCATTTGTATTGGAACTGATTACGAACTGGGGTCAAGATTTGCCACAAAATTTGGTGGCTTCTTTAGTTGTCAGATTGGAAACCCGTTGTACGATAAGAAAAATTTGGAACGTATGATGGCGATGAGTACGAGCATAGGATTACCCGACCTGCACAATGAAACTACAAAGGCCTGTCCTCCCGGATATACACAACATACTGCTTCGATTCAGGACGATTGCTTGGTTAATTATTGCGTCAAGGCAGGGTCATTCTCAATCTTTGGCGAAATGCCAGTGGTACTCCCACCTTTCAAAAATTATACTGGCATTTTTAGTAAGGTCAAAGCTACTCCGAATAATAATGCGTCGTCTTCATCTGTCTGGATTATCGTGGTTGGCGCAGTTCTTGGTGCAATTGTACTTTTTGGTTTGGTGGTTATGATTTCTTTGCGTGTTATGAGAAGGCGAAGAAATTTATTGGCAGTTAATGTTAACACTGATGGTGAGGATGATGGCAGGGCTTTATTAGGGGACTTGGGTGATGAAGAACAATCTGTTCAGAATGTGGTGGAGTGAATTTCATGAATATGTATATTTACATGTTTCGCGTAATATGAAATTGCAATTGTTTGGTTTTTAGTGCATATTTCTCAATACATTGATTATAAAAAGTTATGCAGTTGGTTCTTTGAAAAACTATTGAATTATTTGATTTTATGTTCTGTAAGTATAATACAGTGCATAATGTTTTCACATCGCCTTGTTTTAACTAATTGTAAATCAGGTTATTACCCAAAAACATAATTTTATGACTTATAACCAAATTCACTTAAAACTTTCTCTGTAAACCTACTGTTTGATCGAAGAGTTTGGGTTGTGGAAATTGACCTTGTTTCAAGTCCAATATATAAAAGAGCCATTTATCCTTGATTTTCACTGGAATCTGACTAGCACCACTGGCCCTCGACCCAGCAGCGCTTATCTATATGAATAAATATTTATGATTTATTGTCCAGATAATTTTTTATCGATCAATTAATTACCGAACTTAGCGGAACGTCCATAATCCTATTTTTGCCAAAAGGCGTGTAAGTTACAAACGACACGTGTCTCCTATCCTTCCTTAATATAAGAAACCGTACTGATTGCAGAATGTACATCCAACTAAATGATAAAATACAGTAACCTAGAAAGATACAATATTTTAGAAGATGACCATAAAATGCATCTCTAATTGATAAAATAGCAATTATTCTCACCCATCAGAAATGACCCAATTCCCAATCCATACTTGTATTTATCCTGTCCCAAATTAATTGTCCTCCAAAACGGTAAATCTTCATCCTTCTTTTTGTCTTCTTCAGTCTTTTTGGAAACTGGGACATCGACTAGTGTTAAGCTTGAAAATGACAACATGATCCAAAATCCAAATTGAGCAATGGCAAACACGTTGAGCATTCTAAAAAATCTTGCGTTTTCATATCGATACATTATTATGTCCTTCGCCTCTGAGGGTATTGCGGATGATGGCGATGGGAAATTTTTGGTGACCAGTTGAGATGCAAATTTAACATTTGGAGATCTTAGGAGAAAAATGTTGAGAGCATGACGAGGTACAATATAAGAAAGCCGACGTCCAGACTTGTGGAAGGCACTGATTAGAAGGTTCCACGACATGGTCACTAAAAACAGAAATGAAATAGTTAATACATTGAAAATCTAAGGATTTTCTAATTAGGTTTCAATAAAGATAAAGGCATTATGCAAATGAATAGCGTATTAATCAAATGATGAAGTATTTGAGTTAGACATAAGTAAAAGTAGTTATATTTATTTCTCAATTTTGGAAGAGAATGTATATGTACATACATATTGTGACAAGACAAGTTAGGCACCTGGTAAAGGTTACATTTATATCTATCTATAAATCAAGAATTCTGGGGTTCTTCTTCTTCCACTAATTTAAATTGTAATGCATCACCATCCACAATCACTCCCTGGGTCAACATATCATTAATAGTCTTGTCGGAAGGGATTGACAAGCACACCTCGTCCTTAAACAAATGCAATTTTGGAGCATCTTTGATATTATTTCTGTTTTTGATTCTTGCCTAAAAAAATGATTTTCAATGAAATATTAATATAAAAATCTACTTTTCTCATCTCATATTTCGCCATGTTTCTCATATTTCACCTGTCTTGCAACAAAGTCGATCGCTTTACCCAACGTCCAAACTTTCGACATCCAGAGGTCCAAAGGCTTCGGGTTCTGTTGCTTATTCGGACAATCCACACTGAAAAATATTCTCTCCGATTGCGGGACGGCGTTGTCCCCTTTCGCCCTCCCTTTCAATTTCATCAAGGCTAACTTTGTCGCCATCGCACCCTTCGCCCCTCCTGCCCCTTTTGCTTCCTCTAGCCGAGCGGTAATGTCTTGTTTGATCTTCATCTGGGTTGCTTTTCCGGATGCAGCGTTCTCTACAGATTTCTTGATAAGATCCTTCTTCTCTTTGTCTTTTTGGAGGCTGGTACACCTACAACCATTAACCAGGATTAATTATTCATTACTTAATAACGAATTTAATCGTTGACTAACCCATGTTGATCCGCGTGTCGATGTGCGAGGCAGAAATGTAGGTCGCAATGGAGACATTTCATCGGGAGCAAGTCCTTTACCTTACACCCTGACTGGGAACATTTGACCTGCCATCGTTCCCGTTCTCGAGCCTCTAACTCGGAATCAGACAGCACATTGTTTTTGAACTGGGCACAGTCATGTACAAAGGGCGACAAGTGATCGGAACAAAAGATAGAATTACAGTGAAGACATGTTGCAGGGAGAAAGTCCAACTGTTTGCAATCTGCTTTGGCGCAGTTTTGACCTAAATCCGGAAACTCCATTGATGATGTTGAAGGAGTGTCGACCGCTGTCCAGCGACAAGAGGGGGATCGCCGACGGCGAGAGTTTGGATAAGACGTCTACATATCACATATTTTATTTATGTGCCATTATCACATTATTGAGTTATTCTTATTGAATAATGATATTTCGCTGAACGTTGGTGGATGAAAGAGGAAATTTAAAATGGACCAAAAATATGCATCTAGTAATAGCCTATTGTTTAACTAATTTAAATTATACGGCAAACTGCAATTAATTTAAATTGAATTTTACAAAAAACTTTGTAGATTTAGATTACTTTGTAGTTTGTAGTACAAACTAATCAAAATCTCTAAATCTATTTTTAAAGTTTTTACATGTGAACTTACCTTTTGTTTAGTAGAACAACAATTAACTATAACTATTAATTGCAGGACCAACAATTGTGCAAAGTTCACGCAAATAATTAGGAGTTAACAAAAACAATCCGGCTCAAGCAAAAGTTATCCACTTTATTATTTCCACTTTGCGGGATGGAAAACAGATTTCGCCGAACCATTTCCGTTCGGGGCAAATGATGACTTTCATAAACTTTGAAGAACAATTTCTGAAAAGTAACATAATTGAAACTGATGATAACTGATGCGTCTTGTGATCCTGGATAATTCATTCGTGATTATTAGAAATACGGGTAATCATATTCTTCCCCATCAAAAGGACCATTGCCACGTTTCGGAACCTATGCATTTTCAAGAACAAGAGAATTTTGTATTTTCCAAACAAAATTGATTGATTTAAAATGTAAGTAATGGTTTGTTTTGAATAGACAAATTACATCTTTGCGGCGTTTCTCCATTGAAATCCGTATTTTCTCCAATATTCGACGAAGAAATATCAAAAATATAGCGAATAAGGTCCAGAACTGCATAATGAAGCATCTTTGGTAAAATGGATCTGAAAATGGGTCCCATGCTGCTGTAAAGATGTGAAATTTTAATAAGTTTGAATTTATAATAATTTAGAGATCTTTTTACTATTAGCCAACCTTGCCCATTCGTGCGGCCGCAAGTGTTTTCCATGACCTATAAATCGAATTGAATTTTATAGCAAATTTGTTTAGAAATTTTAAACTTATGAGTTTTACTTTTTTTTTTGTCTTATTACATTTGTTGTTTATGTACACGTATTTATATGCATGTTTTTATAAAGAGCACAACCAGGTAGATAATTCGAGTTCCGGAGAAAATAATCCTAATAATAATTATTAGGATTATTTAGATTAGAAAAAACCAAGGTCCTGAATTTTACTTAGTTACGGGTCTACATATGTAGACCCGTAACTAAGTAAAATTCAGGACCTTGGAAAAAACTATAATAATATTTATAATTTTTATAAATTATATATTTTATATATATATATATATTTTATATATATATATACAAATTTTAATTTAGTTTGAATATAAAATACACTTATTTCTGTACAGAGTAACAATGTCTGTAAAATACATGGTAGTTTTAGATATAATAAACTTCATTAAACTTTTTTCCTGGTGGAAGTGTCCCCAGGATTGAAGCTACATTTCCACGTTGAACTGTAATGCCGAGTCGCTGGAGGAGAAAAGTTGTGGAGCGTGGTTCTCCAGTCGCGGTAGCGATCCGTTGTCCAATCTCTTTAATGAAGGATAACCCCTCCTGACCCCATGTACCTGTCGTCTCAATTGCAACGGGCATAAAGATGAATCGGTCCAGGAGAAAGGCGTACAATTTTTTCTTTCTATCTTCTGCCTTTGTTGCTGCTGCTCCTTGGTGGCGGACTGTCTCGGGGAGATAACTAGGTGCGAAGGTGTCAGTGCAGGTAAAATCCCACACAAGGGATCTTCCTCTTGCCCACGGAACGAGAGTCATCCCGTCTGGATGCTTTCCGTCTTGGTGTGAACATCCGGGTGGTTCAAGGATGCAGGGAACATCAGCTGATCGAAGCGCCCTCGCGATTACGTCGTTAGCGGCTGCGTGGCGAGACCACCGACCAGCACTTCGTCGGCAGGATAAACCATGATATCCTCGTGAACTGACTTGCGCTCCACACGGGCAAGTGTGGGGTTGACAAACATCGCAACCTAAACGGAGGGAAATTGCGATGCGAAATGCCTCGTTCGAGAGAAGGGTGCCGATTTGAGGAGATGGGAGAGCGTTGAGCCATATTCCTGCATATTTGTCGCGAAGAGCACATAGGCGAGCCGTATCTTCAGACGTGGCTGCGGCGACGACTAAGTGGGACACTGTGATGTCGATGATGGGGCGCTCCCATGCTGTCTGTAATCCTCTCACTGTGTTGGGAGGAAGATTAGTTGGGCCAAGAGAAGTCCATCGTTCCTCTCCTTCCGCAATGGCGGCATCGGAACCATGTAGGTAAACCGGAAGAATTTGTTCCATTAGGGGTTGGGTGCTGTAGACTGACGAAAGAAAGCACGGTATCGCTACATCTTCAGCAATCAATTTTAAGGAATGCTTTGGGGGTGTGGTGAGGGTAGTTGTAGTATACACGGGCGGCATGGGCACCGGTCTCAGCGCCACCTTTTATTCCAACGCCTAACTGATGAGGTGAAAAGTGGTCGATAAGTTGGGGGGTAATCTTAGCGAGGATGACCTTGGCGGCGAGTCGGCGCCACGTATTTCCCACCGTGATGGGTCTGATACCCCCAGTCTTCTTCCTCAGCGCCGTGAGAGATGCTCCGTATAATATTGGGCACAGCTTTGCAGGGACTTTTCCAGCAATCACATGGTTGAGGAAATCTGTGATTGCTTGGGCGAGGTGTTCTCCTGTCTCCCCCTGATTGCAGCTGAGTAGGTCCTTTAGAATTTGGGGTCTCAAACCATCGAGTCCTCCTGCCGAACCTGGGGGGAAAGTGGATACGGCCTTAGCTACTTCAGGAACGTGTACTGCTTCAATCACGGAGTCATCCGCTAGTGGTTGTGGATAGTTTGTGGGCTCTGGGTGTACCGGGTGCTTCGCACGGAGGACGCTTAGAGTGTCATCGTCGTTTGGGGCTATGGTGTCATCAGAGCAGGCAAGACGAATTGCTCCTCGAATGTCGCCATCTGCGAGTTTGGCCTCCACTTTCTTGACAGTTGAATCAATTTGGGGGCTCCGTTGCGAGAACTGGCGTGGTGGATGTGGTAGCGGGATGGAGAAGTTATTTTCCCATTCAGAAGTGCGGGTCTTCACCCATGTGGTCAGATTTTTTACTTGGTCCGATTTTTGTGGAACTGGAAGCGTAGCATACGGGAAGAACAGGAGCTTTCTCCAACTTTCCTCGCTATTCCCAGAAGCAACTTCCTTGAGAATTTTGGTCAGAGATTGAGCGACGATACTCCTTGCACCACGCGGGACTCTTCTCAAAGTTGGGACGGTCCCCTTCAACTTGGCTAAAGAGGAACCCAAGAAGTCAGCTTGGTTTGGAGGAAGTTGTTGAAGTGGTGGTTGGTCTGCCCATCTAATTCCAACATAAGCGTTTGTAGCACCTCGAGCTCGTGGACGAAGAAGCGTTGCGTTTGGGAAGAGCTGATTGATATATTTTGCAACTGTGACATCATGAACTTTTCCTTCTCCAGAGGTTTCAATATGGTGGGCGTAACGGGTGACGACCTCGGATTTTGGAATTTGGCCAGAGGGATCCTCCATAATGTTTAATTTAAGCCAATGTTGTGTTGACGCGATGGTGTGTTTTTTCCTTGTAGTAATTGAGTTCTGTGAAGATGAGATTGCTTGTGAAGAGAAACAATCTGGACAAAGCCACTCATTTTCCCGTATGACGACAACAGCAACACAAGCTGTGTGGTACCATGTCTGACAATGGTCGCAAAGTATCCAATTGTCATCATCTGTGTTACTAGCTCCAGGGCATGTGGATATCGGGCAACGTTGATCATCTGAGTTGTTGTTCTTTGGTTTTGGTTCTTCGTAGGCCGAGGCCGCGCCAACGCATGTGCAGTCATCCTTCGGTTTTTCAGGGCAGGGTGGCTTCGGGACCGGTTTGCACTCCTCTGCAAGACAGGCGAAGGTCAAGGTAGCTGGGAGGTTGGTACATGGTGGTGGGGCCGGAGGTGGACACGCCTTCTTGGGGGGCTCACAGCACTTGGACGTATTAGAGTTGGAACAGTTGCTCATGATGATGGTGATGGTTTCTTGACTTGCCTTATCCGATTATCTCTCCGAAACGTCAGACGACGAGGAACAAATTGCATATATATATATTATATATTTTAAAATACACTTATTTCTGTACAGAGTAACAAATAGTGTTGTTTATTATTACTAATCACTTGTAGTCACTTGTACTTACAACGAGCTCCGATCCCGTAACGTAATTCGAATCATCCATTTCGTCCATGGTATTGACGACCCCACACAAATTTGGATTGGAGGTGGTTACTGACAATTGTCAGTAATTGATTATCAGCTTCGTAAATAAAATTTATTAGATAAAACAAAATTATGATAATAATGCGTAATGACAAGACTACTGACGACATAGAAACATTACGCCGACTGTTTTTGTTATTGCATATGTAAAATTAATTACACATCCTGTACTGCAAATCATATGCAAAATACCATTCATGAATAACTTCAACGCCGTTTGTCAGATAATTTAGAAAGGTAAAAATAATCTCACAATATTTAATTTCACGTAAAAATTGGTTGGGGTACAATACAAGTTTTGAGTACAAATACATATTATGTAGTTAATTACAGAATAACAGCATGAAAGTCCTACATGATTTAATTATATATTAGTATAATTAATTAGCAATTTGTACTCTGATAATAAATCATAAAGCACCTCACAAGATTATACAGTATTTTGATTAATTTCTCATCTTTCTCTCCATTACGCTAGTATTAAATCGTCCATAAAAGTAGCTCACATTATCAGACCTCAACTCCCAAACCGTACTCACTCCGATGTGCCCCTCTCCTCAATGGAGCGTTGTAATTGTACCCCTTCACCCCCCTCGACTGGTCCCACTCCAGGTCAAAATTTGGATTTAACGGGTCGAAACTGCTACAACTACTCGTTAACCTTTGCAAGGACTGGACCCTATTCGTCAAAGGTGGTGGGGGCGGTGTTATGCAGTCATACCGATTCAGCAACGTTCCCGACTTTGTCGTCCGGGCCACTCCTCCGCTCGGATTTCGAAACCTGTGCGGCACAATGGACGCCGTATTATTGGCCATCGAGGCGAACGAGGGTGCACTGAGAATCCCTCGCTGAGAGTACTCTTGAAGAAAGTAAGGCCGATTGTGGTCAAGGTCGTGGTCATGGTTGTACTGTCGTGGCGGTGGGGGTGGCAATTGCTGATGCATCTGCTGCAGTTGGGACCTTTTATGAGGTAGAGTTTGGCTTTGAGTGTACGGCATAGGGTTCGGAAGCAGGTTGGGTGGTGGGGGTGGCAAGTGATGGTAGGAGGGAAGTTGTGGTGGGGTTTGGGTTTGCTGTTCTTGCGACTTCATGAGAGGTTTTGTGGTGGAAGATTGAGGGGGATCGTGCAGAGTGGGACGTTGAAGAGGTGGTGCTGGATAAAGGGGTTGTTGATTGATCAGTTGGGAATGTCTGGATGGAGGTCGGAGCAAGGGGGGTGGTTCGCTCTGTGTTCCTTGGTGGGTTTGGCTGCTACTGGTAGTCTGTTCTGAGACCTTATTGCTGACTTCCTTCTCATCTCCGTCGCCATGTTTCGGCTGAATTTGTGGCGTGTGGGGGCGGGAGGTGGACTTTTGAGGTGGGTTAGTTGACGCTTTCGGTTTATTGTTATTTGCTTGTTGTTGTTGCGGTTGTTTTGTTCCGGATTTCTGCTTTTCTCTCATCTCTTTCTGCTCTTTGAGTTGTTGTTGGCGTTTGGCTTCTTTTACGACTTCAAGAATGTTGAAGGCCCCACCACCACCTCCGGCGCCACCTAAAGTGGGTTTGTTGTCCATTTGGGGCTGTGAGTGAGACCGGTTAAAAAATGGGAGCGAACCCAGGGCACCAGTTCGCGATGAAGTTCGTGACACTGCGTTTGACGTGGAGGACGCTTCGGCATCGCCATCCCCGCCAACGTCACCAGAACTCACGTCGCCGTCTTCTTTCAGTTTGCTGATGTATATAATGATTGTGGCGCAGTAGGCCTGTGCAAAAAATGTAATTATTGGCACTGACGCTTTTTTTGCAAAATACAATTTGTAATCATCACTAAATACTTAATATTCATCATTACCATCATACATACGAGAAAAATACAGCTCATCGCTATGTAAGTCAGGTTCATGCTGAAGCCAAAATTTCGAAATCCGTACTCATCCTGATTGCTTCCCATGGGGGAGAGGATCATGAGATTTATGACGAATGCGAAGGTCTCAAGCGTGATGAAGATTCCACCCGTCCAACCCAAAAGTTTAGGATTTTTCTGAAATTTTGCATTTCCATGAAACTAAATATGATCCTGAGTGAAATAAAAATTATGGAGAAAGTTAGATAGAAAGAAACCTGTTCCGTTGCTCTGAAGATGAGACAACCCAACATGAGTAAGACGAAAAAATATGTTGCGATAATGAAACCCCCAAGTATTTCTTTTCTCTGAAAATCGTACCATAAATAACTATATTTTTTGAACATATCCAGTTTTAAAATTTCAGTAAACTTACACTGTCCTCCTTTTCATACGTTGTCAAACGCACGGCACGAAATGACGAGCCGATGAACAAAATTAAAGTGACAAACTAAGAAGTGAATTATTAAGAAATTCATTAAACAGAAGTGTTAATTGTATTATAAACTTTTTTATATAAATATTTCCACTTACGATATGAATGCTAGCACCGAAATAAACCATTCCTCGTCGTGTTATGCAAACCCCCACGCACATTTTGATGTGCCCAAAAATAATGCAATATCCCGTTCAACTTTCACCCACGCACACTTTTGATTAACTCTATCACGAAATTATCAATAACTAACTTGAATTATAAAATTACAAAAGCACATGATGAAAAATCACATTCCAACTTTTCTAGTACTTTACATCCACACTTTATTACTATTTTATTAAAATATCTCACAAGCTTTAAACACCCGTGTCACTTTACCCCACAATAATTACCAATTTGTCAAAATTACACGCTTACAAATTACAGATCTTTTAACAAATCAATAATAACCAGATAACCCAAACTCTTCACCCAAATAAAAAACTAAGACATTACAATTGACACCCTCACACATGCGTTTACTGAAAGACTGGGGAGGAAAACCAAACCACTCTATTAATTTTTGATCCGTGGTCTCTGAACGTTGTACTTATTTCTTTCCTCTGATGATGATGATGATGGTGCACGTATTCGTTCTTATCGTTTCTTCATATGGATTGCTTTCTCTTGATGTGTGTGTAATGAAAAATTAGACGAAAGTGAAACGCTTTCCCTTTCCTCTCGTACCTTCACCACGTACGACAATCGCCACCACCACACCACACCAAGGCACAGACTGACTGATGACCATTACGCCTCGGAACGCCAACAGCAGTACAACAACGCTAAGTTACATATACACGAATACTTACTTATCCATTCTCACCCACCACTTGCATCGCACGTTGATTTGATATGCATAATACAAGACCCGCTTTTTAGAAGCCCAAATCACCACATGCAATCAGACCCGACAAACTATTCCATCTTTTACAGTATACATACTTTCTCCATGGGAAAATCATTACTCCTTTTAACGAAGAAATCAAGAAATCTCGACTTTTCCTTGGTATGCACTCGACAACATGGTCGTCGTCTCAAAGTCCCGTGAACAGTCTCACTCTTGGCATGGCTTGGCTTGCATGGTCGTTTTCTTTCTGGTGCGAGGAGAGGAGGGAGAGGGTTGAGATTGAGATTAGCTAAATGCAACCCAATCCCAATGACCAAATACGGAAGTACTTTTACCATGCATACTTAAACTTTGTTATTCATTTTGCAACCTGCTTTGTTTTTGAGAGGGTAGGCAGACTTGGTTCATTTCATGTTTGTTTCCCCACCACGATATTATTATCGGATACATACATTCGTATTTACTTTTAGGAAATCAAATGCCAGGCAGGAGGAGAAAATAAGCTTTCTCTCGTATATGATACGACCTGTGTCAAATTCTATGGATTTTTGATATCGTGTCGTGTGCGGGATATGTTATGTCGGCTCTGACCTGGCGTGCCATGTCACGATGTATGAGTGACTTGTCTTGAGGACTGGCTGGACAACGGGTAGACTAAAAACCATTCAAACTCTCCAAACTCTAAACTACCACGAATCCGACAAGATTTTGGAAATTATTAAAACAACAACTTTCTTCTTAAACAATAAAGTGAAATGCAATCCATAATGTCTCCAACCATTAAAATACTTTCACTTCACCGTTCTTTCCAAAGATTGCGTGAGTGCATTGCACCGGTAAACATTTTTATGATATGACCCCCCCTAAAAATTGATAACTAACTAAATAAATCATTATTTCTCTTATCAATGCTTATTTCAATTTAAACAATGCACCGTCGTAAAAGTGTTATCGATCCAGGTTTACAATCTAGCAATGCACGTATCACACTGATTTATTAGGTGTATGCCTTTTCCTCGTTCTTATTTAATAATTCTAGTTGCAGAGATTATTAAGGAACTTGAAAATTGAAAGTGATTCCTGTCTGAGCGGAAAAGAAAAGGGGACGTGATATCTAAACACACATGTGCACATGTGTGTTTAGATATCACACACCACATATGTGGTGTGTGATTTATGTCCTGTTTATGCATCAGCAGATCTAGACAGTGGCCGCGGAAGCCGTGGGGACATCGGGGGGCACTAACATTGTAGGAAAGGGGGAGGGATGGGTTTATTTATATAACATGGGATGATGATATAGGGACACCGAATTACCGTGGGGACATTACCCCTCTGTCCCCTCAAGATTCCGCGGCCACTGGATCCAGATTAGTCGACCTGAGTACATATACTTTTCAAGGGAGAAGTTATTAATGGAATGCGTTCTTTTTAAAGTCTTGATCTGCTTTCACCAAAACTAAATGGTGAAAGCACACTCTACACATTCTTACCGCTATACGTATCATATCTGATTTAAAGTGGAGGGATAATTGTAATTATTAAGGTTCATTCCGTGCTCACTTTTGTGCATGCGAAATGCCACAGGTCCATACACAAGCATATATAGCGACAATATCTGGGTAGGTATGTGTATATATTTACGTAACCCGGAATAATGTGGAATGGATTTGAATAATCAATTCCTTAATCAGGTTGGTTGCCAACTTTCTCTCTGGATTTTCTCCTCGATAATTTCTACTTCTTTTTCATGCTGGGCTTTAAATGTGCGAACAAATTTTTCTATTATTTTTCAATCAATCTTCTTCTAACCTAAAGTTGAGTGGGTGGATGGGTGGGTGGCATGATGAAATCGTTGAAAAAAATAATTTTAACACAGTGTAAGGTTTAGTTTTACGCTAAAATCCAGCTTATCGCAAAATATTTTGGACAATTTGAGATACGGAGTATATTTTATATATAGAAATGAAATTCCACAAAATGGAAGGAATGAGGCATGGCTAAATAAATCATGACCAAATGCACGGCCATGCAGAACGGACCAGAACCATTAGTAACACCGCCTTAATGGAGACGCCCATTTATTCAATCATTTGCAAGTTTAATTAAATCGATTCCTAGAAAAACAGCGAATATAAACAGCAAATGTATTCGGTCGGTGCGGGGAAAGTTGTTGATGTCAATTCGATAAATACTTACTACAAGAGGTACATACTAATAGTATGATACTATACGTAGAAAGTAATAATGGCATGATGGATGGATGCGAAGGCTGAATAATATTTAGTCTATGGCGTCGTTTGCTTGCAGTCTGCGATGCGAAATTGTAATTAACAACGATTATGTATGAGGTTTTGCATAAATAAACAGACTAATAATATGCGATTCTGCATGAATTTTACCCAAAAAAGCTTGGATTTTTCAGTGACTTTTATTTCCTAATTTTAAATATGTAGATATTTTACCAATATATTATTTTAGCAAGAAATCTATTAACAATTCAGAAAAATATTGAGTTAAAGTTGAATTTTGATGAAATTTAAAGTTTCTATGTTTCAATAGGTCTTGATAACTTGTTAAATGTAAATTATAATTTACATTTATAAATTATTTTATAAACTATATTTTATTTTTTCAACAATTCAATCAAACGTTTGTTATCTTATCACTTGTTCGTTCACAGAGACACCAAAATCGTCACAATTCATCAATTCCTTATTATAAGTTACTATTCGACTAGAATTCATGGCGATGGATAGAGAGAAAGTTATGGGAAATATTTTAAGCAGAGTGCATGAAAATAAAAGCATATCATGATCACAAAATATAATATACGGCTCAGCCGATTATAAGTTATAACTTATCAAATTTTAAATCCACGAGAATATTTGTGGGGTAAAAATGCAGATTCAACCAATTTAGATAGATCTACAGTAAGAAGTCGCTACTTTACACTTTAAATCATAGAATTAAAAGTCTTGCATCGTTCATATTATAACTTTTTATATTATATTTTACACCTTGTTCTTGACTCGTACGCATTTCTGCCTAGATTTCCTTTAAGCCTCTCCACTCGGCTTGTACGGCTCCTTTACGACGTCTTCATACTTTGGTGGAGGTGCCTGAGCCTGAGCCGACAAACCCCCAGCAAACTGTGGTCCGTACGCGTATGCAAAGGAGTCTCCACCAGGGAAGCTGGGCGGCATGTGAGACGAGGTCGGGTGGTGGATTCGACGTATCGGCAACGTCGTCACGATTGTCACGTCAAGTTCGTTCACCTAAGAAATTTAAGAAATTAGTACAAACTGGCACCTTTTTATTTAGGAATTTTTGATTAAAAATGCTCACGAATTGTTGGACGATGTAGAGAGCCCCGATTCGAATGAGGATGCTTGTCATGAGGAATGACACTTCCAGAAAGTTGTCTAAAAAGAACTCTTCATTGTGGACAGTTGCTAACAATTTATAATATTTGTAGATAATATATTTACCGCTGGATCGTTGGCGGAATGCAGAGAGAAAGTTGAAGACGAGCAGACCTGGGAAGAATTTTGTATTTATTTATTTTAAATTTTATGGAAAAAGCATAATTTGATAATTATAAATTATATGGGATATTAACCTGTGAAGAAGATGCAGACGAACCTCCAAAATCGACACAGCCTCATAGCACCAATTGGTTCTTTGCCCAATTGAGTGGCATTCAGGAGTCGAATCGCAGCCAGAATTTGGACTGCAGTCATGATTGTGATCAAGGCGAAGAACATCCACATCAGTTTCACTAATAGTTCAAGAAAAAATTAAAACTTTCACTCTTAAAAAACATGCAATATTTTTAGAATTTATTTATTTACGGAATGCCGGATCGCTTGGAGAGAACATTGAGGACCGTGATCCAAACTGACTGCTCAGCGAGTTACCACCATCATCGCCTCCGCTTCCATTGGCATCTCCATCGATATTTCCAGACCCTTCTTTTTGGAGTGACATCATGCTATCACTGCCGCCCGAGTGCAGATCCATTTCCAGAATGTTGTTGCTGCTGGACTGTTGCCCTCCGCTTCTTCGGGTGTTCATCCCCTGATCCATCGTCGTCACTCTGACCAGGGCGATGAAAAAGATAAGACAAATACACAGTGACATGCTGCTAAGGATCTGAAATGATAAGAACAAACCATTAAATTCATGTCTTTCATTATAATAAGTAATTAATGGTCTCACCAGATCCAGAAATGCAACGATCCTAGCTTTCGAACGAAACTTGTAATGATCTCGGTCCATGATTCCGAATTATTTTTTGTTTGTGACCGATTCGATTTTTGTGAATTTTAAGTACGTAAACCGTCGTTGCTAGTAAACCTTGATTCGATTCCTCGACTGGACTAGAGATGGTAAAGTGATATTACAATAAATTGGCAGCTCTCTGCTACGTCAGATATTTAAATGGACTGTTTAACCAAACTATTACGTGATCAATCAACCAAATCCATAGCTGGATAGATAGACGAATAACAAAAGTCAAATATGTATAGAAATTTAGGAGAACCCGTGATATCTCGTAGCACACACGACTTGTCCCGACTAAAAAGTGCTAGAGGAACGCGAACGACGCTATATTTTAGCGTTGGGTTGAGATATATACGTATTTTATCCCCAATCGACCCAAACTGTGCCCATCATCACCACCACGAACCACCACCACCATCATCCTGCTCGGAATAATACTCGGGTAGCTAAATTTTGCATGGAAGTAAATATCATGATGTTGAAGGTCATATAATACTTAATGTGTTAAGAACGCGTGCCTTACTTCCGTTACGTCTGGATTGCCTACTTTCCCTGAAATCCTACACACCACACCACGCGTCATCTAAAAATTTCATTCCACAGACAAAAGGAATTGAAAATTGCACGTGTATCGTATTTATGTATTTATACAAAAACATGAAGAAAAATTAAATTGAAAACGGTATGAAAAATGTTCATAGAACTTCTTCCGTGTGGGAAGATAAAGCAGGCACCTATTAAAGGCGTAGGCGATGCTTGACCTGAAAATGTTTCATGTTCGTTTCTGGTTTCAGTAAAGCTTATGGCAATTATGTAATTACCTAGTGTAATGTACGAATTTTATCTAAATGTATAGGCTAAGACTACGAATAATAAAGCGTGATGATAATAAAAATAGACCTTGCAGATATTTACATATTTAAATTTTTATTTCTACAAGAGTGGCCCGAGGAAAGTGTACTACAGCTATTACGTTTCAACAGCCCCCCGGAACGGAATCAGTTTTTCTCAACTCAAATGACTATGGCTGCTTTTGTTTTGATTTACAATCGAATTAATTCATTGGATAGTAATTATCTATTTTAAATCTCTATTATTAAATGAAGAGTCAGTTAAACTTTATATCCAACCAAGTGGCGGCGTCCAATACATTCACCGACGAAAAACCAGAATCCTACTTCGGCTGCGACAAGCGTGTTCAAAGTTGCCTCCTACATACAATAATTAAGAGTGTTATAATTTTGACATAATAATATTGTTTTACATTTAAAGTAAACTAATATGTACGCACCTTGACAGTGAGTTGCTTATATCTACCGGTACGAAATGAGCTCAAGGTGTTTCGAATACCACCGAGGGCTTTTGGGATGTCACCCGGAGTGGGTGGGGCCAACTCCACTTTGGCGTATTTCAAGAAAACGGCGAATTTAGGCTTGGCATTTTGGAGCATCACTAAAACAAATTGAATCAGTCATTCAATCAATTAATTATGTTGTCTATTTTTCGATACTTATTAAATTACGCTCATACGTATAATTATAATTATGATTTGCACATATAGTAAAATCAGTTGCAAGAGTCAAGTCACAATTTACTTGAGTTTTTTCTCTTATCAGCAAAACGATAAGGTCAAAGTTTACTCATTTTTTTATACAAAAAACCGACCCAATTTTTTTATACAACTTACATCCTGCCATTTCCGGCGCCCGGCTGACCAAGTTTGAAACCGCTTTCGCCATCTTATCTTGTTTTCGGCTTTCCTATAGGATATCGCGGTCAGGGGGAGAAATTTCGAAAACCAATTAATTCCAAAAAATTGGTCTCCACCTTGTTCTTGACTTTTTTCCAAGACACCGCTCCAAACTCTACTCTATGTCACTTGCTCTCTCACCTTTGCGCAAAATTAATTCGACCAAGTCTCACACAGAGGCCACTTGCGACGACAGTTTCTTATCTGCCATAGTCTCACTTGTTCTGTCTCATTATAAGCAGTCTCATATTTTCAATACGCCCCATATAACCTAAAAACTAACGTTCGTCTCAAAATCTCAAAATGCCCAAGACTCAGAAAATTGGCATTATCTCATTTCATTTATTTGACGATATTTTTTCAACTTTATGATCATAACTCTTCCATTCAACGAATCATCATCATCACTGTCACGGCGACCACCACCTTGATAAGCCTGTCACACTTATCCATGATTCTCCCCCCGCAACCACTATCTTCACCTTTACTTTCATCCTTTTCTTTCTTCTCGTCCTCCATCGCTGCTTGCTTCTCCTCATCCGTCAAAGGTCTTCCATCCTTCGCCTTGAAGACGTAGTTGGCCTCGTTAAACTTAACGGCTTGCTTATCATCGCCCGTCCTTTGTCGGAGGAGTGAGAAGGTGCAAGGCATCTTGTACCCGGAAGTAGGCTCGCGTTCCGTCCTTACCGAGGACAGGGTAGATAACTGCCGGTGGGAAATTGTGATCCGCTCCGTGACGATGTAAATCCGTGCGATCGGCCAGCACGGGGGGACGGGGAAGCTGCCCTCGTCGTAATAATAGTAGTCCGAAGACTCCGGGATAAGCCAGGTGGGTGACCATGGGGTGGGAATGAGGGTTTTGAAATGTTCGTCGCCATCACCGTGGGAGAAAGAAGGTCCATTATATCGAGCAGCGGCTTTTAAAAGAGGGCCAAGTTTGGGGTTATCTTGATCAGAAAACTGGGACATGTTTAGGCAAAGTTAATATAGAAAGTAATAGGTCACTTATTTTGCTAGTTAACCCACCTCTGCCAGGACGACTAACATTACTGCCACCGTTTTGCAAACGGGGTCAGCCTGGTCGTCACAGATGAAGTTGTCGATTCCTATTTTGGGTGGTTGCGAGAAGAAAATGAAATCGATTTCGAGTGGAAATCTGGAAAATTGTTTTTATTAATTTGCTGCTCAATTATTAAATAGCTTGATTTGCTAACTTTTGACCGTCAATCTGATGCATTGATCTCCCCTCGGATGCCTTGCTCGGGTCACAATAAAAGAAAGCGGCATAATTCAGGTCGTAATTTGTAAACTCGTTGACACCTGTCCAACCAATGTCAACCCCTTGACCGATATAGTCGAAGCGATCGTTTAAGGAGAGAAGACCGAGTTGTGGGACGCGAACCTCGACTATTTATTTATGCGAATAAATAATTAATAATTCGTCAAAATTAACTAGCACTGATTGCACTTACGACCATGGTATGCGTCCGTGGGGTGGCCCAGTTCCCACTGTAAGCTCGAAATGTCGGGGTGTAACAAGGTCAGTGTCACAGATCGCTGCGTGCCACCACCTTCGTCGTCATCGTCAACGATGGTATTTAACTATGAAACATTAATGATTATCGGTTGAAATGAAGATCACTTATTTAATAAATAAGTGGTATTTACATCTGGGGCGATGACGCTACTCGTGTCGATATCAATCGGCGTCACCCAGTTTAATTCACATCTATTCCTACTGAGAAGTGTTGTCCCTCGAGTGGCATCTTTCACGATGGATGTATTATCCCAATTTTGAGGACCTTTTAGTATGCGACATAATTGTAAATTACATATTACTGTTTTCCCTATAAATTCATGGACAGAATTACTGTACCCAGTAATCAGTGTATTTCATAGTTTATCAAGGTTTATGTTAATAAAATTTTTTTAATACTGTACCCAGTGGGCTCTTTTCATCATAAGAAAACTGCATGATTGAGTAAGCGTGTGCTACATCGTACGATTTTTTGGCCCGATCTCTGATTTCTTCATACTCCGCTTGATCTATATCGACTTCGTCATCTTGTCCCTCTGAAAAGTCTGTTCTGTTTGGATTTCCTCCACTTTCGTCCTCGTCCACTTCGAGGTTTGTAGCATTTGGGAGACCAGATAAGCTAGTGACGAGACAGATCAAGAGGAACAATACTTTTACGGTATTTAATTGAATTGTTGTCATATTTTGGTAAGTCGTGATGTAATAATAATTCCAACAAGGAAGTAGATTTTTTAGTGGGAGGTTTACAAATTTTTCAGTGGGGTTGGTGCAAGACACGTTTTGAAACACTTTTCGTCATGGGGAACAAACTTGAAAGCTTAAATGTCTGTGCAAACATTGCTCATTAGTACAAAAATCATTTTGTGAACGTATTTTGCCGATATTACTTTTCTCGAATAATTAGGCAGATCCAGAATTAATAAAAAGATGCCAGACCAAGGAAAAATACTTTCCAAAGGTGCTAATGAGACACCACCGGAAACCGTCCAGAACATAAATTTTGTCTCTCCACCCGAGTCCAAGAAAGAAATTACTTCCTCCATCCCAAAAAGAACGTCAAAGGCTAAAAAGCGCATATCTAAACCTGCCGATGAGGACAATGTCCCACCGATAACGCCCAAAAATGACACTGGTGAACAACCCCCCAATGAACCCCCACTCCTTCTTTCTCCAATAGTATCCGTCAATGATGAAAAAAACGTTTGGTCCGCTCAACCGGAAGTTGGAATGAAGCAGAGGAACCAAACTGAAAAGAAGGCTGGCCAAACATTGGAATTAGTTGAAGGAGCAAACATTCTCAAGTTCGAAGAAGAAGAGGAACAATTTGTCGACCCCATGCAGCTCTTGCAGCACTATCAAGCTGCACACATCGCTCTCATTGGTTGTTTATAGTTTTCAACTTTGCATATCAAAACGGCAGCCTACAACAATTACCCAAATATTTCCAGGTCAGAAAGGTAAACGCCACGCATGGCAAGACGAGGAAAACCCTACTGAAGAATATCTCCAGAAAGTGGATAGGTTACGATTAGAGAAACTCCGATATGACCGAGGTCGCTGTCTCTCGTCCGCCTTCTGTCTCATCTTTCATATCATCGTGATATTTAACTTTGTTCATTCTTGGATCGACAGGTGTGGAAAAGTAAAACATTTGCCAATTTCATTTGCCAATTTACCATCTTAATTTCAGCTTCAAAATATCCATGCAAAACGCCAAACTTCAAACCTACCACCTCCAAGGCGTCTTCAACTGTATGGAAATTGTCCAAAATGCCAACGCTGTGCAATTCCTGGTCGAAATATTCCACGCTTTGATGTCGGCCTGTGTTTTATTCGCTGACACGAGGGCTAACGCATGTCTCTGCATGGGGTTCGTCTTTGCCCAAGGGGTTCACACGGTCTACAAGGGCTTCCAGTTTTTCATGCACGTCCGCTTCCTCAACGGATGGGAGGAGTTGAGCATGGGGACCACCTTTCTTATCATCCTCGTCGCCGATGTGGTCGCATCGATCGTCGTGATGCAACGATTCTACGACCTGACCGACCGGATCAGGACTCGGGCAAAGTTCGTCGCAGCCAATGTCGACAAAGGGGGATCCATGAACGATGAAATTATTTATCAAAATCAGTCCCCTTTTCTCCAACGAAAGTACATTTTACGCCAAGCCGTAGCCTCGCAAGTTTTCAGAGTTATTCAAAAGATCGAACGCTACACGGAGAAGGGGATCAAACCCGATTATATTTCGATTTATAGGGAGTTGCATGCTGCAAAGCAGGCATTGAAAGGTTTGCATAGAATAATCAAAATGTATGGCAAAATCTGTAAATTAAAACATTATTTGCAGATGTGGACAACGTACAAAATGAAAAGTTGATTAAAGAATTGAGAAAGGCAAGCGCAAAACGGCTCAAAGAACTTGAAAAAAATCCAGAAATTCTCGGATTAGATGCAAATGCTGCAATTTCGGGAAGGTATTCGAAACTGTTTATGGTCACGTTGTCAAAATCGAATGATAACAATAAGGCGACAAATCAGTAGACGGTATAGGATAAGAATTATTATTGCATTTATATTCACAATTTTTAAAAAGTTACAGAAAATATAGCACCAGAATTTCTTTGGGATTTTAAACCATGACACATTTACGCTTTGAGTCATCTTGTAAGACATCCTCCCTGCAAAATATCACGCATTTTTAAAAACTAACTCTAATTTTGCGAATCCCATTTTTTATTGCATTACTACTGTCTGCTGCTGCTATAATCTCACTTCAACTTTTCTCGAAATAGTTCCTTAAATTTGTTCACTTTGGGTCCCACGACCGCGTGACAGTATCCTTGCGAAGGGTTGTTTTTATAGTATTCTTGATGATAGGCCTCCGCCGGATAGAAAGTGGACGCTTCACTAATTTCCGTCACGATTTGATCAGCGTATAATTTTGCCTCGACTGCAGCCTGCTTCGAGAGTTCGGCGATTCGTTGTTGTTCAGCATCATGGTAGAAAATTGCGCTTCGATATTGCGTCCCGACATCGTTTCCCTATTAATTTGATCACATTTAATGAATTTTCATTAAGTGTGGTTGGTGGATGATGAAATGAAAATCAATAAGTAGTAATTAATTACTTGACGATTGAGCTGGGTTGGATTATGCACTTTCCAAAAGACTTCCAGCAACTCGGCATAAGTGACTACGCTGGGGTCAAAAGTTAGCTGAACGACTTCGGCGTGGCCAGTGCTTCCGGTGCACACCTAAATATTCATATAAAAATAATCAATGAAATAATACTAGTTAATTGCATTTGGTTTGATTTACCTGTTCATAAGTTGGGTTCTCCTTTGGTCCTCCCATATAACCCGAAATGGCCTTGTCCACTCCTTTGTGCATATTGTACACCTAAATAATTCAATAAATAAGGATCCCCAATTGCAAAAATACTAATATATATTTCTGAAATTGATACCGCTTCGATGCACCAGAAACATCCTCCAGCCAGTGTTGCTAATTGTCTTCCCACAGGGGCAGCCATAATGTCGTTGTCTTCAATACTTTCACCACCGGAGCTACTTGATAACCCTCCTGATAACGCTATAATTACCAATCCAAGGTTTATCAAACGGGTGTCGAGTCCCATTATACACAAATTATCGTTCCAACCAGTTTAATACTTGACTACACAATGTGCAAGACTGAATGTGTCCCATTTTGCATTTTATAATCAATCTCACCTTTTTAATAGTTCCAGGACAAACACAAAATAAAGTATTAACGTGACCTTAATTTAACTTGTAAAAAACAAAAGTACAAAGTACAAAGTAAAATAACTTTCACTTTCACTTGTGCTAGCACTGCTGAAATGAATGAATGATAAAACCTTGTTGAAGGTGCCGCTATCCAATCCTGTTTATGAAGACAAAGTGTTTATGATAATATAAAAAATAGACATAGTTTTCATTTTCATGAAGATATTCTTCAAAAATAGGGTGGAGAAGTATCGGTATTATGTAATTTGTGCATGCATTGTACAAATCTACATAAACAGTTAACAAAATTTTTGCAACACGTCATTAATTTATAAAATTCACATATATATAAATCTCAAGTGACAATTTATTATTATTGATTAAATTGTGCACTAAAAACGTTTGACTGCATTTCATCCGAAATTACAATAAGTATACAGATTTCAAGTGTTTTTAACACGTCGGTTAAAATTAACAAAGTTGTGTATGTTTAACGTCATAGTTCAATTAGTGATGTCACATCATTTGTTCAGATGTATTTAGGACTTTGTTCGTTTTTATGCAGGGTGAATTGGTGAATATATATTACTTTTTATTCTACAGGGAAAATAACTTAAATAAAAAAAGATGTTTTATGAAAATCTTGCATTTTCATCGAAATTATGCAATCTTTGTATTGAACGAGAAAGTAGGCAGTAGGCACGTAAATTTAAAGTATTGGAACATTGCCAAAATTTGTCTATTTCTTTTAGTTGATCACAAAATTCTATGTAAATATTTCATCTACTTCAGAACATTTAACGAAATTAATAAACAATTTTTATGGGACCTAAAAGTACACACCCTGTAAAATTCAAGCTTTTATTTCAATCATCTAAATTAAATTTATTTTGTCATTGGTTAAGTGGTTTCCAATCAATGACGTTAAAACTATCCGACGTGTCCTTTTACACAGTTATGCAAAATTGGAGTACCATTATCAACCGTGGACATTCGTATTATTGTCATATCTTTTGTGTGTCAACATGATATCGCTACATGATATTTAGTACACGAGGTAAGTGTTATGTAATAAGTTTTTTCCATATAAATACGACTCCCGTCAGTCACACCTCTCATCCTCAGTCAAAGAGTGGCGTTGGAACACATTCAATTTATTGCAAAAATCGCAAAAAAATGAGGCAAGTGAGACTGCTTCCCGTTTTAATTTTCAGTTTGCAAATTGTCTTCTTTACAAATGGTATGAAGATTCCTCAGAAGCAAGATCCCCTTCCAGAATTAAAATGGTGGGATTCTGGCATCATATACCAAGTTTATCCAAGATCTCATCAAGATTCGAATGGCGATGGCATCGGGGACTTGGCCGGTGGGTCATCATCAGCTTACCCTAAATTTTAATTATTAATCATCAATTATTTCTCATTCAGGAATCCAGTCTCGATTGGATCACTTTGTCGAATTGGGAATCCAAGCGGTCTGGATTTCTCCAATATATCAAAGTCCAATGGCAGATTTTGGCTATGATATTTCTAATTTCACCGACATTGCGCCGGTTTTTGGAACTTTGGACGATTTCAGGAATCTCTCCGACGCCATGAAAGAGCGAAGTGAGATTAAATTACTTCTAATTTTCGACTCAGAATCAATTAATACCTTGATTTCAGATATCAAATTGGTCATGGATTTCGTCCCTAATCATTCCAGCGATGAACACGTATGGTTCAATCGTTCCGTCAATCGCATCGAACCTTACACGGACTACTACGTTTGGAAAGATGCCAAAGGGTTTGAGATTGATGGGACTCCCATTCCACCAAATAATTGGGTACGCACATCACGAATTTACAATCTCCTCCTAATTGCACCACTTAATAATTAATTAATCTCACAGGTCAGCGTATTCGGAGGCTCCATGTGGACCTGGAACGATATCCGCCAACAATTCTACCTTCATCAGTTCGTAGCAAAGCAGCCCGACCTGAACTATGAAAACCCAAAAGTTCTGACCGAAATCCTTGCCGCGATCAAGTTCTGGTTGGACATGGGAGTCGACGGCTTCCGCGTAGATGCTGTCCCCCACATGTTCGAGGATCAACGTTATCTCGACGAACCTGCCGATCCCAACGCACCAGAAGGCTCCCTCCCCGATGAGTATCGATACTATCTCCATCCATACACCTACAATCTTCCCAAAGTGCTCGACGCCCTGGCCGAGATACGACAACTGATCGACATTTACACTGCTTTCGATGGGAAAGATCGGTGCATGATGGTCGAAGCCACCATCCCCAATTTGGACGACTTATTCCTCTATTATGGCACCGAATCTCGACCAATTGCCCACTTTCCCTTCAACTTTGAGTTCATCAACAGGATCAAGCCTGGTTTTAACGGGACCGACATCTTATCCATGGTGGACGAATGGTTTCAGAAAATGCCTCCCGGGGCGACAGCCAATTGGCTCGTCGGAAATCATGATAACCATCGCGTTTCGAAAAGATTCGGTGATTATATCGTTGATCCATTGAACATGTTGATCCATCTTCTCCCGGGCTCATCGGTGACCTATTACGGGGAGGAGATTGGAATGCAGGACACTTGGATTAGTTGGGTTGATACGGTCGATCCAGCCGGATGTAATGCGGGCGAGGATAGGTACGAATTATTCTCCAGAGATCCAGAAAGGACGCCGATGCAGTGGGATGCCACGAAGAGTGCGGGATTCTCCACGGCGGACAGGACATGGCTTCCAATTCATTATAATTACACCATTTTAAACGTGGCAGCACAATCTGGGAGTGACGAGAGCCACTTGGAAATTTATAAAAAAGTTGAACTTTTAAGAAGGTCAAATGCCTTCAAGTTTGGCTCGTTAGAGACCAAAGCGCCCAATGATGGAGCTGTTTTTGCATTCTCGAGGTGATTTACTTGTATTAAGAATTGGTAAATTAGAAAGTTTTTTTACAAGTTTTCTGACATTTTATTATCAGAATCTACAATTCCACCGGATTCATAATGCTTGCAAATTTTGGAGATGCACAGGAAACTGTGAATGCCAGTTTGGAATTTGAAGATATTCCAGCAATCGCCAGAGTGTATACCAGATCGCAAGGATTTGTTCCTGAGGGGACGTTTGTTGGGTGAGATTTTTTTTCAAAAATTAATTGTCCCTTCTAAACATAACTATATTTTTAAATGATCCCTATCATATTTGCAGATCGAGCATCAACACTAACGAAATCGTGATCGGAGCGAGACACAGTTTGATCGTGGAATTTTAATCCTGTTTTATTATTGAATTGTAACATAAATCCGATAAAACCCCGGATAAATTCTTAAATGCAAACTATTACGTAAACCATTTTCATTCTCGTGGATCATTTTCTTTACTTGTTACATGCTTTTGTTCGTAAGCAGAAAATAAACATATACCACGAATACATATGCACATAAACTTATGTAATGTCATCATCATGGTGCGTGAGTTAATGAGGCTGCAAAAGGTAGGAACGTGCATTAGCCGATGAACTCGTTCAAGGTTAGAAAAGTAGTTGATGGATCGCGATAATAAAAAACTTGATGTACATTCCATACAATATTCGCTACTTACCAAGCTTAGGATTAGCTAAAGCCTAAGGTAAACTGTAGCCAAAAAGCATAACAACAACACCACGCTACTGCCTGGAGTAATAATGAGAGTCTCAGTCTCACAACCTCCATAACAAATATAACAATGGGCCACAAAATAACACCATGTAATCCATTGTGTATGTCAAATAGGCTAATCCCTCTGTCTGATCCATGATGCGGTTGTGGTGAAAATTCATTTCATATGTCCATCCAACTCCTCCAGCAGACAATTCGATAAATTTCTCACCAAAATGTTGAGCAAACAAAACATTCAATTTTTAACAGTATTACTTTTCATTCTATTTTTCTTCTCATTGTTCACGCTCTACCGCAACATAACTTTCCCACCAGTGATAACAGAAAGTAACAGTCAGCAGATTGTAGACAAGTCAGAATTGCGTAGCAATAATCAGTTGTTGTTACCAAATGCAAATTACGGTGGTGGTGGCGATGATATTGACGGCGAGAATAATAACAATGTGGAAGATACCGCAATAAGTAACCAAGTACCGGTCCGGTATGGAAGTGACATTTTGAGGTCATCGCCGGCCGACGACGTTTCACAAGTTGTTGATTGGGAAGAAATCGAGGCTGAAATTAAAGTCAGGATTGAAAATGTGAACGAATTGTGTAAATCGTATCATTTGGGGAAGTATAAGTGGTCACATAACAGCAGCAATGATTTGGGTATGCATATGTAAACCTGGATGAATATGTAATTTATCCATGTATAAAATACGGACGTTAACACTTTCTTTTCAAATTCAAGGACTGAAAGAGCCACCAACACCCTTATTTTCATATTACTTTTGGAACAAGGAACACCACTTGGGATGGTGTCCCGTTTACAAGGCAGGGTCAACATCTTGGCTATGGAATATGATGATTTTAGCCGGATTTTCAGAAAAACAGTTGGAAAATCCTCCCAAACAATTAAGCAGTTTGGCCCGAGAAACGTACGGAGATGCGGAACCGGATGTGAAGGTGTGAATAATTGGTTGCAAAATTTCACACATTATTTCTAATATCGAGCACATTTTCTCAGACTGTGGAAAACGCTGTAAAATTGCTTATTGTTCGCCACCCCTTTGACCGCTTGGTGTCTGCGTATCGTGACAAGCTGTCGAACTCGAGCGTGGGTATGTACACTAATTTACAACCCATTATTACCTTATTATTCCATATTTACAATCCGTTATTGCATGCTCAGGCCATGAACACGGGACTCACCACTTTTACCTAAAATACGGTAAAAAAATCGTCCAAAAATTCCGCACGGATCCCACCATCTCACAAATTGAACCGACATGGCCAGAGTTCGTGCGATACTTATTATCCACGGATTTACTCCAGTACTCTGATGACCACTGGCTCCCAGCCTACTATTCCTGCACCCCTTGTCTCACCCAGTACGACATAATCGCAAAACTGGAAACGTACAATCGCGACCAGGGCTACATCATCTACAGATTAGGTCTGGACAAAGTACTAAAACCGAGATGGGCCCACAAACTACAGACTGACCGCACCCAACTTGTATCCTCGTATTTTGGTCAGCTAACAAAAACTGAAATTTCCGAACTCTACCAAAAATATTGGTTCGATTTCACCCTCTTTGGCTACGACTACAAGGAATTTTTAATCTACGGCAAAGAAACGTGAAAGATTATTTATTCATGTCTTACATATTAATTTCTTCTTCATCATTTCCAATACGGACTATACTTCTCGTTCAACTTGTGAATGCAAATTATCAACAAAATTATATAAATGAACGATCCAAGGCAGTGGAAACCGGCAATCACGGAGATCACGAAGCTGGGAGTCATACGCAGCGTGGACTCGACGATTGGCCCGAATCCCGTATTTTTAAACCGGTCCATCGTCAACATGACCACGACGACGGAAAACGCCATGGATTGGAGGAGGAGGAAGAAAATTATGATGTAGGAGAGGAAACGCTGGCGTTTCTAAAAAAAGTACAAAAATCTTCACATTTTTACCAAAAATTGCTAAGTAAATAAATCGCTTACCCAAACTAATCCGCAAAAAATGGCCACTCCAGTGATAAACAGGCCAACATCGTAAATCCAGAGGAATATTAAATCATACAAAGTTGGAATCTAAATATATAGACAAATTAAATCGAAAATTAGCATAAAATTTCCGAATAAATTATTAATACATTTTAATTCCAAACTTACAAATCCTATATTTTTTGAAATCACGTCACTTTGAAGTACCGCCGTTAAGGTCACAAGCGTAGCTGCCCACAACTATTGACACAAAATAAAATAATGAACTATCCTCAATCCAATTTGTATATCTACTTAAACTGCATCACAGCCACTTACAATATGCACCACGCATCCCACATAACACGACGCTTTGACACAAATTCGTCCCATTTTGAGCTTTACGTTAAACCAAAAGCTTCAATTTTTTCTTCTTACCGATCAACTTATCAGGATAAGAAAAACCATTATCACGATACTTATTAAGATAAGATACGTAATTTCCCGTATGGATAAGTTTCCTCTTCATGTACCTACGAACTTATCTTCGCAACTAACACCACACACCTCAATCACCTCAAACTTTTAAAGTACCACTGCCATGTTTGGCATGTAAAAATAGTAACAGATGCCCAGAACAGAAAAGGCGTGGATTGGCATAAAGGAAGAAAACGGATCTTTCTTAATGCCCGTGATGACTGAAAATGAATTCCAATCTTAGATGAGACGTGTGCACCTTGGCAGGTAAATAAATAAAATAAAGACGATCTAACGCGTCTTCTTGGTCTTCCTCGTCAATAATGAAAGTTCTTCTTCTAAGAGCGGAATGAATCTCTATTTATTTTATTTTCTATGTGTCACTGCCTCAGCTATTCCTTTCTTTTAGCGTCTTTAGTCCTACACATCCCAACTCCACTGGCGTCCTTGTCATCACAAAATGACAAATATCTACGTATGTATGAACTACTAATTAAGTCGCATTCTGTAATTAAGTAGTCAGCCGAATGCAAAGAGAAATGCGTTTTTACTCGTTGTAGATAATGTAAATATACGCCTTATTCTCGTCAGAATCTAAATAGATATGTGTAAATTCTGCGTTTTAAATTCGCAATATCTCACATTTATTATGAAATATAAAGATTTTTCACTAAATTTCATACAAATCTCAGTTAGATACACTTTTCCACTTCTCCTAACACTTATTTCCTACCGACCAGCACACCACAGCACCACTCCACGTACTAAAATCAATCTGATTATAGTTTAAATATTCACGTTAAAAATCAATCCGCCACTTTATATGGATGGAGGACAACAGTTGAAAATTCCGTTCTGAATTTTTTCCCAATGATGAATAACTACCCTACCGACCGCTTTTCAGAAGAAGAATGATACAAGAAGGTGAACAACGACTCATCAGTTTCTTAAAAACAGTGTCTCAATCATGACAACGACAACGGCGACGACGTCGACGGTTCTTCCTTCCTTTCTTCTACTACAATTTAAAACGCTACGTTTTTTGTGGATTAAGTCACTACTTACATCTGCATCCCAGTTAGTTACCTTCAAATGGAGGAGCTGAGCCTGTCAAAAAATGAGATTTAAACCGTCATCACTGCATTTTATGAACAAAGGCTGCCTTGTAAAGTGCAGGATACATATCCATCTTCTTCTCCTTGTACAAGTGAACATGAAATTTTTTGAAGTGCGAATCAGTGATGCATTTCAAGTGTGCTTTTATCTTTTACGATTCTTTTTATGTCTTCTTGGTTAACGGCAGAGAGTCAAACTCTGCATTGTAATTAGCGCATTGTCAATTTTTTCAAGAAACAGGAAGGCGTATGTACACAAAAGATTGTTCAAATTCAAATTCTTGAGATACACATATTTACATAAATTATGAATTTTTATATTACTTATTTACACGGCAAAATGGAAAAAGAGTCAGAATGTGTCTCACTTTTGAAAAGGAATAAATTATGTTACACAGCCAGCCAGCAGCACATCGTGACATTGAATTTTAATCCAAAGAAGAAAAAAATTAAAATTAGTCAAACCTCGCTGAATGGAAATCTACACTACTAACACTAATACTCGCTCACCGTGTCACTCATTTTTTGAGATGGTATAAGGAAGGAAATGCACAAAATCAGCTCATCTTATCACGTGTCATGCTACAATTATTTACACACAGGACAAAATTAGCTATTCATTTGCAGACACACTTTATGTATTTAGTTTCGCAGCTGACGTGATATTTAATAATTACGAAATATGGGCATGTACACACACATGCTCGCAGGATGATGTGGGACTCTTGTAACACATGGCTAATTACCAATTAGTCCAAAATTGCGTGTACATACATACAAGTCAAGGAATGTTTAAATTAAATAATTTCCTATTTCTTTGCATCATCGAAACCCAAGCTGTCACCATTTCGTTCTTCTTATTACGTAAGAATTTTTCTAAGTCGAGGTTTAGATCCTACTGCTGGCTCTGGTGATAGTAGAAATCCTCCTCTTCAGCTTCATACTCTGCCCGTAACTTATTTTTGAGATGGCTCGTGTAGCAGATAAGTATGCAGAGGTAGGTTATCGTCGAAATGATATTGAGTGTCAGGCAGGTCACTCTTATCAAGACTTCTTTCTCGTCCGTGAAAAACGTGTCGGGTTTCCAGGACAGGATCGTAATCACGCCAGCGAACAATTGCAAAATCATGAGAGAGGCGATCGAGATGTAGAGACTTTGCAGGGAGTCCTTGCAATTTAAAGAGGTTGCAAACTTTATTTTATGTTCTAAATATAATGAGAAATTGTGTTAATTATTACTGTGCGAATTCCAGCAAATATAATTCCTGCCAGGAGACAGAGTCCGAGACAGTAAATGACCACGAATGCCATTTCCGGGGAAGAAAGCTTTACAAAAATTTGGCATTGAATTCATGACCACTTGTTGAACTTGACAATTGTTTTCGTATGCGTGTAAAAAGTACTCACATGTCGTCCACTACCATCTCGAGAAGTTCCAGCGGTGTACGCGACGAGTAAAGTTATCACGGGAATTATCATGAGTGCTACAAGCTTAAGAAATGCATGGTTAGTAAAATTTCATGAAAATTTCATTGAGCAATAACGAGACTTACCAATTGGACAAAAACTCCAAAATAGGCTAAACCTCTCCGAGAAAATATGAGACAACACATTTGGTTTTATTTATTATGCAGAATCTTATTCTCTTGTTTTAAATACATATGTGCACACTTCTTTAAAGAGCGTAACATAAGGCCGCAAATAATTTTGTGTGTCAATGATTGACATGTATTTTTATAAACAAAGCACGTGTTTGCCTCACAATTAATTTATCACCCACAAGAAATTACGGGGTCCTATGTATGTATAAATAACCGGGGTCCATCACTTATAAGATGTCCTACGACGATTACCCATAAAAATTACAGCCTGTCGCACTCAGCAAACAACAAAACGGTTCGATATACCGCTGACTGAGATTTAATAATTTCCACTAAAAGTAGCAGCTAATAACATGATTACTGCTTATTAAATTTAAGAAACTTCTTACTTCTACCTACCTAACTGACTGAGCCCAAAGAGATGAAAATAGGAAAAGAAAACTACCAAGCCAAGCAATATTGGCGAATTTATCGGGGAAAGCAAGAGGCAAAAGAAAGTCTCAAAACCCGGCACCCGGGTCTGCTTACGTACTTTCATTCCATTCCTACTACCCACTTCTGACTCGGGCACCACATATTTAGCTGGTTCATACCGTACAACCGTCAGTCAGTCAGTTAGTAAACGCAATGAAATGATGGGTGATGTTCCGAAATAGATAAGGAAATGACCGCACGTTAGTGTTCGTCTGTACTAAATTCGGTCTAATGGGAAGTAGAATTCGGTTTTACCAGGGAGAAAGTAATGGTTCATTCGGCTCAGTGACTTAAGTATCAAAACTCCATTACTTAATGGTATTGGTAAAAGTAGGAGGTCGTGGAGGAGGTGAAGCCATGCATCAGAAACACAATACCGCAGACAGGTTGGACTTAACCGGTTATTATTTCATCTGATAAAGTCACATCCATTTCATAATAATCCGATAAGTAACACAAAATCCTGTGTTCTTTGATTCCATTCAATTTCATTTTCCCATAATTCTAACTACTACCCGACAGTTTTCAATCACGCTAATTCCCTTATTTGTCTAGTATTGATGTTAATTCCTTGTTCTACATGAATAATAATCCGCTTAAAGTCTATTTCTATGTAATAGAAACTCGAGCATTGTTCCGATCCTATAAAATTGATAAATGTATAGAAAATCAATAAATCCATAATTGGATAATGTATTAATACCAAACCACCATTCTTCCTTGGAGGACCTGTAGATATCAAAAAATACGAGAATATCACATTTACAGTCAAACAGATAATACCAGCCAATGCGATACCATACGAACGAAATTATCGGGAAGAACCATTATTATTAGTCGAGAAAGAATCGATCTTTCAGGTTTCAGCGACAATCAATACACTTGCACGTTAATGTAAAGGGTTATTCAAATCGAAAGCAAATTGGCCTCTGTACTACCCACTCTTGTGCTGAATAATGAATAATGACAGTTGTAGAGTATTAATAATGGGTTGACAACTGTCAAGAATTTTGTGGTGTGTTTAATGAGACGCAAAGTATACGAAGGACGTGCCGGTACTTTATGAAACTGAAAATTGAAGATGTTATTTATACGCCCTGATTTGATTTCAAGGATCTCTTTCGCTCTCTCAAAATTTACATGGCATTTTCAACTTGGCCGACATTTGTGAAGAGACGAAGTTCATATTTAAGAAAATTTGGTGGAGTCGGAACATGGAACCAACTTTCCCTTTTGTTACAGAGTTCGTTCCTTTATATCACGCGGATCATGGATGGATGGACATGACACGGATTGAAAGTTCGAAAGTTGCCGTGAAATGAAATGAGATTGCATCTGTCACTTCATACTCATAATTTCTTCGTCTGAAAGCCTGAAATTTTTCATGCTGGAAATATTTACTTATGAGCAAATTGATGGAGAACAACGATCCGACTTGTGTAAAAAAAATTGGTCAGAAAGTCTCAAACAATCCTCACGTGCTTCTTCAAATTAAGTATTTATGTATGTAATAAACGAGAAAAATGATGGGCTCGGGCTGTATAAAGTCTGCATTGTGAGTTTTTAATAATATAGGGCAGAACTATTACTGTAAATTGTGACTGTATTGTTGAATAGATATGCCTAAAAGATTCATCAAATATTCATTGACCTGGTCCCATTTATTTCTATGCAAGTTAGTATTGACAAAAACCTAGGGATCGATTTATTCCAAGCATATTTATTTTTAGTACTACAATAGTTACTTTTTTCGGAAAGTTTTGGTACAATATTATTTTTGGTACAATAATATTATTGAGAAGGTAAATATAAGGACCAATTTGCAAGAAATTTGTAATATGAGTTGTAAGTAAACTGTGTCACAATTAAGCACATAAATATTAGTATTATTTTAAAAGGGGAAATTGAGACTTGTCTCATCCTCAGTATTACGATGAATGCATTTACTAAACTTTCCTCAAGATTAAAAGTAGACCTAAATTGACACGATTTCAGATCATGATCAACTTTGTTATTCTGCATTATGCAAACTCAGTACGTTGTGCACAAAACAAAATAAAACACTATTGACTATTGTTCCAATCACCTCACACCATAATTACAAATCACATACATGTAAGTTTACATACACATACAACACGATTTGTCCATGTGGTCATCTCATGCATCCCGATCAATATTTTCATTCCACGAAAAAAACGACTTTTCCATCCTAAATCGGACACGTCCTAGCTCATGCAATTTCAAACCTTATCCGTATGCCCAACAGCTATTAAAAATATGATGCAAAAGTTGAATCATCTCATCATCAAATAGACAATCTGACTCCATATGCACGTATCGGTCACCCCATCATCCATTTCATTAATACGAGCAAAATTGTGCAACAAACCAGGATTGGATTTGCCCAGGCGTGCCGCAAAATCCTTACCAAACCAAAATTATTATTAAACTGGCTTCAGTCAGAAATATGAGCTGGATCATCAGCCAGCACGACTTGAAACTGGTCACTCCACGTGAACGTGGTGGACACAATTTTCGCACAACCACAACTACATGCAGATTTTGCATGTAGTTGTGCTGGCTCATTGGACGTGAGAATAAGTTGTGGTGGTATGATCGGCAGAGAGCTTCTGTAACTTGACTCCTTGCAATAATTCGCATCATGTTACTATTTTATTCGCCACTTTTTTAACTGAGGATGAGAGGAATCAGTCACCAGCACGTATGCGAAGGAACCATTTAAACAGAATTATCGTATGAGCATGACACGACATGATACAAAAAGGGAATTTTCCCAATTCTTACTACAGCGAAAGCTTTGTTTTCAATCCGTCGTCGTTCCAAATTATAACAGAAATTATGACGCGTTGATTTATTAGTTGGTAAATAAATAAGTACAAAAGTACGAATAACAACGGAATTACTCACATAAAAATGTACCACTTGTTTACGGGGTATTACGCATTTTTTGTGAGAATTGATTAAATGCATGCGTATTTTAAATGCAGATATACGTAACCTTAAATGTCGATTAATTAAATGCATATAAATAGTTGTAAACTTCATCATTTATACAAATCGCATATATAAAATTGATTAATCTGTGTCAAAACAACCCTCATTATTTACGATTAGACAGCCCTGCCCATTTCTCCACTATCTTATCAGATTCGGTAACGGATTTGATTATGTGATAAGTGTTTAAACAAAAATCTTGACTTTTTTTACGTAATTGGCCATCACCACTACTTAACCGAATGCTCATTCTCACTTTTACTTACATGAATAAGAACAGTCATCCTTTGTTTATTGTTCTCCTCTGGACATGATCCGGGTAATATGTAGTTTAGCACAATATCAGTTATGTATGTATTTTAGCATGCACATTATGCAATGATAAGTACATATCTACATACATAGTTTTTTTTTACGTAGCGCACATGTATTTCAATAGCTACTTACTTATGGTCAATCCGACCAGATGATGATGGTGATGATGGTCATCATTCCCCACTTGGATGATCGGGTTATCGTCACCTTATTCCTCTCTCTCTGTCTCTGCATGAAATGAATTTGCACGCTTTCTGCAAACCTATCCTGCACCAAACACGTGTACCTCAAGCCATCGTTATGTCATGTCATGTATCCTATCGCTGCCTGCATACGAGCCTGGTGGAGCTTTTGACTTTCTATAAATTAGTGCAGGACTCTTCTCTCGGCCTCTTTTCACTTGTGACCGTGGTCCGAGTACCTTCAGTGGACACGTCGTGTTCCCAAAAATATAAGCATACAAAATTCTTCGTACAGCAGTTATAGCAGCAGCAGAAGTAGTTTCACGATACAAATTAATTACAAAACACGTAACACACATCAATACAAAAACATAACTTAAATAATCAATAAATCAGTTGAATTCACGTTATAAATCAATCAATACAAAAAAGTGTCAAGAAAACTTTCGAATTTTTAAAACAACGAAAACGTCAAAATATTCGAATTCTGGTAAGTCAATGAAAATTTTCAAGCTTTTCCTCTTGTGTAAACCTATAGTATTTAATCATAAGGCATATTTTGAGAATTTGAGACGGACGTTGCAGTCAGACAAATTAATTAGTTAAATACCTTCTAAAAATAGCATGAGAGCATAACTCATTATTAATTTTGACGTTTTTCCCCTACTTGTCATCAATTCCTGGCATTCACCAAACCAAACCTCCAAGTGTATGTATCCATACTTTTCCAACTTAATGAAAGTTAATTAATTCTTTATCAATTTAAATTCTCAATTGATTCAGCACTTTATTAATCGGGACGGATTTTATTTACACCAAGGCCATCATAATTTCAATTTCACGTATTTACCACCCGTCCGTCCTTCAACTTCAACTTCTTCTAAATATAGGTGACCAAAACCCAGACAATCTTTACATATGTCATCTCATCATTAACTACATCAATTTCCCCAGGTCAGGTTCAGCTCAAGTTCACTCGGTCGTTTTTATTGAGATTGCACCACCACCACTAATTTATTATGTATGCACATACATACAATGAGAAAACTCCTTTTACATACCCACCGACCGACTAAATTAAACCCTAACTGCTAATCCATTTATGTCAATCATGCATGATGACATGACCAAGTAGTAAAACCTCCAGTAAATTTCCAGTTATCATCATCATCCGTACTGGAAGATTATCTGCATGCTAAATGTATGCATGCATGTCGTCGTTACTCAGCTTTTTTAACGTACATGTATGCACAACTAGTACCCAACATATTAGCACAATACACTACAGTTGCATTACTACTACAGTGGTAATTTACTACGGAGAACAATAAGATTACTTTACGATCATACGATGTGTAGCCCAACCGGCTTAGCTTTCCTCGGGAACCAACCAAAAGCCAGCAATTTCCTTGCAAGAAGATCACACCACATTTGGCGAATTCATAATACTGAATACAGACAGCCGGTCCGTCTCTCTTAGTCTGTTGCAACTTATGTGCAAATACTTTGCACACAAAAAATTAACGAACTTTAAGCGAAGAAGTCAGTGTCAGTGGTCGGATGGCATGCATGCAAAAAAGAAGTCACGTACATTTTCTTGGCTAGAGAGGGGTGTGTTTGGGGGTACACAAGTACATATTCCATTGCCAATGTATAATTTCGTGTCGAAATGTTGACCGTAATTATGTTTCGTGGCTTGAAGAAATGCAATAATTTTTTGCATAAAGAAAACTCATAGCTATAGATTAATAATAATTTCATGTTAAAGTGGAATTCAAAATGTACAAATGAATGCCATCGTTTTGTTAACCTTCAAACGAGTAGATTTCAATCAGACTCACTTTTTTAGTAGATCTTTTACATGCTTTTTCGATCCCATTGATTTGTTTTATGCAACGCATCCTTTGACTTGTTTGATGACATTCGACACTCGTGGGTCAACGTGTACATGACGAATTGAGATTGGATTTTGAGCCAAATGCGTAATAAGTGTTTAATTTTGGTGCATTTTTTAGTACGGGGAAATAATAATATCGGAGTTACATAGATAAATATGTTGTATAATGGCTTATGAAATGTCGCAGTACATCAATCAGGACGAAAAATTTGACAAAGTTTTAATTGCGTCTTCTGAATCAAAATTACTTTTTTTCTAGTTTAATTACATCCCCAACTTTTGCATACTTTTGCAAGAAATATGGATGAATTATTGCACAACGACGTAATTATCATGATCTCATAAAGAACTGGATTAAATCGAGTATATCGATTGCAAAACTATTTTATCTTTGACTCGACTCATTAAAATTACTTCGCCAACTTTGACTTTCCTTGGCCCTTCATCTTACTCGTAGTTGTCACTGCATTATATTTTTAGATAAGTTAGATAAGCACTATTGGATTCCATGCATCGGTTCGTAACCCAATTTTCCAGATCATGCCATGCAGTTTCATTTCATACAAAGTGAGACGACATCCTTAAATAAGTGGTGGTATGATTAAGATTCATCATGCGATTTTTACTTTTTTTGGATTTGATAAAAATTTGCAAACGTGCAAAAAACGAAACCATGCATGCATCACACTTTTACAATGCACATGTTTATCTAGTCAAGCATAACTACTACTGCTACTAAGAAATGTTAACCGATCGTCATATTATGCACACACGACTCAAATACATACAACTCATCATAGCGATTTCCGATGAAAATGAGACGAACCGACGAGTCATGCAGTCACGCCATGCAAATCGGATGCCCAGTCCAGGTTGCATACTTACGGTAATACCATCGGTGTCGGTTTATCAAAATTGCAATAACATTACTTTATTATTATTGTTTGTCTGGTCTCACAACGTTTCTTATTTCCGTGACTGGCACACAATTCGGCGTGGTCTTCTGCTAACATATAGTCAGGTTTCGAGTCCAGTTTGCAAAATTTTTGGCAAAAAGTTACCATAGATTAGGAATTTGCAGTTAACGCAATTGAGCACTTGTTACACTGCAAATTGATGACTGTTAAATTGTTGACAATACGCAATTAATACATTTAAAATCGCAATAAAAAGGTCATACTACAAAATAAATTTACATAAATGACTCGTAAAGTGCTATTCCGAGATGGTAAAAAAATCTAAAAATAATAATTTGTGTATTATTTACTAATTAAATTCACGACAATTTATTTATGTATTTCACAATTTGTTACAGAAATGCCTGCCCAATTTCCTGAAGTTGACCTCGCACCCCCTTCACCCGCCATGTCGATGACCAACAATAACGAGACCGCTAACCGTACTTGCATCGGATTCTGTCACGATGACCTCGTCATTTCCGGCATTTCGTGCCGTCTCCCGGAATCTGAAAACATGGAGGAATTCTCCGACAACCTCTTCAACGGAGTGGACATGATCACGGACGATGGGCGTCGCTGGTCTCCCGGTTTGTTCGGGTAAATATTAAAAAGTATTATTATTAGGGAATTAATGACTTTGAAGTTTGTAAAAATTGATTAAAAAAGAACAAGTAATATTAGTTATTAATATTCTGCAACTAACGGCACATATATATGTAAAATATTATATTTTAAACGTTTTAACAAAGGAGTAGGTATAAAAAATGAACACATTCATGAACTATTATGAAAGTGGTATCCATATTACTGCAAACTTAATCGGATTCATCAGAGTTTGAGTCTGTGGAGTGATCGCCGCTGCTACTGCTGAGCAAGATTAGGTTCATATTTATTTTTAATTAAAAACTAAGAATGCCAAAGTATCTGATAATACCTGCCCGCCTCCGGGTTGTGCTCATCCTCGTCTGGATTGTAATCCTCATCCTCCGAATTTTCGACTTTATCATCTGAATAATTCTCAGAATCAGCAATAAAATTTGGCTGAAATAAGGAGAGGTTAAAAATTAGTACATTTAAATCAGACAACTACAAATTAAATTAATTACCATTTCACCACGATCTTTATCAAATTTCGCCAAAATGGGTTCAACCCCCCAAAACAATTTTACGAACTGACAAATATCACTCCACGAGTCAGAATCGACCAGACTTAGCGACACACATTTGTTGGTGGAGTATCCACGACCAGAGGGCAATTTCCGCAATGGGTTGCGAAGTCCGAGTAAATAGGCAACATAACCCGCAATAATCATCTTTGCCTCTATTTGCGTGTTATCTGTAACGTCACACTTGGCAAGGAGAGATGATGTCACGGTGGGGGCTCGAGTTCCATCGAGTTTGGCTCTTGCCTCCGTTATGCGCTTATACTCATTTGCCCCGTCGGTCCTGTTTCCTCTTCTGAGGCGGTCCTTAAAATCTGGGGTATTGCTCCACCCGAAGTAATGCATGTCACGACTTGTTATCGTGTAAAGAAATGACTTCCCTTTCTCAGGTTTTTGTTCTTTTTCTGCTTGTGTTCCGAGTAAGTACTGTCCAGGAAAGGGATAGGTCACCTCCATCCGTTCCGCCGGTGACAATTCCCGCATTTTGAGGTGCATCCCGAGTTCTTTCAGACGCGTGTCGAGCTCTTTCTCCATCCCGTAGCAGAGTGGGATGATGTCATCCAAGTTAACGAAGGGCGTAGTCCCTAGGGCCAATTTCATAAACATGCCGATCGTCTGCACATGTAAAATAATAATAATAATGTTTAAATGACATGTTTTAGTCTGTTATATACAGTACAGTTGATACTAACCGATTCCAGTGCTAAACGACTCAAAGCTTCTTCAACGGTCCCATAGTGGTACATGGAAATGGCTTCTGGTATAGGGCGAGCATCTTTTATGGGATAATACTTAATCCATGACCTGGAACTAGACATGTGTATAGACGCATACAATTCTGCGTTGTAATTTTTATCGGATTCAGGAGAACCCAAATTTGTGGAAATTCCAAATTGCACGTGCATTTGAATTACCAGGTTTTTTTCATTGTATGGCGTCAATTTTACCACAGAGTGCATCTTGATGTCTTGATGACGGGAACACTTTGGAAAGACGTCAGTCGATATTGTCTGGTTGTACTTGTAACAATCTGCAATAGTTATTGAAATGATGCATAACCCAGGTCATTAAACAAAATCAATATTGGAATATGTTTACCTGCTTTTGTGCATAGTCTACTAGCTTCGTAAACTGGTGTTCCTTTATGCATTGCTATCATCTCGACGCAAAGATGAATAATTCCGCTGTTGGGTGCCCTGTGAATGATGAGACTCCAACCCGGCTTATCAATAATGGGCACTCTCCCACCTTTGTCGAAAATCGCCGTAAAAAGTTGTTCCCTCTGCTCATCAGATAATCCTTCGTCTTGTGTCAAAATCATTTCGGGGGAATCCTCATAGATGTTCTGGGGAGAAGAAAGAGATTCGGTGCTAACCAAATCTAGAATGGTTCTTTTAATCAAGTCGACTCCTTCGTCTATATAGAATAAAAATAGTTATGTTTCTTCTTTTAATTTTGATCACGTAACGACTATGGTAATGGTCATTTACCTCGAATTTCTTTAAGATTCGAATAACATGTGCCCGCGTATCGCACTTTAAATTCTTCGGCCAAATCCACTTCTCGAAAAATGATCCCCCTTCCGTCTCTCGGATATCGCTTCTCAACCTGTATCTCCTCCTTTGGGAAGTAATACCACGTCGGTGGTTCAAAGGCCTGGTCATCTCGGACTGAACTCGTTTCCGTAACCGACTTCCTCTTATCCTCATCTGTCGTCTCAAGAGGGTTGAGTTTTCCCAAGGGAGCGTGAGGATCCTTTTTTTTCTCAACGACTAACAATTTCGACGCAGGTGGCAAAGGGGTCGCGGTTTTCTTGGCACTATAAGACACAATAAAATAAACAAATAATATAATTAATGGATGGAAGAGAAAAAAAATCACCGTTTTTTAGCAGAAGGGCCGTCGACTTGCTCTTCCTCCTCTCTCTTTGCAAAAACGGGTGGCCTCGTGACCTCAAAATCCTCATCAGAACTATACCCTCCCCCTTCCATCGTAATAATTAATCTCAAAGATCAAACAAAAGAAACGAAAATAATAAATAACTCAAACGGTGACAGAATGAAAAAGAGGACGAGGTTGAACTTAATTTCCGCTTAACTGGGGTAATATAAAATCTAACCAAATGTTTATTTTGTCGTCTTTTTTCACATCAGGTTGCCGACACGATGTGGCAAACTGAAGACGTTGGACAAATTCGACGCCACGTTTTTCGGTGTGCATGCCAAACAGGCGCATTTAATGGACCCCCAGCTCAGACTCTTACTCGAACTGACCTACGAAGCTATTGTTGACTCTGGAATTAACCCCACGACTGTGCGAGGAACCAGGACGGGAGTCTTTATTGGAGCTTCCGCCTCTGAAAGTGACGAAGGCTGGTCTGCAGATCCGGACAGCATTAATGGTTATGGATTGACGGGATGTTGTCGGTAAGTCTGAGTTCCTTAACATGGCATAAGAATAACTTTCATAACAACTAATACAATTAAATTACTGCATGTTTTCTTAGTGCCATGTTTGCCAACCGAGTCTCGTACACGTTTGACTTTAAGGGACCCAGTTTTGCAATGGACACGGCCTGCTCGTCCAGTCTGCTTGCGTTTGAACAAGCCATCTCCGCCATTCGGTCGGGTCAGTGTGACGCCGCGATTGTGGGAGGTGTCAATCTCCTCCTGAAGCCACAGTCTTCTCTGCAATTCCATCGATTAGGAATGTTAGCTCCGGACGGGAAATGCAAAGCTTTTGACGTTTCCGGTAATTACAACAACATAATTAATTGAATTTTTTTTACTAAAATTAATAGCTTAACTACTGACGCAATTCTTACTAAATTAGGAAATGGCTATGTCCGAAGTGAAGCCGCTGTCGCGATCTACATTCAAAAAGCCTCCTCCGCTCATCGTTCTTACGCCACCGTAATTCACGCAAAGACCAACACTGACGGCTACAAAGAGCAGGGAATCACCTTCCCCGCCGGCGCCGTGCAGAAACGCCTCCTCGAAGAAATCTACTCTGAAGCCTGCGTCTCTCCCAGCGACGTGACCTATGTCGAAGCTCACGGGACCGGAACAAAGGTCGGCGACCCCCAAGAACTCAACGCCATCGCCGACGTCTTCTGCAAAGACCGCCCCTTGACAAATCCTCTCCTCATCGGCTCCGTTAAGAGCAACATGGGTCACTCTGAGCCTGCATCTGGTCTCTGCTCCGTGGGTAAGCAACACTGTTCAAAAACTCAATTAATTCAATTTTTTTATAAAAACATATCCTTTAATTCTAACTTGTTACAATGATCAACATTAATTGTAAGAGAACGGCCAGTTAGGAACTTGAAGACATTTTGAATATACAACAGATCTCCTTCTTCAAAACTATTGATATGCTCATATATCTTGTTGTCTCGTTGAATGAGGATGTCATTATGGGACTGTCCCTTCATCTCTGCTATTATTAGGGCTGCAATTCCCAAGCCCTCCTTTCTCGTACAGTCAGCCTCCACTCGTTTAAATAGGGCAAGTTGATCTTGATATTTGGCAATTTCATCAGGTGTCCACCCCTTCATTTTTGACACATCCACGTCTTTCCTCCAATTATTAGTGATGGAATTTGCAATCTCAATTTCATCACCAGTGAGAGTGGGTTGGTAAAGAGGACCGGAAAAAAACTTATCGGAACTGCAATACATACATGAATAAGAATCATAAATAGGAATCTCTAATAGTATTATAATTTAAACTAACTGTGTATAAGCACTGGCAACTCCTCCACCCTTATATCCTCTCATTATCATCACTGATTTCACATAGTTGAAAATGGTAAGAAGAGCACTTCCTTTTTGCGGAAGTTTAAAGGGAGTGGTGGCACTTGTCACACCATCATCATCATCATCAAACTCTGACTCTAAACCAGACGAGTTGAAAGTAGTAGCTGACGTAGATGGTGACGATATTGTTCCAAAAGGTGACAAGGGCGATTGTGGTGATTGTGGTGAATTGAAGATGGGGGGAATTATTTTCTGTAAGCAAAGATGAAACAATTCATAAAAGTCACTTTCACTCAAGAATTGCATACTTTCTTCTTTGTACATACATATAAAATGAGTTCATTTATTAGCTGTGTTGTCAGCTCGGATACATTATCTCCACTTCGTCTTAAGTGAACATCAGCAGTGGTTGGTGTTTGATAATCGCCATCAATTTGGTTCAATACTAAGTTAGTTGGCAAAAATAAATGAAAGTTAGACAACATAATAGTATACATAATCTTACGATTTTTACCGTTTCTCTCAAGACCGTGTGCACAATCTTTTCTGGGTCGATCCACAAAGACTTCCAGAAACCTCATACCATCATTTTCATGCGACTCGCGAACTGTTTTCCGATCCTATAATATACCAACAGTAGTTTCATTATTGCATTAAAACATCCATCAATTCGCATTATACCTTCTCAAGTGGTGCCACTATTGAGACGAGAGAGATGTATCCCATCTCTGTGATCAATTTTGCTGATTCGCCGGCCAGACGTACAAACTCGGACCGATCGTCAAGGTTGTCGAAATCCAACTTTGAGCAAATTCCACTCCGTAACTTCTTTCCGTCCAATTGTTTCACAAGATAACCGTGACCACCAAGAAAGCTGCTCACTTCATTGGAAATTGTAGTTTTCCCAGCTTTACATAAACCTATATATTTGCATCAATTAATTTAGTTTGAAAAGCCATTTACGTATATGTATTATTTAATAATAATACCTGTCAGAAGAATTGTACACCCAACTTGAGCAGCAATCCCTTCACCCTGGACCCTTTGTCGCTTTGGTGGAGGTGTAACAAAGACACTTTTAGTGGAGGAGGGGCTGGGTGTGGCCATTATTATAAAATAACTAATAGTTTAAATGTATTAAATTGAAAACTATGCGAGTAACTTGTTACAAGGAAAAGAAAGCCGGTATGAGATTATCATTTCATCTCGCCACCTGCATATCATTAACTTTTTTGTCTTGACGCTTCACATTGCCCCTTAGTTTATTTACCTGTTTCTTTAAAAGCTAAGGTCCTTCTCGCCATGCAGGAGGGTGTCCTACCAGGAAACCTGCACTTTAACGAACCTAACGCCGACATCCCTGCCCTCTCCGATGGCAGATTTAAAGTCGTCAGTGAAAATCTTCCCTGGGCTGGTGGTTACGTTGGGATCAACTCGTTCGGTTTTGGCGGAGCCAATGTCCACGTTGTCTTGAAGACGAATCCAAAGCAAAAACCGGCCACCCCCACCACCTCAGCCACCCCGATTCTTATCCCATACTCGGGTCGAACAAAGGAGGCTGTAGAATTCACTCTGAAACAACTCGCCGAAAAGCCAAGGGACGATGAATTGATTGGATTATTCCATGAAATCGCGAAAGAAGAAATTCCCGGACATCATTTCCGCGGATATACCGTTCTCGGAGAGGACCGTGCTGATTTAGACGTACAACCGGTTACTACATCTGCTGGAGAGAAGCCTCCAGTCTGGTTCATCTTTTCCGGGATGGGTTCCCAGTGGCAAGGAATGGGCAAGGACTTGATGAAATTCCCCGTTTTTGAGAAATCCATCAAAAAGTCGGCCAATTGTCTGTCGCCCCATGGCATCGACCTCATCGACCTAGTCATGAATGGAACGGATGAAATGTTTGAGAACGTGCTCAACTCCTTCGTCTCCATCGCGGCGGTCCAAGTCGCCCTTGTCGATATGTTGTCCTGCGTGGGCGTCGCTCCAGACGGAATTATCGGTCACTCTGTGGGAGAGTTGGGTTGTGCTTATGCGGATGGGTGCTTTACAGCGGAACAGACCGTGATGGCCGCGTATGCGAGAGGAAAAGCTATTCTGGAGTCGAAACTTGCTCCAGGCGCGATGGCCGCGGTTGGTTTGACGTGGGAAGAGGCTAAGGCCCGGTGTCCTTCGGATATCTTCCCGGCTTGTCACAACGCCAAGGACAGCGTCACCATTTCCGGTCCGGTCGACTCGATCAAGAAGTTTGTCGAAAAGTTGAAGTCGGAAGAGATTTTTGCGAAGGAAGTTAAGTCTTCGGGTCAAGCTTTCCACAGCAAATATATTGCAGGTATGGACAGCTTAGATTTAAAGCAAACATTTTTGAGATTCTTTTTATTTTGATAAATTTACCAAGTTTTTATTAATTAATTCAGATGCCGGTTCTAAACTAAAGGAAGCACTAGATAAATTAATTCCAGTTCCAAAACCAAGGTTAATTGTGAAATAAGTAATAAGATTTTAGAAAAATCAAGATTATAAACCAATTTTTAAAAATTTCTAGATCCACTCGATGGATTTCATCCTCCATCCCTGAAAAGTCATGGTCCACCCCGCTCGCTCAAATGTCCTCCTGCGCCTACCACGTGAACAACCTCTTGTCCCCCGTCCTCTTCCAAGAAGCTATCGCCCACATCCCAGAAAACGCTCTGGTCATCGAAATTGCTCCCCACTCCCTTCTCCAAGCCATCCTTAAGCGCTCGCTCTCCTCCAAGTCTACCAACGTTGGGCTCATGAGTCGCTCCTCCCCCGACAACGCGAACTTCGTGTTGGCCGCACTCGGAAAAATTTTCATGGCTGGATTAACCCCCAAAATTTCCAAGCTTTACAAGAAGGTCGACTTCCCCGTCGCCCTAGGCACTCCAATGATCAGCCCGATGGTCAAATGGGACCACAGCATCACCTGGGACGTCGCCAAGTTTGGACAAGCAGGGGCCCGCTCGGGTGAAAGTGTTGTTGAAGTCTCCCTCACCGGAGAAAACGATGCTTACCTCATCGGACATACGATCGATGGAAGAATCCTCTTCCCCGCGACCGGCTATTTGCAACTCGTCTGGAAAACTTTTGCCAAATTGAGAGGAACAACGTTCGACCAGTTGCCCGTCATCTTTGAGAATGTGTCCTTCCAACGAGCAACCATTCTCCAGAAGGAAGGTTCTGTCAAGTTCCTCATCAACGTGTTGGAAGGAACTGGCGAGTTTGAGGTGTACGAGGGAGGCTCCGTTGCCGTGTCGGGATTCATTAAAACTCCGGAAGACGTAGGACAAGAAATGTTGGCCCTGAAACCGATCGAAATTCCACAAAAGCCAAAATTCATTCCCTTAACGGGATCTGACTGTTATAAAGAACTTCGTTTGAGAGGGTATGATTACCACGGCTTGTTCAGAGGAATTAGGACCTGCGACAATCAAGGAGAGTGGGGAAAACTTGCCTGGGAAGAAAACTGGGTCTCATTTTTGGACACGATGCTCCAATTTACCATCATGTCGCAGCCTAACCGAGGCCTCTATCTGCCAACGCGTCTTCAAAGGGCGGTTATCGACCCCCAGACCCTTATCAACTTCACCCTGAACAACCCTACCTTGATTTCCGAGGAGGGCGTGACCGTCTACAAGTATAAGAAACTCAACGTCGTCAAATGCCCCGGAGTTGAGTTGAGAGGACTGAAAGCCTCCCTGGCGCCGAGAAGGGTGCAAACTCAGGCTTCCCCTAACCTGGAAGAGTACGCTTTCACCCAGTACGTTGACGACGCTAAGACGACCACCCCAGTTAACAAGGTCCTCCGCGCATGCGTAGATATTGTGATTGAAAACACCCCAGCATTAAAATTGAAGGTAGCTGAGATCGTGCAAAAGGGAGAAGATTCAGTTGCCCACGAGGTCCACAGAATTGCCATGAGTCAACCCATGTATCAAGATGACGTGACGATTCTCACCCTCAAGTCGGAAGTCGCCAAGTTGGAGGAAGTTGAGAAGGCTGGAATTAAAATTGTTGGAAAGGACGCTGTCGCCAAACTCGTGCCCGAACAGGGACTTCATCTCGTAGTGATTGATGACATCAAGTTGGTTGAGATTGTTGAGCCAACGCTTAAAGAGAATGCGTTCCTCTTGGTCCAACTTCCGGTTGGGAAATTGGCCGTGACGCATTCCGCTTTTAACACGGTTGCGCACAAGATTTCAAAAGATAAGGAGTTTTGCTTGCTGAGAAAGGTAAGATTTAAAAAAAATTTGAATTGATAAAATTTTGATAAAAATTTGACCAAATTTCAATAAATTCTTGCAGAAATCTATCGAATCAAAATCTCCCATCGTTATTCCCATCCAAAACCAAAAGTTTGAATGGGTCGAACTGGTCAAGACTCATATGGACGAGTCCTCCAAGGACGCCACTTACCCAGCCATCTACCTTACCGCGACCACCCCCGATTCCGGGATCATCGGCCTCGTCAACTGTCTCAAACAAGAACCCGGCGGTCACAAGATTCGTGGTCTCTTCACCCCTGAAGGTAAAACTGTGGTGATCGACTTCCAAAAACCTAGCCCCCTGCTGAAACGAATCCTTGAGAACGACCTGATTCAAAACGTTGTAAATGAGAAGAACGTCCTCGGCTGCTACCGTCACTATCCACTCGTAACTGAGGAGGACTCTAAATCCACCGTGGAGGTCGAACATGCCTACATCAACACCCTCATGCGAGGTGACCTCTCATCCCTCAAGTGGATCGAGGGTTCTCTCAAGTACTACAAACCCGAACGTCACCCGAACACGGAACTCTGCACGGTGAATTATGCTCCCCTCAACTTCCGCGATATTATGCTCGCCACCGGGAAACTTCCCCCAGATGCGCTCCCCGGTGATTTGGCCATGCAAGATTGCGTCTTGGGATTAGAATTCGCTGGCAAGAACTCGAAAGGAAAGAGGGTCATGGGTCTCATTGCTGCTAAAGGTCTGGCAACCACGGTTTTGGCCGATCCTACTTTCATGTGGGAAATCCCAGCCGCGTGGAGCATGGAGGAAGCCTCGACGGTCCCTGTCTGCTACGCCACCGCGTATTACGTAAGTTGACATATTTTTTGCATACTGTGTCCGAAATAGGTTTTAATTTTATTCAAAATTATAGGCTCTCATTGTCCGTGGTAAAATGGTTCCCGGGGAGTCTGTCCTGATCCACTCGGGATCCGGTGGCGTCGGTCAGGCCGCCATTGCCATCGCGTTGAGCATGAAATGTCGCGTTTTCACCACCGTCGGCTCCGCAGATAAGAAGGACCTCCTCAAAAAACGGTTCCCCACTTTGACTGAGGAGAATTTCGCCAATTCGAGAGACACCTCTTTCGAACAACACGTTCTCAACCATACCGATGGCCTCGGGGTTAACCTGGTCCTGAATTCTTTGGCAGAAGAGAAGCTTCAAGCCTCCGTCCGCTGTTTGTCTGTGCACGGGAGGTTTTTGGAGATTGGAAAATTCGACCTTTCCAACAATAACCCACTCGGAATGTCCGTCTTCCTCAAGAATGTGACCTTCCACGGAATTTTGCTCGACTCATTGATGGACAAAGATCAAGACTCTGCCGACAAGAGGCAGGTCGTCCAGCTCGTGGCTGATGGGATCAAATCTGGTGCAGTGAAACCGTTGCCATACTCGGTCTTTTCTGAATCTCAGATCGAAGAGGCTTTCCGTTTCATGGCGACTGGTAAGAACTTTAATCCCTGAACTTATAAGTAATTGTGTCGCAAATTAATAATGCTATTTTTCTCAAAATTTAGGAAAACATGTCGGAAAGGTCCTCCTCAAAATCAAAGATGAGAAGAATGACGCCAAATTAATGGTGAAAGCCATCCCCAAGACATATTTTGACCCATCCAAAGCCTACGTGATCATCGGTGGTCTGGGCGGTTTTGGGCTAGAATTAGCAAACTGGCTGACGGAACGTGGTGCAACCAAGTTGGTGCTCGTATCCCGATCCGGAATCACTACTGGGTATCAAGATCTGTGCGTAAGAAGGTGGCGCGAACAGGGCGTCGTTGTCGAAACACCGAAAGGCGACGTTACCACGATTCCTGGAGCAACAGCAGTGTTCAAATCCATCGCAGCGATAGGACCAGTTGGAGGAATTTTCAATTTGGCCATGGTAAGTCGTAATTATACCTAATTAACTAATTCTAGTTAGTTAATTAATCTGTACTTAATCATCCAGGTCCTCCGAGATGGTTTCATGGAGAACCAAACCGCCGAAAATTTTGTCGCTGTGACGCAACCCAAAATTGACAGCACTATCGCACTCGACAAAATTTCTCGCCAACTCTGCCCCAACCTTGACCACTTTGTCATCTTCTCCTCAGTCTCTTGTGGTCGTGGTAATGCCGGACAGGTAAAAAGAGTTCACAATTAATTAATTATGCAAGATTAGTAATAAACTAATTAATAATCGTTCAATTTTTCCAGTCCAACTACGGCCTGGCCAACTCTGCAATGGAGCGTTTGGTCGAACTTCGCCAGATGGACGGTCTTCCCGGTCTTGCCATTCAGTGGGGTGCCATCGGAGACGTGGGTGTCGTCCAAGATCACATGGGTGGCAACGAAACCGTCGTAGGAGGCACGCTCCCACAGAGAATCGTTTCCTGCTTGAACGCCATGGACACATTCCTCCTCCAACAAAAACCAACCGTCGCGTCACTCGTGCTAGCCGACAAGGGTGGAAAGAAGGACGGAAGTGGCAAAAAAGTCAGCCTCGTGGAAGCCGTGGCACACATTCTTGGAATGAAGGACGTTTCAAACATTAACGTCAACGCTAATCTCGCCGAGCTCGGAATGGGTACGCTTTTAGTTCAATTTTTCCCCTCTTTTCAAACTTTATTGCAAAATCTAATTTAATTTTAAATCGTTTTTGTTTTCTTTAGATTCTCTCATGGGCGTCGAAGTCAAACAGACCCTGGAGAGGTAAGCTTCCTAAACCTAAACTTACCTTAATTTTGTCTTATGTTATATGTAAACAATATTTTTATGACCATTTTACAGAGATCACGACCTTGTCTTCTCCATGCAAGAAATTCGCCAACTTAGTCTCGGTCGATTGAAGGAGATTGACGAGGGAAGTTCCGAGTCTGGAGGACGACCAACGTCTCGCCGTGGTTCTGAGGCTGCCGGAAGTGATACGGGCGACAGTAGCGAAATGGCCGAACTCCTTGACGCCGAACAGATCCAGATGTACATTCAAGAACTCATGCCAAAGGAGTGTGTCGTCAAGCTGAACAATTCAACCAAGTCGAAGGAAAACATTTGGGTCGTCCACCCCATCGAGGGAGTCACACGAGGCTTGGAAAAATTGGCAAACAAAGTTGACATGACGGTGTACGGGTTGCAATGCGTACAAGACGCAGATTTAGAGTCAGTCAACTCCTTGGCAAGCTATTACCTCAAACAAATCCGTAAAATTCAACCAAAAGGACCTTACAACATTGCCGGGTACTCGTTCGGATGTACAATTGCGCTCGAAATGGCCCTCTTGTTAGGAAAGGAGGATCAAAAATTGGTGAAAAATCTCGTTTTCTTGGACGGATCTCACAAATACGTTAGTGTCCAAACTGCCAAGTACAAGGACACGAAGCAAGTCACGGTTCTGGGGGCGGACAGCGAAGCAGACGCCATGTGTACCTTCCTCATGCAGTTCGTATCCTTTGAATACATTCGGGTCAAGAACGACCTCGTCAGCCTTGCCACAATGGATGACCGAGTCACCCGAACGGCCGAAATTGCACAGAAAGCTCTTCCTCACATCAATATTGTCGAACTTAAGGAGGCCATCCTGTCATTTTACAAGAAGCTCGTTATCGCTGATAAGTACACACCGTCCTCAAAATTCGGTGGGCGCGCAATTCTCATAAAGGCGTTGAAAAATATGTTCTCCGAAGTTCTTGGGGAAGATTACAGCCTCTCTCAGGTAGATACAAAAAAACACCATTTCTTAATCATGAAAAAATAATTTGCTCAATTTTACTAACTATTTTAATTCTAATTTTCTTAGGTATGCTCAAAACCAGTTGAAATTCACGGTGTGGAAGGAACCCATCGTTCATTCATCGTGGAACCATCCGTCGACCAAGTTGCCACGCTAATCAACAAGCTCTAAATAGTTATGAAATTTAACTCGGAAAAATTGAAACAAAATGTGATGATCTGTCTGCAAAATATGTACCAATATTTGTATATTTTAATTGTTATTCCTCCGACACATATATATTTTCCTGACGCAACCCAACTGATGATAATGAGACTTTCAGTTCCTGATAAAAATATGTTTCTACTTTATTAAAAAAAATACGTGTCGAAAAACAAATCTAGTTTTATCTTAGTGGTTAAGTTTAGTTTAATATGTAACACTGCTGCTGCTGCTTCTGCTAAATATGTGACTTAATAAAACGTTTAAAAAATATACAATTCCTCATGCGCGGATTGAAGTGTAATTAATTTCATACATATCTCAAAAGGGATGACATTTTATGACCCATTCATCTTGTACCATTTCTCATCATGCGATGCACTAAATTATTAAGTCGACTTTAATTTAATGAAGTCAATAGGCTATCACCACTATTTAACTAAAGTGCATAATTAATTAATGTATATCTATATACCATAATATATGTACATGAATACGCAATAAATGAATATTTGCGCTTCATAGAAAAATGTAAATCTTGCAAAAAGTGGAGTACAGTATCTGTATTTGAAGGTTTATCCAGTCAACCAAGTAAAACACACATTGCAAATTAACTATTGTGAAATAATTAAAACATTAATTGTACGTTCAAATATGCAGTGGTTCATAGCCAGCATTCTGTTGCTTATCTTGAGTCAAGGGCTCTGTTGTTTCTTTACATTTCGTAAAAGTCCCTCTGAATCCCCTGCCACATTGTCCACGGAAGAGTCTTCTTACAGTGCCAAATCTACAAGTAAGGGTTCTTATAAAATATTGTAAATAACAGTCAAATTTATTGATCCTTCATCGTATAGGAAGTCGATTCTATATAGAAGTCGAAGAAGGTCCCAATCATGTCACGACCATCAACGCCATCAAGAAATTGCCCCCGATTAAAAATCAAAAACTTGATTCTGGCATTGTCCTCGACGAATTTGTCCTCGAACCAGAACCACCATCCATTCAGTCGCAAATTGACCCAAGTGAAGACGAGGTCGACTTGTCTACCACGACCCCTGATCCCAGAGACGCCGAGATTCAGAAAGATTGGAAAGGAAGCTGCGATGCGAAGCATTGGGACGTTTGCTCTCAAATGGACGAAATTCATGTCCGGAACGTTCACAATAAAACGAAGGAAGGGAAAACGACGCTGGTTCATCTTCAACTAAACTGTATCAATCTCAATATCACGTGTCTCTCGAACGGCTGGACGGTAAAAGCAGTTAAATATTTATTCTGATTTATGTATGCTATGTTCAAATTAAGTAAATCGTGGCGAATTTTTGGGCGCTTTTAATAGGTGAATAGGTGCCAGCTAATTTGCATGTCGAAATGCAACACAGGTACACAATAATATTAATGAATGGTAAGATTGACTCTAAAAAGAAAATGACAATTATTTCCAGAAATGCTGCAAAAATATGACGAATACGTGGACCATGATGGCCCTTGTAACTATACATGACATGGTGCAAATTGGATTATAATGTATACAAGTTACTTTGAGGATATCGATAAAAACTTATTGTGATGTAAGAATTGTGAGTTTACTGTAATATATATCATGATTCGAATACTATTCAAGAATATGTTTGTCGCCGTGATTCACGACGACTTGCATCTGCATTTAGTGGACGTGTTTCACTCCACGTCGCCCTTCTAGAAATTCACCGCAAAAAAAATTATGTAGCAAATGATGTAGCAATACTGCAGAAAATTTACTAATTTCCGAATAACAAAATTACACAATACTTAACAAGATCGGCTATAAAATAACTAAACATATAGTTAATTACTAACTATCATCAAATTCCACTGCACACAAGCCCAACTCGGTCTCGTAAAAGCCTTCCGGACAAATCATCCGAGGAACGCTCACTCCTGCGGCAAATATTCTTCCGTACCTTTTACTCCTTTCCTCGTCGTGATGATAACTGCACGCAGGAAATATTTTATGTTTGAAAAATCGAATAACTTGATCCTCTCGACCAGCTGGAGGGCAGGATTCGTGTTTCATTCCAAGAATTGCGCAAGATCCATCATTTAACGGTACCCACTCGGAATCTGGTTGCGGGTCCTTTACTGTTCGTACCTGATTTAGACAGACGTTTGGGGTACAAATCGCACTATAGTGGTCGAACGACGAAAGTGTGACCCACTCGTCATCCTTGCAGAACGTTTGCTACGTATATACATAATTTTTCATAAATTAGTCGCAAAATTAACTTAATTTAATTCTCAAATTAATTAACTTACTCGTGTAAATATAAAGTAGCACTTATCCGTCTCCTTGTGATATACGAGGAGTCGATTACTTCGAATATTGTCGCACTGACAAACGCCCACGCTTCGATTGGTTGGCAGAGGGAAGAGGATCATGTCCTCAGAACAAGGACCTTGGGCATAGCGTGAACCATGACAGGACCAATTTCCGGTCGTTTTGTCCATGTAGAGAAGATCTCCAAATTTTTGACACAGCTTTTTTCTACGAAATTTCAGTGCTTGAATAAAACAAGACATGGCAAATTGAATGCAAATAAGTTAAGCTGTTATTTTATTTTGTTTATACGGAATTAATTTGATCCTGGTTGAAAATATGATGAAAACGAAGAAAATTCCTAAAGCAATGGCGATCGATGATAACACCATTTTCCTCCTCTTGTCATGTATCATGGCGGAAATACTGATAAATAGACTATAATTATTTGTCAAGAAATGGCACTACTAACGATTAACGGTGATTTGTGAACGATGAAACTGAAATTTGGTAAATTCACAAATTAATGTTGAGTGAGATTAATAATTCCCAAATACTTATTTAATTCCTAAGTGAATGAAGCATTCGTCACCGAAGACTAGTTGGGACCGGATGTTATTTGAATATCAAATTATCAAGTAAATTAAGATTAAATCTGGATAGTTAAAGTGGAAAGAACCACATTATTTACTCCTCTCGATTCCAAAACCAAATTCATAGATATTCATTCACCACGCATCAGATACAATTTCATGAAAAGATCAACTTCACCTCCTCCTTGTATTGATTGACCATTCCCCATTCACACCGTTTGTTTTGTAAACATCTCTTCGCAGAAAGAAACATGTCATGAAAAGGACAAACGGTTTTTAAATACAATTGCACCACCACCAATTAAATATTTAATGTTTTCCTGGTTATTTATTAGCGCAGCCAGAATAATTACAAATTACGTATGCAATAGAAACCGTGCAAGTGCAGCCTATCCAGGCTGACGAAAAATCTTCAAAAATCATGAATATTCAAACATTCATTCTATTCATCATCGTCGTCGTCTTCTGCTCCTCTCTTGACGTCGCCTATTCTCTCAACGGGCTCAAGTCTGCCGATCTCGACGATGACCCAGATTCTGAAAACTTTGAAAAGTACAACAAGGAGGATGAGAGGGACGCTCATATCGTGACCCATTCCATCAAACGGCTCATCGTTCGGCCCGATTATGATAAGTATCCATACATTGTCAAGATAAAGACTGGCTCGAATGATGAGATAGATCGTGACAATAATGAAATTCAGATCCAATACGTCAGTCCCAAGGCTTTCCCAAAAGACAAGCAGCACCAAGAACAGGGCGACGGAGGTCCAATCGCGGAAGAAGTCATGCTCAAAACGTCCTACATTGACTTGAGTAAGGATACCATCGTCATTCCGATGGGGGAGCGAGGTCTCGGATATCCCACAAAGTCAATGTATGTAGTTCTCCGGAAAAGTTCCAACAAGTCGGTGCACTACATGAATTTAGCGTATATTCGGTAAGTGGCAGGAATTTAATGAAACTCACAATCATATGAAAGTTGACATAATGTATACATACTTATTTTTCTTACAGCCACAAGTTGAAACAGTATACCGTCGAGTGGTCAATTCTGGACGCGTCCCTTTTTGGCAGGTCACGCATTGACCAGGAATTTTGTCGCGGAGGAACTTGTGACATCTACCATCACTTAATCGGTAGCTGCCTTATCTCCTCTCACAAGTGCGGCCAGCCCCTCCACGGACCCCCCGCCCTCATCAACAAGTACACGTGGCAAACTGGCAGTGCTAGAATTGGGAGAGGTGTCGAATCTGACGAGAATAACAATATGCGATCGGTCACCTTGAATTTGGGTCCGGGCGGGTCTTCTACCGAGCTGCGGTTATCCCTGGCACCTCAACGCCACCATAACCAAGATGTTCACGACGGTGGCGGAGGGGAAGGATGGGGTCACAAAAAACGTAAGGCGGAGGATGCTGAAGAAGATGGTAAGAAAGGCGACGAAGAGGAGGAACGCCACATCCCAAACTCGATTGATTTGCTAATGCTAAAACGGGAAGAGCCTTCAGCTTCTTCATCTTCGTCCTCCACAAACGGAAATGAAGCCGAGACGGAAGCCCATTTTGAGAACGTTCTGGTCGGAACGCGCTCCATCAAGTCGGCCATGTTGGATTGTAATAATTGTGAAAAGATGGGTGAATTCTTTAACGATTATGAAGAAGAGCCAGAATTTTCTCGCCTTGTGGGAGAAACTGCGTCCACACTGCGAAACGATGTCGACGCTGATATCGCTACCGAGATAGAGAACGAGTTATTCCTCAAGGATAATCCGCAAATTCCCTATGTCGGTTTTGGTCACTGCAATTTGAGTGATCTCACCGAGGTAGACCTTTCGCCCAGTTAAGTCAGTAGTCGGTTTATTAAATTTGTTAAAAATTCCACATGTAGAATCCGGCCAACTATAGCAAGGAGATTGAGGACATTGGCAAGTTCTTTTTGACCAGTATGCGTCTACATTGTGACCAAAACTCGGAAAATAGAGTCAGATCCATGTTCACTTCGAGGTTTAAACTGCTCGAGATTCAAGAGGATTTTTCAGTGGGAATGGCCCATGCGAGTCCGGTCCTGTGAGTTGCTCCAAATACATGATTATACTTTTCGTATTTGCAGTTTCATATTTGAAAATAAATTCAATATACACTTTAGACAATATAAGATCTTGACCGTGGACGAATTCAGGACCCTCATGACAGGGGCATTTATGGCAAAATACATTCGGTTATATCGGGAAGAGTATCTACGCTGGAAAACAGGTCATCTTGAGGTGTCCCCTATAGACGAAAACATTTCGAGAAATGTCCGATTTTTTAGTAAACTCATTCTCTCGTTGATGGACTCATTGTCCAAAATCCTGTCCCAACACTTTGTCCGTGGACATCGATTTCTTCTCAGGCTCCTTAGGGACAAGGTAAGGTTAATTATACACATTTCATGAAAAAAGTTACAGAGCGTGAATCAAGATACAAAACTCACTTTTATTGTTGATATAACATTTGTTAGAGAGACCTGGGATTATTGGAATTTGCATGTGTTGTACCCAGATAGTCAAGGAACAGTTCGCAAAACAACTTTTAGTTCTGTGCATCAACATGCCCCCACTCCCCCCCACGGAGTGCGAGGTAGCCGTATTAGAGTTTTCCAAAGATAAATTGTACCATAAAAAATTGTTAAGAAACTGGCGACAACTGAATTCAAGTGCCAGTCAAAGCCATGTTTCCAGTGTATTAAATGGCACTGCCATGAAGAGGCAGGGATCATTGGCTAGGGTTCCACCTCCACCAAAGTGGCGTCCAAGATCAGCCAGAATCGAGGATGAGTTGTACTATATTGCAAATTCTAGCAATAAGGAAAATCCGTGAGCCCAGAAAAGTACGCAAAATGTTGGGGCTGAGTCAGGCAATAGTTTTTAGGATCATTCAATTTGACCTAAATAGATTAGCGCGGAGGAGGACCTTGTGTACGCCCCCAAGCCGTCTTACATCAAGTTTTTCGAAGCAACTTCGCGATAACTGTTTGAAAACTTATTTTCCCGAAATAAATTTTTAACTGCAATTACTCTTGACGAGTCGAATGACATTATTCAGATAGATTATTTTGGTTTTTATTACTTGAAGCAGAGATTTTAAAGCGGACGGCTTGGGCGCTAAGTGGGTTTTGGAAAACTTTTCAAAACGAGTGGAACAAAATCACTCCAAAAAAGTGTTAAACGTGATACTAGCGTACAAAAAGCGATTGCACCTCGTTAGACAAACTAATGGGCTACACATTGAAGCAATTTACAAAATTCACAAACGAGGAATAAAGCTGTAGAAAAATAAATAAAAGTGAGTTTTGTATCTTGATTCACTCTCTGTATAATTAAGAAGTGAACTACCGATATGATAAAAATCATACATGAAATTAAATTTTAGTTCAACGTGGCCCTCATCAAAGTAGCGAGTGACCAGGGATCTTCACAACGGGAAATTTGGATAAACGATCTCTACCGTTTCATGGCCCTTAAGGAATTTATATTGTACGGAATGGGACCTCAATCCAAGAGTGGAACCCCAATCGAGCCATCATTCCACAGTTTCGTCACAGAGAATGAAAAAAGAATTAAACGGCTCGTTCAAGCGTATGGTGTCCTTTAATTTATAATTAATGTATTTCGTCATGATTTCGATATAATTTCGATTATTGATATGAAAAATTATCAAAAATAAAAAAAACTAAATTTCCCTGAGGTAATAAATATGAGAAACATGCAATATAAAACTACTAATTTGATTAAACGGCATCCTCATCATAATTGCCTTCGTGATTGTAGTAACGAATATATTCAACGAGTTCTTCACTCTCCTCCTTGGAAAATACGCCAGGACCTTCAACCCCCCTGATGTCAATCGTGCTTATCATGGGTAGGTGGCCTTTCAAGTATCTCACAGCAGTGGGTGATATCTATTGCACAATTAATAGGTAAACAAAATATGACACCAACGTATATATTTAATGTTTAATTTAGTACTTAAATAGACTTACTTGACTTCGACCAATTTTTAAGACGCGGAGGTCCTTCAATTCTATAAGACTAAAATATACGGATAGGTCCGTGAGTAGAGGTGATTTTGATGCGTCCCTGAGCGGATTAGATTCCACGGTTAAGCGTTGTAACCCTTAAAAAATGCAAGGAATTTAATTATATAATCAATTTATAAAGCGACCTTATCAAATTATATTACTTTTCAAATTCGAAACCCCAGCTTGTATCACAGGAGGCTCAGCCTCCTGTAAAAACTGGTTCCTCCCAAATTCTGACATTCCCTTCGGCTTTAGTTTTCCGTCCATGTCTGCTTTCCAAGCTGGTGGAAAGCCACATAATCCAACATCCATGACACTAGTCGAGCCCACATTGAAGTAGATGTAGAGCTCGATAAGATCTTGCCAAGTGGTCCAAATCTTGCACAGAAATTCAGGCCTTGGAAATTCAATCATCAGTTTCTTCACGTTCGGAAACATTTGACCCAAATATAAAGAACAGTTCGGATCTCGAACTAAAATTGCTAGTGTCAAACTTTCCACGGATAAGAGGGGAGTGGGCGGCTGAGAGTTTTCACCCCCATCGTCACTACATGAAAAGTATTCCCTCCAATCCAACTTCTTATAGGCCGAAGATACCGATAATGTCCTCAATTTTGGAGTATCACGATGAAATTGAACTCCCTCCAGCACAATTAGAGAATCATCACAATGATAGAGCCCAAGTTCCGTAAGTTTAAGCATTTTCGGAAGTGTGATCCTAATTTTAGAATTATCCTCTGGAGACCCCAACGCCAAAACGAGCAACGTCCCACTCAACTTTTTCAGTAGTAGTTCCAATTTCTTTCGAACCACACTATTTGAAATCACGTTAACTTTAAACTCTTCCAGCACTATGGATGAATCAAGAATAGTGTCAACTTGAGCTTGACCAATTTCTTCCAATCTTAGCTTTCTTAACTGATCAAATCGTCCCCAATTTTCCAAAGATGCAAAGATGGGAACTGTTTGGCTGGCATGATTCGTATGAATTTCCTGTAGATTTGGTGCTACACGAAATACATGTGCCCAAAATTTTTCGCAAAATGATTCTTCTTGACATGGAAAGATAATTTTTTGAAGAAGTGGTGCCTCAAAGGTAGGCAACACAGTAGTTGTGAGAACTTCTTGATTAATAATATTGCTGTTGTGGGGAGGAGGAGGATGTGCAAATTTTGGGGATATCTCGTCAAAATCCAAAACTTGAAGTGAATGTGACAGGTTTTGCAGAACGTTGGTCAAGAAATTGAGTCCATTCTTATCGTCGTCAATCCTCCTTCCACTCGTACAATGATATGCTTCGTCGACAATGGAGGTAAATCCACTACATTAACCAACAAAAATATGGATATGTATATGTATACATTCAAAGTCAATCTAGTCGAACTTATTATTATCATTCGTTAGTTTTAAATACCTGGCACAATCCATATCCAACACAAGCACCTTGATTCCACCTCGATTTCGACATGTCGTCATCAGATTGATGAAAACACTGCTATTTAACGACCAGCAGGTCCACTTGATACCAGGGAACGGAATGCAACGACTAGACTCCATCAATAACGTAAATTCGGCAGCGTTCTGACATGTGAGTGTGACAACGTGGTCATGCCGCTTCAACATTATTTTGGTGGATAAGACTTCCCATCGTTTACAGACGAGGCGACATTTGGCGACCTCTTTTGTTTGGAGATAACCTACCACGTGGACCATTATCTACATTAAAAAATAAGCTCATAATTAAATATTTTGATATAAATAAACAGGAATTTAGGGTACGTTATCAATTATTTCATTTGATTCGACTTACGATATCCAAATCGAGGGGGTTCAAAAATGACGGCACTCTTTTGCCCATCTCAGGCATTACGACTTCATCCTCCATCACGAAATACACCAGATAAAAATTTGTTTAATTAATAATAATATTAATTCAGAAATTCTTTAATCGTAGAACTAAACACATGTTGACCATAGAGTAAACGGAAACCCGCTTGACACCAGCAGGTTCCTCCTCTTGGAACAAAGGTGGAAGGCGTCATGAAACTGTTTTACTGAATCAACTCGTAATTATTGAACCAAATTATAAGTAATTTTTGCATCTTCAAACTAAATTACGATGTTACGGCGGAAGATAATAATCCATATTCTCTAAACATATAACAAGTGAAAATGGCAAATGACCTCCACTGTCCCATTCCTACCTGCCCTGGACCGAGTGATACTGAAGATGATAACTGGATATTCTGTGAACAATGCACATCATGGTTTCACTCAAAATGTGTAGGCGTTGTTGTCATTCCTGAAGAAGAATGGATTTGTCTAGTTTGCATCTCTCTCAACTCAACCTCTTCACAACTTTCATCTACAGCTAATGATGACCCCACTAATCATCCGGTTCAAGCGGAAACAAGCAATCCTACCCGAATAAGTAAAAAGGACATCATTATCGCCGCACGCCTTTGGCTCCAAGAAAATTTAGTCGAGGATCCAGAATCCAAAATCGCCAAGGCCGAGGTCTCACTCCGCTACACTCAACATGTAGAAATAAAAGGAGAAGGACGAGTCGCCATTTCCACTCTTGGGAAGTATATTTTCAAACTCTTTCCTCAGACGACTACATGTCGCCCAGGAGCTCGGGGAACCACAAACAGCGCATATAAGGGGATTCGCTGGACAGACGCTTCACAACCACCCCGTCAAAATCATGAAGATTTGGGCTTCGTGTTCTCAAAGCTCAAGGGGACCGTACCAACATTACGGCCAGTACCAAAGGGGGCACGAATATCTGTCGCAGAAGCTCTTACCAACATTTTAGAAGAAGTTATTAATAAAAATGATGCAGAAAGTTGGAACAAACTCTTCACCTTCCCTTATGCTGTCCTCACCGTTCCAGCTAAATCTGAGAAAGTGACAAACTTGACATCGTGGGTCAAAATGAGAGTTTCAAAATGGAAGACCGACCCCACAACCACCATCCCCACTGGTCGACAACCAAGTCCATCAATACATAAACCTCAGCAATCCCAACAAATGATTTCAAAGAAAGTGGAAGCAAAACTTTCTGACGGAGATATCCGAGGGGCCATCCGTCTCTTATGCTCAGATGACACAGTCGCTCCATATAATCAAAGCACGATTGACTCCTTACTCGACAAACATCCTCCACATCCCGAACCATTGAATTTTCCAGTTATGCCTGACGTGGATGAACACCCAGCAGAAGCAACCGAAGAGGAAATTCTAGCCACAATTTCATCGTTCCCACCAGGGTCGGCCGGAGGTTTAGACGGACTTCGTCCTCAAATTTTAAAAGACCTCGTGGGGATATCTACGGGTGACACAGGGATGAAGCTAGTGAAAACAATTTGTAGCTTTGCAGATGTCGTCCTCTGTGGTAAGGTCCCAGATGTTGTTTGCCCCACACTGTTTGGAGCCTCGCTCACCGCCCTCAACAAGAAATCTGGAGGAATTAGACCGATCGCTGTTGGGAATACATGGCGTCGACTTGTTTCGAAAATCGTGGTCACTCGCATTACACCGCAATTGGTAGACTACTTTTCTCCCCATCAACTTGGTGTCGGCATAAAAGGAGGAGCCGAAATTGGAGCTCATGCAGCACGTCGATACTGGAGCCACGCCCACGACACTGCAAAAGCCTTTTTGAAATTAGACCTCCGGAACGCGTTTAATGAAATACGACGCGATTCCCTTCTTCATATTATCAAGCAAAGAATTCCATCCATCTACTCCTTTATCAATCAAGCTTACGCACATCCATCAAGTCTTTTTTATGGGAACATACTCATCCCCTCCCTTCTCGGCGTCCAACAAGGTGACCCACTTGGTCCAGGTCTGTATTCCCTCGTAATCCAACCCATAATCGAAGCCGTGACGACAGAATTCAATGTCTGGTATCTGGATGACGCGACAATCGCCGACATCCCGGAGAAAGTTCTACATGCATTTGACACCATAAGAACAATGGGCGAAGACGTGGGACTCCATCTCAACTATGAGAAATGTGAAGTTGGAGTTTTTGGAGGCAATCCCGATACCCACGACGCCATATATGACGAATTCCACAAAGCATCCCCTGGCATCAAAATTATTTCCCCAGAAGTAGCTACATTGCTGGGTGCCCCTCTCACCGACGAAGCGATAGAGAGAGTCATGGAGTCGAAGATTTCCCAGCTAGCAGCATTTGGGAACCGCCTCCTTCAACTTTCCGCCCATAGTGCTTTCTTCTTGTTACGAGCCTCCATATCAATTCCGCGACTAATTTACTTCCTACGATGTGCACCGTCTTGGCGAAATCATGCCTCTCTTTTGGCTTACGATAACACCCTCAAGTTGGTCTTGGAAGGAATCACTAACTGTTTTCTATCCCCAGAGTCTTGGATACAGTCGTCTCTTCCAGTCAGTAAGGGAGGTTTGGGAACCAGACATGCTGTGAGCACGGCGATTCCGTGCTTTCTTGCGTCCGCTCATAGCTGTTTGCCACATCTCGAGTCCCTCCTTCCGGACTACATACGTGACCAAGATGACGCCATATCAGAAGGTGAAGAGCTCTGGTCCGCAGATTATCGCCAACTACCACTACCCGAATTGCGAGGAAAACAAGCTATTTGGGAGGCTCCTTTAATCGAACATCGCCAGAAGACACTTCTTGATAACACCAGCACACCGCAAGATAAAGCTCGTCTACTTGCTCTAGACAGACCATACGTCGGAGCCTGGCTGAACGCAATCCCTGCACCACAACTTGGAAACCACCTCTCTAACGAAGAATTTCGTGTGGCCATCGCACTCAGACTCGGCTGTGCAATTTGCCAACCACATAAATGTATCTGTGGAGCCGAAGTATCCTCAAGTGGTTATCATGGTCTATCGTGCAGAAAGAGCGCTGGGCGGTGGTCAAGACACAGTGCCGCAAATGATGTCATTTCCCGTGCCCTTCGTGCCGCAGAAGTCCCCTCAATAAGAGAGCCAGTGGGATGCTGCCGAACTGACGGAAAACGAGCTGATGGGATGACACTTATTCCATGGTCAAGGGGAAAAGCTTTAGTCTGGGACTTCACGTGCGTCGATACCTTTGCCCCATCGTACCTCTCCTCCACGTCCGGTCATCCTGGGGCTGCGGCCGTGTTAGCTGAGAAAAAGAAGAAGACACTATACTCTTTCTTAGAGGATCGTTTCATTTTCATCCCGGTGGCTGCTGAAACAATTGGAGTTTGGGGTGAAGATGGAATTAAACTAATTCAACATATTGGACAACGAATCACAACAATTACAGGAGAAATACGAGCCACAAGTTATTTATTACAACGGTAAAGCATTACTCTACAACGAGGAAACGTCGCCTCAATTCTGGGTACCCTTCCTACCGGAAAGAAACTCAGCGAAATTTTTTATTTATGAGTTTTCCATGCGTACTTATTAATCATTGTTAACAAAAGATTCTGTAAATAAAAGCAACATTAGATTAGAAAAAAAATATAAAAAAAAATAAAAAAAATTACGATGTTATACCATCGCGAATGCATACATATTTATTTCGTGCAAGATTGCTTGACAATTTATCATAATACAAGGTTACGACAGTTGCTTCGATAGCCTCAAAAACCTCCATTTTTGAAGTGCTAATTATTTGGGCCGTCGCTAACGGTAATTAAAGCACACAAATTTCTAACAGAAATAGCCGATTTCACATTTACAACTGCACTGATTTTTTTTTTTTTTTTTTTGGTCTAAAGTTTTTTTAGTTTTCCACTGCACTGATTCTTGTATCCATGGTTAAAAAATTAATTCGTGGGAACGAAATGTGAGTGCACACTGGTTCCAAAAGGTACCAGGGTTTTCGAAAATTGAAGTTTTTTCATCGTCGAAGTAAGAATCGAAGACTGTGAAGACTGTGAAGAGACGAAGTTGCAGTTGGCATGTAGATTATTACAAAAATTATCACATAGTGGCAGTAGTAATAGGTTCCCAAACGTTTCACTTTCTGATTGACAAGAGTTACATGAATTTATGTCAACTTTTAATTTATTCATAAATTACTACCAAACCCAGCCTTATATTTGCAGCTTTATGTGTTATTTTAACATAATTAATTGGCCTTGTGTCCCTTCCCATGATGTCGCAACCGAAAAACTGACCTCAGATTCGAAATCAGCGACCAAAAAACTATACGAATCAACATTTTCGCAACCTCAACAACGCTGAAATAATTAACTATTAATAATGAATTATTTGTAACAATTATAAACACGGAACATGTGAGGCCGCTTATCTCAAGTGCTATTAATATACATAGGCTATTAATAGCACCCAGTCATACATTATGACTGGGTGCTATTTATAGCAGAACTTTCACCGCCCTCCAGAGGGTATAAAAGGAGCTGCACCAGAAATTTTTGTCAGTCTGCGGGAGGCGCTCGTGGGGGACGTGTCCCTGGGTGGGTGGCGCTTGGCAAGTGAGAGGGGCTCTCTACCTCCAACCCTTGGGTGACGCCGCTCTTTAGCGATACCTCCCCTTGGGGCCGACCGGGTTCCCGAGTTGGAAGCCTTAATGGGGGCCGATTTACGGGTGCGCTCCCACCTCGTAAGGCGAGGGTCAGACGGGCCCCCTAGGGGAACGCGGTTGCAGAGGCGGCGACGTGGGCAGGGCTTTCCCGGTCGGTGGAGGTAGACCCCCGCGGACGCATTCGGGCGTCCGCGGGGGCCGACCCGCGTGGAGCACAAGGGAGCGACGTCCTCGTCGTGTGCTCCGGAAACGCCCTTCTCAGGGCGGCCAACAGCTCCCCCCCCTTATAAATGCATGGCATGGCGACAACCTTTGTCGCCATGCCATAATTTCGCCATTTCTCGTCTGATTTCCATCAAACTTCGACAGAGACTTCTTTTTGGTGTTATCGACATGTCGCAAGGTCACACTCATCGCCACCACCTTGTTTTCGCCAAACTTCGTCGTCATGCCATAACTTCGCCATTTCTCGTCTGATTTCCATCAAACTTCGACAGAGACTTCTTTTTGGTGTTATCGACATGTCGCAAGGTCACACTCATCGCCACCACCTTGTTTTCGCCAAACTTCGTCGTCATGCCATAACTTCGCCATTTCTCGTCTGATTTCCATCAAACTTCGACAGAGACTTCTTTTTGGTGTTATCGACATGTCGCAAGGTCACACTCATCGCCCCCACCGTGTGTTCACCAAATTTCGTCGCCATGCCATAACTTCGCCATTTTTCGTCCGATTTCCATCAAACTTCGACAGAGACTTCTTTTTGGTGTTATCGACATGTCGCAAGGTCCCACCCGTCGCCACCACCTTGTTTTCGCCAAATTTCGTCGCCATGCCATAATTTCGCCATTTCTCGGCCGATTTGCATGAAATTGAGCACAATGCTTCTAATTGGTGTTGTCGACATGTCGCAAGGTCCCACCCGCCGCCACCCCCTTGTTTTCGCAAAATTTCGTCGCCATGCCATAATTTCGCCATTTCTCGGCCGATTTGCATGAAATTGAGCACAATGCTTCTAATTGGTGTTGTCGACATGTCGCAAGGTTCCACCCGCCGCCACCCCCTTGTTTTCGCCAAATTTCGTCGCCATGCCATAATTTCGCCATTTCTCGTCCGATTTGCATGAAATTTCGCACCATGCTTCTTTTTGGTGTTGTTGACATGTCTCAAGTTCCCATTCATGATCATACCCATCCTCAAATTTGACAGGTACAGGAAGTCTATCCTTCAGACAAGCAACCTCAACCGGTGCACAACCGGCAATGTTGTGCAGATAAAGATCCATTGCCTCCTTAAGAATGCATATACGTTGAAAAAATCTCATAACTAAAAGACAGAGACGACGGTTGCGTCTCCTTGTGTACCGAGAGATTTTTTTCTATGGAGGGGGGCGGGGCGAAGAGAGCAGCTGATTTTCATGTAAACAAGGCAGGCAGTTGCATGTAAAAAGTTGCTTTGGATTTTGAGAGTGACCGTTCCCAAACTCCAAACGGGGCATCGCGAACCAGAAAGGAAGAACAATCCCGACTAAAACTTCTAATTTGCAGCTAATACAAAATGGATTGATTTCGTTTTGGTGGCAATAAATTCCTGAGTTTGTGCTTTACAATTTCCATTGGGCAAAAATTCCATAATAAATCTCAACGAAAAGTATTGGACTAAAAACATGATAACTTACATGTTTCAGTCCAATACTTTTCTTTGAGATTTATTATGGAATTTTTGCCCAATGGAAATTGTAAAGCACAAACTCAGGAATTTATTGCCACCAAAACGAAATCAATCCATTTTGTATTAGCTGCAAATTAGAAGTTTTGGTGACAAAAATCATTTACATTACTGGTAAGTGGCGAGCAGGAAAAGTCAACTCGCTCACTAGGATGCACAGACTGTACCCGAACTCGAACTTTAATCTGCCTTTGAATCACCACGGAAGTCTGATCCACCACGATGATTGAAAAATTGTCCGGGCTGTGCATATTGAGCAATTTGTACGAGTACTTCCTATTGATCATCAATGGACGATCCGGATAGCACCAGATCCTCATCAAGCAACATTTCAGTAATCAGTCGTCGTTCCTAAACCAAGAAAAAAAGAAATGGTGATGTTTAACTCCAGTTACAAACTGAAGAATTATTTTTTAGCATTATGATGAAGTTTTAAAGTTAAACTATCAAAGACAACTTGACCTTTTGACCCACCTACCGCGTATTATTCTCTTTCTTCCCTAACAAATTAAGTTTTATGTTCCTTCAATTTTTTTCGACAGGCTCGTAAAAACCCTTCGATAATCATTTTTTAATTAGAAAAGGCAGTTTTCTTATTTTCTTCCAGCAGTCTTTCAGTGACATTAACTTTGAGTGCAAGATTGCTTGACAATTTATCATAATACATCCATGATTAAAAAATTAATTCGAGAATCGAGAGCACGAAATGTGAGTGTTGACAATTTGTGTGCGGTTTGTTTCTGGGCGACAGTTTGTGCGACGCACACTGGTTCCAAAAGGTACCAGGGTTTTCGAAAATTAAAGTTTTTTAGGCGTCGAAGCAATTGTCGCAACCTTGTAATTATTACTAAAGTTGTCAAGCAACCTTGGGTCAGCATGTTTAAAACAACATTTTTCTTAAGTCAATCTTGTGCCAGGATTCTTCAATCACTAACGGCTACGCCGGTGTTTCTGGGTTCGGCCGTCACTCATAACCCCAGGTTTAGACTTCACGTTATCATCACGTTCTTCTCCCAATCCGATTTTTTGATTGGCTAATCAAAAATATCACTAAGACAATTAAAAATTTCGACCAATCTAAAAATCGGATTGGGAGGAGATTTTGCATGCTGGATCATGGGAAACATTTTTGAGGTTTAAACATCAAAACTGTCAAACTACAGTTCGCAATTGCGAATTGTAGTTCACTCCACACTGTAGGTTTTTCATTCCCATCACCACCACCAGTAATTTCTCTCATTTTCTGTAATTATTGAGATAAAATAAGTAGTGATAAAATAAGTATAACACTAGTAATATAACATTTTCAACGGATGCAAAATTCCAAGTCGATTGGATCAATTTTACGAGAGTTGAGACGGACGGACAACACATGTACATAATCCCTGGGTCGGGCTGAACAGAATTTTCACCGAAAGTAAAAATAATTAAAAATTCTTTTGTTTACCTAGTGACGGCCTCACCCCTAGAGCAAATGCTTTAATTCACCCTGATCTTGTGCCACTACTAAATTACAATTTTGTAAGAAATGGCTCGAGACCGTGCAAAGGAGAAGATCCAAGCACAAAGGAAGGCGAAGCAGGAGAGAAAAGTGGCTAAAGTGGAGCAACGCCATCAACGTGCCACCGCCTCTGGAGATCGGAAAAAACATCATGATCAGGGTCAAGGTCGGTATAAAATTGTCACATTATTTAAATCATTTATAGTTATTTATAAACTAATGGTAGCAAAATTAAAGCAGACGTCAGCCTCTTCAATTCAAATAAGGACTCATTTGGGAATTCGTGTCTTCTCAAAGTCGCTTTTAACTCGGATTCGACGGAGACGACTTTTTGTGAGTTCTTAGAAAACGCTGACAGTGAAGATATCGACATTCTGCTCTGTGCGAATAAGGTACAAAATTCTATGATTTTAAAAATATTCCCCTATTAACTTATTTTAAATATAATCATAACAGGCAGGAGTCACGCTCACGCACGTGATTAGCCTCCGAGGATGGGTTACCCCGTTGGAAAAGGTGATTAAAACTGTCAAATTGCATTCCGACAAATCACTTGGGGCCGTTGTTAATGCGACAACGCTTGACGGAATGACGCCACTCATGCTAGCTTCGGAGGGTGCATTTAAAGATGTGTGTATCATTTTGCTATCTAATGGAGCAAATCCCTTGGCGGAAGATAAGGTCTTATTTTGGACATTATTAAATTCTTTTATTAAATGGCGACTGATTTTATTTCAACTATTTAATTTATACGTAGACTGGTTATTCGGCTCTCTGTCGCTGTTTGAGTAATACCTGTTCTTCAAAAATAACGAAACGTTGCCTCCCTCCCACCATCACTCTCATCATTACTGCCATCAATAATTTGGAAGAAGAGAATTGGGATTTCGAAATCTATTTTTCCGTAACTCCGTAATTTTAATTTTATATTGTTAGCCATTTTTCTACTCAATAACAAACCTGTTATTTTCAGAAAATCTTCCAAAATGTCATAAATCCCCCATCAGACGCTTCATTTACATGCGAACGTTTCTACAGCCTGGGACGTTTCGTGTTTTTATTTATTTTGCGCTGTGTCGAGCGAGGGCCAGAATTATTCTTGAAATTCAAATTCTTCAAGAAATTGTGCAGCGTAAGATTATCATAATTACAATTTTAATAATAAAGTTTGCGTACAGAATGATTAACCAAATAAATGAAGGATTGATTTTTTTAGGCAGCGAATAAACGTCTGTCTCAGGCAAATTATATTTACACAATTTGTCTCACGTGGTTTCAAGTACTGGTGAATGCAGAAGATTTTGCAAACTCTTGGGGAGAATTTGTCGAAACTTTTGCCAAGGATGGAGCGGATTTTTGTCTCAAAATGCTGATACGGTAAAATTGAATACGATAAAAATAAGTCCAAAATTTAAAGTTGAGATTTTAGCTGGAATCATTTCTTTGTCTTCAGGTTCACTACGGTCGTTGATGCGGAAACTAGCTCGAAAGGCACATCATTTTCCAAATTGCAATCAAAATCTTCAGAAGCAATTGAGAATGCCGGAGACGATTCGTTAGTCTTCACCGACAACCCTGTCCCGAGTTATAAGTAAAAAAAAACTGACATCAAAAATTATCTGAGTTTGCATTATACTAATGAATTTTGGGTAATGAAATGTAGAAACGTTGCCCTTTCTGCCCTGCTTCCGCTCATCCAACTAATTGATGCGATTGAAATGAGTCATTGGTTTTCGAAAAATTTTGCCACAATTTCATCATGCTACAGAAACATGGGACATTATAGCACAGGCCAATCTGTCGATAACTCTGCCTTATCTGAGGACCATTTGAACAAGCTGAATAAGAAATCAGCCTTATTTCACGCCATTATGAATCAGGACAAGTGGACAGTCATGTATCAAGTACAGAATTTAGCAGTTTAAGATTTTACAAATATTGATAACTTATCGTATTCGCCAATTTTGTTCTCAAGGAAAAAAACGAGACTACTGAGTCATGGATCCAACGTGATAAAAAGCACAAGAAGAAAAAACAAGTTCCATCACTATCGTCTCATAGGAAAACATCGAAAGTTGTCTGTTTTCCGTTTGAGATTTTACGACCTCCGATGTCCAATTTACAGGATAAAGATAGCAACGAGGAAACAGAAAAAGAAGGCAAATTGATTAACACCAAAAATTCTAGCGCACGAGAAGAACGTGATGTCGATAAAGCAACCAAAAAAATTGCCACCATTACCGATACAAATGTAGAAACCACACTGCAAAACCCACCAGATGCCAGCGCCCAATCGATAAAAGTTGCAACAATATCACCAGAATCAAACTCGCGTGATATCCATAAATCACCCTCAAACTCGGACTCTAACCGACCAGATCTCAAATTTGTAAAGGACAAACTGGGCCCAGATGAAAATGAGATTTGTTCATCTATCACCAAGCCATTAGAAATTGTAGAGGAAATTAGTCCTCTTCCTCCCCCTCCTCTAACGCTCAGTAGAAAACAACAACAAAAATTGAACCAACGCGGAAGTCGACACGTTCAAGCGACAACGACGACTCACGCCTCAAATACAGAAATTATCAAGAAAAGCGACAAGAAATCAAATTCAACTAAACTTCTCGCGAAAAAAGAAACTCTTCACCAGCATATTTTCAAATTCGATATCAAAACTGAAAACGAGGTAGAATTCGTCACCACGCACTCCACCGAGTGGTGCACCCTCCTCGACGCCGACTACTTGTTGAGCATCACGCCCAGAAATATATTTTCTCTTGCTCGAGACGATCCTACTCTCACGTCGTCAGGAACCCGCATAACCCCATCCTTACTTTCGTTAGGAATGTTGTCGATATTTTCTATGCAAGAACTCAAGTCCAAAATATGCGATATTCATAATAACATTTCAAATTCTCGGCAAAAAACAAAAGATCGTATGTTCCAAGCGGGGTGGTCGACGTGCTGCGACGCCGAGTTGTGGCGGTGCGACCGTAACTATTGGAAGATTCATCTCGTCATGTGCGTCTCCCCAGACGGCCTCTTCGTCCCCGTTGAAGACAGCTTTATCTCTAAATTCTACAATTTGGGGTACCAAACTATCCTCTTCAATGAAGGCGACTACTCTACCTTTGGCAAAACGCATCCCCTCCTCTTGGAGAGCAGCGCTGCTTCTGATGACGATTACAGATACTTCACCCGCCGAAAAATCCTCTACAATGCGCTCAGCACAGAGTATTTGCGATCCTTGGAGCATAACTCGGTCGCATTTCGTAATTCCACAAACACCCGGCCAGCCCTTCTCTTCACGGCGAGAAAAATCTACCAGTTCGGCCTTCATCACTGGGAACCGTCCCATTTCTCAAAGAAATACGTTTACAAATCCATGTCAAGAATTTCCAGGGAGGAAATGTGGACCGATTTTCACAACACGTACCCCACCGTGTCGCCCTTCTGTCCCGAACCAGCTTGGACCGCGTTCGGTCATGTAACTAAGAGTTGCTCAGACCTTCATACGAATGACGTCTACGTCCCCATCATCATCTCCAAAGGGGCAAATTCTTCCTCGAGTATCGTCCTCCAGTTGGAACTCGCATTCGAGGCAGTTTACATGTCAGAGTTCGCCCTATGGAGTGGAATCTATCGTCAAATCCCCAGTTTGAGCAAGTACGAATTCGTAGCAGGTTTTAAGGCAGAGTACAAAACGTATTACGACCACATTTCGGACGGCTATGTTCAAACGACTTTGATCGGGATGCACGTTCAAAACGGTGGGTCATCATCGTCACCACAAGCAACAAAAGGTCCATCGACGAAGATCAAGAACAAGAAAAATGCCAAGACTCCCAATGAGAATGAGACAGAGAAGTTATGCGTTTGCTGTAAGGCACCAATGGCAAAAGGAGGTGATGTGAAAAACAAAGACGTTGCGGCCACCCCGAGAACAAGAAAGACTTCGGTGTATGAGAATGCTGAGAAATTTCGATTCTTTCACTACCCTCGTGCCCACGTGACGAAGGGACTCTTCGTCGATGAGAAGAGGGAAGTCCGCTATCCATCCGATCTCACTGACAAGTTGGTACAACTGGACCTCAACATTGTACCGTTTTCAGAAACGAAACAAATCAAGGAAAAAGAGTTCAAAATAAATATTCCGAATTTGAAAATTCCTTTGACTTCAAGTACGAATTTAGCCTTATCAAAATTGCCTGAGAACACACATGATTTTACGAGTCAGTCTAAAACTAAGGCCATTCTGCGAAGGACAGTGGCTGTCCAAACTGTGCGAAGAAGTAGGCTTGTTAATTAAGTTGATTGCATGAAAATTGTTAAGTACATTAATGCATGCATGATTTCACCATAAAACTGAAATATGTATGCATATTATGTTTTGTAAATAAATTTTTATGAACATTTATATTCATTTGTTATACATAGTTGATAAGTACTTATGATAAGTACAAATTGTGATTATTGACGCAGACACTGAACCTGATTTGCATACCTTCCTCTAGTGTCACCGTGGAGACCAAGTTTACAAGTCCCCAATTAAAATTCCGACAATTCTTGGTCACCATAAAAAAATATTTTCTCACCTCGTGCATCGCTTTCCCAAAACCTACAGTGAAGTTACGTACTTGTTTTATATTTTCGCATTGTGAAACTCGTCGTTTCTCAATAAATTGCGTTTCCTGGCAAGATGACGTCCAAGCCTGACCAATCGCCACCTTCCACTCCGGCAGCAGTCGAGGAAGATCCCAACGTCCTACTCGATGCGTTGGCCGCACAAGATGCCGCAAATTCTACCACTGCTCGAGCTCTGTTTGATGGCGACATTGTCATTAAGCGACAACCTCCACGTGACTGGGAGTACGTTCCAGCCTTTGGAACGGTCATGAAGCAACCAGCGTGTCCCAACGTGGAGGGAAATCAGCCCAAAACGTACAACGTGCGCTGGGAGTTAAACAATTTGTGAGTTGTTGATTTAAAAAATGATGTTTTACCACACGAATCTAGCTTAAATTGTATGTTTTTTATCAAGAGTGGAACGCGTGCGCCCCGGACAAGTCAGCGTCGTTGATCGTTTTGTTATGCGGAACACAAAGGTTGAAAATGATCAAGGGGTCGTTGGAACGGTGCGAGATTGGAATGTGAGGACCTCGGTGCAAATCATTGGGACGAATCATGTCGTTGAGAAGGTCGGGTTGGATAGGTTGCGCCCAATTACGGTGTGTACAGAAATATCTAGCACTATTTACTGGTGGATGTGATTGATGATGATCATTTATCATGGGTTTATTCCTAGTCTTTCATTCGAGGACAAGAAATTTTGTACAAAGACTGGGTCGGTGTCATTACCATTGTGAAACGCAACATTTGGTTCCAACTGGATGGAGGAATGGGATTTTATGTCGTCGTGACGGAGAGGGACGGCTTCATGAGAGCTGATCCCTACTGGGGCGTGGGAGTGAGTGAAATATATTTATTTATAGTAATTATTATGCAAATTAACCTTTTACCGAATAGATGCCCTGTCCTGGAATTCGGACCAAACTGAATGCTTCCGTGATCCGAAAGGCGAAATGGGTTTCCGGTCCGATGCAATTTTTTAGCAAGTTGCTGCCACCATTGAATTACCTTTACTCTTTTGCGAACGTTACGCTCAACAAATCTGAGGTTTGGTCTGGCTAAAATTTAAAATAGGTAAATACATATATGATCTTATCATTCTTTCTCTGATCCAATCAGGTCACCGAAGTTGAAGTAAATTGGCTCCGCGTTGCTCCAAATGCACCAAATTCTGCCCCCAAACCGGTAGGAACCTTGGATCGTGAAATGTTACGATATGTAACCGTTATAGGTGAGGTGGACTTAAATGCAGCTGCTAATGAGACTGCGTCAAATAAAAGAAACTGATAAATTATTTTTTTAATACACTAATTATTACGAAGTGTTAATTTTATTTGAAGGAATTCCAAGCTCTGAGACTGTCGGGATCAACAGCGTCCGCATGCTCAAACTAAGACCGGAAGACTACCTCACGACGTACCAATCTTGGTTGAGTGCATACCGCAAAAAGTTTATCGATGGGGTTGACGGGGCAGAACCTATCATATCGCCAATCACGATGGCCGCACCACTTCGGACTTTAGTACTTGAAATAAAATCTTTGCAATTGTTTTGCGCGTTATAAATACATTTTCACACAGGCTACCGAACGAGTGTACGAAGTTCCAGTGAAAATCCTCTCTCGTACCACCATGGTTGAAGTGGAATGGAGCGTAAATCTAATAATTCATAATTTAATGATAACTTGTTGCTTCTTCTAACTCCGTGACGAATGTGTTTACATATTTAGGATGGCACCCGTGACAAATCACATTCCGTTAAAATTCCTAAACTCCTGCATCGCCGAGATGACACCGAGTTTCCGGGAGGTATGCTCGTCAGTCCGATGTACTCGCCTTATCAAGCGTCCGACCTGTATGGTGTCATTTTGGACAGTGAAGAATTCGGTATGAATTGGTAAACTAAAAAATCCCCGTATTATTTAATCACTATTTCCCCCTTGATAAATACAGTCACCACTCAAGCAAGGAAAGTCAATGTAATGTGGATTCTGAACGGAAATCCGATGGAAGTCAGGGCCGAGTCAATCTTCAACTTGCGACCACACTCCCTTTACTCAATGTATGAGAGGGGAACGATTGTATTTCCCAGAGTGAAAGGTAATTAAGTAGTTTCACCCCCTCAAGATAATCATTATCTGCATGTTTTATCGATATTTTCGCTAACCAAAGGTACCACCAAATTCAAAACCGCCGTTGTCACCGATCTGAACATCGCCTCGGGAAAACTCGTCCTCACGGTGACCGCGGATCACTCCCAGCACGAGGTTTATCCTCACCTCGTCACACCTCTGGAGTGTCGCTGCTTCTGGAATTTCTTTACACGACAGTGGTCAATCGATGAGATTGTTGTACCTCCTTACCAACTCGTGACAGAGTATGGCCCCACCTACGTCGACGTGGCGGAACCTACCCCTGCCGTTCTTAGCAACAATAATCAGCAACAAGCCGATCAGAGCATCAAGAGTGCCTGGGACGAGCCCATCTTCGACATGTTGCCCTTCGCCTCATCCACGCACCGCTATCACAACTGCGGCGTCCCTTCCACCGGAAACTTTGGGAAAGGGCTGGTCAGCGTGATGCAAAATGAGATTGCGTGTCTCAAAAAACATGGAACCTTACCGGAAGGGATTTGGGTGCGGTGTTACGAGAATCGAATGGTAATTGAGTAAATATCGTTTTGATAAAGCTAGCAAAAATTTGATACGAAATTGATTTCCAGGACTTGATTTCCGCCTTCATGGTTGGACCCACCGACACGCCATATGAAGACGGGATCTTCATGTTTGACCTCCAAGTGACGGATAAGTTTCCATCCTCACCGCCCAAAATCCATTACGTTTCATACTCCTATGAACTCAGCCCGACCATGGCGTGGGATGGAAATTTCTGCACATCTGCGTTGAATTGGAAACGAGAAGCTATTAATGATGACGAGTCTTACATTGCTTACTGCTTGAAGAAAATGCAGGGTAAAAGTGATTTAACGTGATATTAATTGGATTTAACTAAATTGTTCTTTGGTTAAATAAAAACAGCCCTCATCTTCTCTCCGGAACCACTTATGAACGGACCGAGAGAGTTTATCGATGCGAAAAATTCAAGAAAACCTGAACTTTCAAAGTTGTATAATGAATTCGTCGTACTTCGAGTGCTGGACAGCGCGTGGAACATGATTCATCGTCCATACGATCCGTGGACAGACTTGATTAAGACCCATTTCGCGTCGGTTCTTCCCGAGTAAGAGATTTGTCACGATTTTTATCAGTATTTTTCTGTTTTCTTGATGTAAATCATCCATCTCCTTTGTTAAGAAAACTTGCCATCTGCGAAGAATGGTCCAATTCCTCCATCCCTCACGTATACGAGCCCAAGTACTCCTTGCTCCCAGCATCGGCCGGATTCCATGAAGCGCTAGCCTTTCGTGTCCGAAATTTCCAAAATATTTCTCTCAATCTGGTTCCGATTCGGGCTATTCCATCAAAAATGAAGCACTCTGTCATCGACGTGACTGCAGATTCTGAATCCATCCCCGTCATCCTTCCTGAGGGCAGCCAAGGGATCACAATCGAGCTGGTGGACCCAGCCCCGCAGAATGCAAATGATGAAATTGCCTTCGCCTTGGGACCCTCAACTTCGGTGCATCATCCGGATCCAGAGTCCCCCATTCCAAGCATCGGACTCACCTTGCCACAAACGTTTGACTCTGAAAAGAACATTATTAACAAGAACAAAGACAAAAAGAAGATGAAGAAGGGCAAGATTTTGCCAGGATTTGGAAGTGGAAACGATACAACCACTTCTGAAGTTACAACTTCCGGTGGAGAAGAATCAGAACAGGACGTTGCAAAAGTGGAGAAAGCAAAGGATGATGACATCGCTGGATACGCAGGTACTGAAGAGGACATCTCGGTCAATGAATAATTCGATGGTATCTTGAATTGAATGTGACATCGTTTTTAAAATTATTATACAAAATTCTATTCTTCACTAAATATGATCGTATAATCATCATTCATTTGTATCAATAGTAATAAACCGGTAGATATTTTCTAAAATTTCTTCATCTAAGGCCACACGAGTAGTGTTACCCCTTTGGTTGACGAATAATTATTTTCAGCTTACTCGACATTAATCGAATCAAAATCCTGCCTCAATTTTACGAGTTGAATAAAAAAAAAATAGCGATAGGAAAGGATAGCATAATCAGTGATTATTAATCACAACAATCCACTTGATTGCTTATTGGAGTTTCAGAATCAGTCACAATGATAAATGAATCACCGAGAATGAAAACATATTTGTAATTGAAGTTTGCAATTAAATTTATTACGATAAATTACGAGTTTTATTTTTCGGGCATGTTGCATGGACATGTGTCGGTTTATGGAGGCGGAAGCCAAAGGAAAAAAGGAAAATTATTCTGAAAAATAAATTATGATTCCCAAAGAAAAGATTAATTTATAACCTACGCATTGATAAAATAAAGATAATTATTTTGATTCTCATAATGACATAGTAGTGTTTGAGTTGAGTGAAAATCTGCTAAATTTTGCATACATTTTTGGATGACATTTACATCATGGCAAAATTGAATTTGCGAGTTGCGTTGCAAGGGAATATGCAAGAGAACGAAAAATAAAAATATGTACCTAGGTTGTTGACTCCATGTCACCGAAGTCGTGCCTCCACTCCAAACATCTTACTCTTTTTGTGGACGAGTTTGCAAATTTCAACCAAATTAATCATTTTTCTTGTTCGAAAATTAATGATGCAGACAACGGCTATTGTTGCATTTATTTTCATCCTGGCGGTGTCCAATTCAGTTTCAGATGCTCAGGGTAAGACTATAAAATTAATTAAAAAGGAAACGTGTATCAATTAAGGATTTAATATGTCTTGCCCCCTTTATTGTCCGTTCTCTCAGGTTCGTACCCTGGAGCAATCTGTTATAGCTGCGTAAAACATGTCCCAATATCGCAGGCCAACGCCAACAACCTTATCGTGGGCATGCGGCCCCCATGCGAGATTCTCTATTCTGCCAATCAAGCTGAGATTAAATATCACACCGAGTTTTGCAAAGCCGGTTCTTATCACTCATTACTGATTTATGTCATAAAACCAGAATTAATTATTAAATTATGCATACAGGATGTGTCAAAATTAGTGGGAATTGGTTCATAAAAGATGGCATTGGAACCCAAATAGAAATTCGGGGTTGTGTGAATTATGAAATGCCATTGTTCCTAAACATAAATTTAACGGATAACCTTGTGCCTGCTAACTACACTTGTCCCAATACACAGCCAGTTCTTGTTTCAGGATCATCTTCAGGGGACCATGTTGTTAATATCACAATGAGAATGTGTAGATGTTGGACAGATTATTGTAATTCGGATCCGATATATGTCTCGCGATACAAAAATTCTGACGAGGACGATGAAGTCGCCGGTATAAATCTGGATGAAATTGCGGCACTTAACAATAAAACGACTGGCAAAGCTCCTGAGGCATTGCGATCGTCTAGTAGAATTCTGGTAATATTTTCATTCAATTGTTTGGCTCACCGTCGAATTTAATTGATATGTCCCATCTTTAGATAACATCATTTTTAATGGTAATCGTTGGATTACCCACAGCCAGGACGAGAAGACGTCCGTTTGTTTTGTCCCTTGCCATTGGATTAATTATCTTCGCCTCCGACTATATCAACGCGGTTGAAGCAGGCATTAAAGAATTGCATGAAGATATATGGTATTAAAAACCTGTATGAATGAATTGCTTTTGTTCATACTGTTACACAGAAGTGAAGTGCTATGCGTGCAACCCAAATGGAAGAGAGGTCGGAACAAGGGGTAAAGGCCCGGTCATCAATGAAGAGAATCTTGGTCGCAGCAGTTTGTACCTCAAAGGAGCTTGTGATGATTGGAACAAGGCGGCTGAAACGACAAGGAAAGGCTTCAGGTTTACCAAGACTTGCTCGCAGGGTGAGTTATTTTTTAATTAAAATTATCATAAAAAGTATTTAAAAATGATGATTTTGACCGTTTTGTTTGTGTTCATTCATCTAGGATGTCTTTATGGTACCTCTGAAAGCAAGTACTCTGCAACAGCGACGCAAAACGGAGTGACGATTGAAGAGAAAGTGTTGAATATGTATGGGACCTTTAAGGGCTGTTTTGGAACTGGAAACGAACAAGGGACGCCGTTGAAGATGGGAGGCTGCGTTGACATTTATCCAACAGACGAACTCGAGCAGTCGATGCCTCACCCGGACAATGGGGACGTTATCATCCGCACGAAGGGGTTGGAGGGGAAGCATCACATTTGTGGGTGCGACAAGGATTTTTGCAACCTGGCGCCTGGTGGAGGCGCGTCGTTGGCGACCGTTCTGGTCGCAATTGCAGCTCATATTTTGTATTTAAGTATGTCATTAATTATCGATTAGTTTCATCCGTAATGTTTTGAATGAATAGGTCGCCGTGTTTTGTTACTAATTGAGAGTGAATTAAATAAATTATTAAGTTTTGAGCAACATATTTCCACTATGCCCGCAAAGCAATCGATTATGAATTGCTCGTCTCTAGTTGATAGCTAAAATTCATGAAAAAGGAGGACAATTATTAGACCATATCTCTTTGGATAAAGTGGTGGCCCTTAAAAGGGCCGTTGGGTTAAAGTCTGTTGTTAGAAGAGAGGATGATGTTAAGCCTTTTTGGGGGCAGCTTTCTTGGCTGGCTTCGCCTTCTTGGGAGACTTTGCTTTCTTCGCGTTGAGAAGCTAGACCTTTGGAGCCTTGGCTTTTGGAGACTTCTTCGACTTCTTGGCAGCAGCAGGTTTGGGTGCAGCTGGAGATGATGCTGCAGCAGCTGGGGGTGCGGCTGCAGGTGCTGCGGCCTTAGCCTTCTTTGGCTCGGCAGCTGCTTTCTTTTTTGGAGATGCAGCTTTATTCGTCTTGGGGGCGGCCTTCTTATTTGGGGAAGCAGCAGATAATTTACACGCATAATCGCCACTCATTTCTTGTCAGTTCATGCAAAGCTAGAATTGTCCCATTTTTCTAACGTGCAAAATATTTAATTTTATGCAATTCACTCCCATCATCAACATTTGAATTCATTTAAATAGAAATAAAACGGTTTTATATTATCAAAAATTTCTTATTTAGCGATTTATTTTGTTTATTTGTTTTATATAAATTGCGTACTACTTTTCCTAGAATTTTGTTCATCTAATAAGTTCTTAATTTGTATGGTTGAGTGACGACGCTTATACATAAAATTTAGTATTGCATCATAAACGTCCCCAACAAATACAGAATACAAACCTTAATATTTCAGGTTAACTCTTATGATTATTGATTACAAGATTTTACTAATTAAAACTTAACAATTAATTATCTACCATTTTCGTTGTTTTCTTGCATTGACACGCTACGCTATTTCTATTAAGCAAAGTCAAACCAAACTATCCCAGTCACCCCATTGAAACTAATTATATTCGATTTAAACATTATGCATGACAATGATAAATCATCCATCACATCACACAAAACTTAATTACGTTAAATTATCGACATTTAATTATTATCAAATATTTTATTATGGACAGTTTTATATAAGTATTTTATACATAAGTATATATCGCCTACTATTGCATGAAAACATTTATACATAACTAAATATTTCTACCTCCGCTAATTATCTGACTATCTCTGTTACTCCGACGCAGCGAATGGATGCAAATTAAGTAGAAAAGTCTTGACATTTTGAAAATAATGAACAAAAAATGGTTAAACAACTACTTCATCATCACCTTTTCGAGTGGTCTACAAAAACGCGGACCATTTCCCCCGAGTATTTTCTTTGTGATGGCATAAAGTAAAAGTCTGGATTGTGATTTAACCCATTGCTTCCCCCCGAAGGGCCACCATTTCCATTACTTTGTCGCATCATGGATTGGGTGGAAGGTTGAGATTGTGGTTGACCGTGGTGCGGTCGGGGGAGCGACATGCTGGGCGGGGCGGCGGCGTGATGTCCGTAACCATTTCCTCCCCCGTTCGAGTGAGACGACGCCATCCCGCCGTTTCCGTGACCATTCGCGGGCGGGTAATGGGGCGGAGTTTGAGTCAGCTGCATGGCGTTGGGACCTTGCATCTTCTCGTCGTAAGCGTCATAGCCATAGTTCGTTTCGGAATAGTCTCTCCACGCCATCCCAGAACCGCTGGAGCCCTGATTTTCATATGTAGAAATTCATTAATTAAGATAATCCGCAATGTATCAAGAAAGCAGAATTAGTGAAATATCAAGCACCTTTTGGCTACCCAGACACAGATATAATTTGAAATATGTAGCAAGCATATTAAGTAAGTTGCACTGATCACCAGGTTGAGAAGAAGAAATTATAAGAAAATTAGCAGCTATATAGTTAAGAGAGTTCAGAGTTATCAACGCGGCTTATAGTTAAGCGTCCACCTTTTCACCAGAAATACTAGCACTGTCCCCGTTAGCAGTATAATTCTGCCCGTTTGGAACAACCTTGCACAACCGGAAATAGTTGTAATTAATTAGCCCCAAAACCAAGATATTCAAGGCCTAAAAATATGTCCGTTACCTTGTGCGACGAAGTTTTTCCTGTCCCCTTCGTAATTGTGAAGATGCCTTGCGCCACAGCCAGCAGAATGAGTGCGCCCACGCTCCCAAGAATTATCCAGAAACGCTTCTCTCCAAACGAAGTGGTCACAACTTGTGGGTCAACTTCGTCGTAGTCCGTGTCTTGTTCTAAGATTGGTGCCTTCAATCTGAGGTATGTCGGATCAATTTGGAATGATCCGACCCGTCCAGATGACAGTGTGTCGTTCAAGGCGCGTTCGACCCTCGATGTCTCGGCAAGTTCCGAATTGGGAACGACCATGACTTCAAACTTGGCTAATGCGCCAGATTTACCGTCCCTGCAAATAAACCAGGTATTTCGTTTTCGTTATCATTATATATAATATTGGACTCTAACCTCTTAATCTCAGTCAACTGCAACCTCTTGAACCCCTTAATATTCTTCAACTCGGAACTCAACTCTGTTCCGATTCGGTTATCTAAATGTTTAAAATCTTCACTTTCCTTACGGGGCGGCCTCCAATTATTGCCTAATCCGCCGGTCAACTTGATATCGAACTCGTATCGAAGTTCGGGGTCCTTCAATATGCGAACGGGGCGACATTCGCGAGGAATGCAAATCTTTTCGGATGAAGCGATCGGAAGTTGTTCATGCTTTCGGATCTTCTTATTCACGTGATTATAGGTCCCCCCTTCGACGGGAAAGAGGAAGAAGCGACACTCATCCAGTGAAACGTCTTTTGGGTCGGATGTCTTCACTTTCCGGACGAATGACCAGTGGATGATCCCGTCGCGATATTTTCCTGTCATGTTGCTGATATCCTATGGAGAAAATCAGTGAAATTCAAAACGTGATTGTGATTACATTTTTATCACCAAATGTTACTCGTTAAAATTACCTGAGAATTGTCCAGCACTGGTGCCGTGTAGCTCGCCATGAAGGTGTCCATATGGAAAAATTGTCCTCCCGATGTCACCCATCCTATCACTGCGTCAGAGTTTCTCATCTGTGGCGAATCGCTAAATCCGATCCCAGTCCATCTGTCCGGCTTTCTCGTTTCGACGGTGAATTTTACTGAATCAATTTCCGGAATGTATCGCCAAGTAGCGTTGTATGTGCAGGGTTTAGATGGGTCGAGGTAATTCTGACATCCGGGAGGATGTGCCCAACCGTTCTCACAGTCGTAGCTTTTCGTTTTTTTGCGTCCGCTCGCTGTTAACGAAACGAAAATATTTAATTTTGAAAATAAATCGAAATTTGTAGTGCTTTTTAACTCACATTGCTCTGCCAAGAAATCAATCCTCGTGATCCCCCTCTGCGCCCCATGCCCGTGGTACTTGATTTCATCCGGGGCATAAAATTCGGCCCGTGACGGGGTCTCTTTCTCCAGTCCAGAGTGTGGCGTGTGAACATATTCTCCATTTTCTTGACCTCGAGCCCAAATGACGTGCATCTCGCCGGCAATGTCGTGATCCGCTTCGTCGCTGGATTTCAATTTTCTTCTGAAAATGAGCACTGTTTCTCCATTGTCTTCCCACCCAGTGGCGGAGGTGATGTCGTCCTTTCCTCCCCAGAAGGAGTCGACGCGGGGGGTGGACCGGTCGCGGGTGTAGTAGTCTCGTATACGGGATAAGGGACCTCTTGCCCCACCCATCACCTATAAAAATAAATAAGTGTTGTGTAATTGACAGATTTGTGCTTGAGTGAAAATTCTATCCCCCCAAAAAATAATGCACAAAGTTGTCCACTTACCATGTCGATACAATCCATGGCGTGAAAATCTCCTTTAGGTGCCCACTACATAATACATAAGGTAAGATTAAAAATTACCTTAACGAATTCAACTTATGTATCGTAAGGGTCTCTCTTACCACTGATGGCTTAAGGTTTTTCTGCCTCTCAGATGACGCACTGGGGGTCGAATCACCAGTGGTGCCAGGTTCCGCTTCTGCTTCAGCTTCGCCTAAAAAATTGTGGACAATTGTATGTAAATTAAGTCTAAAAAATTTGTTGAAAACTGGAATGTCGTACTTTCAGGTTCGGCTTTTGCAGTCCCTTCAGGCTCTGGTTCGCTGGCTCCGGCCTCTGCCTCCGGTTCGGGCGAGGGTTCCGGTTTCGTTTCTGGCTCGGGTTCTGTTTCCGGTTCTGTAAAAGACATGTTTAACAAGTTTGTCCATTTTCGAGATATTAAGACAATAAAATACCTGGCTCAGCTTTGGCTTCTTCTGGTTCCGGAGAACGTTTCTGTCTCTGCCGGTTAGATCGAGTCACTGCGATTTGCGACGTTTCGACATGAACATCACTTCCATCCTGGACTCGATTACTTCTCAATTTTGACTTTAACTTTTCTGCCCCAGATTTCGGTTTGGGCGTCGTTTTTGCTTCTGGTTCGGATGTAGTTTCTGGTTCTGTGGAGGAATAAATATTTATGTAGTTGGCTAAATAATTAGCCAAGTGAACCTCAAAGTTATTCTCGTTCTTCTTACCCGACGTAACTTCCGGTTCAGAAGCAGGTTCCGAAGCAGGCTCAGAAGCTGCAGATTCGGGCTCAGGCTCTGCATGAGCAGATCCTTCGTGAGACTTATTCTTGTTCTTGCTTGGCTTTGTCTTTTCTTTCGCTGCCGTTTCCGGTTCCGCGGCGGATTCTGGTTCCGCCTCGGCTGTTGATTCTGGTTCAGCCACGGCCGACTTGTCTCTAGAAAAAGATTAATAATTTCGATAACACACAGTTATCTTGCCTTGTCTACTAAATATGTAAATCACTTACGACGATCCTGATGAAGCCGTGTCCAACTTGGCATTCTTCCCAATTCGTTCCACCTCCGCGGTCGAGTTGTCAATGAACGGCCAACGTTTGCAGGTCGCCTTAAACCCGGCCGGTCTCCAGCCAAGAGCTCCGTATGAGGTTCCTTTCACGGTTAAGATCATCTCGATCTCTTTGTTCTCATCTTTTGTGGCTGGGAGAATCTAGAATCCCACAAACACAATTTTTATACGGTATATATCTATGTATGATTTCCTCGTCAGAATTTTTACCCTGTAATGCAGCGTCATCCTGTCGGAAAGGACACGTTTCGTGTGCCTCGTCAAGTCCAAAGGTTGACCGGAAGTTGGCAGTTTGGCTGCATTTCTCTTACGACATTTCTCCCCGTGAAATCCTGCCGAGCAAAAACATTGCTTTCTGGGCAGAGCGGTGCCACCAAGGTCGATGCATTTTCCATTGTTACTGCATTCCGATTCTGTCTCGCATTCGTCCTCATATTGGCATCTCGCACCCCAAAATCCTGTCGCAAAATTTCCGTTAATTAATATAATTTGCGTACATAAATTTGTATATTTGCGTCACATATTTGTACCTTTATTGCAGACGCATCGACCAACAACCGCTCGTCCATTTCCGCTACAAGTTTCCTTAAATTTCTTCGCCGGAACGATATCAACGTCAGAGCAGGACCAAAAGCGGTACTGATTTGCCCACTCGGACGCCTGAATTTTTGTTATTGTTTCAGATTTTGAAATGCTAATAAATTTATTAAATATTAACTTTACCTGTCGCAAGAGTCGGATTGTGCAATCATCACAGGTAAAGTTATCCGGAAGTTTTACAGTGTGGGCTTGAGCTCTATAATACATACAGATAATTTCAAAAATAAAAAAAATCTGTATCGATACTTTCAATCGAAATTGATCCAATTTAGCAATAATCCAATCTAATAATCCATCTGCACCTGTCGACCATTTAGTTTCGTAGTCTAATAATCTAGGCACGAAATCATTACACATTTTGATTCGACTACCACTACCAACCAACGCATTTATTCAAACAATAAGACCAAATTTAACAGCGTGAATGATGCCATGATGACAGGCTATACGTGAACCTGCTGCTGCTGCCTACATTTATTGCGTTGCGTATTATTGCAATTTGGCGTGGCGTGGCCTACGACCCACCGACTAAAAATTATAAAGGATCGAAACAACGCTTCCCACGATGCAAAGAGCGATAAAATCTTCTGTTCATAAAGGGAACAAAAGATCATAACTTTGACAATCAGCCAAATTCATCACAAACTAAATTACCTGTTAACAGCATACACACAGAATTATTAATGTCCAACTAAACTAGCTCCACTTGTTCGACATGAAAGCAAAAGTGCGTTAGAGACGAACGACTATCTTCTCTGATCGATTTAGGTCACTTGTTCATAATTCATAACGCTGTTTTTGTGTCCTTCTTCTACCATTAGGCAAACTACAAAATACAAATGAATACACATGTACTATTTGGCAAGTGGGAAAAGCTTCCATGTTTTTAAAATGTGTCCTAAATTGAGTGATTAGTTAACTCCATTGACTAATTAGTGCCTAAAATGGGGATGAAATAGGTCGAGTATTGATTACTTTTTTTACGACGACGACTCAGTTGTGTCATCTTTTTTTACGTAATGTGGGTTTCTTCATGTTCTGCATACTTGCAGAATACCAACGAATTATGGTGATTTAGTTATTATTCGAATCCGTGGACTAAACTCGAAACAGTTCTTGAAATATTTTACCTTTTCAAAAAACTCTAGTTTCTCTTTAACGTGTGCAAAGTAAACACATTTGCATAAATTACTATTATATAAAAAATGGGTGGAGGGATAGAAGGCAAGGTCATGCAAATTCTAATTCTAAATTCTAATTTCAAACGGTCGCTTTACTCAACGGAGTGTGACGTGCATTATTAACTTAAATTCTAGTTAAGCCCAACATAAATACGTCTTAAAGCATAATTTTAAGGAATAGTTACGATGTCCACATGCGATTCGAGAATCCATCACCGTGAGAAAATGGGCTAATAATCACACTTAATGAGTCTACTTAACTATGCCAAAGCTGGTCTGGTCATGTTTTTTTTACCAAGTTTAAACAATTGTGTGTGTTTTGCAGTAATTTACCAGTTTTAAATTTAACCAAGGGTCAGGAAGCATGCAAATTATACTCCTGACTCAGTGAATGAGCTTTTCCACCAGGAGACCTCAGATATCTTGCGTAGTTTTGGTTCGTCATGCTGCCACAGTTCTTGACATTACAGGATTTACGGGATTGTAATTGGTCCAAGGAACGATGATTTTAATTTGCAAATTATCGCCGATGGATATTTTAAATTGCTATTTCCAAAAGTACAATAAATCAGTCGTCGTCGCCACCACCCACCCACGCGGACGGTCATGACTTCTGTAAATGTAATCAAATCTCATGCATTGAAAGTGCAATGGTCGTGAATAAACTCAATTAGTTCTCGTTATCACCTAACAGATGCATTTCATGTTTTATTCTACTTACTGCGTCTAGAATTTAAATCAGCAGCAGTGCACTGACACGGACTATGTATGTATGAATGCAGGCAGGCAGATGATGCACTAATCTGCATAATGGCTTTCTGCTCAAGTTTGTCATGCATATGTGCAAAATATCCCAGCTTGCAGGGACCGGAATGAAAAGTTTAGCACAAAATGTGGCAATATTTTATTTTATTTGTACATATGCTTGCCAATTTTGTGTGTGGTCAAGTAAATTAGGGTGAGGTTTGAGGATTTAAATTAGATGCAAATTGCCAATGCAGTTTTCTTAAAGATATGAATTTTTGTCGTACATACTTCATTAGCAAACAGGACACGTGTCGTGGAATGACATTTTCGCTGGTCAGCATATTCAACCTTAATTTCAAAATTGCATTCCATTACAAATATGGCAATATTTGCAAATATTTGCACCAATTATTCCAGTTTTGTCAAATCAAAGCCTTCCATATTTCGATAAGATTGACAACTCCTATCATTCGCACATTTTAAAACGTAGTAAGCATATTTAGGACTACTACAACTTGACGTTCAAAATATCCCATCCTTCATATTATTATTAACCACGTCTGCTGAACGAACACAATAAATTAATGATTTCCTTCCATCCATCCGTCAAATGGATGACTTTGCAACTATGTATCTCCAATCCACAACCCACCGACAGAACAATGAATATTTAATTTCAGGAGAAGTCTCAAACTGTAAATTAGCCGAGGAGTGAAACAAAAGCAGACTATTATTCTACGGAAAGAAAACATGCATCGTTTCATTCTCATGAATCTGAAGCAGGAAGAAGATTGCGCGTCTTCTAACCAAAATATGGCAGAAAACCGCATAGCTAATTAAGCCATTATGCTCCCTGCCAAAAACACTATACGTTGGTCGTCGCTATATTGAAATTAGCACGTAAATAAAACAAGCAATGCTTTGCTATAATGATAAAAATATGTGTTTGTATGTATGGCCATCGCAGATGATGATGAAGCCAAGCCATTTTGGTAGCACATTTCGCCATGCGAAATTTTGATAGCGTGTTTATAAAACATTGTATATTCGCAATTGGATTGGATTGATGTCCACTTTCATTTTTGTTTTGTCTGAATGTTGTCTTCCGTTGTGATTTTCTGATTCTGTTCGTTTGTTACTGTTTGTGTCTCATCAAAATATTTATTGGAGTTCTTCTTGCATAACTATGTTAATAATTTGCACGTGCGATGCGATGGCTTTGCGTGTGCAAATATTTGGCAGTGATGTTGAATGGAAATAAAGAAATCAATAATATAAGTACTAATTAAATTATATATATCAGTGTGTTTTCCAAATTTGTTCTTTTGTCGCAATAATTTTCGACGTTTTGTAAGACTAATTTTCCATTGAGCATTTTACTATGATTTTCCCGACGTAAGAGTTTTGCCAACAGGTTTCTGGCAGTTTTAATTTTTTCGACGTAAAGGCTGGAAATTGGCTAATTTGTGTTTTTTGCTAATTGTGTGATTCTCGGAACAATGTACAAAGCGCTGCATTGTGCTAACACGCATAAGGATCATTGTACAATTATTTCCATAATTATTTTTCACTAAAACTTCCGAAATGAAACATAGATTGTTGATGTTAAGCGTCGAAAAAGGTATTTTTGGGTAACAAATATATATTTCAAATGTTTGTAGGTATCTCGCGAATCTTGTGTGTATTTGATTTTTAAATATTTTTCTTTGATTACGAAGAATGACCAAAAATGAGACTCTCCTAAAATATCAATTAAAGATAAAACTAATGCAAAAATTCCGATCCATAATCGATCTTCTAATCCTTTATTACAAAATAATTAAAACTTTCTACCCTAATGAATTTCATGTCAGCCAATAACAACGGTACGCATCATTTTACTTCGTACTTTCCTCATACTTTTTTATGTAAGTGATATACGCACCAGCAACAATGTCACCACCGACGACCACTCCTACTTATCTATCAACTACACACACATTTACAAATCTGCATCGACTTTGTATACATTTTTGCCATCACAATTTCGCAACGAGAGTGACATGAGACACAAAACTAAATCTAACGTACATACACCTAGCTTAATGAACTATGTGACTTAACTTATAAATTGTCTCATCAGCTACACACACACCGCAGGACACACCTCACACTGTTGTGTTTTAGATTTATAGCGACATTTTAAAAAAACAGCAAGTAAACATATTCAAAGTTCAAACATTTCTAGAATTATTCATCATCATCCCAATTAAAAAAAATATTACTCAACCAAACATAAAACTATTACTTAAATGCTCAACTAATTAGAGAGAAAAAAAAATCCAAGCTAAGCATAACACATACACTAAAATCAATATCAAGTCTACAAGACGGGAAGGAATCGAGTAATTAAATTGATTGGCTTATATTTTTTCAGATTAAATTTCCGATAAAAAGATTCGAGTAGCATTGCAAATTCAAATAATATGCAAATCATGCATACCTACCTACACAATCACATTTTGTCACAGGATTGACAACCAGCCATCATCTCGTCATTTGCATAGCACGTATCGTAGGAAAATCTATTAACTGCTCAATTTAAATGTTAGATTGCCTCCCTGCACGTAATTATTTCTCACCGTGGTGAAAGTGAATGGATGGATGAATGAATATAAATAAAATCAAATGCAACATGCCATAATTTTTTCAATACTCCCTGCGACACGACACATCCATGTTCAAAATATTATTAATATGTATTTGTTTTAAAGTCGGTATTAAAAAAAAGAATGAATGAATTGGTGATCATGATTCTTCGACATGAGAGTAAATTAATAGCTTTTGACCAATTGTTTTATTTCTCGCGTCGTTTAAACTCATTTCAATTGACACAAATCCATTCACGGCTTCACGCCTCGCATTCTTCGACACATTTCGTTTTCAATTTAACACGAGAAGAGAAGAAAGTAAAATAAAATAGCCATGAGGGCGAGGGACACTTGTTCATTTTCGTTTAAAAATAAATCATTATTTATTATCATAGTTTGAATAGAGGTTTCGTTAGATTTGCTTTCTTGTATATGACAAGTTTCATTTGCTAACTTGTATTTTTTTGTGGGTAGACATCAAAACAATACATTGTTTGGATTAAAACATGCCAAAAAACCACAAGTGGTGAGCTTCTCCGCTTCAAAAATTTGTGACAAAACGGATTTCACACGCTGCATGAGATCGTACAAATTTTTTGTTCAAATAACTCAATTAAGCGCATGCAGAGCTAAACGAGATGAAATGAGCACCAAGTATTTTTTTGGGGAAAACTTGGGAACAAATGGCTGAAAAGAAAACAATTTAATCATGCCAGGTACTGGTAAACTGGAAAAGAGACTGAAAGTGGTTGGTGGTGGCAAAAATACAGGCGTAAAAATCGACACAGTCTAAATGATGAGACCTTCGTTACATAAAAAATCTGTGTGTGTAGGTTGATAAACACTTTCCATCACAATTGCACAATTGATTCTTCTCCTCTTGCGTAAGAACAAAGGTCTCTTTGACCTTTGTGGGACCAGAGTAATTAACAAAAACTAATGCATAATATGTAGTTCAAGTACCTACAAAATTGGATCTCGTCCAACTATCCATCTACGCCTGGGAAAAACTTGGGATTAATTAAACCACCTACTTTTAGGTATTAGCTACAAAATGATATCATTTTGTACTTATCAGTCATGTAATTTTGATGATATTGACAAGAGTTCATCGCGCATTAAGTACTAATGTTTGGTGGGAATTGCGTAGACCGTGGGAACCAAAAAATAGAACTTTACTGTCACAGTCGTATTTAAATACTTGATAAAAACAGCGATATTTTTTGCAAAGTGATGCAATTTTTGCCTGTTACAGAACAGCTCTCAATTTTATTGCTATACATTCAGACTTATTTATAACTTTAATGAGGGATGAAAATTGTTTTAGCCCACCATAAATAAATTTTTATTTCTATAAACTTTTCGCAAATAACAGAGTAAGTAGATTTGCACGCCAAAAAAACAAAATAATAAAACCAGCCAACTCTTAAGTTCTCCATTTCCTTTGCTTTTACCAACCTTGAGACCTTGAAGAACTAAATGACATCTCCTTTTCGTACGTACGTAAATTGAATCTACATCGTTCTTAAACGACCTCACACACAGTCGAACTGAACAAAATACAACAACCAACCAAACCCAACAATGAACTTCAATTCAACAACTGTCGCTAATTTCAGTCATCTTGCAATGTCTTTTTCTAACGTCTGGCCGAGTAAAGCGCATAAGCAGCTGAATAAAATAAACCAACATTCATCCTGACCTTTAACGAGATAGATGATAATGCAATTATGTACAATAACTAACTGCCATGCAGACCACCACACATTCATGATTCACTCGATATATATGTAGGGTCCTTAAAGTGGTTACTGGTTTGTACAATGACACAACAATCAAAATCAAATTGACACCACAATTACCTTTACAATGCGGCTAACAATTGAAACAAGAATTAAATTTATTTTCATTCCCAGACCCAAAAATGGATGGATAGAATGTAATGGAATGAATAATGCAGTATGTATTTATGCACTTGATCGCATTCATGTACTTAGGTTTGACTTTGGTTTTGGTTCAACAGTTCAATGTTTTTTGTTGCGATAATCATTTGTCGAAGTAATTGGCAAACAAGTGCAAACTCTTGTGCAAATTTGGCTGATACGAAATAATGACGGCTTTTGTAACACCGCGAGAAGACGAGGTAGGCAAAGGTGACGAGCTGAGGTCACATTTAAATGCTTAATACTGTAATGTAATGTCTGTCCAGCTCTAAGACAGAGTTCGATTTGAAGAAAAATATAATTGCGTAATTTTCACTGTAAAATCTGCACCTTTTTGCAAACGCCTACACGATTATGAGGTGTTTAAGGATCAACAGGGATGTAGTAGAACATCCGTTACCTTGAAATTAAGGTTTCCAAGTTGTACGTACAAACTAAGTTAGCCCGTCTTTCCTCATCTTCCTCGTTAATTTCGCATTTAATACGTCTTATTCATGGAAATCACCACTTAATGCAAGTATCTACAACTGCATCATCCTCCTGCATGCATAATAATTTATTGTTGTGTTATGAATATGCCAACAACAAACATTTCATTATTTTCCACTATGGAAGGGAATTATGCTTCGCTGTACGTATGTTTCCCTTATATCAGTACTCACATTACACGGTGTGTTGCTCCCATTATGCAAATTCATGTAGTGCATGAGTTGTGCGAAATATTTGGATTTAGCAAAACTGAAAGTGATACCATTATTAGAGAGAATACGTATTAAACTAGAATGAATAATTTGCAGTGTGCCGTACCGTGTAGGTAATTATCTAGTATCTCAATGTACAAATAGTGCAACATACCATGCATTACGCAACAATGAGATCAAAGAGCACATTATGCATGTTATGTTATATAACAATGGCATTCCATATATTGTGCACTTTGGTAGTACATATGTAGATTCATAATAGCGTTGAAGGTTTTTTTTATAGCTTAATTTTTGTAACGTGCCTACGCATTTTCGTATCAATAATCCTCCTACTGCATGCAGCAGATCAAATCTTTTGTGATGTGCAAATTACTTATTGCGAAAATGTTGCGAAATATGCTGATCCAGTAAAATAATTAGTCAAGTCAATTGTGTTTAATTTTCAATTTAAGTGATGGTCAAAATTTTCAGGTTAAGAATTATTATAAAACTCTGGCTACTTAAATTGATTTTGTTATCTTATTCCTTACTAAAACCTTGACTAAAATTCTTCCCCGTCTAGTTTGACATTGAACCTTGTCATTTTTTTGAGTCTGCAAATTGTAATCTTGGACACAAAAGGTGATAATGTATTTGTATCCAAACCAATCAACTGTCACTGACTGAGAGTAAATTTGGACACCAGGCGCAACAAAGGATTAAAAATAAGTATATAATATTTACATCCGTCATGATCATCAAAAAAATCCATCCGTGCCACGCTTATGGCGAAATAGTAAATAGTGTCAGCCAGCCAGACAGGCAGGATATTATTAAATAGTTGACAAGTCAATATGGAAAATTTTACGAAAAAAAACACAAGACGCCACAATTACCTAATGATGACAGATACTAAACTGAGGTCCTTTTTGCCTTGGGGTATTAGCTTTTGTGGTACTGCGATACACGAAAAATGTATTTATTTCATTCCCTTGGTGCATTCATGACGAGGCAAATTGTTTTGCGTTATCCTTACATTGAATGATGCGAATAATGAATAAGGAAGTCGTCGTATCATCCAACCATCCATTCATTTACCAAACAACCAAGTATTTACCGCAGAGATATGGGAGCAGATTTCAGATAATTTATTTTGGCATTTTTAATGGTTCGTCATCTCTTGGATAGACTTATTTAAGCAAAAGATGACCAAGTTGGAGAAGGATTTGATTAAATTTTGTGGGTTCTCGTGAAACGAAGTGAAGTGAAATTAATTGGACAGAATGTGATGAGAAGTTAGTTAGTAGAGGATTTGTATTTTACATGATTTGGATACAATGTTGGTGAGATTTAAGGTGGAAATGTGATATTATCTACGTCTCAGAAATTTCATGGTGACCGGTTATGAAAAAATGAGACTCTGACTCATTTCCTGTTTTCTGCAGCTGCTGGAGTCCAGATTAAAATTTTCGTTTTATAACAACAGTTGCAATTTGCAAATATGAGTCAACCTTAGAGCAAAGAATAAGCGCTGTATCACTTGAGGAAGTATTAATAATCATATTTAGCCGTCTGCAGTATCATTTTTACATCACGTTACACCTTTACAATTGGTAATCAACAAATGAAAAATCTATATTGAATTTTATCTCAATTCAACATTCACAAAATTTACTTATCGTCGCTGATTTGTAACTAAAGTGCATTCTCAAATAAAAATAAAAATATAAGACTCATAATTTGAGTTCTTACACAGATCTATTTTTATTTTTATCATCGCCACAAAAAAAACCCCATGAAATCCATTCATCACCCGCAATTACCACCTCCAACCGCATTTATTTAAGTACTACCCGGTAGCAAACAAGAATATCATCTTTCCGTCAATTTGTCACCAATAATTTGTGCATCAAATCAATCATGAAACCGACGCAGGGAGGAAAAATCGACAAAACCGTGTACTTTCAGCTCCTTAATGAGGTTATCGATCTGATTTGACGGCTACATGATGATAAATCTCTCGATGGTGTGGTCGACGTCAAGCAGTAAAAAAAGTGCAAGGAACCATTCAACCGGTCACACACACCACTCCGAATCTACTTTTTCGGCTAAAATTCGCATCACAAAATCAATGCCTACAGGTCTCATGTATGCGCGTGATAAACGCTTAATGTCGTAAATTTCAGCCTTTCGATGAGGAAAATGTTCGTGATTTAAGGAGAGAGAGAGAGAGGAACAAATTAAACCAACCCCCAATTTTCCACGGGGCTTTATAGCTTTCATTTTTTATGAGGGTGTAATAGTGCAAAAAGAGAACATGTTGTAGCCATCGGTTGGTCTTGCATGCATGCAATGAAACGGTGCTTAAAATTATTTATTATTATTGGATTGGATTATGTTGCATGGATCGTCAAAATTTGATATCTGCACTTACGTGGGGTCTCCCTTGATGTAGTCTTCATTCCCGTTTTTTGGTGTCAAGTCCAGTAACATGCGTTCTTGACTGTCCATCAGTTCGAGGCGATATCCACCCTGTTGTAGAAAAAATGATTAGTATTAAGCTGTGATAAGTTGAAATTTAAACCTTCATGATCAACGCTAAATAATTTTTGTGCATTGCAAATATCGCATTTCCCTTGGTAGAGTATTTTCTTCAATATTAAATTCTACCCCGAATAATTTACATGTTCAAAATTTTATGAGTCTTATCATATCGCATTTTTAATCCGACTTTACTATTTTCTAAAGATTACAGTGAAACTCATCCTCAGTCCGAAGCCATGTAAATAGTTTTCATAACTTCTTAATAACCACTTGATCGCATTCTTTCCGGTTGACAATATGGTTGGTCGGGGGGTATTTAATCTTTATCCACATTTTTTTAACTGGGTTGGTTTAATCCTAATGCATTCTATCTAACAATTTAAGCATGCATAATGTGATCAAAAATTCACATAAGGAAATAATGCAGTATTTGACATCGCATACTTGGCAAGATATGAATTTCAAGCCGGTCGTATGAGGTGCAACGTATAGAATAATCATACATGTAAAAGCATCACCATTACGTTTGATTTGATGATCATGACGATGATGTAAGTAAAAACTAAAGAACTGACGCCTTAAAGAATGACTAGCCGGTTGGTGGTGGTTTGGTTTGCTTGGTGCGGCATACGAATAAGAAAATATACAAGATACATAACTGGTTCGATGATGGTATGAATTTAAAAACGAGATGAAATCCAACGGTCAAGCACCTTGGTTAATTCATCTCTTGCCATCATGTAACAACAACTGGTGGATAACTTGAAGAGCTCAACTAACAACAGCTTTTATTGAAATTTATTACGTTATTTACAAAAAGCGGGTTTATTTCACTGCATTTTGTGTACGTATCTTTTTCATTTAATTTGGAAATTGTGTGTGAACACCATACCACGGTATCTGATTATTTAGCAATTCCAGCACATTTTGAAATTAGATAAACAACAATTTCAGTTCGGTAAAATATCATAATTTCAAAAATTTCACTTTTATAAGAACCACTGTAATGATGATATGCACCCAATTTTATGCTTGAGATAAACCTGCCTACTTATTTATTTGCGATGATTTTATTCTGTCGGTAAAAAATTTAGGAATTTGTATTCAATTTCCAACTTGCCTAGTATATAATCATTCCTCATGAATCAAGTCAGTCGTCGTCAATTTATTGCTCCATTTGATCATTTCATTTTATGATTTAGAGCACATTCTTCTTGTTTCCCTTTCGTTGAGTCGCGTTATTATTTCTTTGTCTTGAATTGATGAAGTAGATCAAATCGTCAAATTGGAAATCAAGTAGCATATGTATCTGAATTTATGAAGGGTTCGTTTCTCGTTAGTGATTATGATGCCCCTTTAACGAACGGATGCCTAGTGCATTATTTGCTAAGAACAGGAAGCTGCACTTCTTGTACGACATGACACATGGCTGACATAAAATTTGCAATAATATGATAATCCCAATAATGAAAGTGAACGTTGCCTACTTATTATTTAGCAAACTCCAAATATTTTACGCATCCCAAAACATACTATAAAATAAGTAAGTACGTATGTACAACACCTTAATTAAATCTTATAATAGGTCCTCTCAAAGCTCTAAAAAAGATCGGATTTTTCTGCTCATCGCTCATTCTGATCTTTTCTGCTCGGCTGTGCGCATGCGATTTCGCTCAAAATCAGATTTTCTTGCTCAACAAAAAAATCGAGTTTTGGGTTGATTTTTTCTTTCATAATCCTGCTCATTCTGCTCCACATCAGCACATCAGCTGTTTGTTTACTTCAACTTTTCGCTTAAAAATTAAGCAAAGTTTTCTAAAAAATATTCTTTATCATTATGGGTCCCAAGACCAAGGTTAAGAGTACCAGTGTCGAAAAAGTTGCAAATCCTGTAATTTGTCGCAACAAACGTAGCGTCGTGGAGGTAGGCGGCCGAAAAACTTTTCGCTGGACACTACAAATAAAAATTGACATGCAACATTATGTGGTCGACATTTATACCGCATTTAAGGTAAATGATGGTTTGTTATCCACATGTAATTTTAAATGACCAAATCCTTAAACGAAAAAAAATATTTGAGCAGGTGACCAAATGCACTGAACTACTTCGTCGTCTCCAAGATGCTTTGGCCCTTAACTGCGAAGAAAGTCAAATAAAAAATGATTTCTTAAAACGTACACAGAGACTAAAGAAAAGTTAATGGGTTTTGGGATTGACCCTGAGAAAGACGAAACTCTGGACAAAAGTGCGGTCGTTTCCTCCAATTACATCAAATCAAATTATTTTCAATTTTCAAAGTGAAGCAGAAATAAAAATACTGGAAATCAAAATTCAATTGGACCCTCTTAAATCTAAATCCTAAATATATGACTTATAAAATTGTTTATTGCTGCTGCATAAAATGAATTATTTGAGATAATGCTGTTCGTTTTAATTCTGCAATTTTTTCACAATGCCTGTTGTTGAAACACAGCCGCGTTAAGATCACATAATGATAAAAATTCTCATATCTGTTGACGTTCAGCTATTTTCGGAATTTTATGAATTATGAAACTGAATTTAAAACCATGAAACTGGTAAATAAATAACTGAACTTCCCACAAATAAAGATCACGATTCTCAAGAATTATGATCAATAAAAAAAGTGGTACGTTCAAGGTTTGAGCAGAAAAATCGGATTTTTTATTTTTCTGCTCATTGCTCATTTCGCTCATTTTTTAAGCCTTGAGAGCTCCTATTAGGAGCTCTCAAGGCTTAAGGCTCTCTCATATTTCTGTCGCAACCAAGCGTATCGTGCTTTACCGGCTTTTCTTGCTTTGCTTGACAGATGTCTGTCGACAATTAATTTTTTCACATTTTTTTCTGTCCAAAAAAAAATGGTGGAAAGGGTGGAGTCATTTGCATGAAAGAGGGTTTGGAAAGATGAGTCAACATTTTATGTATTATTTCATCCTTGCGTAACGCCTTATCTTTTCATATGCAAAAATAAAATACATTATCTGATCATTTCTACGACTTACCCGATGCGGATAGGACAAATGCCATGTCACATTGATCGTCGAACCGGACACCAACGAGGTTTTGATCTCACCTGAAATGTGAAAAAAGACTTATTGTTATTATTCGCAAAATCATTTCTGACGCCACCACCCATTACTAAATAGGTATGCAAATTGGGGGAGGAAAAATGACTGACACCACTTTTCAAGTGCTAAATAAATGGCAAAGTCGTGCGGACACTTCTCAACAAAAGGGTTCATCTCTCTCGACACTTGTTCGAGTACGTTTTCGTGACGGCGAATGACAAAAAAATCAAAAGGATGAGACAATCCAAATTGAATTCTTGAATTATGTCGACAATCGTAAGTACAAGTGTTTTTGAACATCTCGCTTGTACAAAAGTTTTATTTTTCGCACATAATAATGCTATCACGTACTCGCAATAAGTTTAAGTTTGGTAATTAGCAATTAGTAAAGAAAAGATGAGTAACGCCGACAATTTTTATTACATAAAATCAACAAGATTTTCGCGTGTGATTGAAATTATTAGTAATTGTTTATTTCCGGTCTGTCTAATTTGCCTAGAAAGAAAGAACAACTACATGATTATTGATTATCTATGTACATATCTGCATATCTCGTGTAAAAAAATGACAAAATGTCAATTGGGAACATAAGGCAATTAAATATTTATGCAGAACTACATATGTACATACACACTTAGCTGAAGAGGGTTCATCGGTTCATTTCATGTCGGACGATACGACCAACTTTTGTGTGTAACGTGTTTAGTTTAGATTACTTCCTCAATCGCTTTCCAGTCTTATATTCACCTGTCCACATGACATGAATGACCTAGTTAACACACACTACTTATTATTGACACCAGTCGGTCCAGTTCTCACATAAGAACATAACTCCATTTCGGTGAGACTTTTACAAGAAAATGCCTAATAAAAGTGAAATGAAACGGATGTCAGGCTGCGAGTGGCAATGAATGACAGCAGGAAGTTCTTTATTCCCACCTTTTCGAAATATGTATGTACATGCCGCAAAAATATTTGCAATTTTGATCAAGCCAAGTTCTTTATGAATCTATGAATCCAGCCAAGTTATGGAAATGGGTGAAATCGGTCCGTCTACTTTCTACTAACAATCCCGTGTCAACTGGGAATTGACTTGACGTGAATGGTCGTATTTGTATTGATGTTTATGAGTCGAGTAGTGTGGCAAAATTATGACGGGAACAAAGGTCCAGGTTATATTTATGTACAACATAACAACAACGTGGATTCCTTTCCTTCCTGTTCCAAATTTCATTGAAGAATTGGCCTAATTCTGGCCAAGTCTTAAAACCTCACGTGCACCAAATACGCAACTTTCGTCACTAGGTAAATGCCATGCCAAGCTACAAATTATTTAACTATGTGCCGAAATAAATTCAAGGTAATGCCAAATGCGCAAACATAACTATTTTTATTCGCCATAATTCGACTATTTTTAAGAAAGGCACGCTTGTTGAGAGTTTATGTGGATTTAACCTTTCAAAATTAATTAAAATTTTCTTGAACAAATCGCAACAACAAGCTACAAAAATTCAATGTTCCGGTATCTCCTTTTTTGCCAACTCCTATTCGAATAAATGTTAACGGAAAGGAGTGAAATGGACAACAATGCCTTAAATTTGCTCGCCGATGCGTTTCGTTTCGTTACACAATACAAGCACACTTATCTCCTAAAAACAAGTGTATGTATATATATTTTCGCACTATTTTAGTTGGGTGGGGTTTTTTCTAACCTTCCCTAATTCGTGGCAACAACCTTCTCTATTTAATAATAAAACACTCTTGTGTTAATTGTACTTGAAAATGATTCAATTTCCATTGAAATATATTCAAGTACTGTAAAGTAAACCTTCCTTAGATCAAGATCACGATTTTAATTCATAAAAATGGATCAAATTAATCGTGAGTCTATAACAAAAAATCATTGTTTAAAGTAAATTGCTCATCAAAGTTGGTTGTCAAAAATTAGAAAATTTTGCACATAAATTTTATCAAACTCATCGAATCGAATAATAATAAAAAAGTGTGATTTCCGGCTTTCGTATTGAATTAATGCTTCCTTTCTGCACCTGGCAATTCACTCGGCCTTGATTTTGACTCTTGTTGTTGAATCTCATATTAGTCTCAATTTTCCCATATTTAAAACTCCCACTCGTTTTCAGCTCCCAATCATCTTGTGGCATTTTTCTTCTCCGTTTTTCACTCTTCCAGCAACGTCAGCCACAAGTAGAGCTCTCTCAAATTGCTGTTAGTTTCATTTAATTTAAAACTAATTAAAAATTGTATTTTATGCGTTTAAAAGTTAAAGTAAATGTTCGCATATTATAAAATACGAGTAAAAGCCTTTAAATCCAAAATCCTTACGACGTGATACATTTCTGAGAAAGGTTAAAGCTGGTGGTTTTTTCGCGATCTCAACATTTCTGGTGACCTCGACGTGATTACGTCGTGAGGTATAATTAATTAAAAGTGATCTTCTCTTGTGACCAGTCGCCCCCATTAAGTGATCCTGGCGAGGACAATACTTAGTTCTGCGTATAAAATTAAAAGTGAATCTTTGGTGAACCCGTGACCTACATTGGCGAGGAGGACCTGGATTACACAACCCAAAAGGAGTCTTTGGTGGACCTGCGACCTACAACGGCGAGGAGTACCTGGATTCTTGAACTTATCATCCTGACGCATTGCCTCGTTGAGGGCCCAATCCTGTGCATACGGGAGCAGATCAGGTGATATCGATTCATTCATTATTTCATTCCATTGAGGACCAATTTTGGAGGAAGCGAGCCCTTATCTAGTGTGGAGTGGATAAAAAAAACGATTCTGCCACTTTGTGGGCCAGACCCTGAGCATTCGGGGTTCACTGAGGTGGAGATCGTCTCAAAAATATATTCGAATATTTTCTAAATTACTTTTCCTGTTTGTTGATCCTGAGATACAAACATGAATCGAATCAAGAAACAGCGCGCACCTGTGAGGGCCGGCATCACGAAGACCATCAAAGAATTGGAAGTGGAGTTGGCGAAAACCGAACAGGACAAGGATGCGTTGGAACTCAAGATGAGAAAATTGAGAAGACTAATGGTGGAATTGGAAGGCCTCGACCAGAATATGAAGGATGCACTTCTCGACGGCGAGGCAGAGGAAGAAGAATACGCAACGGAGCTCGAGTCGATTGAAGAATATAAAGACAGAATCGAAGAGATCTCTCATAAAGTTGGCAAAGTGTTCTCCCCCTCAAGTCCATCATCATCATGCGGCACTGCAAATAGTGAACATGGCAGGAGTCGAAATTTCAAACTTCCAAAAATCCAACTTCAAAAATTTAGTGGTGACATGAAAGACTGGTTGGGATGGTGGTCGCAGTTTACGAAAATCGACGAAGACGCCGAACTACACCCGAGTGACAAGTTTCAATACCTTTTGCAAAGCATGGTACAAGGTTCAAGGGCTCGAGGACTTGTAGAAAGCTTCCCGATGCCTGCAGAAAACTACCCAAAAGCCATCGCCGCCCTAAAAGAAAGATTTGGAAAAGAAAAGTTTCTACAACAAGTTTATGTACGAGAGTTGCTTCGTCTGGTTATCACAACCGCCAAATCAAATGAAAGTGTGATACTCTCAAAATTATACGACGACATTGAAACACAATTAAGGGCATTGGAGTCGCTCGGAATCAAAGCGGAGCAGTCAACCCAATTCCTATTCCCTATGGTGGAGTCTTGCCTCCCTGAAGAAATTCTCTTAGCCTGGCAAAGAAGTCCTTTACGAAAACAAGATGGATCACAATTAAATCCCAAGAAAAACGAACTGGACTATCTCATGGAATTCTTAAGAGAAGAAGTGGAGGGTGAACAGACGAGAAAATTAGTTCGAGCTGGATTCGAGATTACCACCAAGGTCAAAGAAAACAAGAATAATCAGCGCCAATTCAAAGCGCACCAAAAACAATCAGAAGATGTTCCTACAGTCGCCGGTTTATACGTCACAAATGAATGTCTCTTCTGCGAAAAGTCTAACCATGCAAGTGCAAAATGTTTTAAGGCTGAGAAGATGACCCTCCAGGAAAAGAGGAAGAAAGTGATGGACAACAAACGGTGTACAAATTGTTTTGAAAGGGGACATTATTTCAGAAACTGTAAATCAACATTAAAATGTCAAATATGCACAAAACCTCATTATACGATTATGTGTCCAAGTCATCCCCAACACATTCAAGAAAAGGAAATGGAGCAAATTATTCAAGATTCAGAAACTTCCGCTTCACAATCAAATGTCCAGTGCCAAAGTGATGTCTTATTAAAAACTTTACTCGTGCAAGTCTACAATATCAAGGAGAAGAAGTATTCATTGGTCAGATTACTCTTTGACGAAGGAAGCCAACGCAGCTATATTACAATGAAGACTGCCAAATCCATTAAAAGTCAACCAGTAGGTCATGAAACCTCAAGAAATGTGCTCTTTGACGGATCTGTTACAAATTATGAGAAAGTAAACAAGCATCAAGTTATTCTGAAAAATCCAAGGACTGGACAGAAGTTGGAAGTTCTGGTCAGAGAAAAACATGTGATTGGTGGAGTCATCCCTCGCGTACTTCAAGGACCCTGGCTAAAATCCCTACAACAAAAAAGAATATGGATCTCAGATCACAATTTATCAAATGTGGGAAGTCCAGATATCGAAATCCTGATCGGTAGCGACTATTGGGGGGCCATGATGACCGGCAAGTTAGTCCATCTCGAGTGTGGACTGACAGCAGTCGAAACAATTTTTGGCTGGACATTAAGTGGTCCAGTTCCAAAGGCGAGAAGCATTGTGAGTGAAGAAATCTCCATGTATCTCACCGAAGAAAATCTCTCACAAATGTGGAATCTAGAATCTTTGGGAATTCGAGATCCAATTGAAGTCCAGTCCAAGCAAGAAGAAGAGTCATCAGCAAAATCTCATTTTATCAAAACTGTGACTCAATCAAATGATGGACGCTACTCCGTAAAGTTGCCCTGGATTGAAGATTTAGGGGGAAGCCCAATGGAGCCTGAAAGTATCCTGCGACCACCCACCAATAAAGCGACAGCAGAGAGCAGACTTAAGTCCACCACACACAAATTAAATAAAAAAGGTTATTTTCAAACTTATGATGCCACTTTCAAGTCCTGGATGAAGGAATAGTGGAACAAGTATTCGAATACAATAAAGAAAATTCCAACTGCCACTACCTCCCCCATCATCCCGTCTTCAAGGACAGCGTCACAACTCCAGTGCGCCCAGTATTCGACGCATCTTGTAAATCGAAAGGAAGTCCGTCACTCAATGATGGTCTCTACAAAGGGCCCAATCTCATGGAACTCATCCCGTCAATATTAATAAGATTTCGGGAGAAGAGAATTGGAATTAGCTCTGATGTAAGAAAAGCTTTCCAAATGATTGACGTACAGGAATCGGATCGAGACTATTTACGATTCCTGTGGTGGGAGGATGCATCAGCAAAGAAAATTAAAATCTTCCGTCACAGGAGAGTAGTCTTCGGTGTCAATTGTAGTCCTTTCCTCCTGACAGCTGTAATTGAGCATCACATCAGCAAGCTGGATGAAACTAGGAGGGATATTGGACAAAAATTATTAAAATCACTCTACGTGGACAATTGTGTCACATCAGTCGACACTCCCGAAGAGTATGAAGAATTCAGTTTCGACCCCAATGGAAGTAATTGCGGATCCGGTAGTGCAGACCAAATCAGGAAGAACTTCAAAGAAGCCTTCAAGATATGGACAATGGAATGATTAAAGATTTTGTTCATAATTTAGACTTTTATAGTATTCGTAAAATTTAATTTAATTCATGTTTTGTTCTTTTGTTTCCACAAAAGAAGGTGGGAGTATGTTGAATCTCATATTAGTCTCAATTTTCCCATATTTAAAACTCCCACTCGTTTTCAGCTCCCAATCATCTTGTGGCATTTTTCTTCTCCGTTTTTCACTCTTCCAGCAACGTCAGCCACAAGTAGAGCTCTCTCAAATTGCTGTTAGTTTCATTTAATTTAAAACTAATTAAAAATTGTATTTTATGCGTTTAAAAGTTAAAGTAAATGTTCGCATATTATAAAATACGAGTAAAAGCCTTTAAATCCAAAATCCTTACGACGTGATACATTTCTGAGAAAGGTTAAAGCTGGTGGTTTTTTCGCGATCTCAACACTTGTTTTCTACTCTTAAATTTTTTAAGACATGTGCAAAATTCCGTACGGCTTAATCACTCGATTACGATTCTTACTCCAGGTTTATTTATGACACTTTTTTTAGTATCAGGCTAGGCTACGAAGTAATGAGCAATAAAAACTTGTGCACACACGGTGATGCTTGCTTTTCATGCATTATAGCATCTTTATTATTCAGTATTGACCGACAGTAGTGGCAGAAAATAGAAGGAAAGCAATACAAACAAATACGAAGGAGGATGATATCACACATTAATTTCAACAGAAGATTTTAACCTTGACTTGACAATGAAATGTGGGATGGACTTAACTTTTTTCAAAAAATTACATTAAACTGCGAAATATTTGCTAAAAATAAAGCAAATGTTGTCGCCAATTAATGGCAAATATCTCGATTTGCTTAGAAATACTGATTTCTTTTGTAATTTGCCCCACTAAAGAATGTCATCGACATCTTATCTTAAACTCGATATCAAATCAACAACTAAAAGATTATAAAGATGTCAAATAGATAATTAATTCATATTATTTGCTTGACATGAATAAAACCAGAACTAATTCTTCTCCAACAATGCAATGAAGAAAAATGCGATTTTAATAGAAGTCCAACCTAAAAAATACTGCGTTATCCGCAAATCAAAATTTTATCCTCGTTCGCCGAAACAGACTGCATTTCCCTATTCTTTTATTCCATCGACTGCAGCCGTGCAAATTTGCAAAGTTTAAAATAATGTTTGAATTATAGAAAATCAAATGCAAACAAACCTGTGGTTTACAACTTTCCTGACTTTCATGCACACAAAGAATTTCATCTCTTTTTTTTCTTTACCAAAATGCATCAGGAACTGCATATACAAACGTCGTCGAAATTGACAATGTGTAAACTGACAACAATTGTAAATCATAGCTATTTTTACTTTTTTGTAACAACAGCTCATCGTCATACCCGATGTCACAGTTTAATCTGTTGACGCGAAATCATCTCCTTTTCGATATACATGTAATGCAGATAGCGCTTTTCTGAATTATCCAAATCCGCACATCCAAATCGTCAACATCACATCTCAGAATTGTTATTGTTTGTTGTTAGCTTAGCTTAGCCAAATTTGTTAACCTAATTGTTCATCCAGGCAAGAATAATCTATTGTGAATGGCCACGTTAATCAGAAAAGAGAATTTATTCTACAAAATAAATGGCATCGCAGCGCAGGTTCGCATCGTATCAAAAACTTCCCTGCGTACGACTGACGGCATTCGAATCCATTGTTCAATTTTGTTGTAAACGACAAACACTTTTTTCAACATGAAGCTTTAGCTGGCTGGCATACGACAATAGGTAAAAAACGACCTATCGGCAAACGGTATCGTTATCGAGAGGAAAAAAACTATGCAGAAAAATAATTCATCCAATTTTTATGAGAGAAGATCATTTTACGATAAAAAAAAATCTGCTAATTTTACACATTCGAAAAGTCATCAAAAACTCATAAATATCTTTGCACGCGAAAAAATGCCGAAACTCAAGCAATTACAAAATCACGTATCATTTCTCTCCTCAGGTCAAGGAGATGAAGATGATGATAAATTTTCTGTTGTGACGATGTGATTCCGCTCTGAATCACCATTAACGTAACGGTTTCGCTGCAAAATATTTGTACGTTTGTTTGCTTGCCATGTCCTTTCTTTTGTCGAGTCAAAAAGTCAACTGTTTTCAAAAATTGACAAATAAATAAACCCCATAAATGGGATTGTTATGTGTTTAGTTTGTATAATTGCAAATAAGGCGAATCTCTTCAACTGACCGGTGGTTTGGTTACGATGGCGTGGAGGAATTTCTTTACAGCTTAAAAATTTTACTGGTTCTCATCACATCACCCGTACTTTTTTCAGGATTGGTTTTGTAGCCAAATTGTACTATGATGACTGGGCTGGGGTTGAGTTGAATGCGGTCTAATCACATTATTCACGTGATGACGTTATGTAAGTAAAAATTATTTTGTAAACTCGAATTTAATCACTGACTTGACTGCTTATTGACGACAAGATTCTTGTAGAATGAGAAAGATTAAGAATTTTTTACGCGTTGCATTACGGGTGATTATCTAATATTTAATGTATTTTTTTCCATTAAAAATAGAAATTTTTAGATGCATGGTCTGGTCAAATAGTAAATTCCCTGCTTCCATTTATCACACAATGCTAATAAATTGGGGATGTGAACTGGGCTGTAAAAACGTTATACTAGCCTTTGGCCAATACTTAAATATTTATTTCCTCGCAAAAAAAAGAGACAACGTATGTATCGCATAGCGTGGAAAATCTCACTCTTTTGCCATTGCCTTTTTAGATTTAAGCCGTTATACTTACATACACACGTTGGAATTGCAACCTTACTTACGGAACAAGTAGTTGCATATCTACTTGGTTCAAAGAAAGATTACTTTTAATGTCAAAATCAAACTTATATGTACTTAACACTAGATACATTGTTGTTGTGCCAGGATCAAGGAAACTGGTCAAGCCGGCATGGTAGGTAGATAAGGTGATGTGGATATCATACTAATTTTTAAACCTTGGACTTGGACTAACAGGGCATAAATTCATGAAAAAGGTGACAATCTTACCTTTGGGCATTCCACAGGGAGGTTTCGTTCTGCATATTCGATAAAAAAATGAGATTAAAAATGTCATATTGGCAAAAAAAGATGAGATTAAAAATTTCATATTCGCAAAAAAATGAGATTAAAAATTTGACATTTATAGATTCTTTCGGCAAATAAATTACCTAATATTATCCAAAAAGTCCAAATCGAATTTCCTCGCGGGGGGAAATGTCAATCCCACATGAGCCTCGGCGACATTATCCACGGCGAGAATGAGGAACCACGCCACGACCACCACCACCCCCACGAATCCTACCTTTGTCCTCGAACAATAAAGCTCCGTTAATGTCCTTCTTCTCCCCATTTTCATATTATGATTACTTCTCTCGAATTATTATTATTCTGTCACAACAAATGATCAATTCCCTTCATGGAAAAAGCACAGAAATAAAGATCAACCCGACCGACACACAAGATCTCACGCCATGAATAACAACAAAACCACAAACACTGAACTCTAAGTGACACAAACGAATAAATAAATTATTAATGTATTATCATTTGGTGCGCCGTTTTCTTTTATAGAAATGTCAAGATAAGAAATATATAACTGCAATTTTAACTCCCGTAATTTTTTATGGCAAAGATTGCTTCCTTAAATATTAAGCTCGATGCGTGTATAAGTAATATTGCATGAAATGAAATCACTATTATTTGATTTTCATGAAAAACACTTGATCAACTAAAACGCACAGGTAAGTAGATTAATCGATAACTCACACTCCTCGACCCAAGCTCACACTTAAATAGCTGACACGGAACTGGTGAATAATTCGACAAGCCGGGTATTATATATCCGTTCGTTCGTGTTCTTATTATTGGGAAAACTTTGTTTTCCTTCCCCTCCTAAATCCGGAAGTTCATGTGTGCATTAAACCTTGCACTTAACACACGCACTTAATACTTGCAAAAGTTTTGCAATTTTTCTCAATAAAACTGCAGCACCACGATGCCCACGAGAAGGAAGGACCTAAGTACGACGTCAGTCCACGCGCAGCACATCAGATCGACTGACGACTACCTACCAAGAGGAATAAGAATGGCAAACTAACAATGTAAAATTCAGTCGCAAATGCTTGCTACAGTTGGTGGATGGAGGTTTGGTTCAAGATTTCAATTGTTGATTGCAATTGCACAGGTAGCAGCTCAGCCAGTGGATCTTACACGTTGCCACTTTTTGGTTTCGTTCTTCGTGGTATAGTTTGGCTGCCGAGTTTAATTGTATTACTGCATTTTGCACCACACCACGACGCTGTATGTTATCCCATCACTGGCAAGAAAGTAGACGTGCATGCATACATAGTTCGTCGTCAAATGCGAAATTCTTTATAACATTGTTGCTGCTGCATCGTGGAAAAAAAGCTTTACTTTACACTCGACCAGGCCAAACTCTAACCAACTAATTCACCCCTTCACTTCTTAGATTCGATATTTTTTAGAATATTTGCCGAGTTGCATGCATGCAAGGCAAAAAGCAAGGCAAGGTTTCTTCTTGTCCACTTTATTATTATAAATCTTTACACTGACATGAATGGATAGAATGAATCGACAAACTGTTATATTAAATATTGGTCTGGTTTTTTATTCGCGTCCATCCATTCATTCGTAGGACGACAGGGACATGAGGGACGGTCAGACATGACAACAATCAAACAACAATGGCATAATGATGAGTAGCTGTGGTGGCGCAGTAGTAGTTGTTATATTTGAATTTGAAGATGTATGCTTTATTTTTTAAGAATATATTGACTTAAGAGAGCGGATGGATGAATGTTCATTATTAAAAGTGACACTTGCATCGAAACGGAATTTGTCACGTCAATAAAATTAAATAAACACAAATTATGTAATAATATTATGGATGGATGAGAGTTATTGAAATTTGTTTTTGTTTTCGCTACTCACTGAACTCACATTAAAAGTAAATAAATATTATGCTTGCTCGTTAATTTCTGCATTAGTGTTTCGTTTTGCTCTTTAGTTTATCTCAGTGAGTACCACAACTTGCACCAATTTTTTTATTGCTATATTATATAAATCTAAATTCTTATTGGATGCTGACCAACTAAAAACCAAGCGACTAACGGCGTCTCTTGGCTTAGCACACTAACACAATAATCTAATAGTGAAAGTGAAACACTTATTGGTTCTTGGTCCAAATTGCTCGGCTTAAGTTGGTCACTTATTTATTTATATCCTTTTCTGTCTCGTATTGCGCCTACCTGTCCTTCCTTCCTACAGCATTATTACGTACGGGCTGCCTACCTGTCCAAGTTTTAACTAGACTTTTATGTCGAGGAATAGCTAAATAAGGATTTATTTTAGTGGATTGTGGGTCCACTAAATAGATTTTGCTTTGTATGTAACAGAGGAACAGGTAGTCCTACGTAACAAATATACAGTTCCTCTCTCCCGTCCATTGCATATTCATTGCCATTATTATGTATTTTCTCATGGAGATGTGTAGGTAAATCCAATCCTTTTATGATGGGAAAAAAAGAGCATAAATTCCTATCTCTTCCTCCAGTCGATGTATGTACATAAGTATGTAATCCTACCTCATGCATGCAATACTGCTCTCACCTCATGGCACTGTAAAAGTTTGGTTAGTTTGCATACAAGGAAAGGGTTGAGTCATATATGTTTAAGATGAGAGAAACTTGAAGAAGAAGAAGAAGCAACAGGTATGTATGTACATATTCGGGGCGAGGTACTCTTATGACCGGTGTGGGATTTTTGGAGAGGATCTTCATCCATTGTTGGTTGCTTCACTATTGTTTATTGCCCTACCTGTACATGCAGGTGTAGCACCTTGCATGTGTAATGAAATGATGGCATGGACATATATACGATCCTACATCATTTATGGAGAGATTTTTTTCACATTTTCATCTTGTTAGTCAGCCCTAGGAATATATTGTTCGTCTGTATGAGAAATTTACAATGTACATTTTACATGCATGCTAAAAAGAAGCATCCGACCGACCGACGACCGGGTTATATTGTTGTTGGTCGTCAACTTGAGCTTCTGACTGACATTGGATACTAAAATCAGTCAGGTTATTGTTCTGGCGTGACATCAATTTCGACAACGAGGCGAGGCTGGTTATATTTTATTGGAAATAAATCGGCCCCTAGATCATCACACCGTGTTGAAAACAGCATGAGAAAAATGGGCATTACTTTATTTGGTTGGCAGAAAATATCCAAATGCGTAGGTATTGATTGAATGGGTAGAAAAATGGTTGGATAGAAAATTGTAGCGTGAAATAGTTCAAAAATTTGACGAGACCGTTTTGCACAATAATTTGCACAATTTTTACTAGTAAAATTATTTTTAAGAAATTTCACGAGACTTTATCAAATCCAATTCGAGTCGTTTAACAGCAGAAATCTTTAAACGATGGCTATTACACCGATGAAAAGAATCGGATTGAAATTTAATGATGCAACAACAAACTAAAAAAAATTATCCACGGTTTTTTCAACTTTCATATTTTGATGCGATTCAAAAAATATAAGTAAAATTCAGGAAGTGTTGGGTAGTAAATACATACATAAATAATTCTTAAATAACTTTTGACCACGACCACCTACCATGAACTGTACAAAAAGTTACAAAATTTGGTTTACGTTTAAACTTCAATCATCGAATTTGATTACAAAGGAATTGATGAAAATCGAAAGCTACGTCTTTCCATCTATTCCATTTATGCCAGGAAACGAACAAATGAATGAACACGACTGCACAAAATAAAAATAATCACAATCACAAAAATTGTATGAAATTTCATTTATTGTTCCGTGATAGTAATAAAAATTCGTTCTCGTAAATAAAATAATTTTGAAACTCAAAACTTTCATCAAATTAGTTTTCTATGCAAATCAAAATGCAATCGATTGGTGCCGGATCCGGAAATAGATTACAAATCCGAACCGTTGACAGCCGCATGAAAAATCTATTCGAAAATCGTGCAATTATTCGACATAAGATTACCTAATGCGTACAGAAAATTTGCTCATTTCCGTAAGTTCGGTTTGCATCCCTTAAAAAATACAATTTGCAAAAGTGAAGCTTATCATTTCTTATGTTATCTTCATCTTCATATTATTTGGCCCACATTATAACTGTACATTTGTCACTACACAAATGCAATAAGTCACCTGCAAATTATTCCTGACCGATCCAGACCCGCAGGACATACGACTTTGAAACAAATGCTCGCTCATCATGATGGTCAAATTACATATTCATTCCCCCATTCTTTACTGACAGCGAGACATTAATTGATATCGATCCCGACGATAGGATTGCCAATTAGTGATTTATGACTGCATAATATATCAAAGAATTCATTAACAAATGTCCCCCTTTGTATTTATTTGTGGTCTCCTCACCTTCATCAATGAAACCTTATGCATAACGAATAATGGGACGATTGACATTTCGCCATTCAGATTGTCGTCACATGTCGATGTCATTCATTTCGGTGGGGCGAATACCACAGCGCATTTCAATTTCAATCAGCACCTGTCTCACAATGGCATCGATTTAGTGGTCACCACTTCCTCTAAACAGAATAATATTCGTATTATATAAATATCTAAAATAACATTTTAATTTCACAAAGTGATCAGTATTCAGGCCACACGTATTTTTATATAATACGCCAATGGCCGTTATTAATTAGTTGGTTTATTCAAGGTGGGTTTACAATTTACATAAATGGATCTGACAGAGTAAATATGTAAATGAAATGAATGCTAATAAAACTTTTAAGTTGATTAAATTATCGTGTTGACTTAAAGAGTGGAATGCACGTAATTTAAGGGATAATTGGACTCGTTATGCATTTAGTAACCAATTCAGGAGAGAATTGGTACGGGCAAATGTTTAGTTTGTGTACCGATATTTCAGGACATTGATATTATGACGTCCGATATTGTATTTTCGGTCAACAAAATTCATAAATCTAAACAAACCATATTTCAAAATTCCTGTGTGCCTGTAACGCAATCTTCATTTCCGCAGAAAAGTCGTTCATCCAGAATCCTAACAAAATTATGGGACAGAAAGTACGAAAACTTTCTCATTGTTCCAATCAACATGATGTACTATGTGTTTGAGAGCCCGTATAAAATCGTAGTTAATACTGATGGCGAGTTTACAACGTATTCCAGCACTCCCCGTAAAGTAAGGAGATCAAAAACTTCTATGTACGTGTATCAACAAAAAAACGTTAAAAAACTCGTAATTTCTCTCCGCAGATAATGTGTGCCATTCTCCACACAATCGGATTATTCATTTATTGCAACGAAGTCCGCAAAAGTAACCTGTCTCGAACCACCACAAATCCGGTTGACTATTTGAACGCTTTTCTTAAAACCACGTCCTGCATCCATCACATCATCTTTGTCCAAACGGTGTGGAGTAGAAAGGCACAATTTTTGAAACTTGTCCAGCATTTGGCCTCCATGACGAGAAATGACACCTTCCGAGCTGTGAACAATGGGAACAAATTCCCATTGTCCACAGCTCCACCAAAATGGGTCATCATCCTTCTGACCTACCTTTTCCCAGCGATTGCCATCATATCGACAATCTGCCTCCATGGCCTTCCACTCAAGGACGACACCCTGGTCAAGGTTTTTGTCGAACTGAGAGGATCATTTTTCGAAAAGCGATGTAACCTTGAGCGGATCACAGAGGAAGAACGTCAACATGAGCACGATATCGAATACGCGTCCACTCCTGTCATCTTGATATCATACTTTCTCCTATTTTCCCGAATTCTCTTAAGTTTCGTTACTGACGCTTTAATTTCAATGGTCATCCTCTCATTTTACTGCGCCGTGTCAAATTTAATGGTCGAATTGAGATCAGAGTCGACTAAACTGATGATAACCGTTGACATGTTTAGCGAACTTCGAAACGAGTATGAAAACCTGACCCGACTTTGTGACCTCGTCAACTCATCGATCAGTCGTCTTATGTTAACTTACTTGATGGAGACGGTATTTTTCTACTCTGTGTATTTAAAAGAGTTGGCTGTTTTGGATGGACGCTGTATTTCTGTTCAGCTTTGGATTGGCTTTCTATTTGGGACTTTTTGTGCGGTTTTTTACCTTGCGGCGGAGACTAGCAGCCAGGTGGGTGTGAAATTTTGTAAATTTTCTACATATTTCTGTAAATTATTTAGTTTTTTCGAAATTATATTTAAGATGGATCAAGCTAAAATTATCCTAACTAACTTTGACGTGGGAGGAATTGACCAAGTAGAACTTGTAAATGTGAGGCTTAAACTGCAATCGAAGACTTTTGCGATCAGTGGAAATGGAATTTTTCAGCTAAACTATTCGCTAGTTTCTGCAGTACGTAATAGACATATTTGTGTAGTTGTCAATTGAGAAAAAAATAATTGAGATTATATATGCTATCCTTTCTCCCAGGTGTGCAGCACCATATTGACGTATTTCATTATCAGTGTCCAGTTTCAAGTCCGTGGTTGACGTTGTTGATGTCACACAGCATTTGGGAAGCAATTCATCAATTTCCGTTGTCTTGTTCCTCCTCCCAGTTTAGAGATGACTCGATATGAACACATTGACTTTGTTGCTCAATTTGTTATCTGCTATGTACGTATGTACATACATACGTAGAAATAATAATATGCAAATTACTTGCTTAATATGCACTGCATACAATTTTTTCTTCTATACGATTCAATTCCCTCTCGTCTGGTCTGGTCTGCCTGCCCAATTTGCATCATCATTTAATCACTTTGTCCAACACTTAACGACGATACAACAATGTGTAACTTAATAACGAATGATCGGTTGCCTTCTTATTGTTGGCCAGTTTTTTACACTGAAATTCCCGTACTTGCACCCGCATAATAATGCCTGCATTGTGTAAAACAACCTGTTTTGTGTCTCCTATAGACTATAGAGTATCAAAAGCAATATAATTCAATATCTTGTATAAATAAAGGTATGCATGACCCCGGTTGTTGACTTTTTGCATGCTCAGTTGGACCCTGCTGTCAGAGTTTTAGGTGGTGCGTGGAATGAATAAAAAAGCTACCACAATTTCCTCCTTGCTTCTCCGAATTCCAACTGCATGCGAAAATATTATTTTGCACGTGACGTGATGATTTTTCTGAAAATATTTATTCGAATTGCTCCACGAAACGTTATAGCGAATTACATTATGATCTAATCCAGTAATAAAATTATTATTAATTTCAACAACCCCCCTATACACAACTCATTCACGTATACATTTCTATCAATTCGTCACAAACCGCAACGGGGGTCAGTATTCCTCGATCGGTTATTAAAAGTGTTAGATATTTTGGTGGAGTATAGTCAACTCGGATCCCGTTGGATTGGTCGACCTATTATGCGAAAAATGGTGTAATTAGATTAATTAACTGGCGAATTGATTTAATGAATGAACATGTTCCACGCACCCGATACTCGTTTGGGATATCGTTTTGATTCAGGGGGTAAACCAGTGAGAACTTAAAACTTTCTGCAAACACGTACAAAGGTTTCTTCATTTCTCGGGCGCAAATGGCCATCGGGAGTGTACCAACCTGTTATAAAAAATAAAATGTAACAATAAGTAAAATAGTTAACCCTGTAAAATTATTAGCAGTAATAATAAATTAATTACCTTATTGATAATTCCCCCATTTTTAACCACGGCTTCCGCCCCAACAAAAACCAAATCGACATTTTCCATCCGCGTCCCCACTTCAGCATCGGATATCCTCACGTATTCAATGTTGACACGGTCATGGAGCATTTTTCCTTTATTATCCTCTTCCTCACTTGAAACGAGGTAGATTGTAAAATATATATTTTCTGGGACAGAATGTAACGTTTCGAGTAAAACTCTAGAATGTGAATGGACCATGACTCGCTGGGGGAAAAATATATCAACAAAAATGTCACCAACGGTTATCTTAGGATTACTAGTTATAAAGTTATATTGCATTATCCTCACAGCTCCATCAAAGATAAAGGTGACGCCCAATTTTGAAATGCGATTTATAGCGCTTTCACATCTTTTCAGGTATTTTCCACCTTCCTGTAACATGAGTTTGGTCACGGAAGAAACGTCCTGGCGATTACATGAAAATGAAAATTACTTACTTAATGTTTCTTTACATAAGATAACTGGATATCAGATTATGATGATAACTAACCAACCTCGCTCTCGATCGTACCCAAATACAGAGTTGTATATCTGATAAACTGGGCGCAAGCAGAACTCACGGCCAACTTTGATTTGCCGGCAAGCATTTTCGCCTCTATAATTTTTACTGCTTCTCTCAATTCTTCCATGAGTCCGTTAATCGTGGTGCCTATTTAATTAATAAAGCAATCAATTCACTAATAGGTCATAAATTAAATTGAATAGTTAAATTAAACATACCGGAATATCCCTCAATAATGGACATCAACGTACTAACAGCGCCTATCGCCGGGTTTACCAGTTCTCCACCGTGGTCCTTGTTTCCCAGAAAGGAATTGAATTTCACTTCGATATCTGCAATTTTTAAAGATGTTCAAGACTTTTAAACACAAACAAAATAAATAATTAAAAGTAGATTACTGCAAAAACATGGTTAATTTGTAAGTTATTAGATTAACATATGGCGACACTTATCGACTACAACTACGTACCTTTCGCCAACATTTCGGTGCAGTATTTGCAAAAGTTTTATCGCAAATTTTAAGATGAGCAATTAAGAAACTTGACAGTCTTCAATATTTTGATATTGAATCAGCCAAAATGTGAGTGCATGTTTTGTGCAACTACAACTCCGCTCGTAAAGTTAAAATTTTGGGCAACTCTAGATTATATGCAACCGTGCAAAAGTCTCAAGTTTCTGAAATTTTTGAAGTTTTCTAATATTTAACTGGAAACCTAATTAGGAAAGATGCCATAAATTATCTTGCAAATTGTATAGCGTACTTTCAGCCATATACTTAACTGAGAAATGTTTACAGACTTGATTGTCTCTTTTATTGTTAGAGATAAATTAATCAAAAGTAAGTCTCAATTTAACCACTATTTATTAATATCATCCAATTCAACCATAATCTTGAGAACTAACTCCTCCTGAAACGGTCGTCCAGCGACTTGAACCCCAATCGGCATCCCCACACAGTTTGCACATTCCTGGATGCATGCAAATATTATTGGTTATATTTTGAATTAGTCATTAAGATAACTTATTTATTTATTGATACGTACTTTTAGCAGCTTTTGCTTCCAAACTAATTTTCCCGATTTATCCAACAGGTCTAGCGAAGACTTCCAGTGAATTCCACTTTCGTTCCAGAATTTTACAACGCCCACAGGAAAATTAAGACAGTTCCACATTAATGTATATGCCATGATTCCTTCAGATAAGATATTCCGATAAGAATATTTTGCACATATTTAACTACATTAATTAATATACATGCAAAATTCTTGGGCTAAATAAAATACCCTCGTCAACTGGATCGACATCTTCCAAGCTAATTCCAGGAAATGGAAGAACCAGAGAAATTACTACGTCAATCTTTTGATGATTCATCTTATCTAAAAATGAGTGTATTAAATCCTCCTTCTTAGGACGATCTGGTTTAGTAACATCACTCCTGCTTTTTGCGTAGTCAAATTTTATCAGATTTTTAACTTTTTCTAAAACCACTCCTTCATTACAGTCCAGGGATGAATTTGAGTCCAGGAAATCCGCCGGGTCAAAGGGAACATCGAAAGGGACAAAAACATGACCAGCCGACTCGAGGAACGACTTTACTCTCCCGATTACAAATTGAGAATCTCCTATCGGTGGAAACGACTGAAATCCAGAAATATATCCGATCCTAAATTTCTGTTTTGACTCGAACACCTTATACATATTTTATAATTGTTGTAAATAGTAAATCATAAGGTTTGTATAATTTTAATTTAAGTACAGACTTGGGAGTTCCACGCTAAAGGAACACAGCAACTGTCAGATTTAGTTTGCAAATTGTTTTCTAATAGTGCTTGTAATATAAGGGCTTGGTCCTCCGCAGATTTGGATAATATAGCAGGAATGAATGCCTTATCATCTGAGGATCAACATAATGATTAGAGATTCTTACATAAATCCAGCTATTAAAAAATAAATTCTCACCAAAATCCATCCCCTGCCTATTTATAAAACATCCCCTTCTACTCAATCTCAAACTAGTAGTTATCAACGTACTAAGACCGCAAAGATGTGCCAGTGTGCTAAAAATATTTTGCATGAGGTCAAAATCTCAGCGTCAAAAATTATAGCATGCCAATATTGCATATGCCAAACCTAACAGAGGATTTTCCGCCATTGATAACAACGCCAAAATGAGCACCACCCGCGCCCACAAGACACGCCACACCTCCACCCACCACGTGTAAATTCTTATTCAACGGATTTAACACCCTATTCAACTTTAAAGACTTTGACCAACTTCTGCAAAACGGAATTGCCCCCAGTTTCTCATTGGATGATCACAGCGTCCGGCGTCTTTACATCGCTTAAAGAACAATCGACTCCGGAAATGCCAATATTTTCTGAAACACAAAACGGCACGCCATGCAGTGGACCTTTTACCATGGACATTTTGTCCAACTCGCGTCCCTTGTCCTATGCAAGATCGAAACACTTATGCAATTATTAACCACATCATTAATTAATATATTTCAATTTTCATACCAATGCCCCCGAGATAAATTCCACCGCACAGTCGAATTCGTCACAAACTTGGATCGATTTCCAGATAAATGCTTGAACCACATCTTCTGCTAAGAGTTCCCTCTTGTAAAGTTTCTCTCTTAGCCTTTTCAACGTAAAGCCTACAATCTCGCCATATTTAGAAAATTCTTCGGGAACAAGAGACGATTTAAGTTGAGATATCTGGTCGTCTCGTTTCTCAGTCTTGATTTTCTCGAGAACTATTTCCTGTCCTCGCTTTTCCTGTGATTTTAGAAGGAAATTGTAACCAAATGTTGAATCGTAATCGAATCTCATATATACCTCAGAATTTTTCCACCTTATGTAAATATATTTGCAAGAAATACAACAAACAATTGTACACCCAGCAATCCAAACGGCTTTCTTCCCAAAATTCGGAAACTTATTTGAACTCAAATTGGAAAAAGCCATAATATTTAAACTAATACTGAACACCACAATCTTGATGTGTCTGGATCAAAAAGTGCACATTTTATTGTCTGGCTTAATTCATCAACTCGGCACATCAGTATTCACACTTGACTTTCACGGTTTACTAAACAATGCTGATTTTTACCACTTGGATTGGATCATTAAACAGTAAAAGTGTAAATATTTGTAGCATACATATCGTATTACAAATTTTCAGTAGTCGGTTATTCTTGTTGTGTTGTGACATGCACTTATGTAAATAATCTCAAATGTAGTCTGCCGTTAATATAAGTTATTCATGCACGCTGTTATCTCTCTCCGGACGAAATCATGAAGCATGGTTGACGAGATTTGAGTGACAAACATGACAACTTTTTTGTAATTTATGTGTTAAATATAGAGTTGATCGTTTGTAAATTACTTAAATAAAGCAAAGCACGCTGGGTAAATGCATAATACTAATTTTCGTAGACACATTAAAGCATTTTTTCTATTGTTTCAATAGTATCAAAATTTCCAAATTTTTTCAAAATCAGAAAAAATACTTCAATTTTATTATAAACCCTGCGACCATTCAACTTTCGAGCAAGACGCAGTACGACAATTATTACAAATTACCTGGAAATAACAAAAAGCCACCTTCGAATATTTTGCGACCTCTAATTCGATCTTCTGGTCACTACAATAAACCTATTTTTATGCATGATTGATAACCATCCATGAAAACATTTTAATTATAGAATTCAACTCAAATCTGTCAAATCATGCAACAATGGGTAGTCAGCCGGATCTGTAAAAAATGTTGGCATCAAAGCTTCATATACGAATAGCATGCCATCGCTTACTTCAAATCTCATTATTGCGTACTTACATACATCATCATCGCTAATCATTTAATAATTTAACCTCGCTCAAAACTACTAGGAAAATCATGGTCAAAGTATAGCACAATTCATTTCATGCAAACTTTTATAATGCTTTTCATGCTAAAGGATGGATGATCCAGCAAGAAGCAGCATCATCGAACGAACGAGACTATAAAAAATACACATATCCAGACAACACTGCATTTTCTCAACAATCAAACTTCACATGTTGAGAAGATGCCATGCTATTCATTCATGCAAATTTTTTGCGCACATTTGCCAATTAAACATTGTTGGGGAGAAGCAATGTAATTACCTTGCACAACGAAATTTATGGTCACATCATAAACCAAAACTAGCTCGATGTCCAGTATTGTTTCTTCCCTCGGCAAGTATGGCACTACATATTGGTGGATCATATTGAGGTAAGTAAATTTTTGCTCGTTATTATTTTATGAAACATGTTCGTGTCGCGTTTCATTATTTTTTAATGCAAAAAATATATACTAGAGCAAGTCTCCTGGAACGTAATTACACAAAGTGGAGATCAAGTTTGTCCTATTTTTATTCGTTAACCAACTTGAGACATAATTGCTGAAAATTTTGAGGGCAATTTGTGATATTTGACAATTTCGCTGTTATATAAAAACGAGAATTTTCAATTAATTCCTGTAATTATTTAGTCTGGATTATTGTCGCATTTTCCAAAATTTCTCCTAAACAATCTAGTATAGTTAATAGTACTATATTATTAACCCAGTTTTACTTCATCCAAATCTGCCATTGTGCCAGACAAGGGATTCATTGTTAACATAGTACACACACACATTAAATGAATAATTGCTATCAAATCAAACAGTAACCTCATTTTCATCCAGTATTCAAATTCAAACCATATAACAATCCACATCCTATTCCCTTACGCAAAAACATTATCCCAACAATAATATGGATCTCTAACAATGCGAAATATTATGTCAAAGCATTTATTTAGTATACTGCAATGATATCTAGAATAATAATACATAAATTTTTTGCACACTCCAGCTGCATCCGTTCGCAGAAACTGAAAGGTTAATTTCGCCAATTAAAGTTTTATCGTAATACAATTCTGCACAATTTCTATCCTCATTCACGTTAAAGAATAACAGGTGAAGTAAGTAAAAGTATAAGAATTACTATACATTCATAGATATATGTATTATTTTACAATTATGTACGTACAGAGATTCTGATTTACCTTCGCGAATCTATCTGATCTTGATGCCTGACCAAGTAGGTAAAAAGACTCCACGCTATTATTCAGTAGTACCTCACTTACATCTCAATTGTTACCTGATCTTGATGATGGTAACAGGAATTGCATTTCATATACATACATTCTCCACTCTTCTATAGCCAAATTGTAACTGTGTCAATGTTCTTCGTATAGTTTGCAATATCTGACAATGCCATAATTTCATTTTACATTCCAATCCGCTGCTCAATACCACGCAAAGATTTATTTGTTACGATGAGACCAATTGTAGCTTCTTGTCAAGTTTGCGCTTAGGTTCGTGTGAAAAAGTGAACTAATAGCTGTGAGACTCGTCATTTAAATAGCGAATAAAAGCGAAGTAACGAAGAAACCAATTAAAAGTTAAAAGCACTCTCCACTTGTCAAGTGTTTAGTGTAGGAAAAGTCTGAGAATTTTTTGGAGGAAAATTGATGCAAAATCCAATCCAATCTAATCCAGTCAGTATCGTTTGTGCCGTAATCCTCGTCTCATTGTGGTCTATTTAGCAACAACAATTTGTAACAAAAACAATAATATGTACAGTAATTCTCGGTAATTCTGACTCCGTGTTTGTAGTATTGACCTGGATAAATTATGTAACTGTATTTACATTACTTACAAATAATAAATTGTTATTGTGATTATTGCATATTTTTGGTCGATCAGTTAACCAGCGTGAAGTTCCAAAATTAAATAGTTTGTAGCAAGTGTCAGCCAAGTGGTTATCTGTGCATGTATAATTATTGTAATTACGTTATGTCGTAAGTTAAGGCGTGTAGTGAAAAAATAGCAAAATTGCGATACACTCCAGGGCAATATTTAAAGTAAGTTTATTGCAAAAAATCTTGAATTTCAAGTTACATGAAAAAATTATGACTAGACGTGTACTTAATTTGATGTGTCCATCCATCATGACATTATTATTTACTCCATTAAATTCACCATCCATCAAAAAAATCTTGTTTCGCAAAATACATATTTAACAATGTGCAAAGATTGCCCTATATTTCTGCTGCAGGATATTTGTTTGTGATGTGAAACAAAAACGATTCCTTCCACCCTGCAAAAACATTGAACAGTTTATCATACGAGATATACATTGTTGCATAGTGTTGCAATTTTACTGTTAAAATCTATACTTTCGAAGACAAGAAACTTGTATTTATTTACCTTTCAAGTCATTAATCAGTCAAATGAATGCAAACAAGTTTATAATAACAGTTCCTCTTTTACATGAAATGTCTTACGTTCTCTTCTCGACAAAAATTGTCTTATTATTTTTGGCAAATATATTTTCAAAAATTTAATAGAAAATGGAAATCTCAGTCATATAATTAGTAAAAAAAGACTGCTTCTGATCCTTGTAAATCAATATCTGCGATAAATACTTACGTATTCGCCTTGTCGTCAACGATAAATCTTATTGAAGGACTATAACCGGTTGCAGACATTTTTGTCCCGTAGTGCATTCTACTTATTACATATTTGGGAATTATGTCACTAGCTACATGTATATAGTAAATAGTAACTGAACGTCGTGAATGACCATGAATCCATAATTAATCTGCAAATAAGTAAATACTTAAGTAGAAAAAACTAGTTCTACGATTGTCCTGTCCTTAATCCATCCAGAGGCGAGAAGTGACAAACAAATATTGAATTAAACATTATCGGGACAAATCTCCCCAGTAAATATTTTGTCAAAATATGTACGCATTTACTCCGCATACTTATCTGAATTTGTTTTGGATTTGTTTTGTTTTTGGGATGAACTTAACATCGAAATTGAAAGTGCGTGACCTTATTACAGATAAGTAAATAAGTGTGGATGGATCCAGCAGAGTCAGTGAGTCTGAATCGGTTAAAGGAATCATGCATGAAACGTGCCCCATTTACCTGAGTAGGTTCGTTTACAGAAGATTGAGTCAATTATAATACGATTAAAAAACCTAAGAGTTAAAAGTATTGTCAATTATTTTAGTCAATAGATTATCTTTTGAAGAGTTACCAGTCTAAAAGTGCAGGATTTTTGTTTCGTTTACGCAATAACGCACTTTCTTTGAGGGAATCATGTCTTTCGCCACTTTCACCATTATGGACTATGTTGGTAAGATTATGTACATATTTGCATAATTGTGAGTATCAATTTTGATAAGTAAAATGATTTTGATAATCCATAATTCCCGTTTTGCAGTCCTTTTAAGCACGCTAATCATTTCAATGGCGATTGGCGTGTATTATGCGGTTTTCAAAAAACAGGAAACCAATGCAGATCTACTCGTGGGGTAATTAATTACCTGTTTATTACCCGGTTTCATATTAAGTATAATTTTTCTTCAGGGGGAGGAGTATGCCTTTAATTCCAACCGCTCTGAGTTTACTTGCGACATATATGTCGCCAATTTTAGTGCTAGGTATTTATCTAATGACATTAAACATTTACCTACATTATTCAAAAAATCATACTAAAAACTTTCTACAATTATTACTTGCAAGGTTACGCTGGAGAAATCTACTCGTATGGAACTCTCATGTACGAAACGGTATTCTCTTCGTTGGTAATAGTTCCAATTGCAGCGTGGATTTTCATGCCGACTTTATACAATTTAAAACTCACGAGTGCTTACGAGGTAAATATTTATGATAAGAACATATTTTGAAAAAATTAATCGTATTAATTAATTTGCATGATTTCTCCAGTACCTCGAATACAGATTCGATTCTCCAGCGGTCCGAATTTTCGCTGCGGGAACCTTTATTACGCAGATTACCTTGTACATGGGGGTAGTCCTGTTTGCGCCAGGTATTTGATTACGTAAATAAATATGCAAATTAATTGGATAGGTTTCTAAATAAAAGTCTCATTTTCCCTCCATCAAGCCCTGGCATTAAATGCTGTCGTAGATTTTCCTATTTGGATCGCCGTAGTAGCCATGGGCCTTTCTTGCGCGTTGTATACAAGCATCGGGGGCTTGCGTGCCGTCGTTTGGACGGATGTGTTTCAAATGGTCATTATGGTAATTCGATACAAGATAAATTACCAATTGACATAATACCGAACTCTTAACCTGAACCTAATTATCTGTCCAGCTTGCCGGAATGTTTGCAATAGTTATCGTCGGAATTATGCAAGTCGGCGGACTTTCCAAAGTCTTTCAGATTGCGGGTGACCATGGGCGAATTCAGTTTTTAAAGTGCGACAATTCAGTATTTTGCATATAATTGTAAATCTCACAATTTGTAAACCTCTTTTTTTTAAGATTTCATCTCGACCCCTTCGAGCGTCTCAATTCAGTCAACATTTTCATCGGGCATGCTATCATGGTCCTCAGCATTTGTGGTTGTCAGCAAACCGCTGTCCAGCGATATTGCAGTATGAAGACGCTCAAAAAGGGGATAATGTAATTCATAAAAATATTTATTTCCGGTCAAATGTCAACTTTTTCATGCTAATAAATTTTAATTTTTCAGGACACTCTTCATCACACTACCATTAGTAGTATTCACCGTAAGTCTGGCTGCTATCGCTGGCGTCGTAATTTTTGCCAATTACGCCACCTGCGACCCCATAAGTTTAGGTTTGATTAAGCGAAACGATCAAATCGCTCCTCATTTCGTTCTCGAGTATTTATCCCCGACGAGTGGCTTACTAGGACTGTTTATTGCCTGCCTTTTCTCGGCATCATTAAGGTAACACGAAATTAATATGCTAATTTTAGCTATTAAAATCATAGTACGAAATCCGTTTCAACTTCACAGCACCGTCTCATCCGGTATCAATTCTGTCACGGCTGTCACATTTGAAGACTTTTTGGCAAAATTAAAGTATTTTAGCAACATGGGTGACATCCAGCAGGGCAGGGTGTCAAAATTTCTTGGTAATTTCTGACGTGCATATTCAAAATCGAATTATAACTCATATTTCCACAATTTTCCAGCCTTAATATTTGGCGTCCTCGCTATCGCAATGGCATTTCTCGCTGCAAACTTTGACGGCGTCCTTGCAGCTTCAATCGTAATTATTACATGAATTATTAATTAGTTGATTATTGACGAATTAAATTATATTTAATTATAGGTCCTCAACGGCTCAGTGGCAGGTCCACTTTTGGCCGTTTTCCTGATGGGAATCATGCTACCTTTCACGAATAAATATGGTGCTATCGTTGGAATGATTGTGGGACACACGGTCACAATTTGGATTTGTTAGATTTTTATTTGAACTTTATTATTTCACTGGTTATTAATTATCATATCTTTAGCTAATTAATATATTATTTATAACAGGTCTTGGGGCCTTCTTCCTAAAACACAGGACCCCCACGCTACCGTTTTCCACGGACGGTTGTTCTGCCGAAATTTGGGATAAAGTTAACCAAACTGCGGTCACGATGTTAAATTCAAGTGAAACACATGCAGCTCAATTTGTGGAAAGTGATGTGTAAGTTTTGTTGATTATTTTTATATTACAGAAATTGTTAGTGTGTTACATTAATATTGAGTAGTTATAAAATTAAAAAAGTTTGTATCACTTATTTTAAGCTGTATAAAAATTATTTAATTTAATTAAAAATTACTTTCCCCAGCCCTTGGCCAGAAAAGATTTACACGGTATCGTTCCTCCTCTATCCTTTGATCGGATGCACCGTCACGATCGTCGTAGGATCAATTGTCAGCATTCTAACGGGTTCGTGTCTCCATTTTACTTTTATATTTCACCATTTTCACCCACTTATTTGGGTATCCGACAACTTTATAATATTTATCTGACATCGTCATGTACATAATTTTTCAGGATACCAACGCTTCTCCAAGGATCAAGATAAGTATATCCATCCACTCTTGGTTTCCATTATCAGAAGATTCCGCACCGAGAAGGAATACGATTTTAAACACAATTCGAACGGCATCGACTTGAAGTCGATGGTTACGACAACAAAGCAGCCTATTACTGAGGGCCACTTTAGGAGTAATGGAAGTTACCACAAAAGCAAGACGGACGCTAAGGAAGATTCCTCATCCAACGGTTATGCTACGAATGGTCATTATATTTCCAAAGAAAAGAATGGTGGTCTTGTTAATGATGGATTTCGATACGATTAGACTTAAGTAGTAAGTAAGCAAAGTCAATAATAAACTATTAATTGTACCACTGGAAAAAAATTACATTAAGTTAATTTATGAACTTTGTACAAATTTTACAACTTATTACCAACCTCGTACGAATTTCCATCATAAAAATTTACAATTATTCATGCTCTTTGTCCTTCTCATAATATGCAAATCGACCCAACTAATCTGAACCATCACTGTCACCAAGATTCTTCACAAATTCGCCCGGAATGATAAGACCAACACCTTTATCATCACCTAAATCCTTCTCCTCCTCAGTTAAATCATCCTCATCCTCTTCCGCCCTCGATATCTTCATGTACATTAAATTTGAAAATTGTAACCGAGTCAAATCGCATTTATCGCACAAATGTGACTCCGTAATTTCGATTCGTTCAATCGAATCTTGACATTGCGTCATCAATTCTTCAAACCATGAGAAAGATTTCTCATCAAAGAACGACGTGTTTATCGACATTACCTTCAAATTTGGCATTTCAATAGTAAACCCCCAATCTAGAATAGCACTTTTTCTCGCATTTTTGGCATAAATTTCCCTCAGCATGGGTACCTTTACTATGGCCAAGTTATTATTATTATTATTATTTGTTGCCGTCCACGCCGACGACACTTGATCAACGTCGACCTCTATAATTTCCACATTTTTAAGCGAACTAAGCAAATAGTGCAACCATTCCTGACTTATTGGACCTTTGAGGAGTAAATTTTTTACGGAACTGCAGCAGTTTGTCGACAAGCCGGACGGGGCCGGAACCGCGGGTGACATCAGGTTGGACACGATTATCGTGTGCACCATCCCCGTTACGAAACGCAGGTCTATCTGTGAATACAAAACTACTTCTTGAGGTGCAAGTTTTTTATTGCTGATGTTCGTATTGTATGCGGAAGATGATGGCGGTATGAAATTATTAGTGTTATTATTGCTTGTGATTAAGTTTCGATCGATTATTGGTTGTTGAGAGTTTGTGTAAATTTGACTCCCTTTATCATTCTCAATTGGACCACTGTTACCCTGCAAGTGAGGAAGAGGCTCAGGGTCGCGAAATGACTGACTGACCACGACGTAAATCAGGATGGAGGTAAGCAGGAAAAATACAATGTAACCGAGAAGTATGTAATGCTGGGAGAAAAAGGAGGTTACGGCGGATTTCAATTGGTGATATCTGCAAAAATATTGTGAGTGATATTAACTTGAGATTTAAATTTAATTTACGTAAGAACTGTCCCGTTTGCTATAAGAGTTCCAAGTGATCGGCGATTACATTAGCCGAATTATTATATTATTTAAAACCCGTTTGTTTTACGTTGGCAAAAATCTTTCTTTTTCTCAAATTCAGGCACAAAAGTGAATGATTTGGACGCTAAAATAAAAATAAACTGATGTACATAATACAATAATTCGGCTGATTCGGTTAATGTAATCGCGGATCACTTGGAACTCTTATAGCAAATGGAGCAGTATGAACAAAAAATTGCTATTCACTTGCCTAGTTGCACAGCTTGAAGTTAACTTATCAAATCGGGACAATGGTGGCTTAGCAGTTGTAGCTGGATTATCATCGATGCAATCTTTTGATGGGACTGCGAAATAGCGAGTAGCTTTATCTTTACTACCTCCTACTTCAAAAGGGCACTTTTTGCTATTATTACTCCTGAAAATATTGAGATTTGAATTTAATTTGAGAAATTATTGCTATTCTACTAACTGAAATATGTATTCTCCGTTTTTTAGTATAACTAAAAAATTGCAATTTCACAACTTACGGTGATGTAATGTAATTATTTGGCACTGCCGATGAATTATCATGACTTTCCATGTCGATTTTTGTTTCCATTTTAATGGGGCAGTTGTACAATATTTTTTTGCAAGAAGGCGAACACCTTCTGGGGTAAAGATTCTGATTTCATTGATCGGTTTGATTCTTTGACGTCCAGTTTTGTGATGAACGTATCACCAAATATTGCTTTAATAATAAACTTACGTGAATAATCATACAAGATTTCAGTGAATTTTTGTGAATGCGTTTGCATTATTTATGTTAAGCGTTTATTTATTTAAAGATAAATAGGTGGGTCATCTCTCATTTCGCATGCAAATGTAAAGATAAGGCTTCCATTTCCAAATATTAGGAACAACCATGGAACAAGATAAATACGTACAGCATTTATTGGTCAACACTTTGATGTCAGACCTTTTGTCTTCATTTTCAATCATGGTCCAAAAATCGTGAGAAATTTTATTTTTGTTCTTTATTTGTCACCTAAACTTAACTAGCAGTCGAGGTTAAGCCAATCACGACAACGCTTGAAGTACTTTTATTGTCAGAAATCATACATGATTTCAGGTATATATACATACATACGTATCTGAAAATATTCAAATAATGAAGCTTATATACATCCACACATTTGAAAAATTCAGTCATTTAAAACCCAAGCATTGGATATAGATTATTCTAAACATTTTTCGAAAATGAATTTATTTCTCTGCTGCAACTGGAAGATTTTCACATTACGTAAGTAAGGATAAGGACATAAAGATAACGCACTGGGTTCAAATAATAAGTTTTTTTGCATATTTATTTCCAGTAATATTTGTCCTCATTTCGCAAAGCATCGCCTTCAGAATCAACAAAGATACGCAAACAACTCCACCAAAATTAATCGAAAAAGAACCAAAACCAAAATTTAAACCCCTCAACACGCCGAACATCCTTTGGGAGGAATTATTCAAAGAGAAATTTGGATCGTTTATCAAAAATTCTTCACCGACAAATACAATTCCAAATTCATCCAAAAGTTTCTATCAGTCGCAAATATTTGTCACGTATATCGACGGCGTTTCCGCCGGAAGTTTCCAAACGGAGGATGGTGACAGCATATTTTTCGATTACATGGACTCTTCATCCGATCCAGCGAATAATTTCACCCTTCCGATCGTATTTGTCGTGATGCAAAACGTTGCGGCAGAAAATTGCACGGTGACTAATAGCGTGACCATGCATCAGAAAGGGTCACATGGGAATTTGCAATGGGAAACGTCAGTTTCGTCATCCTCATTTGGTCAGCAGTCATCATCCCAATCTCAAAGTAATGCCGATGATGGTTTTCAAAATCAAAATCAACAACAACAAAATGGTCACGGATTCGGTCAGGGGAATAATAATAATAAAAGCTGGACTACATTTGCTCCCATGAAAAAATTTAACACAATTTTTCCTACCATGAAACCCTTTGGACAATTCCAGAAATAAGGAGTTATCAATCCGTTTCATGAACCAGATAGATAAACAATCTTCCGTATGTATCACTCAATTTCATGAAATATTCTTTAACTATTGGGTAAAAGATTACAAAATGCAAATAAATTCACTTTCTACATCGCAGTTTTTGTCGCATTTATTTGTTCCTATCTGTCGATATTTGAAGCTTGCTTTCTTTTCCATCCCGCGCTGGTATCCTTCCCATACTATTAGTATGGTAGGGATACGAAGCGGGAATCAAATTTTTGGTGAAGTAATTCTGAGTCAGTAGTAGAAGCCGGAATCAATCAATTGACTTTTGTGTAAATACAAATATCTAAAACGTTCAAGCAGTAAAATGTTCTTCAGTGAAAAAGTTAAAATAAATATTATATATTTACTAGAATAATACATATGCAATATCAAGTTTGATCTATTTTGGCATTCACAATATTTGCACTAAACTATCCGCACTTATATGACATTTCTTTTATCTCTTGATTTCTTTTATATAAACAAATAAATAATCATATAAAATATTTACTTACACTGAACTGACCACTTCAAATCCTTCACTTTACATAAACTGATAAAACATGCAATTTATCAATTCAATACCTGTATAATGAGTCATTTTCCATAATCAAATAAATTTCTCCCCTAATACAAACCAACAAGACAACCCCTATTTATTATTTAACACGCCAATTATGTAAACTACTCCGTGCCTGCCTATTTCTCATACATTTATCATAAACATTTCATCAATTCACATCACACACCATATTACTTTACACAATTGAGAAACAACCCCTTTACACAAACTCATGCATACTTGAACGTCAGTTGAACCGACTAAAAACTAACGAAAGTATCTAATTAATTGACGTATGAAAAATTAATTATTTCCTTAAGTGGTTCGAGAGAACATGGCAAAATGTCAATTAACCCATCCATCCAATTCATGATAAGACACACGCTATAAGTTCCATTCCATCCCGTTTTCATGAGAATTGAGAACGTTCACGATTCTACTCGAATCGCTTGCCCAATGCTAAAAAAGGGTTAACTCTACGTGTTTACATTGCAATATGCCTCATAGTCCCCTAGATCAGCACAATTTTGCCCTATAGTCTTGTGACGTCCTATAAAAAACAATCTAATAGGGGATGTCCGTAAATTATGTTAGCGATGAAGTGGATAAGAATAAAAGTTATGAATGGTAGGCCCATTTGCGCCACATGTTAAAAAGAGGGGTGCAACGCTTAACAAGGGGGTTCCGAAAAATCGGCATTTTTTTGCCACATAATTTAAGCACGTTCCCTAACAAGGCTCTTAAAGCGACGTGTACAAAATCGTGTGTGCGCAATTCCGAGGCTATCCTCGAATGCTATAAACATCAGTTTCTCTTATTACACACTTGAGCTCATTTCATCGTTGGTTGTATTGTATTTGATTCTTCTGGAACAATTTTGTTTAATATTTCTCCAATTAAAGAGGGTTTGGTTGATAAGGTTGATAAGGTAAAATTACGAGACTGTTGTTGTGGTAAAGGAGAAAGGTGAAGGACGTGAAAAACGCGAGTTGAAAGTACGAGGGAGGGGTTTACTAAAAGTTGAAGGAAAACTAACCAGCAGGTAATTAAATTAAGGACAATATTTATGCTTTTTAAGAGGAATTAACTAACTGGGCCATATGTAATATTTGCAGTCACTGTCACTTAACCTGATCTCTGTATTTTAAAAATGGAGACTCTACAGAATTTCCGTTCAATGATCAACAATAAGCTGTAAGTTGGATTGGACTAGACTAAATTGTGTAATATGTAATATTTTATTAATTTGACTTGTTAATTAATTAATGCTTGGTTGTTTTAACTCGTAGGGAGCCTCAAATGAGGAACCACTTGAAGAATGTGTACGGCTGCATTGCATCATCGACGTTGGTCGCAGCAGCGGGCGCATACTCGCACTGCAATGGTAAATTAATTTTATAAAGTGGGGAGGGCAGAGGTACTTAATTGTTGTAATTAATTACTAGGAATTTGGGAGGGGGGTCTTTTGAGCATGTTGGGCTCGATAATTTTGCTCACAATGATGGCCTTCTCGCGAAACCCGGAAGGAAAGGATGATGGAATGCGCTTCTTGTACTTGAATGGGTTTGCTCTTTGCACTGGTTGGTACTAATTTTTATTTTGATAACCCACCATGCGAACAGAACCATAGTTAATTATAATTACTCTCTCAATTGTTAGGACTGTCCACGGGACCTTTGATCGAACGAGTGTGGGATCTTGAACCTTCCATTGTGGTTTCAGCCCTCATGTACACGTGTGTTATCTTCACATGCTTCACTATCAGCGCATTGATCGCTCCGGATGGGAAATATTTGGTATAACTCGCTAATAATTAAGCAAAAACTATAGGATAAGAAAGGATTTAAAATATTGAAATGATTTTTTTTGTGTAGGCCCTTGGCGGACCACTCTTGTCAATCTTGTCGACAATGCTTCTTGCTTCCATTCTCAACATCTTTGTCCGATCTCCTACCTTCGTCTACGTAAGTCAAGTCAAAAGCAAGCAAACTTTAGCAAAAAATGTGTTGGAAATTAGATTAGAATTTAGAATTTTTTTAAACTATAGATGCAACTCATTCTTGGACTCGTCATTATGTCAGCATTCATCCTCTACGACACTCAAATGATCATGGAGAAAGTCCGCATGGGCGACAAAGACTACGTTTGGCATTCTCTCACCCTCTTTATGGACTTGGCTTCAATCTTCAAGCACATTCTTGTCCTCTTGGCCGACAAGGAACAAAACAGCCGCAACAGGAAGAGGAGCAGCCGCTAAGGAATGAACAACTAAGAAAAAATCTCAACTTTACTTCAAAGTTTGAGACGACACATGTCCAAATTCTAAAATTCTTTTAGGTTCAAAACCTATACACCCCCTGCCCACCCAAAGACACCATACACACATATTACAGAAAAAAACATTCATTGGTTCACTTGTATAATACATTATTTAGCGTGAATGACAATATTCTACACATTGCTACAATATGTCTGTCTGAAGCGAGAAAACTGATGTCGTCGTCGCCAATTTTTGTGTGAAAAATTAAAAATTAACAATTACAGTGTAAAATACTATATTACGTGTTATTTGATTGTGTCACTTACCACAACCGCTAGAAGTAAATAGATAAATATTTAGATAGATGAATATAATTAACAATAATAACAAACAGAAAATGTGTAGTCAACTACTAACAAGCAATGATTTGAATTTTATTATGATGGAAATGACAATATCCTTTCATAATGCATTCAAAATACGTCTGTTTGATGGATTGAATTAATCGCTATTACTATAATTCTTTTGATATTATTTATCCACCAGTCTGAGAATTTCATAAAATTTCATAATTTCAACACACAAATTATGAATTACACAACACACGGATTACACAATGGAATGGTCATTATTATATGCACACTACTATATATTGGACTATTTGTTATAGTTGAAGTCAAAATCGGATGAGAAAATAAAATTAATATGCATATAAAATTATGTCTCATAATTTGCTAGATGTTTGTTAGTCATGATTTTTTAAATTTGCATGCAAGCTAAGTACATATTTCATATTTGTATTTGCGATCTTTTCATGAAAAATGGAATACAAAATTTTTCACCAGTAAATTAAACAATTGACTTTTGCGGGTGTGCAATCATAATCATTTTACTATTATATATTTTACATGCATCTATGTCGTTTATCATTTTATTTTATATATTTTAATTCATTAATTATAGCGACTTTTAAATTTTAATAAGGGATAGCAAATTCTCATTTTCGGTGTAGTGGCGCGGGTGGGATATTTTTTTTACAACTTTTTGTTTCATGTTTCATGGTTCGGTTAATTTCAGTGTTGGTCTGACTTTATCCTGATTTAAGAAATATAATTGATTACTAATTGGTGTAAACTTCAGTTAACTCATCAGGTGAAGAGGTCATCTTTAAAAATAGTTTCTGAGATACGCCGGTTCTTCATAATAATCTCTGTAGGTAATTGACACTGAATGTCAGTGACATTATGTCACACTTCTTACTTACTTAAAATAACTAATTTTCAATCTTGAACTTGATGTAAAATTTGTTACATTGTAATTGCAATCTACGACCAGGGCGTTGGCTATTATCATATTGAACCAAATTTTTCAAATTTTCAACAGCTAATCTTTATACATTACAGATCGACAAGTACACATCCAAAATTAAGTTGAAATGGCAGAGAAACCTGAAGAGTTATCTTTACCTGTCGCCTCCGTCAGCCGTGTGATAAATGATGCCCTACCCAGCGGAATCAACGTGTCGATGGAGACCCGCAAGACGATTTCAAAAGCAGCTTCAGTGTTCGTTCTTTACACAACGGCGACAGGTTCGTAATAATTACATATGTTACTTGCATACATAAATACGAGCATATTTTTAATATGAATGCATTTATATACTTTCAATAGCGGCGAGTATGTCACAAAAAGCAGGGAGGAAAACTATGAATGCAAACGATGTAATGGACGCCCTTACCGATATGGAATTCCCTCAATTTAAAGAAACTTTAGAAAGGCTTCTCCAAGGTGGTGATACTACTCTAATAAACAATGTCATTTAATTGCAGACAGATTAATTGAGCGATGGTCGTTATAATAATTAATTACAGAGTATAGACAAACTCAGAAGAAGAAGAAGGAGACTAACACGGCCAAGAAGCAGTCGACGGGGGGAGGTGGGGACAGCAAAAAATCGACCAGCACACCCCAAGCACAGAATACGAGTGAAGTGGTAGAGTTATCAGATTCGGACGAGTAGTAGTGATAACTATTCCATGTTTTTTGTTGCATTTCCGAATATTCACTTTTTATGCTTTTTATATTTATCTTATTTTATTGTCTTTTAAGGTATGAATAATTAAGTATGTGTTCTGTTTGAAAATGCTACGCATCATGTGTAGATCATGTATATTAGTTAACATTAATGGTATGAATGACTCATCTAAAGTGATTTCTTACTACCAGTGTAGTAGTCCTTGTAATCTATAACCAAAAATAAGTCGAATTTTCAATAAATCTTTACTTTCAAATGATTAATTGACCAACCACTCAATTCTAATTTTCAACTTGAGAATATGTTGAGAATCTGAATCTTTCAGTTTAAATTGCCAACCTAAATTCTAAAGCTAATTTGTCGTCAAAGAAAATTCATCCATAAATTTCATATTTTCATAAATATTTCTAACCATGTATTTTATCCGCCATGATGAATTACAGCAAATCATTTAGCGACAATTATTTCTCATGTAAAATGACTTTTATTCGATCTGCAAGTTCTCGCATCACCCAGTTTCATGGAAAAATTCTGGCAGCAACTCCAATTCAATCGAGAATCGAGTGAATGATTTTTAGGGAAAAACAGAAAATGTTTTTTGTTTTGAAAATAAAAACAAACATTAACCGCACAATGCCTTATTTATGGTCGTAGATAAGGTTCCATTGTGGTAGATAAGGAAAAAGGCTTCTCCTTGGACGGTATCAAGGTACGAAAATTTGTGTATTTAAGATTAAGGCTGTTAAAAATTAAATCCTCTAGAGAATTGAATTTAAATTATTTTGCAATTTCATTAAAGTCCAGAAATCTGACCTTTACAGGATTCATCGTCGCAACGAAGCTTGCTTAAAACTTAACCAAGGTGCAAGGTATTCAAAGTGCCGCAAAAGATGGTGGTTGGGGCATTTCCAGTGGCGAAGTTGGGGGCACTCGTTCTCAAGCAGATATCCAAACCATTGGCAAATGTCGTAAAGAGAAGAGCCAAAAGCAGTCCCTTCTTTCGAACCTATATCTGCATGCCTCCTGCTCAATGTGAGTGACTTACTTTACAAACAATTTAATTATTCGTTATAAAACTGATTAAAGTCATGTTCTTGGTGCAGTTTATCATTGGGCCGAAGTCAAAATGAAAATGTGGTCTATGAATTTGGGAAAGCCTGTCAACATCCCTAAATTGAACGAGGCGTTAGCAATAGAACTGGGGGCAGAATTACTTGGCGAAGGAATCATATTCGTAATAGCTGCCGGTAAACTAAAAGCTTATAACTAATTTTACGTGATATTGCATTATTGACGAACTACATTACAAATTACCATATTTTTGTGTCTAGGCATATTGGTTGCCGAATATATACGTTCAAGCCGCAAAGAGGAGAAGAAGGAGGAAGAGCGGGTTGCAGAATTGTCTCAAATTCAAAACGATTTACGCGACCTTTATATGGAGACGGCAAAACAGGACGCTCAAATTCGCGAATTGGTTCGAATCCTTAGATTGAAAATGCCGGAAGTATCTTACACGCCAAGGCCTTATGATGAGAGGCAGATCCCGGAACACCACAGGGATGATTATCACGAAGAAGAAGAAAAGTCCATGTTCTCCTATGTCAAAGGATGGGTTTGGAGCGCTATAGATTTAATTATTCCAGAAGATGGCTCAGATGCGGAATCGTCGCCACAAAAAAATAGCAGTCAGACCGGAAACACTACTAGTACAGTCCTACAAGTAGTACCGAGTCCACCAATACCTGGTAATCCTAGTCAAAATAACCCGTCAATACCACCACCAGTTAAGAAGAGTTAAAATTTAGTTGATTAAGTCATATAAAATATTATTATACTATTTAGTAGCGGTGGTTTGGTCACAAAATTATTATTTTTTGTCATCCTGTATTGCATGACAAAGTCACTCGCTCAGTGATACTTCTGTAGTTCTAGTGATGTTGATATATCATCGACTATAGCAAACGACGTAAATATCTTGTTAAATTTAGTTACGATAAATTAATGCAATTATGTTAATTACTATAAATGATGTGTTTGACAAATAAAACTCGAAACCCTACTAATGTATAGCCATTTACATTATTTATTTACTACTAAAATTTAAAGGATTCATAAGGACCTCATATCATAAACATGACTTCGGAAAGCATATCCTCCCTACAATAGATACAACTCAATTTTTTAATTACACTTACAGTTTGTTAACTACGCCATGGCTAAATTCATTTTCTTTCTTTTTGAATTTTGTTCTGATTTTATGTCCCAATTACATTATGATGCCGGCCGTTGATTTTATTGACTTGAACAACAGCAAGGTTGATTTAATGGTACTTGTAGAACCTGTGTTTACCTAAAGAAATACAAAACATACGTGCTATACAAATGTAATAGTAAAACAATAAAAATATTGTGTGTAAATATTAAGACTCTTACGGTATTTCGTGTAATTAATGAAATAGAAGAACGCCATCAAGCCAACGGTCAGTTGAGCATGACCAGTAATTCCAGCTTTCAGTGGGAACGTGTATTTGTGGTTCCACCGCCACCAAGCTGCGTTTTAATATTATCCAATTAACATTATAAAATTCGGCAAACTCCACCTTAGTTTTATCAATTATTTTTATTGAATATAAATTACGCACCACGACCAATTGCTTGTCCCAACGCCATCGGCGACTTGTTACGTCTCGCCAACCAAGCAGGCAGTTCTCCAATCTTGACCTGGCTGAAGGCAGTGTCAGCTGTAGTGTAAATAAACCGACAATATTAAAATTTCAATTTACTTATTTTTACATCACTCTTTAAACTCAAAATTCAAAATTAATAATGAATAAATAACTTACGCTTTCCATACCACCGGGCCGGATCGTATGGTCCGTGCACCTTTGCATTGTACTCTGCCGGATACTCACCCCAGCCCATTTCGAAAAATGTTTCGAAAAAAATGAATTTCTTTAAAAAATTGGACTTTCGCCGGAACAAAAATGGCCAGCAGCAGAGACGAGAACTTGATCTGCCCAATTTCTCAAATACCCACAAATTCTAGATTGCAAACCACGTGATTAACTTATTCCGTAGACAGTATCAATTTTTCCAAAATTTTGAAATTATCAAATTTGTTTACATTCCTGTTTACATTTGATAAGTTTTCATTTTTTAAACATTTTTCTTAGTTTAAAAAATTTGAACAAAAATCCATAAAATTTACGCCCCTTGATTTTGATTCGTGTAATGATGGGAATGTTTAAACCATGCCTCGGCCTTTTTGCCGCATGCTGTGAACGAGGGTAGACATACTGTCCATTTAATTTCCTAAAATTTGGAATTTCCAAACTAATTTTTCGAAATTTTGAATTTATGGCCCAGTGCGGAATACTTGTGGACAGGTTGGTTACTCACAGATATGTATAAAGTATATATTTGCTTACTTTATTCGCTGTTATACATTGTGCATTTAACAGGCATTTTTAAAATCGTCGTTTTAAATTTTCAGTTTGACACAGTTCACTGCTGATTTGGTTAAATTTGCTGCGGCCGAGACCAGATATCACGAATTTCTGAGTAAGTCTGTTTTTAAAAGTTTTTTTGATGAGTTTAAAGTTGACCTTTCAGTTTACACTCAACTTTTCAAATTTGAAGTTAAATAAAAGTAGATTCAAATGAAGGTTTTGATTTTTGATTTTAGTATTTCATATTTAGTTAGTGCACTTTATTTTCACTAATTTTTTGCTTGTCGAATTAGGGCACCGTACGTGAATAATTAATGAATTTACGTTTAAAATTAAATACAAGCACTAGCATGTTTCTCTTTAGTTTTGTTCAACAACTATGTATCGTAGTCGTATATAAGTAGTAACAATTTGCATATGTAATGTATTGACAAGAATCTTAGATATTTAGATTTATTTTTACTAGTTTTACTTTAGTTCGTAGTTGTATTATTTGCTTATCAAGGCGTTGCTTTAGACTTCAAAGGGTGGGATGCTTCTGGTATAATAATTTTCATTTAAACTAAAAGTACTAATTTTACCATAATCAACATGAATTTGGGGAAAACGTAGCTTGCTTTTAGTCATCGTATTTTTGTGGGTAGAATTTTATTTGTACTGTAATTTGGGAATTTTGTTGAAATGATTATTTTTGGATGTTTCAAGCGTTTGCTAATATTTTTTATTTGATGGTATATTTGTGTAGCTAAAAGTGATAAATTCTTATCTGGGCAAAAGAACCTAGATTAATACTACGGCTAATTAAAAAAAAGTTTTACACGACAAACTTACCATGAAATAGCTATCAAAAATTCATAATGTTTTTTGACATAATGTTACTTGTATCGTTTTTGGGGCCTTTTGTCATATAATGGGAGCTATACCTATCTATTTGCCCTCCTTCTTCTTTGTCTATGTGCAGGCCGCGGTGGGGGTGGCTCTAGCGGCGGCGGCGACGGAGGATGTCCCTCCGAGCCGGGCGGCGGCGTCGTCGTCGTGCCATCGATAAAACCATCCATACCCAAAACCATCACACCGGCCGTTGCCAAAACCTGTAACGGGCATGTGGATGTCGTCGAGGGTGGAAATACCTGCGGACTGTCAGCTTTATCACAGCAAATTGCAAATGCTCGGCTCGAAATTGCCTCCTCACTTCTTAGATCATCCAAACCTTCTTCATCTTCTCCTTGTTCAGGTGGAGTATTGCCTTCCGAAGACGACGCCATGATTCGTGAAGAAAACCTCCGTTTGAAACAACAACTCGAAGTGCTCCAGGCACAGGTCAACAAGTTGACGGACCGTGTCAGCCGACTCGAGACCCGATTGACGGACGGGACCTCTGGAGGTGGTGGTGGCGACTCGGCCAAGAAACCATCCGCCCCTGCTCCCAAGGACGGCGAGGATGATGTCGACCTCTTCGGCTCTGACGAGGAGGAGGATGAGGAGGCAGCAAAAATCAAGGAATCACGTCTTGCCGAGTATGCTGCTAAGAAATCCGCGAAGCCAGGTGTTATTGCCAAGTCCAATGTTATTCTGGATGTAAAGCCGTGGGATGGTGAGTGAACTTTAAAATAATTCGCAATTATGACGTGTTTCTTATGAGTAGCTAAATATTGAATGGAATTTGGATTGTATTATTTTCTAGATGAGACTGACATGAAGGAGTTGGAGAAAGCTGTACGCACGATCGTGATGGATGGACTCCTCTGGGGTGTCTCAAAGCTTGTCCCTGTTGGGTATGGAATCATGAAACTCCAAATCGCCACCGTTGTCGAAGATGAGAAAGTCTCTATCGACGACTTGGTCGAAAAAATCCAAGAATTCGAAGATTTCGTAAGATTAAGATACTTATGCATACTCGCAATTGAATGAACGAATGAATTGCAATAAATGTATTGTATATCATTTCATGTAATTTTTTACAGGTTCAAAGTGTGGACATTGCTGCTTTTAATAAAATCTAAACCGGAAATGGATGCCATCTGACGCATAATTTCTGTCAAATTAATTCCAAAAAATATACGCCTGCCACTACTTTGATACTAATTTTCGCATTTGTTGGGTTTTCAAATTTTCTAATATGTTATTGTTGTTTGTTATATCCGGCGAGCTGAACATTTATTAAAGATATTCATTGGACACTACTAACCTTATAAAATCATTTGCATTTTATTTTCATAAGGATTCCGTTGCTTCAACAACCTTCATCTCATCATTTGAATGATATTTTTATAATGACGAATTTTTTCACCAGTCCCACTTTTCGCCCGAATTTGTAATTCGTCTCCTAATTTTGTTTTGTCGTCACACGTCGTAATAAAACTTTTCACCCATTTTTGCATCTACTCGCAACACCACACACCTTCATCAAACTCAACAATGAACAATTACAACCGATCCGGACGAACGATGGCGAACCCCTCAAACTCTTGCACTGGAATTTACCCAAGAGGGACTCAGCGTGGCTTTGATTCCTACGCTTCTCTGGTAAGTATAAGAACTTATCAGATCAGAACTTATTCGACTTTACCCTTCTCTTCTCTAGCCAAACATGATGGGATACTCACAACAACAACAACAGGGCACATACGGAGGGACGGGCTACAGCCAACCGACCATGGCGTCTCGCCAACGTCAACAAGTCGGGCGAACCGCCAACTGTTGTCGACCCCGTCAAGGATTCGGTGGACCGGCGGCCACCCCGTCGACCCAGATGCAAATGCAGATGCTCAGTCGGAACAATGCAACTTGTGCCCCACCGCGAGGTCGTGCCGCTCCAAATGCATTCTGTGAAAACGTTGGACCTGGACCCGCCCCCATCAACGTCAATATTTCTGCCGCACAACTCGCCTCCGCCGGAAACCAGCCAACCCAGGGGAGTCGCCAAGAGGCCGGTATGGAAGGGAATCCTGGAGTGAAATATATTCCGCTGAGCTGGGAAGACATTTTGGGCAAGACTGGAATGAATGTGAGATTCAAATTTTTAAATCGCAGATAAGAACTAAAATTTGAATAATCTAACCTTATTTTCACAGGGTATGAAAGTGAGCATGGTCCCGTCTGGTGATCCAGGAAATGGAAATCGACAGCTGAAGGTATCCTTTGGAGGTCAATCTGGTCAAATGCAGCCGGGCGAGACGCCGCTCAATGTGGTTTCCTTTCAGCCAGTCACTTCTTCCGGACGTGTTGACCACGCTGCAGTGATGCAACAACAGCGCGCAGGACCACCAAACGGGGGAAATTTACGGGGACTTCCACAACAGCGACAGTGCTCTTGCTCAAACTGTCGAGGAGGTCGATAAATGAAGTATAATTAAGCTACTAAATTTTTGTCCTACTAAATATGTCATCATTATTGAAAATCTTTATTGTAAAAATGGCGAGTACATTGTTAGCATGTATTGTAAGAAAAACTGAGAATTAGATTGCAAATAAAACCTATTACTAATACAATACAAATGCACTTGCAAAAAACGGTACCGGATTTCATGAACATTTAAAATTCTAATACATTTTAATTATACTTATACCTGGCCAACTAGACTAACTCCTTTATTACTAAGCTTGTTCTTGTCCCTCTCGTGCGTGTTGAGATGATAGACCAAATTGCTCTTATGGGCGAAACTTTTTTCGCAAAGGTGGCATGGATAAGACCTTAACTTTAAGTGTACCGAGGCAATATGATTTTGTAAATACTGATCACAAAGAAATTCCTTGCTGCAGAAGGTGCACAACAGTTTCACCCGGTTTTCATTATGTGTCTGGACATGTATATCGTAGCAGCGTCGCCAACGAAATTTTTTATCGCACATTTTGCACACATATTTTTCCGTGACGCTGTGAATCCCTAAAAAAATCTCGATTAATATCATTGTATTGTATTCTTAAATGTCATTTGTTTTACCTTCCACATGGTTTCTGACGCTGCCTTGTTGACGAAACGTCTTGCCACAACCAGGATACGGACAGACGAACGGTTTCGAACCATCATGGCGCAACATGTGTTGCTTTAAATTGTATCTGGAGGAGAGAACTTGGCCACAAATTGGGCAATGGACAGATTTTAGGGAAGATTGTGCGTTATTATTATCAGAATGAGAGGTGGTAGTAGTAGGAATTGGAATACTCGGGTGTTGTTGTTGTTGTTGCTGCTGGGTATTTGAAAGTCGTGTGGGGTGCTGGTGTCGAAGGTGGGCTCTAAGGGACATTGGCGTCTTATATGTATTTTTGCACTCGGGGCAAGTAAGTTTTTGTTCTGAGATTCCACAATGGGATGGAATATGCTCAAGGACAATCTTCTTTTGACGGCTTGGCTTGTCGCAAATGGGACATTTGTAAGGGTATTCTTTGTCCACTGTACCATTTTGAGTAATGTTCACTATGAAACATTAAGAAAAATGTAATTGTACTATTTATATATGTAAATAATAAATGTTATAATCAGCGTATAAGCACTTACTGAACTTGATCCACTCCTCCTCAGTCTCTTCACTTTTTCCATATTCTTTAAAGTATGATCTTGGATGGATCATCATGACATGTTGACGTAGTTGATGTTTATTGCGAAAAGTTGAAGTACAATGACCACATTTTTCATACTCATCCCGGTAATCTTTCATTGTTTCATTGTTGTTGCCTGAATCTTCTTGTTTTGGAACTGGAAAATTCTTGTTCTCCAAATGTTCGTGTTTTGGACTTGGAAATTTTGCAGATCCAAAGTCAATGATTTCAAACTCAAAATCGCTAGACTCGTCTCCTGAAAGTTCTTCTACTTCATTAGTTTCAGATTCAGATTCGCTTTTTAATTCCTGTAAAAATCAGACCGTGTAAATCAAGATGTCAAATTGTGTAGTAATAAATTCGTGCTAATTTCACCCACATTAACATTATCATGATTATCGATATTATGAGCATTATCTGAGGATGCAGGAGTTTCGTTGCGTTGTAAATTGGCCTCCTTGGAATTTCCGGCGTCTGATGTGGGGCTGTGATTTTTCTTCGTTTTCTGAATAGGTCGATGTAATAAATTCTTTAGCTGCTTCATACTCCCAGATTCTTGGGTTTGTCGTCTATGTCGACTACTGGATCTTCGATTAGGTTGATTGTACTCTGGGGAAAAAAACAGTGATATCACGTGTAAAAATTATTCTATTAACATGCTATACTTAATTATATTTAGTGGATAATTACCGTGCATCTCTTCATCAGTCTCTCCAAGTTCCGGCGTGACTTGGAGCATTTCGAATACTGCGTCATCGTGGTTGTCGCGATCTCGATCAGGTTCTAATTTAATTACTACATCCAAAGCGTCGTTTTCTTCTTTTCTTGCCTCCCATTTCATCTCTGGATGAATGTGGCGAAACCCCTCTGCGATTGACGAGATCAAGTGACACATTTGAGGAAAGGACATGACGAAGCAGCGGAGGTCACTTTTCAACCTGTCCTTGTAAATCTTGTGGTTCCTGCCATCTGATTAAATTAAGAAAAGAATCATAATTAATTATGCATAATAAAGAAATCTCAATTATGTAAGTATTCTAAATTACTACTTATTTAGTTACCTTCGCCCGAATTATGGCGTGTCTGATCGTTAGATAATTGTCGATCAATTTCTTCCAAAACGGTCTCAACTTGACGCTGCACCTTCGCAATTGTATTTTCCAATGTATTGATCCCTTTGAACAATTCGGACGACGATGTCAAAAAATCCATCTTTTGTATTTGAAATCTAATTTTTGTCCAAAATTTAAAATTTTGAGTTGTATGTAAATTAACTATAAAACTTTATACATAATAATAGTCCTGAATTTTAAAATTTTAAAAGTTTCCAACAATTTTGGAAACTCAAAACCCAACCCATCAGCGAGAATTTAACAGCTGCGGGTTGTTGTGTTGTCGAGTTTGAACCGAGTGAGAAATCAGGAAAAAAATCAATCACCTCAGTTCATGTAAGCTCATCTTTTACCTGAGAAAAGTGAGATTTTTAGAAATAACGTTGAGAAAATGAGAATTTGCCATAATTTTATTTATTTCGAAAATGCTAATTTTGTAGTAATATTTCCTTATTATATTAATATTAATATCAAATTATAATTATGTAGGTACATTTTTTCCAACACGTCAACAAATGGATGTGAATTTATTAGCAAAAATAAAATAATTTTATTAGACATGCAAAAATTATTAGAGATCATTTCAAGGAAAGGAAACTGATAATCTATCCAACACGGCAAAGTTGTCGAATCCATCATTTTCCATTGTAACGTTGATATTCTGTACAAAATTATTTTACAATTTTTAAAATTTAATGGTGAACATTTAAAATTCTCTTAAACAAGACCATAATTCCCTTACCCTTAGAATTCCATACTGCGTAAAATCAATTTCCCTATATTCTCCCCCACTTTTCCTAAACTCGAGGTGCGTGGTTCCACTTGAATGCTCGAAATCCACCAAGATTCTACTTCCGGTCGCTGCCTCGACACTGTAATACGCTCGGAAACCCAATTTCTGGAAAGTGTTTCCATTCACGACGTTATCGTAGTGGAAAGTACATCTTCCTGCGCAGGGGCTCATCCAAAATCCGGTCCCTGAAAAAGGGTCCCGGATAATAATGGGAGATCCATCACAGAAAAATCCGGTAATGATGGTCGCATATCCACATGCCGCCGTGGTCGGAATTATCCATCCACTTCCGGCCAAATCAGCACCCACATCGACGACCAGGTCGGGTCGCATCGTAGGTGACGACGAGCTGGGTGGGGACCACGTTGTCGTCCCAATGGTCGTAGATGGAGATCCACCGTTCAAAATCTCATCAACAGTAATTGTCTAAATAATTTTTTTACAATTTTGTTAATTTCACACATTTAACCACCAATTTTGAAAAACTCACTTGCAAAACGCTCGAAATATAGTCGGCAACTCGGACGGATAATGCATCCCCGGCGGAAACCCGCACCCTGGAAAAGACATTGTCCCCCACGAAGCGTAAGTAGTCCTGAATCAATTCTCCAATCACGTCGCCCCCCACAATTCCGTCAAATGTGGCGTTTATCGGATCGTACGACAAATGTTGGGGTGTGTTCCAGTTCAAGGTAGCGTATCCGGTCGAGTTTATTGCAATGTTGGCAGTGTGACTCCATGTCGATGAGTTCGACTGGATTGAATATGGACCATTTCCGTTCACAATTATTACGGAGGATGCGACTCCAACCAAGTTATAATAACCTACAAGGAGGAAAATTTGCATGAAAATCTTGATCAAATTCAGATCAATCAGCAATTCGATAAGTACCTGTGACAGCAATTTGGTGCAATTCATACACGATTTCCATCGTTCCAATCCTGTTGACTAAATCTATTGAAGAACTTACCCTTGTCGTGAACACTCTGTAATCTCGTAGTGCTGTGAATCTGTTGAGAAATTTGCACGTTCATGTAAATATTTAGCAACATGTGCACATTAATCAAAATTATTTGTATGCTTTTGTATTCTGTACCCTGTGGAAATATTAGCGGTGCCTAATTCAGATTCGAGGGTCAAGGTTAAATCAGGCGATTGGAAAAGGCTGTCGTTCATGTTTGAACGATACTGAGAAATGTAGTTGGAAATGAAGGTGTCGAAAGCAGCTTGGTTTACACCAGCAGAATCTGATTTGAAAAAATCCACCAATTAAATTAAATATGCAAACTGTTAAGTTGAACTATTTTTACAATTTTACATACCCCCAACTGGACCACAGTGAATGTGTGCAAATCCAAACGACATCAGCAACGCGAGGGTGCTAAAGTTTGCAAAATTTTTCGCCATATTTGTAAAATATAATACAAGCTGCCAGGAACTTTAAGAAATGTTAAATATATATAAATATGTACGTGCACGTATGAAACCGGATTTTTGGACTCCACTTCACTCCAGTTATTTCGGTTTATATAAGCGATGGTTATCTATTTCTGTTGTCCATGCATTATCGTCATTTCAGTACCTTAACCATCAATTATCTGTAATTAAGGATGTGATTGATCATGTCAAGTGGTCATGATCAATTTTAAATGTACTAATCATTGATTGCGTACATATGTGTATGAAATGTTATGATTGAAGTACATAAATGCCGCATAATAAATATGTACAAACATACATATGTATCCCGACAATCAATTCATTTATTAATTATTGTCCAATTATAATTTCAAGTATAACAGGATGTGTCAACCAAACTAAATGATGAGTCTGCATCGGGGACACAATTTTGTAATGTTTAATTATCAAATTACAAACAAGTCATGTGCTCGTTTTCTGCATGAAAATCGTTATTTTCCAAGATTTCGATATTGATTACGACGAATTGCAACACAATTCCTAAGCCTTTCTGAATAATATCCACCATTGAAGCAATTAGTGAAACGAAGTGATCCAGCCAATCCAGCAGAAGGATATTGCCTCGATTCGGACATCCCAATGTGAATGCATAGAATCACTGCACCGATAATTAGTAGATGGGTCAACCAAATTAATTTCATTTTTCCTAGAGACTATAAAATCCTCTCTAAAATTCGGTTTAAAATGTGTTTGTTTTGAAGCTGTATTAGAAATTCAATCCAAATTATACTTTTCAAAATCTAAAATATGTATTTGTATGCGTACAAATATATATGCTTACGTTATTCCACGGTCTATTTTCTCAGGTTAAAACTCTTTGCTAGTATTTCGTGCAGAGTTGTATTGGTAAGTTTGACGATGGATTTGTATCCAACTAATTTTTAATTTATACTAATTTTTATCTACTTCCGGTTGTGTATCCTGAAAATGTGCGCATATACATATATATTTGTGGTAAAATTAAGTGATGTCATTAAACCGACTAAACCAAACCACCATAATTTGATAATAATTACTGCTGGTTAGAACAATTAATTCATTACAATCAATTAAGAATGCGTCAGAGTCAAGATACAATTTTAATATGTACATATACAATTTTAATACGTTAATTTGCGGATTAAAGTCAGATATGCAAGTACATAATTACATATGGATTGCCTATTTTTTCCCAATACCCCCACCACGATGGTGACGAAGCACGACGCATTTTCCCAACCTTTCCGAAAAATACTGTCCATCAGGACAATCAGTTTCTTCTATTTCTGAAGCAACTCCAGTTGCCCTCTTTCTCCAGAAACTTGTCCCACTTGCATTTAAGATAAAAACTCCAAGAATTAGCCAAGTCAACCAAATCAGTCTCATTCTTGAAACTATATTAAATCCTCTGTCGCGCCTGTAAATTACACCAAATGGTCACTTCCGGTTTGTTAAATACTGATTTAACACCAAAAATGATTATGTAGATTAACTTACAAAATATCCAGCTGAGATTATTTCTTATGACTTCGGAGATGCCTCAATTGCAAGTAAACCATCCATTCCAGTTTAAATTCATAGTCGTATGCAATCAATTGCCTCCGTCTGTCTGCTTAATTATCTCGCAATGTCTGCGGTAAGAGCATTTCCGAAATAAAAATTCAATGATTCAACATACAATTTTAGACCAAAACCGACCGAAACATCAGAAAAAATTGCATTTTAATTAGAACAAAACCAAACCGCACAGTGCATGTAAAGTAGATAAGTAAAAGTCAAAGGGTACAAAACTTAAAGTAAAATAAGGCAGAATTTGTACTACAAAAATATATTGAACTATTCATAAGTATCATTATTATGTAATTATTGAACTAATTTCGTCCCACATTTGCAACTTGAGACTCCAAACTGGCCACGACTTCTGGGGGAATTCCTTCCAGAACTGAACGGAGGTCATCTTGATTGAAGCTGTCATTTTCGCCCAGCTTGAAATAGGCAACCTGAATAGCTGGGGACGTCCTATCGACTACAGCGCCTGTGGGGATCAAACTCATCTGCTGTGCTACAAATATAGCAACATTTTAAAAACCGGAATTATTATTTTTTAAATTATAAATATGCAATTAATTAAAAAAATAAATACCCTGTCTGACCGCTTCATCGTAATCTTGGGGGAACGGAAATGCAAAAAGGGTGCCCAAAAGACTCGCAAGAATTCCTAAAATGCTGGTTATCTTCATCTACACAAAATTATGAAGAACAAAATCAAAGTCAAAACCGAAATACAAATATTACGATAATAAAGCCGTTCAAAAATATGCAAATTGTACCCTGGAAATTTGAATATTTTCAGATCGGTTAATACGAATTTTAGTTGCGTAATGATCCCCAGTTAAGACACGACTGATCCCAAACCAACTTTTCCTTTCATTTATATACTAAATTTTTATATCTAAAATTAACATCGTTTTCCCTGCAGCATCACAAAACATACAACATAACATCTCATGGATCTCACATCATTTCATGTCGGAAGCTCACCGTGAGGTGAGAATGATGATGATTATGACTGACTTAAAAATTCATGCATGGATTAGCGAACAAAAATCATACACATAATTTCTTTCTCAAGATTTCCATTTCCTTCAAGCCTACTGTTTTGCATTGTCAGATTCAAAACGTAATACGAAAAGCTGGCTTAATCTTCAAGAAGGATCGCTTAGTGCGGAATCTACATGCAAACAAAAAATGGTAACAGAGAGATTATGACCATTTGATTCCCATCATCATCACATTCATATTATTATTATTACTCGTACGTACATACATAACTTTGCAAATTACGCACATTACACAAAACATGTCGGGTCTCGAATGAATTTTCATTTCGTTATTATTATGTTTTTAAAAAGAGATGAAAACGGACGGATACAATGGGAAGAATGAATATTTGATGTTTTCATTTTCATGCCGAGTGACAGTAGGCGTTGTAGTAGCGTGACGAATCTGAAAACGGTGACAATAATCGAATCCTATCAAGATTTAAGAGTTTATTTGTGGTAATAATGACAATATAAATTGTAAAGGAAGACATCTTCAGCTATATTTATGCAAATTTAGGTAGGTATATTCAGCAGTATGTGTGAATGTGGATGATTGTTGGTATTTACATATTCTTAAATCATAGTTCTTAAGAGATGACGAGGAACAATATAATTAAACTGAATAGCTAAAAATAATGCCGGAATTTTTAATAATTTCTCGCCCCACAGACAAAACGAGATATACCCAAAATCTTAAATTACTAGGAATTTCCACCTTAAATATTTACTACACGTATGAAATAATTCGTGAATTGCATAATTTCTGTCAAGTACCACTTTTGCCTTCCTCCTATTTCTTGAAATTTGTTACATACATACGGCAAAACTATGTAATGTCCGTATGTAAAATGTACTACACACTTGAACAGTTTTATACTTGTAACAGTTTTGTTTTTTAAGAAAGTTTTGTTATTCTTGATATTTGTTTTCAAAAGAATTTTTTTCATACAAAATAAAACCCTGCGTACTACAATATTCTTTCTATTGTGTCATATATAAGTAAGTGAATAATGAGCAAAACATGGCTTTCACTCTCTTTGAAGTACCTTGTCGATTCGCAATTTTTCATAATTCGTAAACTAGACGTCAATATTTATATTTCCGACAAATCGAGACAACTACTTATAAAGAAAAAAAATGTCGCTTTTATTCACTTACTGAAGTACAACCAAACCATGACTGATTAGATGATTTCACTACAAAACTTGAAGAATTATTGAAAATCAAATCAATTAATAACCATGTAAAACCACCTGTCGTTATTTTTACAAGCTAAAAAAAGGTACCCACTTCTATGACCATCGTCGTCGTCGTGCTTCAATAGATCACGGAATATGGTGGATGGACGCGTAATGATAATCGCTCATTATCAATAGAAATTATATAAGGTAAGGATTGAACTGAATCGATCAATCAAATTAATCATTACGGTGTTAAATATTGATCGCTACCAATAAATCATTATTATGCAGCTCTAGTAGACTCATTAAATTCGAATAAGTAATCCTCGATCAAAAAAAAACTTTCATAATTTAATGTAAACATCGTGTTCTCCATTGTATTTTACAACCATTTTCGATCACAATCACTTCCAAATTCCCCGGAGAAACTTTTTCCATTTCCTGCTCATCAGAAAATTACGTATTTATTATTCTTTTTAAATACACTTTCCTAATTGCGGACATTAAAAAATTACCCTCTTTTTTCGCACATTTTTTGTTTCCCGAATAGGAAATTAAATTATGAAAGTGGACACCATTTTATGTGTATGTAAGAGATTAATCATTTCGTGGAATGGAGAAACAGTTCGCATATTTATTTTGCAAAAAAAACTTGGTAAATTTTGTCACAATTCAATTTTGCAGATGAAAAGATACCATACACAACATTGTCTGTGTGTATGTACTTGCAAATTATGGAAGTACATACAGTAGCAATTTAGGCATATTGTTCGCATTTGCATTATGAATTGTGCAATTCTCCTTTGAAATATTAAATGTAGCCAATTATTCCCTATTTGGGGCTATTGTTTCCGTCCGTCGTATGTATTAGATGAACTCGTCGTCGGCATAATTATTTATATTTTTGTTGTGCAATCCGCTAATAATAATAATATCGGTCGAATTTATACAACCATTTTTTCCACGTGACACCACCAACGTTGCATTTGATTTGTTAAAAGTTTCTCTAAACGTGACGTGCTTCGTGTTTATGATGATTTAATAATAATTAAGTAAACTGTGACAAGTTCCTTAATTTGTGTCGCGTCCATTTGTCACTGTCAACCGTGCGTCTGCTGATAGATACAAACGCAATATTTTTTCTTATGGCTAATTATTTGCTGTTTTATACATTACATAAAATCTACACGTTCCGTTTCTTCGAAAAGTTGGTTAATTATTGCAAAACATTTAATTTTTGTAATTATTTAAGAAAATCTATCAAATCATCACAGAATACACATATTGCACAGCATATTCATTCATTCATTCATTCAGTGAATCTCATTTATTCATCGTCACTCTCTTCTTTCAATTTTCTTGCCTATTCTTATCAGAATAAATGTCAATGAACATCGTGAATTTGACAGTGATCAGATTATGCGTTTGATAAGATGCCTAATATTCATACATTTCGAAATATTACTCCACACATGTCCATCTCTGTCAAAAAGTGAGGCTCACTCGCACCGAAGAAATTGTTACATGATAAAAGTGACACGATTTCCATCCAACGAAATGAAAATAATGCGCAACCCTTTAGTAAGTACGATACGATGAGTCATTTAATCTCAATCTCAATTGATCATAACGCTGCGCTTATATGTCTTCACCACGGTTGGACATTACTTATTTTTCTGTTTTGTTACATAGTAATGGCAGTGGCAATAATAAAATACTACTTGAAGACGAATTATTTATTACACCGACCGACCAACTGACCACTGCAGATATGACCACCTTAAGGAGTACCTGCATCCATCCCTGTCTGTCGCCATTAAGTAAAATGTTATCAAATTTAATTTTGAATGCTGCAGCAAGCAGATTCTTGTGTTAGCTGGTCCTTTTTTTAAGGGAGATGATGTTCATCCTTCTTTTGAATACGAGTTGAATCCATCTCGATTTGTACCCATTTCTTCGCATTATGCATTATTATTCTCATTCTTTCATCTATCTATCTCGGCTACTAGGCAGGTAGGTAGGTGAGCTTCAGAGTTGCATTATATTATATCACGTAGTATAATATTATGGCAGCTCGCGTCTAAAGAAGGGATGCAAATGAAATTGAATTTGAAATGCGATGCAACACGTTCATGTTACATCGTTGCTGTAATGCAACTGTGTTTATTATTGTTATATGAACCAGGCTTAAATCACCGTGGAGGTGGCGGACCGCTGGGTGGTTTATAAGCGGCTGAGACCGTGAGCAAGGCACCAGTCGTCGTCAACCAAGGATCTGTGAAGGGATCACCAAGTTTAAGTTGGAGTGATTTTCGAAAACTGTTGTGTTGTTGTTTAGTGATCTCGAAAAAGGAGGGACGCGTAATGAAGACCTTGCTGGTATGGGGAATTAATATTTTAAACTTGGGATTTCATGGGGTGTTCATGGGTTTTATTTCATGTAGGTCCTAGTGTCCGCCTTTGCGGTGGCAAACTGCGGAATTTCTGGAGGATTTAGTGGGGGTGGTTTTGGAGGGGGTGGCGGCGGCGGAGGGGGTGGTGGTGGATTTGGAGGAGGAGGGTAGGTTCAGAGTTTTATTTTTAGGGAGAAAAATTGTTGAAAAAAGGTACAATTTGAAATAAAATGTATTAATAATTCTGTGGGATTGTTTAAAGCAGCGGTGGTGGTGGGTACTCAGGGGGAGGAGGAGGCGGTGGTGGGGGCGGCGGTGGCGGTGGCGGATATGGCGCGCCTAGCGGTATTTTGTCGAAATTTGCATAATCATAATTACCCACAATCAGATCGCCATAAAAAAAAATGATAACATTCGTACAGGTGGTGGTGTTCATAAACACGTCACGGTCCATGTAGCCCCTCCAGAGGCACCTGAACCAAGACCTTCTCGACCATACGTCCCACAAACACCCGACAAGCATTATCAAATCGTCTTCATCAAGGCTCCCAGCCCAGCTCCACAAGAAGCGCAAGAAATTGAGTTGCCGGCCGCCCCAGAGCAAAAGACATTGGGTAACACTAGTATATAAATCCATAGTCCAACATCATGCATATAATTACTTATTATTACTTCATAATTAATTAATATTCCAGTCTACGTCCTCCTCAAGAAACCCGAGCCAGGTCAGGATGTCAAAATCAGACCAGCACCACCACCAAAACCAACCAAACCAGAGGTAAATCTCCACAAAAACCCCCCAAATTATACCTAATTCCCAAATATTTTCTTCCTCCCCAGGTTTACTTTATTCGGTACAAGGACGGAGGTCAGCAACAAGGTGGATACGGCGCACCAGCCCCACAACAAGGCGGATATTCCGGCGGCGGCGGCGGTGGTGGTGGTGGCGGTGGATTTGGAGGCGGCCATTCCAGTGGGGGTGGTGGGGGTGGTTACAGCGGTGGCGGTGGTGGTGGCGGCGGAGGTCAGGGAGGTTACGGTGGATAGATTTTTTTCCCGTAAGAAAAAAATCACCCTTCTCGCCAAATTATTACCTCATTGGCAGTATTATTATTATTTTAATAATTATTATCGTTATTCATACGCATCACTTTATTTACAGAGGTATTTTTATATTTTATTATTTTCCCTTATCGCTCCAAACCTTATCGCTTTTCTATCATCAGTTTACATTAGTAGTAGAAAGAAGAAGAATTAGATCCATATCCGTCAATCATTTATCTGCAACAATGCTCCAATTATTAAAAGAGCAGCGTCGCTCCGTCGTGCCACTATTACTTCTACAATTACCTCGCATGGGGCCGGCTCTAGGCTGGCATACCAGTTTATTTTATGACTTATTACAACAAATACAACTAACTAGGAGACACCGTAAATATAGTGCTTATTGTAAATTTATCTCTGAAAAAAAAGAACTTTGACGTGATCTACCTGTCTATAATCTGGTCCAATCGTATTTTTTTATGTTATACAATCCTTCTCTGTTTGCTCTCTATTATCAATAATCTACTATTATGTGTATCATTGTGGAGGATAAGCAAGAAGTCAAACTAGTCGGAAGAAGAAGAAAAAGAAGGAAAGTGAATCTAAATAAATAAATTTTACTTTTCAATATACCTACCACGCTGTTTTCTTGCATGAAATATGCATCTCTGTACATGATCATTAGTTTACTTACCAATTTACTCACCACTACTAACCAACCAACCACCACCAAAAAGATGAATTATGCAATTCCTTATCCATCCACTAAATAACTGACACACAAACAGATAGCCATACATACATACAAACTTGAGCATATTTTAATAATATTCTTTGAAAATTATGACATTACAAAAGGAAATAAATCTTGCCCACCAAACAAACAACTCGTTTATCATATCATTTATTTTCAATAAAGTTCCACTGACCAAAGAATACATGACAGAATATAGATTGGAAATCAAGCCGTTTTTTTTGCAGATGAGCAAATAAATATTATTATTGCAAAACAGATAATGCAATATTTTTTTACCGTGTGCAAATAATAACAACGAGTTTAATATCCTAATATTTGCTCCTGTTAAAAAAGAGATCCTGCCTCTGACCAAAAGCACATTACTTTCAGACTTCAATTTCGCATCCATCATTAAATACACGTAATTTACATATTTACAAAATTTAAACAATGCCAAAACGTTATTATGTGGATGATTATTATGAGAGAGGAAGTAGTGGTTCGTGTGATGCGATATAATGCAATTGAAAAATTTGGAGTGCATGTATTACCTGCATTTTAGAAAGTAGTGCCTCCAAAAAAAGTGTGGATACAAGTAATAATGCCAAGAGTCGTGCTGCATTAATTTAATTAATGACGGATGCATAATAAAATTAGGGATAAGTTTTCTATAAAAAATAAGCTTTTTATTCATCTCATTTGATGACGGATTTATTATAATTTGTGTATCGATGATATTATCTGACGGTGTATTTATTATAGCATCGTGTCAAGTGAGACGGGTGAGTGAGACGACGTGGCGTGTCCAAAAAAATAATTGTACTCTGAGGTGGGACAACAATTTTGAGATTTTTTTTTTCTTCTTAAGAAGGGACACTTGAAAGACGTTCCTGGGCTATGATGTATTTTTGGGGACTAAAAATTTCTGGGGTGAGGAAGCAGGTTTCCTAAAAATGGGGAACTTTTTATTGAGCTTGGGCGATTTGGGCTTCCAAGTTGGCAATGATTTCGGCTGGGACGCCGTCCAAAGCTTGTCGGAGGTCTCCGTTGTTGACTCGGTCGTTAGATCCGAGTTGGAAGTAGGCGACCTGCAGAAATAAAGGTAAAACTGGTTGTGATTAATAATTCGGGGGAAAATTCGGAAGAAAAATCAGATTTTTTGGAAAAATTGTTACCTGTTGTCCAGAGAAAGTCCTATCAATCTTGGCGCCGGCGGGCTACGATTTATATTTATATTTAGATTTAGATTTATATTTTTATATATATTTATATTTACTTACGATCAGACTCATTTGTTGGGCTGCAGAAAAGATTAACAATTAACAATTAAGAATCTACATAAAATCATGTTTCACAAAAATATTTTCCAAAATTTTCAATTACCTTGTTTCACAGCCTCGTCAAAGTTTTGTGGGGCGGCTAAAGCTCCAACGATCGCGACAGCGAGGACAATGCAGATCATGACGGCGCGCATCTAAATAAATAATTTGTAAAGAAACTTTTACAATCAACTCTCCGAAAAAAAAACGAAATTAATTCCCAATTATTATTTTAAAAAACTACCTTGAATTTGCGGTTTTTGGTTTGCAGATATTTTTTGAGATGTGATTACAATAAGTGAACTGAAAGTCGATTCCTGACACTTGACCAAGTCTTTTGAGCTTATATAGTGGTGGTTGGGCTGTTGAGAATTTTTTCAATTGTTTATAACCCCATCGTCATTATTATTGACCACTGCGTAATGTGTACATTGATATTTAGCTATGGCCAACCGGCTTCTTGGGTGAATGGTCAACAAGCAAGCAGGTAACAATAGGAATCGTCTAATGTTTGGTTAGTTATGCATTGTTGGTTCGTTAGTTAGTTATCGATGATACCTCGTGCATGTGGATGCAGGAGTCGCGTTGCATGTCGTGTCATTGTTATTAGCATCTTTTTTATTGTTATTATCCTCCTCGGGGATATTTTCATGCTAGCAAAACTAATTCGACATCCTTTAATTGGCTCCATTTCCCCTCGTCGTCGTGCATACGTAAAAATGACACGGTCATCTCGTATCTCTCTATTTTCCTTTCCACTTGCACTTACTTTTTGTACCGTATGAATAACCCATACTTTTTAATAAATTAATAACTACATAACAATGATAATACTGCGAGTGGTTTGGTTTGTGTAGCACATTTCTTATCACGTGCACTCTTAGAAAATGCAATATCTTTTCATGAAGTAAAATGGAACGTTATGCGCTTTAAAGTAAACCTCACTTGATTCGAAGTAAAATGGTCAACTTCATTCAAAGTAATCACAAAAGTCACCAAATGTGGAGTAAAACCACTATTTTCTAATCCACAAAGTAAGCTATTATACCATTTAGAGTAAGCAAACCCCATTTAGAATATTCTTGGTCAAACCAGACGCTGACTTTTCCCTCGCTCTCATTACAACTCGCAGCTCAGCCAGTCAGTGCTGATAATTAAGTTGATAATTAATTAATTAGTTAGTTAACTCATAAGCAAATAATGGAGGAAACGAGGGGGTTATTGCAACAATTTGGACGGGGACGCTGAAGGGTAAGAAATTCGCATAATTTACATAATTTATACATAAATTTAATTTACATTGCGTTTAATTTTTATTTTAATTGTATTTAAACAGATGACGATATTACGGACGAGACTCTGTTAATAATTTCAGGAGAAAATTGTCAGGTTTTCTAGGTCATTTTAGGTCGCCTTTGGAATGCATTGTACAATTTGTGAGAACTTAGCTGGTATATCTTTGTTTTAAGTGCAAAACTAATATTAAAACTTTAGTATAACATTAAAAAAATTATCTTAAGTTAACAGGGTCCAGCGTTTACAAACATCCTCACTAGTGGTTCATAATAAGCAGGGTATTCCGACCCAGGGTTTTATTGGGTTGGGTTTTTTGGGTTTTAATGGGTTTTAATGGGTTGTTAACGAATAAAACCCATTGGGTTTTACCATGTTAAATGGGTTTTATTAGGGTTTTAATGGGTTTTATTCGGGTTTTAATGGGTTTTAACTGTGTTTCAGCTTAAAACTATATTCTAAAAGCTGAAAACAGCTGTCGTACGTTAGACGAAGTTGTTTCATGGCAGCTAAGCAGTTTATTTGATTAATACTGTAAGTTTTAAAAACCAGGAATAAATCAGCGAGTGCCATTACAAGTTTCAAGTGACAAAAATATTTAAAAATAATAATTTCGGAACGAGGTATGTTTAACTGAGCATACATAATTTAATTACATTTAATTTACATTTTGCTGTCATAATTAATACTTTTTTCCCGAATACTTCCTCTCATCTCAGCGAATAAATTAAACAAAATACTGTAGTATTTTTTAATTTATATAGTTTTTTAAAATGTTTCAAGGCGATCTTAATTATCACCTCTGGAAAAATCCAGTACTTATGGACAGCGAAGTACTTTATTATGAGCAAAAGAAGTGTGTCTGTAAAAAGCACTTATTATATTCTCGATCATAATACATACGTACTTTCATTGTTCATAAGTACTCGATTTTTTCCAGAATTTTATAATACACGTTAAGATCGCATTGAAATTTTAAAGTTTAAAAACTTTTAAACAACTTGGATTTCATTATGATGAGAGGAAGTATTCGAGAAAAAGGTAATATATATTCTCATAAAGTATTAAACTATGATCAGTTAAACAGGACTATTTCGAAACGGATACAAATTTTAACATGGACAAGTAGGATTTGCATATTAATTGAAATTGGATTGCAATAGTAGTGAAAATTGTTGTTCAATGTATTACTTATGTAAAACCTAATAAAACCCAATAAAACCCATAAAACCCATTAAAACCCAAAAAACCCATTAAAACCCATTAAAACCCCTGGGTCGTTACTTTTTGATTAAAACCCTGGGTTTTTCCGAAGCCTGATAATAAGGGTAATTTGTAATGCAATGTTGAATGTGAAATAAAATATATTATTAAAGTACTAAATACTGCGACTACGCTTAAGTAACTTTTCCTGGGGTCATCAAAGCAAGAAAGTAAAGTCATAATCAACGCGATTTAGGGTTACGGTCGTTACCCTATTGGGCGCTCAGTTACCCTGTGAATATTGTTACAGGGTAAAATGGCTTACTTTGTGGCCGAGAGAGAGCGATTCGCTATAAGTGGGGTAGTGGCACTTTGGAAGTTATATCGAGTTATATTTTACGTCATATAAAGTATGGATTTCTAAGAGTGTGAACTACCTCTTTTAACAATAAAATGGATACATTTCCTCCATAAATTAGCATTTTGTGTTGGATTGGAGAGCAATTTTTTTAGCCTGTACTGCAGAAAATTCGAAAGGGTAAAATTAGATGGATGGATAGACAGCTATTTTTATTCTTCTTTAGATAAGTACCTATCGGATGATCCGGAATCTACAAGTTTTTGACTTCCTCTTACGTAGCAAATCTAATTATATCATGGGATGAGTACGTAAAAAAAAGAGTGCATAATAACCACTTAACAAAACTGTCAACAATTATTATTTATCATGACGCGAGAAAATTGCAATTCGATTCCAAAGTCCTTTTCGAATAATGTGATATATTGGGCAGATTACTAGACGGACATATTTGGGTCAAAATGTACACAATTTTTTCTTGTAAATTTTTGACCGTTTCATGTTTTACGAGATTATGACGAATTTGTCTGCAATCTTTTACATTTTGTTTTCTTGTTAATGTTAATTTTGACACGTTCAGAGAAAAAATATACCAAATAGTTAACGTTGCAATGCTTTTAATTATGTAGAAGGGAAGAAAAAAATGTGTAATTAATACTAATCAGCTCAAGGGAGCAATTGTTGGCATAAATGTTAATTTTTATTGCTTTATTGGACGACGACAGACAGAGCCGAGCTGCTGCTGCCAGTTTACTTTTTACGTGATAAATGATGATTTAAAAATGGATCAAGCTTTTTGCAAACACATTTCATTTCAGTTTGTACATGACAAAATGACAATTAAACATTTATGATTATTTTGCAACTGCTATTTACAAGTCTCTGCTGGCTGATGCTCTAGAATAAATGGCTGACCAACCAAATAAATAATAACAATAAAAGAGTGAGAGACAAAGTCTAATGATGGATGAAAGTGGACACAATGTGACAATGATGCAATATTCGAGATATTTTATGAAGTATTTATTGTCTTGTCGCTGGTCTCCTGATGAAAAATGACATCCAATTAGAATTCCAAATAAACAATGGTTTACTAACTAACAGATAAATAACTAACTAAACAAGTAAGTAAAGTTGTCAACTCTCAATTTTTAGTAGGAACAAAATTACATAGTTTTTCAGTGATTTTTTGAACATGTCATTTTATGTTTTTACTTTAGAACATAATTTCACAATTCGTGGGTTAATTAGTTTATTGGCTTCCAAATTAATTTTGATGTCCAATTTCAATTAGCATCTTTCCAACAGACGTGGTCACAACTGCCAAGGGTGATTAAACTAATAAAATTTAATTATAGGGTCGGGCAATGCAATAATTGTTCTAATTGAAAATATTTATGAGACCACTTGCATGATTACAAAGCCATTATGAAGTTCCTGAGAAAAATCAGTGTGTACCAAGAAGATAATTCGGGTGCCATATTTTTATTTAAATAGTTATAAATAGTTACAAACTATGTAGTCAATTTTGTTGAAATTTCACAGTTAAATTTTTGTAGTTTTCAAAAAATGACATTCACATGACACATGTCCCTCCGACGCACAATTTCCAATTCCTTTTTTCTTTCTTTAACAAATCGAAATTTCTAACAATTGTCACATTTTTGTCAATTTCATTTCAACAAATAAACAACTTTCTAAGTACACACATTCACCCAGAACTCCCCATGTACACAAAATAAGATTAATAAGTATTAATTACCCAAATACAAAATACAGAAATAGCAGCAGGACGACAAGAAGAAAAAGATGCGAATTTAATTTATTACAATGTTTCATAAAATTTCTCTCTCTTCCTTTATTAAAAAATTGTTACTTTTCTTATACAAAAGTTAGGGAAATAATGGAATAAAAATCACACGTTTTTCGCAAGTCATTCAAATTACGGATTATAAATATTTCATATTTTGTAATTACTATTACCACTAATTGAATCATAGCTAATAAATTTAATAAGTGAATTGAGCATGAAGCTGTGTATACATGATGAAATAGTGATGTTGGTAACAATACCTACTCGTTCAACCATGGAGGAACTATTATGTAAATGCAGCATGCGAATGACACCTTGATTTTTGAAGTCATTAATAACTCATCCAAGCAGCAAACTCTGTGTAAAGAATGGGACGCATCTTTTCTTTGATGGAGCGTAGCGAAAAAAAATTGCAGGACGATTTGATTATTATAACATCTATCATATCCAAACCCACATTAGAAAGTTTGATTGAGCAGAAATATTGCCGGTAAGTGGATATTTAATAGTTAAATGTTTAAGCATTTATTTTTAGTTGCGGAGAGTCGTGGTTGTGGTTAGTTTGATTATTAATTAGTTAATAATAAATAAGTACGGATAGGTACCTAGATAAGTTAGTTAATGAATAAATTGGAAACTGAATTTTTATAAATTACTTATTATACAAATGCGTGTAAAATATGTATAAAATGCAGGAAATGTATGTCATCTTCCTGGAAATGTGGCAACTTGACGTCGTTGTTGATTTTGTAAATAAATTATCGAATCAAAATTTTCGGGAGGTGGGACTTCTTGTTCAATAAAAACAAATTTCATTAAATGATGCGAAACAAATTGCATGATTTCGGGCTCTATGAAATTATTTTAAATGTGAGGCTATAACCTGAATCAATTACATAGGTTCCAGGATGTTTTGGTATTTACTTAAGGTGTACGCACAAATATACCTATGTATACTATATTTAATTACCGATTTTATTCGTACCATACTTAATGAAGTTGAAAGAAAATACGGATATTGCACGAAAATATTTCCTGCAGTTTTATGTAATTCTCATGCATTATTCTTGTAAAATTCATTCCTAAGTCAGTTCTCACATTTCAATTTGAATAATAATTCTAGTAATAACTTAATCATCACGGATTATCATATACATACGTTACATTTCTGCTTATACATAAATTACATGATGAATGCAGTGGCATGTCTTGACCTATCCAGCAAATATGCAATTCGTGACATCCTCATCCCAAATTCCCAATACTTAATATTTATAATTGACAAGAAAAAGTGGAAAGTTTCAGTACATATCTAAATCTTTAAACATATCGTAAATTGCATATTCGACAACTTGCATCTAAAATTCGCAAACATTTAAACAGCAAAATCACCATTTCAACACATTCTCATCCCAAAAAGGAAAAGTTCTTCCTTCATTTCTCAATATTTCCATCATATCAATAATTTAATTACGATTTTTATCCCAGTCAGTGGCAGGTCTCTCATGCATAAAAACTGCGTAAACATCTTAATTACTATGCACTCCTGCAGAAACAAAAAAATACACCCACTGCAACAAATTAGCCATCTTTTGGCACTTGAGACGACATCATCATGCACTTCAAAAGATTCAAAAAGATAACGCATCACGATCGACATGTCATCATTATTATTATTACAGGATAACTTGTGAATTGAAAAATTTGAAATTTACACGTCCACATCTAATACATCAAGAAGATGGGACACTCCTCTTCTCTCTTGGCCGGAAGGAAGGAAGCAATTCAATTTATGTGCATGATGCATCACTATTTTAAAACCTGTACATATGCAAATATACATATGTACATACGAAGATGATGAGACGTCATATCTCACTCTGTGTTCAGATAGGAAGTGCGTTACTCATTTGCGAATTGCGTAATAAAAATGGTAATGAGAAGACCACGACGACTTCGTGCCTCACTGTTTAATATTTAATTGTGATGATAAGTATGGATGGATAGCAAGCATTTAAGCAACCAGTTTCATTTTCATGTATGCAGCAACTTCTGCTAGGCTTCTGTTACCAGTCTATGTATATCCGGTCAACTAATAAACATGCCATGGCCCACCCTCATCTTCTTATCGAATTATCAACAATTTTTCTTCATTACACAATAAAACTGAGCATGATATACAGTCGAAATAACGAAAAGTTATGCTAATCACAATTATAAATTTTGCGTTTATAATGGTAATTGGTAACTTAATAGGGCGCAATGCATCTTCAGCAGGTTTGGTCAGCCACTGACTGAGGATCGATGCCTATACTAATCGTTCCTCTATATCGTTTAAAATCTTCTTTTTTTCTGCGATACGATACGTGTAATCACATTTATTTGACAGGAACCATTTTTTTCTACTGAATGGGAAGAGGATGATGAAGATGTAAATATGAGGAAAACGAATGGCTTTAAGTTTTATAAAGCCGATGACGCTTCCGATTTTTTCATTCACTGTGATTCTTTGTTCCGGTGGAGGAAGTAGTAATAAAAAGATCGCCATCAAGGTGAAGGTGGTGCTATTGTGGTGCAATTAATTGAGTAATTAATTGATTAGTGACTAAATATTCGGGGATTTATTAGGAAATTAAGTGCGAGATTTTTTAAATCAAAATGAAGCCGTGTTTAGTGGTAAGATTGAATACTTTTGATAAGTGAATAGAGAACGATAAGAATAAATTGCTTATCGAGATTATCATGATTTCAGGTTTTTTCGCTCTTCGTCGTCTCTACGATGGCCCGACCTCAACAATCACAGTACGGAATATCTCGACCCCAACAATCACAAAGTGTCCAATTCGACGATGCCCTTAGCAGTTTGTCGCCATCATCGCCTCAATTTAGTCAATCTCAACAATTCAGTGGAGGAGCAATGATGGACCCTCACAGCCCCAAAGTTTATAAACACATCTCCATCCATGTCGCACCTCGCGACGAGTTTGAAGAAGAAATGCCCATGAAACGGGTCATTCGTCCGATGGAAAAACCAAACAAAATTGTCAACATCATCTTCGTAAAGGCTCCGAGTCACTCGTCCTCCGGCCAGACAGAAATCATCCTCCCAGCCCAGGCAGAAACTCGAACGGTCGTTTACGTCCTGCTCAAACGCCCCTCCGGGAACGATGCCAATGTCAAAATTCGTCAACCTAAACCAACCAAACCGTCGAAACCGGCCGTATTTTTCATCAAGTATGGTCAAGGTCAGCAAAGTGGTCAAGTTGGGGGTGGGTCAATAGACGACATTGCACAAAATACCATCCCCACCACAACCGGCAGCCAAAGTCAAAGTGGTGGTCAAAGTGGTCAAAGTGGTGGTGGTGGGTACGAGTAAATAATTAGCAACGTGCCATTTTTTTATCATTGTTGTTTTTTTCAGTATTTCTGTTACGTCTAATTTTATTACATTGTTATTCTTCCCGACTGTTGAAGTTTTTTTAATTTTATGAATATTTTGTGTAACAAACCTTGCCATTTTTTATGCAATTTTTTTTGCTGCCATTATGTTCCTTTTGTCACTCGAAGAATTTAAGTGGAGGTGCATGATCCGTGTGAGCTTAAACTTCTGTCAGTGTCGGTCGGTAGGTGTGTGAAATATGCTCTTTGAAAAATATGTCACAAGTTATCATCACACTTACCAATTCGATACGCGCTTATAAATATTTTCTATTCATGTCACATTATTATTACACTTTGTAAAGAGATGTGTTTTGAAATATTGTGACTCGCAGACGTTGCTCAAATCCTTTTCATTTCTCTCTCCGTTCTAAACTAAAGCCGATTACCAAATCAAAAACCATACGAACTGTTAGCTGTTGAGTGGTTTCGTTTGGTGCATATTCGAATTCGACAACGACGGCGACGACGTTGTTGTGCAAGCTGCGTCTTTTATTATTAAACCTGAGTGAGATGATATAATGCTTGCTAATTCTCCATTCCGTATTATTATTTTTTTTGCTATTGCAGACCTGTCCTCGTGCATTTATTGTGCTTGTTATCATCATCTTACGTGGTGATTGTATCAGTATTGAGATGCAATGTGGTAGCAAATTTGTGCAATATTTCTCAACATGTTTCTATCATTTGTTGGTCATTTGTTGGTCGGAGTATTGTTATCCGTCATATTTTTGTACAGAAATAGAGGTTAAGATAAACGCTTGTAAGTATTTATGAAGCAATGAAGATAATAAAAATGTTTCTGTGTGTGGTTAAAACGCCGTTTAGATTATTGTATTTTGTTAAATATTTAACTTGAACTCGACCAAGATCAGTCAAGAATCTGATCCCGTATTTTGAAGTTGGAAATTATGACAATGAATTATTGCAACATTTTCAAAAAAATTAATTAAAATCATTTACAAAATATTACTAAAATTTTCTTATTTTTATTTCCACCAGAGAATTTTTACATACCGTTGAACGAAACATTATTAAATGCTTATGAAAACTTAAATTAAATAGATAAGCACCAAATCACCCCCAATTACCCACCCATTCACCATATTGAAGATATCCCCAAATAATTGATTAATGGTGAAATTTCTGCAGCAATTTTCCAAACCCGTCGCGAATAAAGAACGAGTCAATCGCATGCCCAACGCTGCGACAAGGTCTGAACTTGCAGGAGCCGTAGTGGTCAAAGTCAGTCCTCTGTCTGGCGGTTTGGTATTGATTATTGAAGGGTGGATATCTCGGGTAGTAATTCGGCCTGTAGTACTGCTGCTGCTGCTGGTTGTAAAAATTGTTATTATTTGATGGATACCATGCTCGCCCTCCATTGTCGTTGTAATTGGCATGTCCGTGGAACAAGTGGTTGAAAAATCGGGAAAACTTGTTGGCAATTTTGTTAATTTTCTTCTCAAAGAAAAAGGGAAGATGGTGCGGGGTCCGGTTCGAACCAGGGGACGATGACGATGATGATGGTGGCGACATTGTCGTTGATGTCGTCGTCGTCGTAGGTTGTGGCGTTGTCTCGGTGGGAGGATTATTGGCGAAATTGTTGGGGGCGTTGTGGTAGTGGTGCTGAGTTTCAGTGGGTGGACTGAATTCTGGAGAAATGTAGAGCTCTGGGGATGAAGAATGGACAGGAATTTGATGGTGGGGCTGTTGTTGGGGGTAATTGTTTTCTTGATGGATTTGGTTCTGTTGGGGGATGTAGAGCTGTGGGGATGAAGAATGAACAGGAATTTGGTGGGGTTGTTGATGGGGGTAATTGTTTTCTTGATGAATTTGGTGTTGTTGGGGGTAATTGCTGTCTTGCTGATGATGTGACGTGACGGCTAGTACTTGTTGGTTGGCAGGATCGTGGAGATGTTGCTGGTAGTGGTGGAGTTGGTGTGGGTGTGGATGCGCGTTAGGATGCAGGTACGAATGTGGGGGTGTTTTTATTCCTTGAGACGTCTGGATTGTCAAGACGAGAAGGAGAAAAATCCCTAAAACTATCCGAGATCGTGGTAGGAATTCCATTTTTCTTATCTTAAGAAAACTAGTTACTAATTAGAAAACCGGAAATGAAACCTTTATTAAGAGAACGGTCCAGCGTCTCCTCGTCATTCAAGAAATCTTCTCCTCGACTGAATCTCACCTTCCTGAAATTCATCTTTATTTATAGATACATAAAAATTCGGCATTTCGGAGTGATTTACGACCCATCATCAGTTACTGCTATGATAATAAGTATCGCGTACCTACCCGCAATAGAACTAACTTATTAGCTACCTAAGTATTTTTATTCCATTTGTTATACCTGCCTCACACAATGGTCATGGTTTACTACTTTTTCGGTGTATGTATTGAACCCCCAGCTGCAAATTTGTCAATTGTTTGCGAATTTATCAATCTCATCCGTTAACAATAAATCGTCTAGAAAAAAGATCATGCCACGCCGAAGCCACGCACCTCGCCGTCTTCCTTTTCATTAAGAAACGGTATTACATACATTCATCGCTACGTATTTATTTCGGAATCGGGGGAACCGACCGACAACAAAAAAAATCGTGTAAATGATTACATCACGCCGACGAGTGGAAACAATGTCCATAATTGGTTCGTCTGACTTTCCTCTGTCTGTGCAAAAAAAATTCGCGATATAAATTTTTTTACCGGTCCAGGACTTCTGTCTGATTGTCTAGTAGATAAATTAAAAAATATATGAAATGCCGCAAGGTTTCCATTACATTTTTAATCACCTTCACCATTCATCATACTTAAATTAAATATTTTCTTGCAATACCGTCAACAATGACGATGCAGTCGACTACTGCAAATAATTTGGCAATGTATGTATTGTTTATGCATATTTCCCCGTAGGGCTATTATGGGCTATACATAGAATTTATATAATTAGTATTCTCCCAGCCCCCAGTTAATGTAATGTAATCTATTCACTTATCAGTCAACAGTGTCAAGTTGCACATTATTTATTGCCCAATAGTTTTTTTAACGTAATGATTTATTATTGTGATTAATTGGACATTGATCTGTAGTGCAATTTACTTGTTATTAGTATTCTTTTCACTGTGTAAATAGTTTGCGCAACTTTTAGCAATCTAATATTTTTAGCACTAGTATTGGCAAAATTTGTCTGTGTGTAATCTTTCATCTTTTATGTATAAGCACAGTTAGTTTAGCACATTTTGAGTATAAAGCCTTGAACTTGATTATTGCAAATCCAGGGTTATCCTAACAATTAATGTTTTTTTTAAAGTAATCTCATTTCCATAAAAGACTAATCCTAAATTTAGCAAAAGTGCATGCATATTGTTTTAATTATGACTTGCTATCTGATGTGCTTATACGACGATTGGTTGGCTAAAACTCATTAAGCGTTCAAGTTCGGCAAGATTTTAGCATGGATATTTACCAAGAAGTAAATAATACCAAACTCAACCGATATCCAGTCCAGTTCAAGTTCACACAAGTAGTAATGCATCCACACACTAATTAAACATCTAGTTAGTTAATGTCCAATTAGCATGGAAAGAAAGAAATTAAGAAATGAAGGTTATATTTATGTAGGAAAAAAAATTCAGAATAAATTGTAAAATTTTGATTTTTATCGTAAAATATATACAAAATTACAACAGATTTACATCAAAAATAGTAGAAAATGAGGAAGATGAGACGGAATTTTAGTCTTCTTTTGTCCTCCTCCATATACAAATCGTCCTCCCCATGAGGTAATTGTACCACACGAAACTCATCTGCACCGCGGACCCATCCGTCATTCCGGCCATCACGGACGAGTACAATTCGCATGCCGACAATTCGACGGGATTTTTTATCTCGTTGATAAAACCTGGCACGTCCACCCTCGGGATGTTGAGGTTCATGGCGGCGAAACCGTTAATGAGAACGTCTTCGAGTGGGATGAAGGGCAACTTTAGAGCTGGAATGGAATAAAAAAAATGTATATTTCATGAAATTTGCAGTAATTAAGACAAAATTAATGTACCTTCGTGAAAGAGCGGCCTCACAATCCCCATGCTCATGAGGTATGCAGGACCGGAAGTAAAATCAGGATATGGAATATCTCTCGGGTAAATGTCATACTTCAAGTGATGTTTATGACTCTCATTTCGTTTGGGGAGGTGACCACTGAACACGTGGCCGTAAATTTTAGGCTGTTGTTCATCGTCATCCTACAATTTAAAAATAAATAAGGTTAGACAATCTTGCCATGATGGAATTTATAGTGAATTGCACACCTTGATTGTCTCGATGAAATCCAAAATCTTTGGAATATTAAGAAACATATCATCATCGGTTTTTAAAAAGTATCGAGCCTTCATACAGTACGTGGAGGCCCAGTCCAACATGTGCAAAGTTTTCAGGGTAAGTCTTCGATAAGTGTCGGCAAAGCTGCCGATTATGAAGTCTTGATATAAATCAATCTCTTCTGCCAAGGCGTGTCGCATACTTTCGTTAAACTGAGAAAGTAATGCGTCTCCTAAAAAAATGCAATTATTAAATCAGGTCTCGAAATACAAGCCAGACCGTTTTCGTACCTACGACAAAGGCAAACTGGACATCGTCCCGTTGACCGTAATGACCCCACGTCAACCTGACATTGCTCCTATGTTGGAAATTATCTATGGCTGACGTCACTAATATCAAAAGTGTGAGATTCTTCTTCCTCCTCTCGCACAAGTCTTCGTTCACATGGGAAAAGTTTCCAGTGTAATATCGCTTCACGAATAAATGTTCGGGAACGTCACTCCAATCGGTCACGTGTTTTGAAGTTTTTCCCGATTCTTTCAGAGTTGAAGAGAAAGCCGAAGGGATCGTGATGGAGGACGTTTGCGGGGGCAGGACTGATTTGTAGGAACGCTCCGTCGTCAACGTGGGGAAAGGGGTCGAGGTCATTACTGGCTTTAAGAGTGTGGCCGTTAAGAGATTCGACGGCGGAGGAGATTCTTCGTCAGGTTGTGAAAGAGATCTCTTTTTTAGGCGAATTCTGCTCTCTGAATATTCAAGCGGAGGGGATGAGGCTGGATAAGAGGCTGGAGATTTAAGAATTTTGGAATAAATTTTACCAATTTCTGCATGCGATAGGTGATAAGTACTTACATAAGGGATTGTTCTTCCCATCCCCGTAAAAAGAGAGATTAATCTGAATAGCGGAGTGTAACACGACGACCAATATGATCACTGATCCTACCACTAACTGCTTAAAATATTGAACACTACAGGCCATTATGATAACTTTGGTTTGGGTTATCAAAACAATTAAGTCAAAATTCACAGTAAACTATGTGATAATTGAGATTGTTGTTGTGCACCAATTAAGGATTCGTAAGTAAATTCAGAACTGTGGCAATCGCACCCTCTTGGAATCATGACTTATCCAGAGAAATTTGAATCTTTGACATTTATAAAGATTTCAGATGGTTGATTACTTTTTCAAGAATTTTCCAAAAATTAATGAAAAATGCAGTTTTTGCACTAATTCACAATTCAGGTGCACCTTTTTGAATGGCCAATTATTTCCAATCTATGAAAACTGAACCCGCATGGCTGCGTCCCCCAATGTTTGATCGTAACAACGCTACCTGGTTCCAAGATGTGGACATCATATACTTATCCATCCTTGAAATGATGACCAAATCGTTTAACGCTAATGAAATCACGGCAAAAGCATTGAATCTGCTTCATTATCACGCTCTCTTCATAATCGGGTTATTCTGTATTACCTTATTATTCTCTCCTGTCATGTTAATTACACTATTTACTTATGATGATGATGCCTCCTCTCGCCAGTCTTGCTTTTGGATTGTTAATTCATTCCTGCTTCAAATAAGTAATTACAAATTCATACCCGTCGTCGTCCACATCTTTGCCAATTTTATGAGACTCTACTTTTTCCATTGCATCCTCATTTCATTTCATAAATTTAATTTACTTATTTACCGTCCGTCTGCCGCATACATCATGAAAATGAAAAGAAACAAACAAAGAAGGTGGCGTAATTTCGAGTAGCGAAATATATGCAGTGCAAAATATGCCAGTGGATCGAGCGTAATTTACTATTTTTAAAAGTTCACAACATACATAGGCATATCCTGGTTTATTTCCATTTCAGAATATCTTGATGATTTTAGTGGCCTTGATAAAATTAAACCGTTCTGGACCTTGTATGATGTCTTGAACAATGAAACCGCATTTGTGTCCACGTGTTTGAAGACGACATGCTCATGGTAGAAAATTCTACGTCACGGTTTTTCTAATCTACGGGAAAGTCCTGCAACTTTAAATGGTAAATAGTCAAGCATTAATTAAGCGTATTATTATTCAGCCAGGTTGACCGGCTCGCATGTAAATATTTCGAAATGATTCCGAGTCGAAATAGACGATGACGTGGGGGTGTGAACCCATTAAATTCTCATCTTATTGCCTTCAACAAATCAGGCAAGATGTCAATATTTTCCATTATGTGCTGCATGTCGTGGTCCGTCGGATGTGAAACTGATGGATGTGAGGTAACAATAACGAGACTAGATCGAGAATGTTGCAATTGTGAGACTGAGACTGAATTATTCACTAGTTTTGCTCAGAAGCCGCTTTCAACCGCTTTCAAAAGGGGTGTAGAACATCAATTAGTTGAATTTGTGATGAGCCATCGTCTTAATATGCATACATATAAAATAGCCATTCGTCGTTTGTCTGGCTGCATATTTGTTAATGAGGACTTTTGGCTATCTTGGTCTTATCAGAGTTGCACGATTTCTTCCACACACACTAGAGACGTGACTCATTCATTCATAAGATGGAATTTACTTGCGAGTGGTCTAGGAAGAAATGGTGACAAATACTAGAATTATTTTTGGGCAATTAACAATCTTATCTTTTTTGAGGCAAATGAATGAATGATGTGTTGATGTGTCATCACGTGGACTAATTGAGACGGGTGCACCTTGAAAATTATATTTTCTCACATTTCCCAAGTATGAAGAAATGGAAGTATGCTTATCAATTTATTCGTTATATAATTCCAGCTTTATTTCAATTTCCAACACTAAACACAACCTTTATAGATTTACATAAAATTGGCATACGCACATACTTATTCCGTAATTCTAGATCAAGAATAATTATTTTTTGTCACGTTTCATTCTTCTAATGCGTTTCATTTCCTAGTATTTAATGTAATATTATGGGAAAACGCCTTTAGAACAAAATTCATGATAATTATTTCTAACCATGAATTCGACTTATATAACTCATTTCGTATTGTCAATAATGAAATTCTTAGGATCATCAAGTACACAAACTGTCAAAACTTTTGCGTTGGTGGTCAATTAATGCATGCAAACACCTCAAAAAAGCCGGATATCAATACAAATGTGAATAATTAATCATTCTGCGTTCTATAAAATAACCCGCATCTACTTAATTGCATCAGAAATTTATACACCTTCTTGTCCACCCTTTGATAATATCATATTGAATCATGTCCATAATTTGCAAAATCATGGTGTGGGGAAGAAAAGTATGAGTGAGATTTGACGGGTGCATTGATATGGTGGTCGCGTAGTACAAAGGAGTACGTCTGGGGCTATACCGGGAAATGTTTCCTTCGATGGAGACCGGGGTCACCAAATTTTTGCACTATACCGTTATTTCTCATTCCTACAATGGTCACTCTTCTCATTTTTGGGGTCGTACATCTCCCCGAAATAGAAGCAGTAACACCACCCCTGGATGCGGATCAGTCTTGTAAGTTTTACGTCCCAAATAATAATTTTCTCTCTAAATTCTGATAATTCCCACACAGGGGTTGCCTTACCGGGCTGTACTTTGGGAAAGACACTCGCTGTTATGTCCCCCCCTCCGGGGAAGACCACACAAAATTGCCACTGTTGGGGTTTTAGTGGCTACATTTGCGAACCCGTACCAAGTAATACAGTAAATAATTGCCAAGCAAAATTAGCGTGTTTTTTATGCTTACTTTTCATATTCGCGTTTACTTTTCCAGTCACGCTATGTCCTTATGGACCTACATTTCAAAACAGAGCGACACCTCAAACATGCACCTGCACTACTCCGACTTCTACCAGCGTTTATACGTGTGCTTAAAATTTGTTGTTGAATTTAATAAAGTATTATAATGACCGTAAATTTGCATAATAATTAAAAACCATGCTTTGCGTATTGCATAAGAATTACATGAGACCAATTCCATCGTCCCCTGGACAAGAGTGGAAAGCTCAAATCCGGGCGTAGTTCTAATTCTGTTTTATCTCATACCGATTTGTCATTTGTTTCACATTTCTTTAAAAAAAAGTTCGGAAACTTTTATAGTTTCCGAAACAAGGATCCTTTCTCAGGGGAGTCATCATGAGTTTGCTGGGAATTATGGGGAGTGGCCACCTCTACAGGTTGGGATGCACAGGAGCGCTTAATGCGGCCAAGATTTTGGCTGCCAATCCAGGTAATAATTTAATTTAATTGTGCTTAGTTTAAGTGAAATAACTTGCAATTTCGATTTATGATGAATTTATTTGTCTATTTCAGGACAAACATCTACCGCCACATTGCCCTCATACGCCAATGGGTCAGGTCACGTATTTACGGCAAAGTATTTACATACCTTGCAACAAAATAAGAAGAACAATAATTTGGGGAACATTACGTCCTCTGTCGCGATAAGCAAATCAATCATCAAAAGTCGAGCCATGTCAGCAACCGGAGATCATGTCAAGTTGTGGTCAGCGGAACGTATCGTGTCAGCAAGTTTGATCCCCATCATCCCCTTGGCGTTAGTCATGCCGTGCGCTCCGTTAGATTACCTGCTCGCGTTCGGACTTACGGTTCACTCTCATTGGTATGTTTAAACAGTTGATGAAAATAATTAATAAAAAAACTTGATAAGCACAACTTATCGGTATTTTAATTTCTAGGGGAATCGAAGCCATCGTCCACGACTATGTTCGACCCTCAATTTTTGGTGAAACCATCCCCAAAATATCTATCGCCTTGGTCTACGGTTTAAGCGCTATGACTCTCGGGGGATTGTTCTACTTTATCTATTCCGATGTCGGAATTGGTCAAGGTGTCCGGATGCTGTGGAAGTTGTAGAGAAAGAAGCTAGTGCTCCGTGCTAATGTTACTATTAGTATGTAAAGTAAAAGTCATCCATTTGTTGCTCCCATATGTAAACACAATAGAGAGAAAGTATTTAAAAATTGGTCTCTGATTCTTGCCTAACAAAAGAATGTAGCTTTTCAGATCAGATTTAGTCATGAAAATCTTCCGTTTCCCATGTGGAGCATTCACTATTATTACACAAAAATTGGAGTACCTACTGCAATTATGTGAATAAATAAATGTTACGTCAAACAAAATCAGTAGGACGTAATTCTTTCATTCTTCACGTAAACTCAGTCACTTATCGACCATTATGTTCAGAGATTTCTTTACAAAATCCTTGCGGTTCTACGAGCGTCATATGTTCCACATTTTTTCATGGAATCATCCAAAAAACCTGAGTCAACTTATTGCACATTTGCGAATAATGGACACAATGGCTTCGACACATGTGTTCATATTTGTCAATATACAAACTCTGGCAATTATTTTAATAACTTTCCTATTTAATGTATGAAAAAAAAGATTGAGGTATCCAACTATCCACCACCTACTTAGGACTGCTCGTATTTATAAAAGTCAGAGGAAAAGCGATGTAAATTTCTGCTAATAAATTAGATCATCCTCGGTGTCGCTTGCGATCACAATTTAGTTACCGATTTGATATTGAACTTGGAGGACACAAAACGACAGGATTTGGATTTCATTTATTTTGCGCTATTATTTCTGGTACATTTTTTTAAAACAAATTGTGGAAAAATTTGTGATAAATCTAACTCTAAATTTTTATTTTTTTACATATAGAAATATTGACACCATGAATCTGCCAATTATCAGTGTCGTGGCATTGTCATGCATTTTAGTTGTCACTGCAAGTCCACTCGTTTCCAGACCCCATAACTCTCACGATAGCAGTGAAAGCAACAGCGGAGAAAGCAGTGAAGAACAACTTCACCAAAAATTACCAAGCACTACGACACGCCGCCCCACAACGACGACGCGATCGACGTCAACGACACGCCCAACCTCGACGACGACACGTCCCACGACTTCTGCCCAAATTGTTACCACTTCCACCACCACCAGCCGACCCATAGTTAACAGTCTGACCGATATTTTAAACGGAAATTGTCCAAGTGGCATGGTTTTCTCGGCGCTTGCTGGAGATTGTGTTTCTGTCTTCGGTGGTGGGAGTGGAATTGGACGATAATAATTTATGACAGAAATAAAAATATATTTATCATAATTTGCGTAGTTATTATCATTTCCACAAAAATTTTACCTGTACCTGAATGATTGGGTACAAAATCGGGTATATCATCTCAATATTCACAACCGGTACGAAAGTTATGCATTGCTATCAAAATCAAATGATCCTTATGCAATAATTATAAATACAACACCAAAAGTGCACTTATCAACAAAATTTAAGACTCAACGAAGGATAATTTCCCGATAACCAGATCAAACAAGCGTTCGAGATAAAAATCAAATCATTAAATCATTACATTCTGACATTGACTGACCAAATCACTTCATTCATATGAAATACACATAGTAAACCAATATTTTCATTTTTTTAGAAGACACGACATGCAACTGTGCTGCAAATTATCTGCGTGGACTAGATTCATGTATGAATCGGATATCAGTGTCGATAATATTTAACAACTGCACAATACGGTAAATATTATTACGGACGATCGACTGACAAAAGAATGTTGCACGCGTTTTAATCGATCCATCCATCGACTCATCCTGGCTTGTTGCACTGAATTGATACAACTTTAATGATTAATGACCACTACTCATTCCTATTTCTGTTGTGCTTCGTCAAATGTCAAAATCACCCAGGTCCAACTTTTGCAAAACAAACTTACAAGCAATTTTCATGGGTAAAACCTCGTCGTTTTCCGTACTCCACTTCAGTAGCATACTTACTTATACCATACAAACTTTTCACAAATATATACTCTTCTACTTACGTTAACACAAAATATACAGGATCCACGGTTAACACCAACGCGCTGTATTTTTTACACGGTGCGTTTTTTATAAACATTTCCCGAATGCTTCTCTGATTAGTTCGACTTTGATTCTGTTCTGTCTGTGATTCATTCATTACACAATATGCATGTTGTTCATCTTATTATAACACGAGTGGAAAACAGTTGTAAAATGTGATTTTATTAGAAACACGGCACATTTAGAACGGATCTTTTTGATTTTGGTTTGACAGCGGTTGGCTTTTAATACGTACATAAATCACATTAAAATACTCAAGAAATACTCCAGTTCACTCATGGAATCGAACAAAGTTCACGATGTCACGATGACAAGTGGGGACGTTGAAGAGGAAAATGATGGCGTATTAAAAGTAAGTCATACATAAAAAATAATCCAATTATTTACATAAATTTGAATATTCTCGTTCGTTTGGTAGGACGCTGTCCTTGGCTTTTTGGGAAGTTTTAATTCATACGCGACCAAAAAGACGGCTGGTCAAGGGCTCCTGGATTTTGCCCTGTTGGCCGCAAATATTTCGAAGCTACAGGATTTATTCAGGAGAAAGCGACGCGATGCGGTTTTTTACGTGCTGACCACGATTATCTGCGTTTCCATTGCGTTACAGGTAGAAAATGTGTAGATAATTTTAATACATGGCTGTGTTCTGAAAAATTTAATTAGCAAATAATTTTTTGCATGTTTTAGCTAATTGTGGGCGTCATGATGGCTGTTATTGGAAAGATGAATCTCAAAACGGAGGAGAATAGGAAAAAGGCTAATTTTCTTAATAACGTCATCACCGTTCTGCTATCGGTTATCACTTTTGTTAACATTATCATCTCCGTGACCGATGTGTCCGCTGGGGATTAGGAGGAACATTACCAAAAATATAGATATTATTTCCCAGTTAGTTAATTGCTATTAAATAGTATATATCTTCCGGTTTTGTATAACATATGAATGTTGTAGGAATCTTATGCAATTTGTAAGAAGAATTTTTATTTGACAGAATTTGACGTGCTATTTACCAGCTTAAATCTTCAGTCCATTTAATTACTTCATTAAGTATAATTTTGACAATGTCAACTAAATTGCGAATACGTACACTTGTTATTTTAATTAATTTAATAAAACCGTATTTAATATTCATTAAGGAAGTGTTTTTCATGACAGTATTGTAAATCTATGTATGTACCATAAAAAAGGATATATTGCAATTAAATACTTTCTTCCACTGAATGCACAATTTTTGAGTTAAAATTTGCAACTCCATGTGTATATGTATATTAATTACAATTCATGAAATTTCACTCTTACGAGTTTGCAGGAGTTTGCAAACCAACTTTTGCCTTGCTACATTTTTGCCACTGACAAACTGTCACCGAATTTCCTACTGAGTAACTCCACGAGATATGGTAATGAAGGTGATTCGAAAAATCGAGTTTTTTGAAATCCTTCTAGCATGTGTTGGGGGACCATAAAAGATGGTCAAAAACCGTTGTCCGCGATTTTTGAAAATTTCGATGGGGGCGGTAGGAGGGGGAGTGGTTTTTGTTGAGATCCCACTTCTAGTCAGCGGTTATTGCACCTAGGGACTCCAAATTTTGCACACACATACCTTGGGAAAACCAAATCGCGGCTAAATTGCCCTAATTTTGAAATAAGGTCATGGTGACCGTGTGTAGGTCAAAAGGCGCGATACCTTAGATTCGTCTGAATATCGTCATGTGGGGTATCGTTTTAAAGCTAATGATGGTACGAATGCTTGGGAATCAATAGCGCACCCCCTCGACCTCAGCGGAAGGTCATAGCGCCGTTTTAAGGTCAATATAAACATTTTTTTATTTTAGTTTTATTTTTTTAGTATTTGTTGTTTGCGCACATACAAAACTGTTAGAATGAAGCATTGAGTCTACGATGTGTGCAATTAATGTATAATGCAGTGTTATGAATCATTGTCATTTTGTAGTTGTCGCGATTTAAGTTCGACATTAATTTTTTTGGCTCGCATGAATTGTTTTGTTTGAAATACTTGCATAGCTATACTCTACTTGTACGCATCATTCAAGCGTTTGTACTCAACAAATTCACGAAAAATTTATTTATTGTGCATAAAATTTCAAGTTTTTATTATATCTTGTATTTGTTTGTTTTTGTATTTTTGTTCCTGATAAGCAGTATTGCTATCCCAATACACCTGAATGAAATGTGTAAATATGTATTGACTACATAAATATATTAATTACTAATTTTCTCAATTTGCGTGCTTACATAATGTTTTGCTTGAACTCCGTGGAAAATTGACAGCTTTGGCCGCAATTTTGAACTCGAGGCTGACTGATATTTCGACGACCTCATTTGCAACTGTTTCATTTCTATCTTTTATATCCTCGGCAGTTTCCTTCACCTCAACTAAAATTTGATTGAGAAGGTCTTATGTTATGTTTAATCACTATGCCCATGGATTTCCTATCGGTCAAACGTATGTGGAGAAATTTTCTTGATTAATATGTGTAAGAACAAATACAAGATATAACAAGATATAATAAAAACTTGAAATTTTATGCACAATAAATAAATTTTTCGTGAATTTGTTGAGTACAAACGCTTGAATGATGCGTACAAGTAGAGTATAGCTATGCAAGTATTTCAAACAAAACAATTCATGCGAGCCAAAAAAATTAATGTCGAACTTAAATCGCGACAACTACAAAATGACAATGATTCATAACACTGCATTATACATTAATTGCACACATCGTAGACTCAATGCTTCATTCTAACAGTTTTGTATGTGCGCAAACAACAAATACTAAAAAAATAAAACTAAAATAAAAAAATGTTTATATTGACCTTAAAACGGCGCTATGACCTTCCGCTGAGGTCGAGGGGGTGCGCTATTGATTCCCAAGCATTCGTACCATCATTAGCTTTAAAACGATACCCCACATGACGATATTCAGACGAATCTAAGGTATCGCGCCTTTTGACCTACACACGGTCACCATGACCTTATTTCAAAATTAGGGCAATTTAGCCGCGATTTGGTTTTCCCAAGGTATGTGTGTGCAAAATTTGGAGTCCCTAGGTGCAATAACCGCTGACTAGAAGTGGGATCTCAACAAAAACCACTCCCCCTCCTACCGCCCCCATCGAAATTTTCAAAAATCGCGGACAACGGTTTTTGACCATCTTTTATGGTCCCCCAACACATGCTAGAAGGATTTCAAAAAACTCGATTTTTCGAATCACCTTCATTACCATATCTCGTGGAGTTACCCTACTTTACATTAATAATTTTCATGTTACAACGTTAGTTAACATTCATGCATGCATCATACACAAAATGCAATAAAATCACTTACTAAATTGATAACTTTTCACGGGGAATTTATGCAAAATGTATGAAATTCCGAATTTCATATATTTTTGCATAAATCCTTGATAAAAACGCATCCTACTTTTTACCCCGTCAAACCGGGAATGCACTTTGTATGTGCACTCTTCTTTCACACTTTCACACTGCACTAGAAATTTCCAAAATTAGTCAGTTAATTCAAAATGTTGCGACGAACTTCCCTTGGGGAACAGGAAGTGGTCAACTTCATCATTCACAAATGTAAGGAGGCCGAGGTCACAAATCCTTACGAGGCGAAAGCTTGGCTTCTTACCGGAAGTCGGCTAACTTCGACAGCTAATTTTCTCCTACAGGTAACTAATTTTCCTAGATGATTGTTAAATACGGGTCGCTAAATTTAATGATTATCATGCTATTCATTCCAGTACGAAGCTTACCAATTAGAGAAGCGACTTAAAAATGTGGACGGCACGGCATACGCTTTCGATCAATTGTACGACTAAAAGTATAATAATTTAGACGAATGAGCATGTTTTCAATTAAATTTTGTCAAATTCAGGTTTCGTAAGTTTGGGAACCACATTAAAGAGGATATCAGCGAAATGACGAATGCCGTCAGAATTTCCACGCTGTCAAAAGGAAAAGAAACACTGGATCAGCAATTTCTAAATAGCGTGTTTCAATCATTGTCCAAAGGTATTTAAAAAGTTATCATTTTGCATTAATCATCATAAAGGAATAAATATTTAGAAAGTATTTATTTAACTTTTAGAAACTCAAATGGAAATTCTAATCCAATGCACGGAATTTGCTCATATTTTGTTTGACAAGTGTCAGACCATGCTTCTTCTTGTGAAATTATTTCCTGACACGATAAATCAAAAGAATGGGGTTGGTATTCATTCATCCAGAATTTCCAACATTTTATATTTTGATCAAGTTAATTTTTTTGTAGGAAATGCTGTTCACATTATTATCTTCATCGGATGAATCAGATGCATTTTCCACATTTCGAAAAATGCTCGTCGTAGAATTGGTGCCTGCTGTTTTGCAATTGAGTCCAAATTTGACCCCGTCTCCCCGTTTCGTAATACTTTTGAATCAATGTATCGAGTATTATGTGATTGCACAACAGCACAGTGACACCTTGGGGGATGACAGGTCTGTTTATTTACTATGATTTTATACATACATTTTGGAATTTTGTGACTTATTCAAGTATTAATGAGCAGATGGGAAAAATTGTTTCAAATCACTGATCAAATTGGGGGAGCATTACAGTGGAGCATATCTCCATTTTTTCAAAGCGTTTCTCATTCATCATCAGGAACAAATAGTTTGGAATCTTTATATCAAGCACTACAACTTGGATTTCAACATAGAAATCATTATTCCACCACGGAATTGGCGTATATTACCGTTGTCGTTTTCCTCCGGTGTATTGTGGAGTATTACGAATTACTTAGAAATAGTTCTACGTTTGGTAATACATATATAACAGACTTGTAAAAATGCATTTATTCGTTTGCTAATATTTTTGGTATTCCAATTTCAGGAGGAAAAGCAAAGCTCGTTCTGGTCGAAGTATTTTCACCACGACCCCATATGAATATAAATATAGACCCAAATCTGCCCATTTTGGCCAGTGTGTCCCCCTCAGTTAGTGGAAATCAGAGTCAAATCATTCAACACTTGTTGACTTCTATCAAAATTTGGGAGATGGTCAGGTTAGTTTTATTAATATTCTAATTACTTTTACAAGATTTTACAAATTCGTAAATTTGTGAATTTTAGTACCCTGAAAGGCGAACACATTGAGAAAGAATTTTTTGAGATATTGTACTCCATGAAATCTCTTAATCTTCACAACTGGGATGTTTTTAAAGAGTTCCAATCAGATTATTCAACCTATTGTGGGCAATATTTTCAACAGAATGTTGGGAATATGCAAAGTTCACTCAAAATCGCGTCCATGTATTGTTCGTTGAACAATTTTAAGGTAAACGATATATAATTACAACTCTTATTTTATTATTGTGGATTTTACGAGTTTGTAATGACACATATTGTGGTTTTTAGTCGGCTGCAGAGTTCTGTATTAAAAGTGTGGCTGAAGCTGTTCAAAAAGATGGCGATTTTGGAAACGGAAGCAGAGAAGACTTTAGTTTTTACAACCCACAGGTTTACAACACTGACATAAAAGGAAACTTCATTTTTCAAAGGAGGGTCCATTTCCTTTCTGATAATCGAGCAGAAGTCTTAGGATATGCTGCCAATATTCTTATTCGTTGTTTTCACGTATGTCAACTATTGTCAACATCTTTTCTTATTATTTATTGTACCACAAACCTTGCGCTAAAATGAATTTTATGCAATACTATACATATTTTGCACAGGAGTCGATCGATGCTGCCAAGGATGATAGATGCATTGGTCATTTGCTAATATTGCTACAACTTGAATGGCCTTCTGGCCCTGCGGAACTAATTTTTACCCATATTTTGGAAACGATAAAACGAAACGGCTCCTTCCGATATTTCCCATTCTTCTCTGAATTTGTTATCGAGCCCGATTTTCTCGAGACATTCATGTCTATTTCTAACCATCAAAATAAAGCTGTTAAATTGGAGTTATTTCCAGCTGCGGCATCATCATCTGGGTAAATCATTGACAACTTATCAGATAATTAATACCCAATGCTGACATTTAACAAAATAACCTTTTTACAGAAGGCGAATTGGTACTAGAGGAGTCGAGAAAGGATCCAAGACTGAATTCAGAAGTTCTATGAAACGACAAATGATGAAAAATGGAAGCCAAAATTTGGAAAGTTTAATAGCTAGGTTTTTAAACGAAAATGAAATAGATATTTTAAATTGTTTTGATGATTACTAAACACTTGTATAATTGTTAAAGGTAATGTGTAATGAAAAACGTGTTTAAAAAAAGTGAAAAAAGTGTGAAAAAAGTATTTTATTTAGTAAGACAAAATGCACAATTTTAAGTAATTTATTTCACTAAATTTTTACTGAGATAATTGTGACTTGGGTACAAATTTTTAATTAATAAACAGATTATAATTATGTAAATGACATAGCAAAAAATAATTACTGTTCAGATTGATCAAAGCAATCATAAAGCTGAAACTTTCCAGCGAATAATAATATTTGGCTACAAAGGACCTTTGTAGAGGAGGTCCTATTTACGTTCGTTCCTAACATTTTTTAACGAAGATATAACAATAATTCAGTGCTGTTTTTTAAGTGGAATGCAATTTTGCTAACTATTAGTCCCGAATTTGGTTGTAGACCGGAATTGAAACTGCTGGCTCAGCATTCAATTCGTCCAGCCATGACATGACCGATGACGCGTCACTTTTTAGAGTTTCCGGAAGGGGGCCCGTCGTTTCCAATGTCATGGTCGATTTCTTCGGCTTATTTGCCAACGCAATTTGTTCTTCGAACGTGAGCTTTTGGTTTTGGATTCTCTTCATGGTCTCAGCCGCAGCGACTCCCATTTTCTGAATTGGCACTCTGGGATCCATGAGCGGAACTGAAAATCATGGGGCGTATAAAATATTATTCAAGTCATTGAAGTCTAATTAGCAGCACAATTAATTCAGTACCTCCGTCAGCCGGTTCCAGAAAGCCTTTCATATAGGCTTCACGTGCCTGGAAAAAATCCTTGCATTAGCATCGATTTTCAAATTGCTTTCTCTCTACACATTTTTATATTACCTCCATCAGGATAAGTTTAAGCGGATTCGGAGAATCCTTGTCATCTGGCGTACAGTTGATTACTGATTGCATGTCACGTGTCAAGTTGTGTATTTCTCGAAGTCCATAAGCACTTACCTGTCCAGATTACAAAATATAAATTGCAGATCGAAACATTAACAAATCCCCTAAATTAACTAATAATAAATAACAATACAAATGCATATAACGTCTCCTTCTCCTCCTTCGAGTCCAATTTGAAATCGACAATTTTCCTACAGCTCAGTAGAAAATGCCCCCAATCTTTCAATCCAAGTCGCTTGAAATCTACGTCATACCCTGCTCCGTTCCGGAACTGGCCTAATAATTAATAATAAAATATTATTCCAAACATACATAAAACATTCATTCTTACTCATTACGATCACATTTTAGTTAAACATACTTCGAACGTCTCGAACACGGACGCCACCCTTAGACACTAAAAGTGTCAATCGCAAGTCATTCTTACACTTTTCGTAGTATTCCTGATCATCATTTCCTAGAGTTGTTGGGTTGAAAGAGATCAACTAATAAACAAACAAATGCTATCAATTTTCTGAATTAAGTACTACCGTTAACTTTACAAGCAATTAGGCATACAAGGTACTTACATCGTTGAACTCCATGAGGCTGTATCGATCGGTGACCCTTCGTCCCGGCAGTGATCCGGAGGAGGAATTTGCCGCACCTCTCGCCCCTCCACCTCCACGACCTCCTCGACTCATCGTGCCCTTGATAAGTACTGACTCACTGATTTCTAGATGGTGGGTAAATAAGATACTTATCGTAAGGCTCAAGACTTACAATGGCAATGAGATAATCGATTGACTAGATTTTTATTAAAAGTTTCAGACAAGTGTCAGTGAACAGAAATAATAAACAAAAACTCACGAAATACGGTTAATTGTATTATTTGCACAGAATAGTGTAGTTATTATTGGCTTGGTTGACGTTTTTAGTACAAAAATTTAATCGGAATTAATTAATTGGAATTGCAACGTCATTCGTCACGTCAACGATGTTGTTTGTTTGCTATCAGATCAGCAAGCACCGGCTCTAAATACCCCGCATTTTTCCTTTGTCTCTTTAGCTTCACACAGGGCTTTCGAAAAATTGCATGCAGTTGCTCATTCTTCATTTGTGATTTTTGAAAAAAATAATTTAATACATTTTTTTTAAACTAATAATTAAAAAAAATAAAACATAACATCAATTTGCAATCGAAAATATTTCATGCTAAATGTCCACTTACATATTTGCTTACATATTTGGTGGAAAATAAAAAAATGTATTAAAAACACATTTCATGCAGAGAGCATCAGGATATTTCAGAGGGTACATTTTTTGCTACTAAATTATTATTATCCGTAGATACACCAAAACTAGCATATAGTGTGGATTTATATAAAGACAAACATCAGAGAAAGCTAAAATTGTTTAATTCGATGACTAATTTTGTACTTACATATGTACATACCTTGATTTATTTACGTAAAATTTCCGGAAACATCGTGCGCAAAATTTATTTGAATAAAATCATATCAACTCGTGTAAAGGATTGTATACAGGTCGTCCAACGTTATCATGATAATCATTCACCTTATCAACTTGTGTGTAAAATGTTAACACAAAATTCAACGAAACAGGGCTGCATGCATGTAATCTATTTAATCACTCCTACATATTCGTGAATCCACATTTGCATACCTCATTTGTTTAATTGTACTTGTGCTTTCACAATTATAAATATAATCTGCGTGCTCATGAACTCGGAATTGGACACATTGTCACATCCTCTCATTATTCTTGTGCTGGAATTATGTAAGCCCGACTCATGAACTAATTACTGGTTCAACTTGATGCAAGTTTGGCTATAAAAAGATGAGCTGAAACTGGAAGTCAAGAACAATTCAAATTACACCGACCTTTGCAAATTTGTATACAACCACTCTCTTACCTAATTTGAATTCAATGAATGCATAATAAATCAAGCAAGCAAAAAATGTATTAGACTTTGATGTCATACGATTTTCGTGCATAAAATAAATATCTGTATTGTACTGCTTTCACTTTTGACAAATTTTAATTTATTCAATTTTCCAGTTATTATTCCACTAAAAAATTGAAATACTATTTATTGTATACGAACTTTCGTATGAATACATACATCAAACTTCATCAGGCACAACAAGTTACTGAAAAATTGTTGACAATACGAACTTCAATACAAATCTTGAATTTTGTAAAAATGTAAATACAAAATTATATAATCATTGGATTACACGGAGTTTTTAGTGGAAAAATCGAAGAAAAAGTTTGCTTTATTTTGTCAATATTTCGAATGTTATCTGCCATTCATTATCAAGACATGTAGAAGATGAGAAATTTATGGATTTACAAAATTGTACATTTTTTTTAATTTCAAGATAATTTATGTATCTAAGAAAAATTATTTATATATGGAAAGGAAACTACAAAGGTTGAAAATCATAATGCTATTTATTGTTATTATGATTTTGTTAACTCAGTAAAAATTTTACATGAACCATTCATGAACGAAGTCAGCCTTTTTTTGCATACATAGTTCATGGTTTTCTGTGGCACAACTTATCATCGCATAAGCATGTAATTCTGTATCATCACTCGTACAAAATGTTCACTCTGGTTTACACTCTGGTTTATAGTTATGCATTATGGGTTTACAACAACTTCTGGTTAAAACAACTTGTAATATGAGGTTCGGTGAGTCACCTCGATGAGGATAGCCGAGCTGGACTGTGTGGCTGTGTTTTTTTGCCGGGTTGCCCATTTATTCCTGCTATTATTGCGTAAATTTTTGCATGACATTTAACTTTCCCCATGTCTCATGAACCTCTCATTTAGTCGCAACTACTGATGTTGAGCAGGATTCTAGTCCGGGCAAAAAGTCCTGTTTTGATGGGAATCGAGCGTGCACGCGCTCATCCCTACTTTTGCACGGATTCATATGAAATCTTGAACTTTGTCCTAGAGATGCGAAATTTGGCATGCACATGCACCAACATATGCTGCATCATAATACAACATCAATTCCCGTTCCGTTCGCTATAAATTTTTCAGGAAAAATCAAAAACCAAATGTCATCCCTATCATTTCTTGGTTTTTGATTGTTCCTGAAATATTTATAGCGAACGGAACGGGAATTGATGTTGTATTATGATGCAGCATTTGTTGGTGCATGTGCATGCCAAATTTCGCATCTCTAGGACAAAGTTGAAAATTTCACATGAATCCGTGCAAAAGTAGGGATGAGCGCGTGCACGCTCGATTCCGATCAAAACAGGACTTTTTGTCCGGACTAGAATCCTGCTCAACATCATGTATGTATGAAGTCAGAAGTGCAACTGTACCATACCGTTGTTTTAAAGACACCTACACGGCCTAGTGTTCATACCTACTATTACTTTGTTCCTACCGATCAGTATTGTCCCTAACCTTAAATATGTGTGTATGCATATTTATGTATGTAGTTCATGAAAAGATGACTATAAAAGCGATGGAAATCCGTCGAAGATCGCATTCGAATCAAGCACATCACATCATACACTTCCTGTACATTCAATATTTTTGAAAGGTAAACTTTTAAACTTTCTTTGTATTAAAAAAACGAGTTCAAAATTGAATTATTTATAATTTTTCTCTCACTTTTTCCAGTCCTTCCAAGAATCGAATCAAGCACATCACATCATACACTTTGATATCCCTTACTCCACATTCAATATTTTTGAACGGTAAAGTTTCAAACTTTCTGTGCATCCAAAAAACGAGTTCAAAATTTAATTATTTATAATTTTTCTTTCACTTTTTTCCAGTCCTTTTAAGAGACGATCGTAACCAATGGCTTTCATCAGCACTGGTTTTGGCAGCAGTGGGGTCATCGCCAAGATGTCGGCCTGGTTGGGCGTCTGGCCGAAACGAGGTTCTGATGACAGCTATCCACCACCCCCATGCCGAGGGTGCGGCCAAACCTCGCACTGTACGTGCAAATAAATGTACGAGGAGCAAATGTAGAATTTCATAGCAATTTGTTATTCTTGAACTGAAAATTTGATCTTTAATTTTAATTTTCAAAATGCATACATTTAAATTTTTTACACTCTAAATTCTTATAAAAGTGACGCTATAAGAAGACGAAAGAAATGTAATAATAATAAAAATACATATTTTTTAAATATCTTTAAGATCAATATGGCATGACTGGCTTTCACTTTGAATTTCAAACTTAATTTTCGATGGGCTTTGTTGCAGAAATTAAATTAATTCATTTTCATAAGTGAAAGTCACAAGGAAATTCATTAAGAAATTTTACATATGTATGTAATGTACAGATTGTCATAATCATGCTTCATGACAAATTATTTTCTAGTTTTGAGCATAAATTTAAAAATATTTAAAATTAATTTCTACAAGGTTAATTATCAAATTTTAAAGCAGTCAATTCCATGAAATTTATTAGTGACCATGAAAAAGCATCATGATGACAACCAGCGGCGTAGCCAAGGGGGGGGCTAGGGGGGCTTGAGCCCCCCCCCCAGAGCCCGAGAAAATAAAAAAAATACTTGCAAAAAATTGCAAAAAAATAAAAAAAAAATTAAAAAATTAAAAGTAAGTTACGCATAAAGTTATATGTTACACATTTTCGTTATTACTTCGTACCCTTAGTATCTTTGTATCGAAAAATAAATTACGACAGCTAAGAGATTCTAAAAGAGTCGTAAAACTGTACTAAAAAAATCACGTTAATAACAATACGTTTATAAGTAAGCACCAAATGGTTTTCTACGATTTGAATCGGACGAATTTTAAATTGTTGACGCACAAAAATGAAAATATATACAGTTTTGCATTTTCATAGATGCAAGTATTTACCCCTGTAGCGGAATTTTTAACCAAAATCAAAATCATTCAAAATTCAATAACTTTTTCAATTGTAAACTGATTTCAGAAATTAATGAACATTATAAGAAAACTTTCCTTTCAAAAACTTGTTAAAAAGCTAAAATAAGTTAAAAAGTTAAACAATGTTAAAAAGTTTGATATTCTCTGTATTGTTCAAATTTCCAAGGTGGTATGCAAATTTCAAATTTTAAAAGTTAGTAGTAAAGTATTTTTTGTGTTTAACATTGGTAATCGGGTTAAAATTGGAAAAGTTACAGCGTTTCGAAAAATCCTCATTTTTGTTAAAAATTCAGGCAAAGGGGAAACTACGCACATTCAAGAAAACCCAAAAAAGATAGACCCACTTATTGCTGCACACGAACTGTTTAAAATTTGTCCTGTCAAAATCGGAGGAAGCCAGTTCAGGTCTCACCATTATAAGCTTACCGGTTTTATGAAGCTTGATGCTTCGCTTTTGATTTCTATGGTATTTTACGATACTAAGGATGCGAAGATAAATCTGTATCCCGGCTTTGAATGTCAAGCGTGTGTGAGCCCGTTTAATTTTTCATTTAAATCTTCGAAGCTTTTTTTAGTCAAAAATATTGTAAACTTGGACGTCAAACTTATTATTTGACATATGCAAATGCAAAGGATGTAAATTTAATCCAGTAACATTTTTCCCTGCGAAGACAATAGGTATTACAGAAGGGTGATTCATTTATTCGTGGAAAGGTTTGATAAGTTTTCTAGCCTACAACCCCGTCTTTTTCTACGCGAAACTTGCTGCATGTGACGTCCCTTATCCTCAACTTTAAGATTGAATCGCTTTTTGCTCGACAAAAAAACTTCCAGACACTTTTCTAGGGTAGTTTTCTTTGACTAATTATTTTAAACGTTCCAAAATGCGCCAAAAATCGTAAATTCAGCGGTATAAAAGTTGTCGTATCACGATGAAAAATTCGAAAAAAACCAAACGGTAAATGTCGGATGACTAAAAAGGGAGTTCTTCATCTTTTATGACAGCAAAACCAAAACCATCGTCGCCCGTTTCTGCGCACTGCTGAATTTTTTCAGCAGTAAGCGGAAAAAAGTTTGTGGTTTCTAAATGCGTAGATCTACATAGGCCATTTTTGCTACAATATTTCCCAAATCAGTTTTAATTAGTCTCTAGATAGTTGTTTAATTGGATTCTAACAGATAGGCCATGCTGCGTTTGGATTTGGGGTTTTACAGCTTAGCTAAATCGCCGAACGGAATTTTCGGCTTTTTCGGGGTTTAGAAATGGATTGTTTTTCAAAATCTGCACGTGGCGCAAAACGAGGTGACGAACCTGAATCTCAGGAAGCTTTTAACACATGATTTTGTCGCCTGATTCTTCTCCAGCGCCATCTAAGCCATCCTCATCACTTGACCAATCATTCTCCTCACCTTTAATTACCTCTCGTCGTGGATAACGACCTATGCCTAGTAAGTCTGGTCGCACAGCAAATTCGTTTGGCTTAAAAAGTGTAATATTTTAAATTTCTGGATAACTTGTACCAAAATCAAGTGTTTATACACAGAACTTCCCTCGCTAGTATTTGTTACAACTTTTAACTAGCGTCGACCAATTTACTGTCGACCAATTGAGATTGGCAACCAATTTGCCATGTCAACCGATATATTGCGGCGACTAGTCGTCTATCGACAAGTTGAGATCGGCGACTAGTTGTTTTAGCGACCTGTTTTTTGACGACCAATTAGGTGTCGACGATTCGTTTGTCGACCATCAGCAATGGGCTACTTCATTTAACCCGTTTTACGTTGTTATACTCGCTTGCATAATTTGGACAAGAAGTTTAAGTTATCTCGTGAAATTTGAGAATGGTCAGTCTTTTTCTGGTAGGTGAGACTATTTCGGATTAGAGGTGAGCCAGTTGAACCGGGCTTGTTCGTGCTCGGTTCAACTGAGCTTGTTAAGATTTTTTCGAGTCAAGCTTTTTGCGAACCGTGCTTTTGAAAACTGCTGCTCGACTCACCTATTTATATTTTGAATTATTCAGGTCATTTGACATCCTGAGGAAAATTATTACTCACGCATTGCTACAAACTTCCGAATTTTGGATGATTTTAATTTTTAATTAGAATTTACCGCTTCTAAGACCTGCATCTCAAAGCTATGGTGCTTTTAATTAGCACATATCTTCAATCCACCCACAGTAAAAAATTAAACGAAAGACATTGACGGTGTCAATAGTTATAGCTCGAACGGGGGTCAAAAAATGAATGTTACCGGAATAAATTTACACGGTTTATATTAGTCATTAATCTTTGGACTAATTATTCCGATCATGCCATAAGGTCTTTGTTGATGACTAATGGAAAATTTTTTTCAAGTAGAAACTGGTTTGATATTTGGGTAATCTTCAAAATTTTGTTACTAAACCCTTCATGTTGCTCGGATTTTGTCGTAGAATTTTTCCTTGAATGCACAACAGGCTATTGAAGGAACACAAGGTTGAATTTTTTACTGGCCACTAGCAGTTGATACATTTACAGATGTCACGTTTTGCGCTTAAGCCACTTGATACGACCAAACTGTAACCCAAGTTTGCAGACCCTCGTTAATGTGTGGTCCAACTTTTTTATCGTCTAAAAACCGCAGAGACGATCTAAATACACACGATTTACTATAGATACAATAAATTTTTGGGGCGTTATAGCATGAAATATGACGTTCTATATTAGTGGTTTTTGACGCTTAAAGCTAAGCTTAACGTAACTATGTAACTATACCCTGTGTTAAAGCGGTGTTAGTGAGTGAGCGTATAAATTTTTCGCCTAAAAAGGGTAATCTAAATATTCTTTTGGCTGGGCCCCCCCCAGGACCCAATCCTGGCTACGCCGCTGATGACAACACTACCACAGAGATTGATATAACAAACATAACACTGACTAGATAGATATGTTTGATTTTATTTGATGTCCTTTATTCACGTGTCAATAAATATCAGTTATGTAAATACAAACTGGTTTACAATCCATGACACTAGAAGCTAATTCTCTAAAAATGTTTTAGGATTATGTACTTACATTCGCATCATGGAGTGGGTAAATAACCTTATCTTTTATGCATTGTGTTATCTGTGCACAAACTCAATTAGGCTGACCAAACCTATACGCACCTCTCATTTTATGATGATGCTGACCTGTTCCATCCGATGTTTAATTGTGTCACCAAATCTTCATGAACTGGAGCAATATTTGTACATTTTATTGAGACACATGAAATACATTCATGACACGGTAATGTCCAGTCCATATGTATTGTTATGAAATTCATGAACCGGATACGTCATCTCCGCTGCATTTGCATATATAAGGAGAAAATTTTTGCCACTCTCACCTATCTGGTCACCACTTTTTGAGTGAATAAGGGTTTAATTTAGTACAACATTTTCAAAATCTATATTCAATTTTCCATATTTTCCATAATTTTGGTAAGTCGGCCTTTGTCAATTTAAAAAATATTTCTTTTATTATTTACAATTTTTTTCTTTAATTATTTTTTCGTTTTCACCTCCCTCTGATTTTATATTCCGATATTTATAATTTCAGTATATTATCAGCACAATGCCAACTAACACTAGTAAACAGGGGGGTCATCGTCAGAGGAGCGACCTCCCCCCAGACGAAGGTTGCCACCGATAATCAAGGGGTGTGGTCGAATAGGGAATCATGTACCATTAGCTGCATGCCCGACCAGTGTACGATCTGCGGATCGCGAGGAAATTGTGAACATATTCATTAAAAAAGGATCACTACTGCAAAATTTAAAAGCATGATGAATATTGCAAACTTTGTACGCCGAATTTTGTAATTATTGAAAAATGTAATGTAAAATGTATTTAAGAATGTTGATCTAAAATACAAAAAAAAAATAATAACCTATCAGTACAGCTTTGCTCAGCCCGAACCAGGATTGATTAGTAAACCCTTGTTTGTCAGAATGTTATACTATTTTTCACTAATTTTTGCATTAACTAACGTCAGTTGGTAGTATTAGTTGGTACCAAACACCACCAACAGTGGAAGCTGTTTCTATAAAAATTTCGAAGCTTAACCCTCCAAAATTCGAATCCTAAGTTATTTTTTGACTTCTCACTAAATTTTAGCTGAATATATAAACTTTTAGAAATCGGTATGGGTACCCATTAGTGCCCCACTGGTGAGTTTTTGTTCGTCTTTTTTGAAAAATCGGTATGGGTCACCCCCTCGGGTGCCTCTGGTTGACAAATTTCCCAATTTCACTTCATATTCTTTCGGAAGAAGCCACTAGCAACCTCTATGCCAAATTTCAGCTTTCTACGACAATTTTGAAATTTTGGTGCATAATACCCCACCCACTCCGATGACCCCCACCGGTCCAAAACTTTTCTGATCTAACCCATCTTCGAACTCGGTCGTTGCATTGTCCAGATACATGTTTGTACCAAATTTGGTCCAAATCGGTCAACTCGTTCGAGAGTTATCGAAAGACAGACGGACGGACAGACGGACGGACATGACAATTACATAAGCCCTTGTTCGGGCTAAAAAATGACGTGAAACATTCTCAGTTTTTTTAAACTCTGTAATCAGTTTATTGCAATGTAATTTAGCAATTTATCACATTAATTAGTGCATAATGTTTATGCAATATGTAAAATAAAACATTTCAAGTGCCTAGGCTTATTCGTGACACGTCGGCTTAAATAAAATAACCAATTTGACCCATTCATGTAAATCTTATGCTCAAATCAACATTCAAAATTACGAACAAGTAAATATATTTCTTCTCCCCACCTTCTTTACACAATAGAAACAACAATTGAAAATATTACTGCATGATCAATTTTACTATTCTATGGCTCCTTGTAAATTTTCTGGATTTATGTAGATTTTGAAAATTCATTCATGAAGACTTCTAGTTTGCGGATCCTCGAAGCCAGTTTTCATGCATGCATTTCATTTGAAAGAAGCTTGCCATTCATTCATAATCAAAAACCTAGGATTTGTAATGCGATTAAAGCGCGTGAATTTTATAACCCTGTTTGATTTTTGTTGCCAATAATAGTCATTTTCAACTGAATCGTAAATTATTTTAGTACAGTCTGAATTGACCTAAACTCAGTTTTGTCGCTAGTTAAATGACAATTTTAAAAATATCAAATTTGTATTCAAAACTCAATTGTTATCAATATTTGACTTACCTAACCATCACAACGATAAGCACTTTGCTACTGAATCATTCTTTGCATCCAATAAATGTTACCGGTCGACCTTATCGAGAAATAATCTGCATCAGATTTTTTAACCAAGTTCCACTTAATTGTTATAGTATTATACTCCACATATCCCATATTAGTCATCAATTCTCGTTGCCTTATAATTTTAACGTGGACTGTAAATCTGGTCAATTTCATAGCTCTGAATTCAGGAACATCCTACTTCCACAATCCCGTTGATTTTATTGCGGATGACACAGACCTCCGAAAAAGGAATTGTTTGATTTCTTCTTTACCTGCAATGTTATAAAATGGCAATTGACTCATCGTTTTGGCACCGTTTTTGGATGAGTAGTCGTACTTATCGAGAACATTTTGCATTAAGAGGCAATCTCGAGTAGTTAGGATTCACTGAAATATATGTAATTCTGAACATGGGTCAGCGTCCAAGCTATCTGCGTTGTAAATTTCTTTCACTTTTGGAGTGATTCATGTATTCGTCAAGTTATGAACATAATTCTGAAGAACATTCGAAAAAAGAGGGTTGTCACGTGTTCCTTTTTCCTCAATTTTAATTAATAACTAATTTACTTAAATACATACATCATAGATTAATTTTTGGAGAAACTAAAAATTTAGTAAAGCGAAAATATAGTTTTACAAAAGTTGTACAACTTTCAACTTGAGCAACTAAAATGCCAAAATGAAAAAGAAAATTAAATTATTTACACAAATTGGTTTCAAAGATAAATTAGAAGAATATTTTTCGTACAGTGACCGTATGCACAGCAATAAGTTTACTACTAACAGAAAAATATCGTTTGTAAATATTTTTTATACTATCTATTTAAAAATTCAAAAATAAGAAGGGTGGTGAAAGTTGGTGAAAGTAATGCTAAATATTTGATGATTCATCGTCTAAGGGGAAAAAGTTTACAAAAAATAGAATTGAGCTTACATTAAATAATAATTACTAATACTAATTACATTTGGGGGTCAAGGTTTGCAGTCCATGTATCAATATTTGTATGCATTATATTTTCTTAACTTTACATAGGTACATATATTCATTTTTCAAAAAATTGTATGATAATTGTACACAAATGATGTCTCCCGTATCGATAATGAAAGCACCATTTTTTACGATGGAATAAACAAAATCTTCCCAGACTTAGCTTATGTAACTGTAAAAATAATGTATACAAATTCCGATTTCATGCAAAAAAACAAAACAAAAACATTGTAACTACGAAATCTTTGGTACCCTGAACAAAGCAAAAGGCGATATATTTGAGGGGGTGGGGTCAAGGCATCGTGTCCTTCTCAGGTTAATTATAGCACGCGTAGTTAACACCCGGGTCAAAATTCTCTGAAATCCGTATCATTAATTTTACCGTAAATTGCTACGGATGACGGATATGGTGCTCTTCCAGCCTGATATCTCTGCATTACCTGCCGTTCATATGTATCTGCTCAGATTTACTTATCTACACAGCAGATTATGATACTCACTCGCTGTTAACTCGAGCAGTTTTGCATATTATGTAGCTGTTGCTATACAAATGCAAATGCATCTCGCCCGGCATATTCATTAGTCATCCTTTCCATGCATGCATAATATATGTATATGCAATACAGTGAAATGTAGTCAAGTGGCAGCATTTTCCTCTAATTACATGATTATTAGGTGAATCCTACCATTTAATTGGCCAGGTTTGGGAATGGGGACCATTCGGGGGACACCCTTTGCTATTTGGATGACACAGGTGGAGTGAAATTAAATACTTTGTTGAAGAGTTTAAGCATAATTTTCTATCGTGCTTTATGTACATGCGATATTCCATCCAATTCTGGAATTGCGACTGACGCATGGTTTTTGCACTATTATTTTACAGTGATAACTACTACTGCGTGGATACTTGGAACGGTATAAATTGAGGCATTTTCTCCACAAATGGACATCAGTTGGAGATTGAGGTTCAAACTAGCATTTCAATAAGAGAAAATCACCTCCAGCGAGACAATCAAAAACAATCCCAAAATTTACAGTCAAATTTCTAAATGTGTGTAGTAAGCTTTATGCATATTTTCAAATTTTGTACATTTTTTAATATTGATTATTTTTTGACATTTTTGTTTATATATTTTTTAGTGGGTGGAATTTTTGCAAAGATATCAATATGCTCACTGGCACCTATAATTCTGACAAGTGCGGGACCATTGTCGTCTCCGGAAATCATCAGCAGCATCTCAAAATCTCGACCTGGTGGGTGCGGCGGTCAACGAGTAGCTTGCCACCACAATGCTCATCCTGCGGATCAACTGGGAGCTGTTCTTGTGGCAAATGAGATGTGATACGAAGAGTATGACAAACAGTTGTACCATATTTTGTGTTCATTTTAGTCCATGGCTCAAAAATTATATTTTTTGCCAATCAAACAAAATTAATCGGTTTGTTTAAAATGCCCAACATTTCAACATATTTGTGTTCATTAGAAGTTTCAAACCATGTATAGTAATGTGGTATAATTGTCATACATTCAAAGGTACAGATTGATTCAACCTGATACCTAACGTGATAAATAATGTGATATGTATTTAAATACAACTTTAACTTTATAAAGTTATAAAATATATATACAAGAAATATATCGATGTTTTGGAGAACCAAAATTGTATTACTGTTCGTTCAAAATTAATATGCAGTAAATTCCTCGAAATTTTTTAAAAGGTAAAATGGCCGAAATTGCTGGTTGACACTGACAACGATTTAATTATGCACATTTTTTCTACGTTTTGAATGAAAATCATGTGAAATTTTGAGAATATAAACAAAACCAATCAATGGAAACCAATCATCCGCCAAATAACCTTACAGAATTTTTACTGCATATTAATTTTGAATCAACAGTAGTGTAAAATATTACAGTTTGTCGTGAAAATTTAGTTTTTTTAAGAAAATCAAAATTTTTAGTATTTCCATGGTTGAGATTTGTGCCATTTTATTTAATATCAAACAAGCTTTGTAAGACAAACGATATTATAGAAATTGTTAACCGGACCACAGTCGATCCAGTCAATTCAAAACACGATGGAATTATATTTTTGAAATTTATATATAATTTAAAACTAAGCGGTACTATGCATAAAATCACTCTTAGGATTAGTACTGGGGACCCCATGACATGGGGTCCCCAGTACTAACATGGGGCCCATGTTTACTACTTAATTTGTGCCGTGCATAATCTGTTCATGAATTCTGATGCTGGGCTCGGACACATTTCACATCCTCTCATTGTTCTTCTGTTGAAATTATACTCGACTCATGAACTACTGATGCTCGCTTGGGTATAAAGAAAGTGAGCTGAAAGCTGAATCTGAAAGTCACTCAGAAATCAGAGGCGCAAATCACATTACAATTCATCTCAACCTTTGTAACTTTTCACACTTTCTACCTGAATTAATTGTACAACAAATCCAGTAAGTAAAAATAATAGGAATTTGGCTTCTAAATCATACCATTTTCTCATACAAAATACTTTATAGCTTTCACTTGAATATATTCCATTTTGCAGTTTACTGTTGGTCCCCAAAGAAATTACGGAGATGTTTTCCTGCAATAAGTATTCCATCATCGATGAAATCGCTATTTTTGAAATGCCACAAAAGCACAGCTCCAAGATGTTGTCTCCTTCTCCAAAAAAGAGTTGTGGGGAATTAAGTGGGTCTCCACAACAATGTTCCACCTGTGGGTCAACCAGTGCAGTGGCTGTTCGTGCAAATAGAAATTTCGCAAATTCTTTGGAGGAACGGAACCGTTCAAATTTAATTACCTTCGCAAATTTCGACACCTTTTCTACTTTTTTAAAAATGAACTTAAATATATTGATATAATTTTAGATAGTCAATTGGTCATTATAAATAATAATAAATCTATTATATATCTATTGCGTTACACAAGTATCGTATAAATTGAGAAATCATGAGTTAATTTGTAATTTCATATTTAATTTTGTGGAAATTTGGTTTTTGATTGATTTAATAATTTGTGACCCGAAATGAAATAAATGTGAGAATTTTTGCAAGTCATGATTTACATTGAAATTGTTTTTTAATTTAATTTCTACATTTAATAATGAATAAAGCATAATATGAATAAAGAAAGCATAATATGCTTTCTCTTGATTTAATTTTTATTTAGGAAGCGATTGAAAGGCCATTTAAATTAAAGTCTCATAAGAAAACTTTCGGAAATACTTCAATTTTTCCGTAAATTCTTGGAAATGAGTGCAGAATAGCACCAGACAGCTCGAGAAAATAAAGTCCAACTTTTCTTCGAATTTCTATCTACTAAATACTCCCTGTAGGCATACATATTATCCAATTAAAGTACTTATCTAACTATTCAATACTTTAATGCCTCAGTAATGAATGAATGAATAACGAATAACGAATGAATTATATTCCTAATTTATTCAACACGAGTATATATCGCACACAATAAACATGGTTTTTCCACAGGTTTATATGCAAATGGATAAAAAATATACTTCCTTCGCATATAACATCTCATGAGCTTTACGACATGAATTTTGATACTTGTGGCGATCGTGTTAACACAACTTCCAGTAAGGAATTGTATTACTAAATATGTAAATTAGTCATGCCTTCATTTTAATGGTGGAGTATAAGCATAATGTATATAGCTCCTGTAAAATTGGCTGGTTCCCACATCACTTAACATATGTAGCGGTGTCGAATTATTGTCAGACACATGAAATCACGTTTCATTTCATAATCTTGATTTTCATGAACTTTCTCTGCGTCAAGAGCTACGGATTGACGTGTCGTTACTGACCTGTCTATTAATCGGGCTGTAGTTGGTCATATATTTTGTGTAATCTAGGAACATGCTACTGTGCTCTATGCATGTATTAATTATATTGAGCTTCCGTTCTTCCGTCCTGGCCAAAAATTATGATCATGAAAACTAAAAGTGACGTATGCAAGCTGGATTTGCGATCTTATCCGAGGTATAAAACTGACCTTACACAATTCCCGAGCAGCAATAGCCATCGAAGAGGAGAGCCAGTGAAATCAAAAAAGGATTAAGGAATCGTTGGGAACGTATTTACGAAATTTTGGTGAGTAAATTGCATTAAATTATGCATAATTTAACTGAAATTTGTCATGCTTTCACTTGTAGTGTAGTGCATTTCATATGGATTTTTTTTCAGAACCGGCAGAACGCAGTTAAATAACTTTGGTGATAATGGAGACGTCGACAATTAGCCTGCCACACCCATCCAAACTTCCGGTCTTGTCGTGGGTGCGGATATTAATGAGTGATCCAGACGGCAGCAGCAACCCACCGCAATGCTCAATCTGCGGATCAAATCAAGGTTGTGATTGTCGCAAATAGAATTTTCTATTTTTTATTATCTTCGCTTTTCAAAAGAAATTCACATTTTTAATACAATTGCAAGTATTTAGTAGAAATCTGAATTTGTTAGTGGAATCTTGTTTATATTTTCTTTACAAAATCTCTAATGAACAATTTTACCATCATCCTTTTCTGTAATTTACTTACTGAAATCAGAGAATTTTGTAAAAGCCGTTTCAATTTAAAATGCTTTAAATACCCCGATTATAAATCATTATTTTATTTATTTTAAGTAACTTGACTATAACTAGCTTCCATCATTAGTGTTAGATTTACAGATCTCGAGGAAATTGCGAAAACATGTTTATTAACAGACAAAAGCACTAAAGTTGAAGGCCGAATATTTTAATTGTTATAAAAGTGTATTTCTAATGAATATTTCTAATTTAAGAAACAATATAATAAAAAACGGCATGGAACGTTCGCAGTTTTGTAATATCTCTCATCAGTTTGACAAGTTCGTCGATGCATTTTACCATCTCATTTATTACAATGGTGCATAATTTTTGGATGGTGCACAAAATATATGTGCTAATGAAATGCTTTAAATTTTTAGTTGTTTATTCGTGTCACGTCGGTTTAAATAAAACGCTTAATATATGTAAAACACTCATTTTTTATGTATAATCTCATGTTTATATCAGCATCCAGGATTTTTAATAATTAGATATTCCTTCTCACCACTTTACATAATTTGAAAAATATAAAAATTATATATTTTAAGTGACAAATTTTACTATTGTGATTTCTTTCTCGATGTACGAAATAGATTCTGAAAATTGAGAGAATAATTACCATCCATTTAAGACCAAATAATAAAAAAAACACAGACCTGTTTAGTTATACGACTCAACTCAAACCATTAAAATGTTTTTGAATCTTTTATTTTTATTTTTAGACAACTAAAATCTTAAATAAATTCAACTATGGCGTCCACCTTAGCAAAATTCAAAAATTAATTTGAAACTCTCCCAGACATGAATGGTCATGGTCATGATCAACTAGATCCGATTTACACACTGAGCTCGCTAAACATGTAATTTGGGAATACTGATAACTACTTATCACCGATATGGTTGCACAAACAACCAGCAAAGCCAAATTAGGAATATGCACAAATTGTGTGCATTTTTGCTTTTGGTTTGTTTATTTGGTCAGATTACAAATGACGGTCTTATCGGTTCATGATGTTGCGTTGACCCATTGTGTTCATGACCACTCACGCACTTTCCTTGCATGGATGTACATTTAGCATGCAATATGAGACTCTAAACTGCAACTGCATGTGTAAAATGAGCCACTGTTTTGCCAACATGTTATGCCGACCATTCTTCATAAACTGGTATGCTTGCACTTGCTACCAAATCTTACGAGTGAAATTCATGAACCATAAACGAAATGGGTATAAAAAGATGGGTTCTGGACACAACTGGACATCAATCGAGAAGACCTTTCTACTAAAAGACGATCGCCAAATTCATTCGAAATTTATCGAATCAGCTCCAAATAAATTTCGTAAATCAAAATATTTACAGTGACCCATGTCAGAATATATAGTGAACGGGGGCGTTTAATTTAATTTGGTTTTACCCTACTTTTAGATAACCTGATACCTGACAGAATTCCAGAGAGAATCGTCATAATGGTCACCGAAACGAACAATCTTGGCTGCAAGGGGACCGTCACCAGAGGAGGAACCTCCCCCAAGTCAAAAACCGAGACGGGAAATGGTGAGGTGTGGCCTTCCTGGGGTTCGGATGGAACGAGTAGCTTGCCACCGCAGTGCTCAAAATGTGGATCGACAGGAAATTGCTCCTGTTCTTAGGAATTAGGCAGACGAACGCATAATCTTATTTTTATTACACTTTGTATGATAATTTTTTAAGAAACCTATAAATTACGTATAAATAATAGATATGTTTTATTTAAGCTAAAAATTTAGTTACTTATTAAAATTTTACGTTAAACAGTGCACAGGATATTTAATCAAATTTTAAATATGAATGTTAATTTTGCATATATGCAAGCAACTCTTAAAGTGCATGTATAACTTGATGTAAACGCCGATGTCAGATTTTTAGTTTATCCACCAACCAAATTTAACTTATAAATGAAAGTTTGTAATTAATTATAATTTAAAGTAATTTCTTCTGCAATCGAAACCAATAAAAATATATCAGTAAAAGATACGAGCAGAGCAATTTATAAACTGTAAAGTAAGTAAACTTGTAAGTCCAATCAAGTTTTGCCATCCATGTTAAACGCCAATTCCAGATTTTTTGGTATCCGAATTACTAGCATCTGTTATATTTAGATACAATTTTGCAATTATATGAATTTATAGACAGGCCCAAAATCTCTCGCTGATTTCCAAAATAGTCCTCATTCACTTTAAGCTAAAGCCTTATATATAGCCTCATTTACGAAAATCATTCGTCCTCACAAAAGTATGAGAAACACAAGAACAAAATTGCTGCTGTAGGAGTAATTAAATTAATAATAAATGTCAATGAAATCTTTTGTTAATTGCATTGTGGCAAAATTTACTTTATTGTATGTAGTATTACAATAAATAATAAGTTCCATGCATACAAATTCAGTTCATAAATTCTCAGGTTTTTAATGTAAATTTGTTGCAATAAAGGTTTTCCATAATTATGACGTATTTACGATCAAAATTTAATAGTTTAATTGTAATTCGTTTATCGAGCTTGTCAAGCACCTGTAATATGAAGATGATAACCACTTACCACAATGTATTCCAGCCACACACAAACTAATCAGCAAGGCTAAAATTAAAATGCATACATCGTATGCATTTGTTTATCTTGGCAGAATATGAATGACGGTTTTATCCGTTCATGATCTCGTGTTGACGCATTCTGTTCATGGACCCGAACTTACGCACTTTTTCTGCACATGCAAATTGACCATGCCATATCTACTAAGCTGCAATAAAATGTGTACACTTTGTTGTAATTAACTGATTTGCTACCATGTTATGCATCCATGTCCGGCACCATTGTTTGTATTCGTACGTATTTCTGGTTAAACTTCTCATGGAATTGTAAGAGTTGAATTCATGAACCATAAACGAGAAACGAGTATAAAAGATCTGTCCTGCACCCAACTGACCATAAATCAAGAATAGCTTTCTCCATAGACCAGATCAATATTAAATTCGTTCGAAGCTTGTCTAATTCACCCATCAATTTAGTAAGGCAAATTCAAATTGATTTCCAAATCTCTTCTGCATACATTCAAAACCAGGTCGTCTAATTCTAATTTGGTTTCGTGTTATAGATTACCCGGGTTTCAGAGAAAATCGTCATAATGGTCACCGAAACTAATAATCTTGGCTGCAAGGGGACCGTCATCAGAGGAGGAACGTCCCCCCAGTCAAAAACCGAGACAGGAAATAGTGGGGTGTGGCCTACCTGGGGTTCGGATGGAACGAGTAGCTTGCCACCGCAATGCTCAAAATGTGGATTGACCGGAAATTGCTCCTGTTCTTAAGTAGTTAATTAGGAAGGCGAACGCGCAATATTATTTTCTTACCAATTTTGATAAACATTAAGTATAAAGAAATCTATAAATTAAATAAGTATAAACTGAAATATGTAATTCAATAAAAAAATAGTGCTGTTTTTTAAGATTTGAAAATTCTGTGTTTACTTACTGAAAGGTTCATTTGAAATAATATCCTAAATATCTTAGTTAAACCTGAATATAAACCTGAACAAAGTTTTTAGCGTTGTATTACGCCTTCCTACACTTTGGACACTACAATAGTTGGTAGTTGTTAACGCCGATAACAGATATTGTAGATTGATTGTAATAACACTGTATTTCAGATAATGGCTCCCTTATTTTCTCACCTAAAGTGAATGACTGAATTGAAAAACAACGATTTACAAAAATGCTGGTAACTTGGATGCTACAAAAATAAAGATTAATCTGGCCATCATAAACATGTCAGGTTCATACTTATTGTAAGATTTTATGATATAAAGCGTAACTTATTTAAGGTCTAGCATTGCAAATATAGTTGACTTAAATGCCGATTTGAGATTTTGTATTGATTCAATTTATAAAATGTAAGTCAGATGTGAATATCCTCTAAGAAAATGATGTAAAATTATATTGACCGATTTCAGATTTTGAATTTATTCGATAAATTAGCTAGTTTTGTCTACCCTTGTTTCAGATAATACACAATCTTAAGAAATTATTTTTAAAATTACATACTGCTCGGGATGTATTCGCCCAAATGCAGTATCCAAAATTTGGTAATGATGGATATGTCCAGACGCAGCATTTGTTAATAGTTTAGTTAATGTAGGCAAATTATAGATTATTAGGATTTAGATGCCGATTTTCTAGCAAATTGAGAATACGTGCAATTAATTTCCACTTTATAAATAAAAACAAAGATGATGTAGAAGTTTTTATATTCATGCTGATTATTTATTTATTTAGTCCAATATCTCTTAAGTATTTTTTACATCCTATCTTATCTTCTTAATAACCATGAAGAAACTCGAGCACGGGCCGATTCACGAACGGAACGAGGTCCAAGGCAAAGAGAAAGTCGAGATGGTTAAATTTGTCGAAATTAATTCGCCAGAATCGCTGCAGATTTACGACATTTTGCATGACTCGTAACGTGTCCTGAAAGAGTTAAACAATAATTTTTTAACTACAAAAATATTCACATATTTAGACACAAAATATTAAGAATTCCATACATCTGGAACACCCAGCCAATCATTCTGCGCCCAGTAGAGAGCAACAGGAGCGGTCATCTTGGTCCAGTCGTACACCGGTGGAACCGGGGATCCATAAACCAGCAAATTTTTCTCTTCTCCGAAATCATATTTTTGAAATTGCCCTGAAGTCACGCCTTGTGCGTAGTGCACGATGGTTCGGACGGACGTACCGGCGGGGAGTTGGCCCAGAATTTCTGGTGTCAAGGCCTAAAAACATGTTTAAATTGTGTCAAACCTTTTCGTTCATGTAAAAAAAATCGCAATTTTTGTTGACGAGCGTACATACCGGGTCCATCTGTTCCGGATCGAAACCGCATAACAAGAAGAGCACATTTGTACAAATTTCATGCCATGGATTCGTCTCGTTACAAAGCGTCGCACCAATCAAGTCGTAAAAGGGAGAGTTTGCTGCGAATTCGTGAAGTCCAATCATTTCCAAGAGCCACTAAAAAAACGGTACGGATAAATAATTTGACTAGTTAAGGGAATTTGCACCATTTTTAATGTGCTAACCTCGATCTGTGTTGAGAATGGGGCAATAAATCTGAGCGGACTGATCATATTTTGCGTAAACGCGACAGGTGCCAAAGCGCTCATTAGGGCTACTTTGGAATTGTATTCGGGTCGCTCAGTCATGCACACCTAATTCGATACGAATTACATATTTAATAGGTTAAATATTGGTGCTAATTAATGCATCTTCCATACAAAAAACATCGTAGTCCCCATTGAATGACCGATATAATACAGTTTTTCTGCTCCAGTGATGGCCAAAATGTGGTCAAAGTTTGCCGGCAGGTCGTAAATTCCCATTTCATTCCAACTATGAAAATTATTAATATGCGAAAATTTGACTCGTTTTTGACGAGTAAAAGTTTCTGTAGAATTCTATTTTATTCACCTGAAATCCCAAAAAGCTTCCTTGTCCGTGTCAGGAGAAAGTGTGATATGTCTTCGTGAATACGTGTTACCACGAGCATTTCCTAAATAAAATTTAGTGAGTGGAAATTATTTATTTCAGTAATTTATGATATGCCATTTAATTCATGATATGAAATTACCCAGCCAAACATCGTAACAACTGTCGGCCAAAAGATAAGCTAAAAATATAAAAATTTATTATAAATTCTGCATTTTATGTTAACATTTTGTTCATCAATTACCGAGGCCCTTGTTAACTCCGGTGATGACAAAGTTGGAGGAATCGCAGAGAAGACCGTGCTGAACAAAGACGGGCTTTTTACCCGGTGCAGGCCCACAGTTTCTCCCATAAGGAATCCTGTGCAATTTAGTAAACCGGGTCGCCTAATTTTAATTTGGTTTCACATTTCATACATGATTTTTGTAACACAAGTGCATTGTAGCACGATTTTCTTCAGTTTTGTGTATAAAAATTCAATTAAAACTTGAACTTATTAGTTTAAAAACAGTTAATTTTGCGTAATAATTAATAAGTTAATAATTTCAATAAGAAATGTTAACTCGCCTGTGCAATTGTAGGATGTACCCATCCTCTGTAAACACAGAGTGGGTTTCTATCGGATAACCATACTTTGCAATAATTTCTGGCTGCCACGAAAATAAAACATGAATTTCCACTTCATAAAAATCAGTTCATAATTTATTTCTTGCATATTTTCTGTCTTCTTACCACTGTCAAATTGGCATCACTCCGTACCTCGTCCCCAACAGAGGGGATCATACCAAAATCTGCGGATGCAAATATTTTTTGCAAATCTGCATCGTTGTTATTGGCCAGCACTACGTGGAAAAATGCTGCTGCAAACACGAGAAAGGAAACGAACCCCATGATTCCTAATTTTGCGAGTGTGTGATAAGTTTGGATAATTTGCAGGCTATTATATACTCGAGTGAGAACAGGTCTCGTATTTACTGGTTGGTGTGCAAAGTTATTGAGGTGGTTCGATGTTATCAATTTTTTGATAAGCAAGGAATTAAGGCCTTCTAATTGAACGAACATGTGACCATCCTTCCCAAATATAATTCAACTCGTCAACCTTTGAACACCACACCTGTCAACTAGAAATAGTAATCTTATAAATACGTGAACAGGTGGGAACTCTATTCATTTTGCACTTATGAAGTAACATGCAACGCATCAACTCTAATCAATATAAATATTTCAATCATCAAAGGAACGAGTTGTTGAAAAAGGCTGCGTTATCTTGGGAAAAATCCCTGCAGAATTTTAGGCACGGCTTATCTTTCAAAATGTCGGTGGTATAGGAATTCATGCGAAAGCTTGTGCAGAGTACTTCAAAGTGCAACCTTTGGAGTCAAATACTTCCACCACTGACGAAAATATGTGTGGAGATATAAATAGTTTTTGGCAAATATCAGCATCATCACCTCATCGAAATATTTATCTGTATAATTTGACAAAGTCTGTACTTTTTTCATTTCTTTCTTCGATTATTCCAAAAAATTTACGAAGTTGTAAATAATTTTCACTATTATGCATTCAGTTTGTTTTCCATTGAACTCAATCAACATAAATTGACGTGATTTAGACCAATAAGTTGGAATGAGACAGAAGAGTGGGTCAGTAAAGTAGTGTGCATAACATCTCTATTCGGCATCTTAAACTTTTAACCTTCCTGTTTCAGGGTGCATAAACGTTCTCCTTGGAGAAACTACGGACAACGAAAAAGATTATGCACCCTGTTTGTGTTTAATCAGTAGTTAAAAGTCGGAACTGGATTTTTTTCTTGAGAATCATACGCAGTTAAGTTTTGACTTCTTTCGAGTTCTCATCTCTCCCCTTTGGAAATTTTTCGATCATGACGAATTCAATTTATTCTTTAATTTGGATATTTCTCCTGACAAGTTTAGTGCTACATTCTCACGAAGCAATTGCAGACGGAATGAATTGGAGCTCTTTGAAAGGAAAGATTTCGGTAATTTTACCAATTAACGAATTAATTTCATGAAGGGGCATTATGAGAAGTTGAGACTAAAAGATATATTTTTTTTACTGGAATAATGTAGAGTACTTTCGTCCTATCTGGGACCTATAAAGGAACTCCTACCCACACAGTTTCAACCACTCCCACCACATTTACTTCAACCAGTCCAACTACTAAAACCAAAGTGGGAGGTTCGTATCAACCACAAGCAAAAAGCAAGTCAAAACAGTCGTCCGTCCTGGTATTCGAGATGGAGATTGGGTCTACGTCGCAAGGGTTGATCAATATAAATTCAACTTTTTATAATACTTTTATTGATTTAACAGCTAATGTAATAATGGAAAGAATTATCTCATAAAAGTAAAAATTTTGACGTAATCGCGACCACCAGCATGACAAACGCACTCCTTCCTGGCTTCACAATCTCACCATTTGACGAGTCGTCGTCCACCACAATTCCAGACAAACTGCACAGATCCTTCGTTTCCTGTGGAATTCTATCCTTCCAAAGCTGCCTGGCTTGTTCCCCTCCTTCCACAAAAACTAGACCAAGGGCGGCATCAAAATGTACATTTACGTGACAATGAAACAACCAAATTCCCGGATTATCAGCTCGGAAACGTAAAACCATCCATGACGTCCCCAACACGGACATGGTCTCTCTTCGCAACCTTGACTTCAACTTGGGTCTATCTCTCTCCTCGACGAAGGGACCGTCCCACTTCAGCCCGGATCCCATGAGCCAGTAGGTGTGGCCGTGGAGGTGGAGTGGGTGCCCAAAATTGCCGTAATCGTTAATGATAAGCTCGACGACCTAAAAAAATGACAATTTATAATGCACTCATTTCAAAATTTCTTTTTTTTAAATTTTCATATTTTAAAATTTTATTACATAATCGTGACCAAATCCGTTAATTTCGATCGGATTAAGGGATTTAGGAAGGGCTTCTCCTCGCAAGAGTTTGACCAGAGCGGGTCTGTCGAGGGTGTGAGTATCATAGGAAATATTGTTAATTCCAGGTTTAAACGTGTTTTCGGGAAGGTCGATGTCCGGTATGTCGAGAATAATGGTTTGGTTCACCCAGTCTGGAGCAACTTCGCCAGAAATTGGGGTGCAGCATTCTTGCAAGTCTAATCTGACGGGTTCCAGAACTTTGGTGGTGTTCGGGTAGGGTGGGCTAGTGACGAAGGGAACGTGGACAGGGTCGTGAGAGTAGGTTTCAAACCCGTTTACGCGTACTGATTCTGACAGGATTTTCAGAGGACCACCACATTTCAGGGTGGATTGGAGCAAGGCTTCGTCTGGAAATAAGATACGATATAAAATACAAATTTTAGTCTGTAATTCTCAGAAATTTTCTGAAATTATGTACCATGAATCTCCGGTCGTCCCTGTCTACCCAGTGGATTAGTTAAGGGTTTACTATCAAGAATTTCCTCCTTCTTCCCAGCTCCACTTGGAGGATCCTTATATTTCAGAATCGCCAATCTTTCCGGGTCATTAACAAGCACTTCCGGATACGGATTTATATTCGGATAATCCAACACCATCATTTGCAACATGGCCAAAGACCTTATCCAATACTGGTCAAGATCGCCATTCATCGTGACAAGATACGAAGACCGGGTCCCTGTCGAGATGAGGGATTCATCCACCGGCGTCCCTCTCACTGTGTCGACACCATCCACCTCGATAACTTCTAGCTTATGGTTATCCATTGATAAGAGATGGGACGGCACGGTGGAAGGATTTACGACTCGGAAGCGATAAGTTTTCCCACGTTCGACCTCGAAAACGGGATATCTTCCTTGGAATGAGGGATCGCAGGAGGTATTTTTTAATGATGCATATTCGCACGGGTAGTAGCCCGCACCGTTGATAAGGGTCGTATCTGGGAAGGGATGACCACCCATGCTGGCAGTCGTGTTGGAGTACCACGCCGACAAAAGTGTGGCAGGGAGGTGATACCAGTCGTGCAGGACTAGGACGAATTCTCCATCATAGTTGTGTACCTCGGGCGTATTGTCAACTATTACGACGCCCCATAAACCATCCGTAATTTGGGCAGTGTGATGAGAATGGTACCTTCGTAAAATAAAAATCGGGTGAGCGATAAGGACTTATCTTAGTCAATTAATACTAAAGAAAAATTACCAATATGTCCCAGTTTGATTGACTTGAAATCGATACGTGTAACTCCCATTGGTTGGAATGTCACATTGCGTCAACATCCGAGGCCCATCTTCCCAAGGGGTCAAGAACTGTTCGAAACCATGCCAATGGATGGTTGTGCCTTGACCATCTTGAATCCTGTTGGTCACCTTGACCGTTAATATGTCGTACCGTTCGGCACGTAGCGTTGGAGCAGGAAATTGTTTGTTAACGCCTAAAACTTGTTTATGCACGCCGTCTGGTCGTACATCGAAATAGCTGATTTCTAATTCATAATACACTTCATTAGCTAAAGTGGAGGAAATAATTAGGGCGAAAATAAAGGTGATTTTTAATAGAAAATTAAAATTAGCCATTTTGAAATGAGTTAATTAACGTCTCCAATTAACTCAATTTACAAACTGAGAGGGTTGATTTGTTACCCCGACTTTATAAAGGTTGTAAAAAATCCATAATTTCATAAGGCACAAGGCTAAAATTGGAAAGCTGGAGGATTACAGTGATTCAAATATTTATTGCTTGTTTTGTTAATTTATGTATGATAAGGAATAATCGCCCTGAAATCGCGGAGGTGGAGTGAAGTTTTTATTACTGTTGGAGAAATTTTATCATGTTGTGTACTTCATCCACACAAGAATTGCTGAGATTTTAAATATTCCAAATTGTTTGTTTGAGCAACTTTGTTACGGATTAACCTTCATGCATAATTCTCGTACCCAAACTCTGACTCCCATTATTGACCTTTCTATTGACCCTGGATTTGCCTGATAATTATTAATAATGCCGAAGTTATGGAAGATCTTTGATTGATTGCTGACACATGAGAAATTTTTTTTATTACGTAAATATACACCAGGATTAAATAATTGTAAAGTTAGGTAAATAGATACGTGGAGATGATTTACGATCCAACAATAAGACAAATTAAACCCCAATTTTTGGTTCTAAAACGTTCAGTTGTGCGCATTTAAAATGGGTTAATTTATGTATAACATGTCACGAGTACGTAAATGCATCATGTAAGTAAATTGGATTACGAGTTAACTCATCAACGATTAGTTGTCGCTTTTTTTGGGTGTGTCGACCATATCGCAGTGATTTGGCAACTATTAATATGCAGGGGACTATAAAACGGGTGAAATTTACGGGGATTTCCACAACAGCAGGAGTCTTACTGTCGAGGTTGATAAGTCAATTTAAATTCAACTACTAAAGGATAACTTATTATTGATGATTTTTATTGTACAAAATGGGGAATAAAATTTTAACATGCATTTAAAAAAATTAAAATTTGACAGCATAAATAAAGATGAGATGATATGGATAAGACCTTAAGTTTCAGGAAATATTACGATGAAAATTAAAGATTACAATCATTTCCTGGCATTATCAATAAACTTACGTGGTGGAATTTAACAGATGTAACAAGTATTATTAATATCGGGAAACTTAAAAATCTTAAATCGGCTTTTAAATCACGAAGGTGTAAAAATTACTTGGACTAAATGAGTTGCATGCATTTTTCTAACTAGCGAAACTATGCACTTCAAAAAATAATTAGTAGTTTATACAATTGATCTGTACGTGCCCTTCATACAATAATTTAACTCCACTACACTACACAAGTAAATAATTCTGTTAAATTAAAGTTAATTAAATACATTGTCATTTTTGCCAACTGGGTAGTAACAAGTATTATATCCAATGTGCATGGAAAGATAACACAATTAGACATTTGTTATGCCTCTGTTATAAAGTAAACCGGATTACCTGCTTATTTATCTCAACTTTGATTCCAACGGAATACTGCATCTAATTGACAATTATACAAAGTTTGAACCAATACAAAATCTCAAACCGGCGTTTAAGTCATCATCATAATCTATAGTTCGCCTGCATTTACAATGCTAAACCATAAATAAATCATGCGTCTGGACAAGCTTATGATGGCAAAATTTCATCCAGTTAATCTTTAATTGCTGCTGGTCTTTTAAAGCATCCAAGTCATAAGTATTTTTGCAAATAATATGAGTTATTTGCGCAAATTAATTAATTACCTTATTTAAGTCGAACCATATCTGAAATTTTCTGATATTAAAATGGATCTATAAAAAAATGTTAGATCGGCTTTTAAACCATCATACTCTACATAAAACTTGTTTGCATTTACAATACGAACGTGGAAAAAGCTTTAAATATTCAGAACATATTATTTAAAATAGAGTTACTTATGCAAACAATAGGGGTTTACAATCGACTTATTTTGGTTTTCCCACAAATTATAAGTCATTTCTATAAATCAATTATAAGTGGGTTCTATTTGAATGCTCCACTTTTTGTTCAAATTTTATGTTGTATGCAATTCAGGCGACCGAATTGCATTAAACGTCAAAATCACTGCAAAAACAAACATAGTAGCTGTGGCGTCTGCTCTGAGAACACCACTGGGTCAGTCCCGATCAGATACCCTCTGACCAGCGTTACACCGAATTTGACGTGGGGGATGATTACTACGAGTAGGAGGTCAGCTCATAAATCCACTCAGAGTAGCAAAATAAATATAAAATAAAACTTGTTATAAATCTCTTAAATAATTGCTACTTTATTTACTGTGGATTAATTAATTGTGGAACATTCTCTCAAAAACACGTCCACATTACTTGAGTACTTTTAACGAACTAAAAATGAGGGCCAATAAAACAATGAGATGACGAAAGACTGCGCTCGTGCGGGACACTCAAATGTCAGGGGCAACCTAAAACTAACATTCATACATATCATCTCAATCATAACTTTTACATGAAATATTACATACATTACTATTACTCATCAGATTCGACACTCCCACCTTCTTTCGTGAAAACATGAGCGAAAGAACTAAAATACGAATCTAATTACTAATGCTATCATCATGTATTAACACTCTTTGCAAAACTCCCAGACGATCAGGCTTCTTTATCTTGCGTCCTGCTCTGGTGATTACTTCTGGCAACGCTTCATCCACGAGATCTTCATTTGACTCTTGCAAAACGGTATCATCATCCGTGTCTTCTTCTTCAAAGTCTTGGACTTGGCGTTCTTCTTCCGGTTTGGACATCTCTCTGTCACCTGACGGAATTTCCAAAGGGGAAAGTCTCTGCAGCGGTCTTCGGAGGATTCCCTTTGAAGTCTTCACTACTGCAGATCTTGGTTCTCCATCCTTTCCTGGATTTAGCTGGATGATGCGTCCGAGTGGCCATTCAACTCTTTTCTTATTGTCCACTTGGACCAGTACGACATCACCAACGATGGGGTCAGGAGTCTTCTTTTCACTAGCTTTCTGCACGAGTTCAGCTAGATACTCCTTTCGAAATCTTGCTTGTAAGTCCTGTTGCAGCTTCTTCACATGCTTGTAACGGGCTTGCAATTCTTTCCCGGTGACTTTCTCCACTTCCGGGAATCTTGTCATCTTCGTACCCTTGAGGAACATTGCTGGAGTCAGTGCAACGAGATCATCAATGTCTTCAGTCGCTGCAGTAAGTGGTCGCTCATTGATCGTGGCCGCGACTGAACATAAACAAGTCGCCAACTCGTCTCTCGTCAATGAGGCTCTCCCCAACATTCTTTTGAGCAGGTCCTTGACAGACTTGACCATGCGCTCAAACCATCCTCCCCACCACGCAGCAGTAGGTGGGTTAAAAATCCACTGAATCTGCTTCACTTGGGTCGCCGCTTCAATTTTCATCCAGTCCAGTTTCTTGAACAGGTTATCAGCGCCCACAAAGTTTGTCCCATTGTCCGAGTAGATGGTATTGGGACGTCCATACATACTCACAAATCTCTCCAGTGAGTTGATGAAGGCTTCGGTACTGAGTGACTCCACCAGATCCAAAACGACTCAGCGGTACACGGCACAAGTGTATAAAACTATCCACACTTTTGACTTGTTCTTCAAAAACAGCGGTCCTGCCAAGTCCACTCCGGTTGTTGCAAAAACTTCTCCTGTCGCCACTCTCTTCTCTGGCAAAGCAACAGGATTAACTTGCAATGGTTTTGCATCTTGTCGCCGACAGGTCACGCATTTCCTCAGGGCGTGGGTCACGGTTCTTCTTCCTTGGGGAATCCAATACTTCTCCCTCAACTTGGTTAATGTAAATTGGATACCGCCGTGACCATAAATGCGATGAATTTCTCGAATCAAGTCATGGACCATCGGACAGTCCTTGGGCAGAAGGATTGGAAATCTGAATGCTTCGGTATCCTCCCTATACTCCAACTTGGTACGAACGTGGAGTAGCCCGTCCTTCATTTTACTGACTCTCAAATTGATTTGCTTTACGTCGGGAAAGTATCGCTCCTGCATGACTTTTAACAGGACTACTTCCGCCGCCCTTAGCTCAGCTATTGTCCATGCTTTACGTAGTTCTTCTTTATCCATTCCTTTCAGGATTCGAACTGCATATCCTACGACACGAACATTCTTGATATATGATGCGAACTTCGCAACGAACGATGCTACTGGAACAGTTCTGGCCACTTTCATCCACGTAGACTTTTTCACCTCCGCGAGGACTTCATCTTCGTCCGTTTCCCCTGGTGATTTCTGTCAATTGTCTTCGCTTCCTCTGAGCCAGTCTGGTCCCTCCCACCATTTCGATAACAACAATTCGGTCGGTGAGCATCCTCTTGAAGGTAGGTCGGCGGGATTTATCTTGCCGGGGACGTGTCGCCATTCTTCTTTGTTCGAAATCTTCAAAATCTGACGAACTCGATTTCCCACAAATGTACCCCAGTCTCCGTCCCGTCGAATCCACGCCAGCGCCGTGGTGGAGTCTGTCCAGTAGACGGTGGGGACGTCTTCATATCCCATCGCTCTCTTCACCGTCTCTGCTAATCTTGCTCCAATCAGGCATCCCAGCAATTCCAATCTTGGGATTGCTTCGTCCCATTGTTCATCCCACTTCATGTCTTGCGCCCAGGATTCCTGCAACGCAACAATAACTTCAACTGCAGGACGGCTGGTGACGTGTAACCAATGGGGTCAAAAACTTGTGCAGCCAGGGAGAGGACACTTCTCTTCGTTATGACAGGGTCACCTTCTTCGCCCCACTCGGTGGGAATATCGCAATACAATTGGTCACTCTTCTTATTCCATTTGTATCCCAATACAGATGTGATCTCATTTTCCATTACTTGATCTGCATTGGACTCCCACTGCCTTAAGTCCATCTTCGCGCTTTCCAATATCATCGTGGACTCGTTCTTGAACTTTTCGTATTCTTTCAACGTGTCGAAGGACGTCACACAATTGTCCACGTAGAGCGACCTTAACAGCTCCAGATTTGTCTTCTTCTCATTCTCTGGAACCTGGGAGAGATGGAAATCCAGCACTGCTGCAAGAATGAACGGGCTACAGTTCATTCCAAAAATAACTCTGCAATGCTGGTACACTTTGAGTAATTTCTTCCCTTGATCCTCCCACCACAGGAATTTCTGATATTTCCTATCTTCGCCATCCACTTCAATCATCTGGAAGGCCTTCCTAATATCAGAGATTGCTCCCACCTTCTCTTTCCGGAATCTGAGGAGGATGGGCAGGATCATTTCAACTAAATTGGGACCCTTCTCTAAACACTGATTGAGAGAAGGCTGGTTCCCAACTCGACAAGAGGCGTCAAAAACTGGACGCACTGGTGTAGTCAAGCTATCCGATTTGAACACTGGACGGTGCGGAAGATAATGTCCATCGTGGTCTGTTCCTTTCTCCGCGTAGACTTCTACAATTCCTTCCGCCTCCCAAGAGCTAAAAATGTTGTCATATCGTTCAAACTCCTTTCTTGAGATAAGCTTGTTGGTTGCTGATTGCAGGCGTTTTTCAGCAACTCCACGGTTATGAGGGAGTGGGATGGACTCACTAATCCACGGTAACTTCACAACGTACCGGCCATCATCTGCTCTCCTCAAATTCTTCTGGAAATCTTCCTTGACCTGCTGGTCATGCTCTTCTGTGCTGACCCTCAATGCACTGTCCTTGATTCCCAAAATGTCCAAATCCCACAGAACACTTATATCTTCTGTCTTGGCCAACTTCGCAATACATAGTTGAGCCATGGTGCGCTGTTTCGGGACGGACGCTTCTCCAGTACCAGCCGACCGTTGTCTCTGTCGCAATGATGGTTGGACTAACTTTAGCCATCCTCCCTGTGAGAATTCTTCCAATGTGATTGGATCCTAACAAGATGTGAATCTCGGAGGGGTCTGACGCGACGTCGGTAAGGTACACCTTCATTTTCATCAGCTCGTTCACCCACGGGCCATACGGGACAGGATCACATACTCCACAAATATATTCTTGAGAGAACATCTGAGAGAGAACATCTGCAGGTTTTCTTTCCCTCCGTTGATTCCTTGGATCTTCACAGAGTACTCCTTTCTCTCGGCGATCTCGTCACCACCACCGAATACTTCTGTCTGGAACATCCTCTTGCCCACAGGTTTCAGCTTCAAATCATCGGCTAACTTTCTCTGTATGTAGCTGATGTCACTCCCTGAATCCACTAGAACTCGGACATTTCTCACTTCATTATTAGGTCCGAGAACTTTTACTTGCATGGTTCCGCGGAGCACTATTTTGTCTTGTTTTGATGACACACCCATTGCCAGTGCTGATTGCTGAGATACCACCATGGTTTTCACTCCCTCGGTCACTTCGTGGACTCCATCACTATCACCGTCCTTCTTTTCTTGGCACATTACTTGATAGTGACCTTTCTCACAAGTTGGACAATCCACGCGGACCTTGCACTTTCTGAAGATATGTCCTGGTCTTAGACACCTGAAGCAGACGTTGGCTTCTTTCACCTTGGCCAACTTATCCTCATGACTCATCTTCTTTGCCCTGAAGCAATCTTGACTCTGATGATTGTTCTTTCCACATAAGACGCATCTTATCTTCTTAACATCACCAGCAACCAGGGCGGCAGCAGTTACGGGATACTCTTCATCTTCACTTTTTCGGTGCCTCTTGTTCTTCCCGTCCTTACCGCTGGAGCTTGATTGGAATCCAGTCTGGGCCAGAGCAATTTGTTGTTGTCCCTGCACTTCATTCTTGATAAATTCCATCATCAGATCAAGACAGCTTCTTGGGGGATTTTCTAATTTCCCGTCGACTTTTGATAACGGGCTGCGTTGCCATGCTTGCAACGTCTCAACAGACAAACTTGATTCCACCAAAGGGAACAACCAGGTGGCTGGATCAGCAGCGCCCAAATTTAATGTCTTTAGCGCCCTCAAGTGCGACTCCAACTTGAGGTACATTACATCCAGGGGAATCTTCTCCTTCTGACTGACGTTACAAATCACTAACTTCAGCAGCTCCCGGATGTAAACTTGCATTAAAAGGCTCTCTCTTCCATAAGTCTGCTTCAAAGCATCCAGCGCCTGTCCATAATTTTCTGCCGTCTGAGGGAAACTGCTCACTAGCTGCAATGGTTTAGTTCCAGGTACCATAGGTAATTTGTCGGAGTCGTGGATCTTGGTGTCAACGTGGATCTTCTCAAACTGAGACCACCACCCTAGCCACTCTTTTACCTCCCCATTGAATTTCCTCAGCTCTATTTTTGGCAGCTTGAATGACTTCGTGTGATCCGTACCGTTGTTTGCTGGAGTGCTGCTGCAACTTGGGATCTGGTTTGATACCTCAGGGGTTATAGCATTACGTGCAATCCTCTCAGCCACTAAAATCTTGTCTTGATACTTCTCACAGTCATCTGCTTCAGTTTCTAAATCCACATCGGCTACGTCGTCATCCAACATGGCTTCTTTCACTTTCTCATCTTCATTGATGAGCTTAGTCGACGCCACATCCAGTTTCTTCAATAAGTCCAACAACGTCTGTCTGTACGGGACTCCTGTGGCGATTTCCGCTTCTATTTCGTTGCAAAGCTTCGTGACCTGTTGTCTCACTGGCTTCCGGGACTTCTTTGCTCGATCCATGGCCGCTACTTGAACCTCAGGACCGTGCAAACCCAACAAACGGAAAATGATTAATAATTTTTCAACGTGGTTTTAAACTGGCAACAATCTCCACCTCAAAAGTCCCCGACTGCTCAGGGCAGGGCCCACAAAGTGGCAAAATAATTGTTATTATCCACGTGAAAAGACTACAATGGGACGACCTCACGGACTTGCCGGTTGCTTGGCTCCCCTCTCAATAATTAATAAGGAATTCTATCATCTGCTAACCCCCCGAATGCTCAGGGTGGGGCCCACAAAGTGGCAATTTGTGAAAATTCCTTCCTTAATTGAACTTCCTCCTGGTCACTGTAGAATCCGACTCGACTCCCCAATCACGTCACCAAAATGTGGCGTCTGCTCTGAGAACACCACTGGGTCAGTCCCGATCAGATACCCTCTGACCAGCGTTACACCGAATTTGACGTGGGGGATGATTACTACGAGTAGGAGGTCAGCTCATAAATCCACTCAGAGTAGCAAAATAAATATAACATAAAACTTGTTATAAATCTCTTAAATAATTGCTACTTTATTTACTGTGGATTAATTAATTGTGGAACATTCTCTCAAAAACACGTCCACATTACTTGAGTACTTTTAACGAACTAAAAATGAGGGCCAATAAAACAATGAGATGACGAAAGACTGCGCTCGTGCGGGACACTCAAATGTCAGGGGCAACCTAAAACTAACATTCATACATATCATCTCAATCATAACTTTTACATGAAATATTACATACATTACTATTACTCATCAGATTCGACAGTAGCTTTAAAAAGACCTAAAACTTCAACAATAGGTACAACCTTTGAATTCTTGCCTAATATATAAATTACATGATATTTATGAAGTGGAATGATTGAAAATTTAATCTTCACTCTCATTTGAACTCCCCATTTTAAATATTTCACTGCACTATCGTAATTAAACCAATTTCAATTATGCACCATTTAAATAACTCGAATACGGATTAAAACTCGATTGAAAAATAATTTATTGAGCAGCAAGTGTCCTGCAGCAAATTTGAGTGAGTGAAATTTCAACGGCAGCTGATGCTCAAAACAAGTGAAATAAGTGTCTTATTCGGAACACTTATTTCACTTTTCACTGGATTGACTTTTTTCTGGAATAAGTTATTCCAGAAAAAAGTCAATCCAGGAGACTTATTTTCCAATTCCGATAGAATTCTTAAATCTAAAAGACAGTATTATTCTTGAAAGTTTGCACATAAGAAAAACCACCAACGCCATAAACCAAGACAATGGGATGAACCTCAACCCCATCTGGTCATCATTAATGTTGCCACTTATTTAAATTCCATAACTACATTTGTATAATTCAACAAATTATCATTTCTTGACAATTTAGAACTGCACTGTATTTCAATTCCAAAAATTGTTAAAATTCCTCATTTTCCTGATGATGATGCGAGTTTAGCATCGAAAGCTCGAATAAACTGCTTTTATAAACCACACCCATGTATTCCGACGAAGCCTCCTCAAACAGTATTATTATTTTTTTTAAGTTACAATACATCCCGAGCAATTAAAACCAGAAATCGTCCAACGTATTTTTATATAACATCGATGAGGTCCACGATGATATCTGACTTACAATCTAAACTATATAAAGCAGGCGAGTGTATCGCTGCTGGGTCGGTGGCTTTTTTGAGAAGTTAGCCTCTCCTTTCCTCTCTACACTCTGCAGAGAGCAAAAAGGAGGGGCTAACTTCACTAATATTTTCATTCTCTATTTTGGTTGACGGGTTTATCGACGGGCAAAATAGGCCCGTCAAGTCGCCCGGGTGTATAAACTAGTTTATTTATAAATGAATCAACACAAAATCTCAAACCGGCGTTTACGTTTAAGGCATACATAATTTGCCTGCATTTTGAAACAAATTATACGTCTGCGCATGTTCATGAGGGCAAAATTTTGCGATTTCATATGGCGAATCTTATTTCATTTTTGTAGCATCCAATTTACAAGTAAATCGTCGTTTTCTTAATTTAGTTATGTCAATTTAGGTGGCACGAAAACCACCTCTATAACAAATGATCTAAAACGGTTTTAGTAAAACCAGACCACATTGAAATTAACATCAATCTGCAATAAATATTATCGGTGTTGGCAGCTACCAACTATTCATTGTGATGTCCAAGGTGTAAAGATGCTAAAAGTTTTGTTAAATATTCAGGATTAACTCAAATTCAGGATATTTCAAATGAAACTTTTCGTAAGTAAACCAAGAATTTTAAAGTCTAAAAAACGACATCGTTTTTTTAATTGAGTTGCATATTTCAGTTTATATTAATTTAATTTATAGATTTCTTTATACTTAATTCATTATAAAAACGTGAAAGAAAAACAATATTGTGGGTTAGCCTGCCTAATTAACTACTTAAGAACAAGAGCAATTTCCTGTCGATCCACATTTTGAGCATTGTGGTGGCAAGCTACTCGTTCCATCCGAACCCCAGGAAGGCCACACCCCACTATTTCCCGTCCCGGTTTTCGACTTGGGGGAGGTTCCTCTTCTGGTGACGGTCCCCTTGCAGCCAAGATTGCTAGTTTCGGTGACCATTATGACGATTTTGGCTGAAACTAGGGTAATCTATAACATAAAACCAAATTAGAATTTGACGATCTGATTTAGTATGTATGCAGAATGGATTTTGGAAGCCATTCAATTTTTCCTTACTAACTTTTTGAGTGGATTCGACAAGTTTCGAATGAATTCAGTATTGATCTGGTTATGAAGAAGGTTGTTCTTGATTGATATTCACTTGTGTCCAGTTCCGATCTTTTATACTCATTTCTCGTTTATGGTTCATGAATTCAACTCTTATAATTCCATGAGAAGTTTAACCATCAAGACATACGAACAATGGTGCCGGGTATGGATGCATAACATGGTAGCAAATCCGGGTAATTACAACAAATGTTGTGCATTTTATTGCAGTTTAGTAGAGCATAATATGGGATGGTCAATTTGCATATGCAGGAAAAGTGCGTAAGATCGGGTCATGAAAACAGAATGCATCAACACGACATCATGAACGGATAAGACCGTCATTGATATTCCACCAAGA